TAAGTTGCCCTTCATCTCACTCTCAATTTAAAGTTCTCTAATCCTCATATACCTTCTGGCTATGTTTAAAGGTCGCCGGCATGGCAATCGCTGAGGCCCCCTTCCAGATTATTTGCTCTTGGAATTCCAATAGTGGATCCTGGTACACGCTTTTAAATAATTAAAAAATATAATATTAATTATGTAATCATTTTTATTAAAAAAAAAATGATAAAAATTAAAAAATAAACGAATTATTTATTTTTTAAATTGACATAATCTTTTTCAATTCAAAATCATCATAAATAATAAAATATATTTCAAACATTAATCTTAAAATCAAATTTAGAATAAAATGAATCAAATAAATCAATTCAGATATTAATTTAATTTATTTCAGACATTTATAATTTAATAACTATTAAAGCTTCTTTTTATTTGAATATATTAATAGATTATCATAAAATGTTTAATAAATATAATGATAATCAATTTTATAATTATATCATGTAGCTTAGAGGTAAAGCGCTTCCCTTTTAAGGAAAAGATCCGAGTTCAAGTCTTCGGGGTGGTATATTTATTTTTACTTTTTTAATTTATTTATTAAGTATAATAATTTTCAATTTAAAATTTTTTATTTGTTATTAGAAATTCCTTACTTGGAAATTACTGTTGTTAAATATTGTTTTTAAGTAAGTTAAGAAGAATTAATAAAATTTTTATCTTTTCTGATATTTATCATAGATTCATCACAATTCTTAAATCTTTTGAATTTTATTGAGTTTCATATTAGATGATCGCTAATTCAAACACATATTCTTCACAAAATTATTCTATTATAAGAATATGATTTTTTTAAGCATTATGGTTTCATATAATTTAATAGTTGATTTTTTTGAAATTGGTTCTAAAACTAGAATTCTAATTATAGGATTAAAAATTGAATTATTTGGATTTTGATAAAATAACATTAATAACTATGTAATATGGTTTATAATCCTTATTCATTTAATCTTAATTTTATTTATCTAATTCAAAAATAATGAAATACTGCATTTAATTAAGAGCATTAGGGAATTTAGAAGAAAAAAGTATTTAAAAATGGTATGCAATTAATTAAATTCAAAGATGTTTGATAAATTGATGTGAAAAATAAAAATGGATAATATTTCATTTTAATAATTTAAACAATAATATCTATCATTTAATATTTGATTAACCTAACTCAATAGAACTGATATTCTATATATTTAGAATTTACTTTCTTTTTATTCTATTACAATTGAGTTTGAGTAAAACAATAAGAATAATAAGAATTAAAATAGTGATTATTATGTTGATTCTATTTATTTGGACATCTTACTCAACCAAAATTAATAAATCAACTTGAGCTATTGATACTGAATTTTAAGAAATTAAAGTAATGCTTACTTATTCAATTTAGGAGTCTATAATCTCTAATTCATAATCTATTTCTCCAATATGAAATTCATCAGATTCTACATAGTAAAATAAGTAGTGTGTACTATTGATAGCATACATTGCAAAATTAATAATGCTTAAATTATTTATATAGTCACACATTAATTTCTATTATCTAAGATCAAATAAATAAACGTAATTTTGCAATGATGTTAATATTAAAATATTTTAGTCATAATATTTAGGTGCTAATATTCCTTCTTATATTTTGGTTCTAATTACTTTTACAACATTAAAACTATAATCTAAATTGATTAAACTAATATTGAATCTCCCTAATATTGAAAATTTGTTAAAATTAAGAATCATAATTAATTATACATTATTGTCAAGTTTTTATGCTTCTAGTAAATGAATTTACTGATCTGATATATAATTAGATTCTTGTAAAACTACATATTTATTTAATTCTGAAATAATTATATCTCTTTTAATTAATCTTAAGATATTTAATTAAATTTATAATTATTCTAATGCAAAAATTTATATTTCCCACTCCTTATTCATTTATGTAAATTATACAGAAATATATAATTTATCAGTATTTTATATAAAAAGAACTCTTGATTATTAAAAAGTATTTTTGATTTAATCTATACTTTAATTCTCAACAACCCATAGTTCATAATTTAATTATTATTTAAAAATAATCAGATTTCTAGTATTATAAAATTCAAATTCATTTATTACATCAATTTTACTCTGAAGTTATTGTTGATCTATAAGAGTAAATTAATTGTCTTTTAAGAGAAACCTTATATATGATAGATCCTTTTAATGAGAAATAAACATGATTATTAAAAATTAGTTAAATATATAATTTATATCTAATAACCTACCATATTCTTTATTCAAGAAGTTTTTCATTTCTTAATTATAAACAATAATTTAATCTTTAATATCAATATTTATGATATATATAATCTTTGATTTATTTTGTTAATTAATATTAGAATCATAAAAATATAGTGTTTTAATTGTAAGATTTGAAAATATTTGATTTTTGTTAATATTTGCTTTCAATAAAATTGGGCCTTTTAAATAGATTTGGTTTTAATTTTGCAAGCTCAATTAGTCTATACATCCCAAAAATATTGTGTCTAAGTGAATTTTCAGAGATTTATTATTCTTAAACAATAATGTTTTTTGATTATCTATAGCAAATAATTTACAACATAAATTTATTTGTTTTAATTAAATCTAAATAGTTTTATTAGTCTCAATTGAATTTAAGGAAATAATATCAAACGATAAATTTTATGAAGAAATTGCATTAATTTATAAAGGATCAATATTTTATAAAGTAAATTCAAAATATTTAATGTTATAAACCATAATATTAAAGTTTAAGTCAAAATAATATAAATAATGATTTTCTAAAAAGAATTATAGTTTACTGATTTATATAGTTTTTATTAATTATAGATTTTTATTTTTAAAGATTGTGAAAATAAGTAATTAATATTCTTGTTCTTGTTAAACTGCAATTATTAAACAATTTTAATTTATTGTGTAAATTAATGGCCTTACAATTTTTGCCTTATCGAATGAAAATTCATAAATTTTTATTAATTCTTCTTAATTTAAATAAAAAAGATATAAGATATCCTATATTTGATGTACTGCCAAAATTTAATGCAAATTAATTATTACTTTTTATATTTTTATTATTTGAAGATTTTTCATTACAAAATATTAATATTTTTGTTTAAAAAATGAAATAAATTGTTCATTATATTATAGAAAAATTATATCTCCTAAATAATAAAAGAAGATTTATTTTTCCTAATTTTCTTCTATTTTAGTTGATTTTATTTAATTTAGATAATCAAACATTTATTAAGATTATGATATGATTAACTAAGCTTAAATATCAATTAACATATAATTTTCTTTATTTTAAGTCATAATTAGAATGTATTATTCAAATTAAAGAATATTTAAAATATCTTATTTTAATTGTTTATTTAGTTATTTTATTTCATCAAATTAATATTGGATAAGTCTAATATCTTTACTATTTTTTCTTATTAAAATTATATTAGTTTTATAGAAAAATACTTATTATTCAAAAATAGTAAATTTGAATAAATGACCACTATCACAATGCTTAAAGATCAATATGTTTTCCCCTTTCATTAGAATAACATTAAATTCTTAAGAATGATAGATAATATTTAATTTCAATGATTCTAGATTGTTTTCATTTATCATAGTACATTTTTCATGAATTTGATATTAATCAGTAATATTTAAAATTTATGTTTTTGGATCATGTTATATTTAAATATAATATTGTTTTGGTAATTGTGTAGCATATTTTTACAATAATAGATTTTCAACACTTTAACAAATATTATCAAATATTAAACTATATATTCCATTAATATTTGATTAAATATTTTCAATATAATAACATTAAGATATAAAATAATTAATTCGATAATCAGCAATTTCATATAGATATTTTTTAGTTGGCTAAATGAAATTTTAATGTAATAAAAATTGAAATAGCAAAATTTAATTAGTGTTGTTATCTATTTAATAAAATAAGTTAAAAAATGGAGAGATATGTAATTTTATAAAATTAATTGGCAGGTATTAATAAAGTATATCATTATAACTTAATTCAAGTCCTTTCAATGTTTATAAAAACAGAATATTATTAAAATAATAACTGTCAAAATAATTACTATCGAATTCTTTTTTTATATTTTAAAATTCAAATATTACTTTACTATCAGATGATTATATAAAGGATATGGGTAAACATCTAGAATTAAATAAGATCTTTTCTAAATTTTCTTTTTTAATAAAATAATTATAGATAAGCAAATTATTTGATTTAATAGTTAGATGATGATATCCTATATCTGTTATTAGATATGTCAACTAGAATAGCTAATTTGATTATAAATAATAGGAACAAATTTGAAAATTTGAAATAAAAGAAATACTTACATTAAAATTATGTTGTGCAATTTCATTATTTAAAAATAAAGTAATTTAATTATTTTAGAAATTTAAAATGTCCCAAAAATAACATTAAAAATGTATTAAAAAATAATTATCATCTGAAATTTTAATGTATTTTCTTTTGCAATTCTTTTATTATATTTAATCTAATTAATAAACATTTATTATTTAAGTTATGCTTTATAAATTTATTGACTTAGCTCTTATTTGATTACTAAATAAGCAGAATACTAAAAATTATGAGTTATCATAAAACAATTCTTCACAATTTTCTTCAAAGTCAGTTTCTACTTTAAATTCAATATAAGTTAATTATTTCTATTAAAATGAATCTTTATCAATTAAAAGAATTTCTTAATTTATATCCACACAAAAGATACTATATCCATTTAATCTCTAAAGAAAACAAAAATATTTTCCTAATAATGGTAAATGAAAAATTTCACAGATAAGTGAAGAAATAATTACTCCATTCTAGATTTGAGGAATTGTTATTATCTATTTTGCTATTTACTACTCAATATGTTTTAATTGTAATTAATCATCAAAATCACTTTCTATAAAAATATTTTATGATTATTATGACAAAACCATTTCACCCAATTAAATTTAATGTCTTTAGCATTTTTGTGAATTAACTATTCTAATACTACTAAAACAAAGAATACGTAAAACTAAAATTGAAGTATACATAAAAAGTATTGTATTTTTTAATATTAATATTAATATGAATATTAGTTTAATTATTTATTATATCTATTAATTAGAAGAGATGCAGATTTGTAGAGAATACTATAATTAATGAAGTTAACAAAGATTAAATTATCTATTGGAAAATAAAGAAAATAATGATTTATTCATGGTCTTTATCAAATTTAATTGATAAATACCAATTTAATTTGATACTCATAAATAATAAATAAGAATAACGAAAATTGAAATTAAGAATATATTTATTTAAACTTAATTTTTTATTTATTTATATCACTTAAATTACTTGTTCTCATTTTCATCATCTGATACAAAGTTTCCTTTGCCATTTATTCGTTTCTATCTTTTCCAAATTCCAGTTTTTATACCATCAACATATTTTCCTTAATATCTCATCTACTCCATATTTAAAAATAAATAACTATTATACTCTTCAAATTAATCATCTAACTCCACCCATTCACCAGTTTTAATTCCATTTTCATCATAATATCCATTTCCACTATATCCAATTTCCATCCTTTTCTCCTATTTCATTATAATATCCTCCACCTTTGAAAAATAATGAATTCTTATTACATTTATGTTCCCTTTAATACTATATTCCACTTTTTAACCTTTTACCCTACCAAATACTCTCCATTAAGAATGACTTTATTCCCTCTATTAAATGGATAAAATTAAATACTCATGATAATTATCATGTAAATCAGACCATCTTCCATTTTTTAAGCCATTTTATGAATAAAGACCCTCACTCCTTAATAATTATGAAATAATAATACACTAATTAATTATTGTGGAAAAACTCCCACTTATCACATCTCTTATTATTAGAATACTTTCCCTTTTCAAATACTTAAGCTTTGCTAAAATATTAAATATCAAAATACTCCCAAAAATTTTAGCTTAATTCTATCCATTAAACATTCTTTATTCCTTTTAATTAATATAAGTCCCTCCAGCATCAATTTTTTCTTCCTTCCAAGTTGGATACCATTTGCCTTCCTTTTATGCACTCAAATTATATGAACCATGCCAAATTAAATGCCTGATCTATTCTAAATTTTTCATTATCTAAGGTTAGTCATTGTAGTCTTATATTTCATCACTTCAATTATAAATCTTTTCAAATACCATCTAAGTATTTCTTCATCTTGCATATATATCATTTCATTATTTTTTGTATATATTACTTACAATTAAGTTTCTTTCAGAGAACTATTTTTTTATTTCTATAACTTCCAAAGTACTAATATTTTAATAATTATATTTTTATTTAAGAGAATATAAAATATTTAATTGCTATGATAACTTTTGGTTAAAATCATTAACTTTATTCTGTAAGGTATCTTATATTTCACTTATATCTTTATAACATTTATCTCTATACTGAATCCAATTTTCTATTTTTTTTCTTAAAATATCAACTAAAGAGTTAATATTTTAATTAAACTAATTTGGTTTAAGGATATTAGAGTTCAAAAAATCAATATAATATTAATCTTATTAAGCTAAAATCTCAAATTATTTCTCTATTTCTTTATCAAAGGTTTCACATTAACTTATAAAATTCTATTTTTTTAATTCAATCTTTCTATTTTGTTCAGGTTTTAGATTCATTTTTAAATGCTCATATTTATTATTTATTCTCTAAAAGCTCCCAATTAAAAATTTATTCACACAAACGCGATTATTTAAGCATTAATCGCATAAACTTCTTTAGCATTTGTGGCGGGTAATACAAATATTTTTAATCTAGACATTTGGATGATTAATGCAAGTTATCATAATAAAAAAACAACTATTTCTATCAAAATCTAAATAAATAAATTGCTAATAAACATTGCAAATTAAACGATATGAAATCTCTCATAAAGAAATAAAGAATTTCATTAAGTAATTCTTATATAGACATTAACTAAAATACTTTTCATTTAGTTGATCCAAAATGACCTTCATATTATTATTTTTTGAAAAATAAACAGACTGATTGATTGAGTTACATACTACTTAATCTATTATAAATTATCATTAAGTTTAATAAATTAGAAAATTTATTTTAATTAAAACAATCCCTCAAGCAGGTATTCTCAATTATAATGTATTCTAATTGATTATAAAAAATCAAAGATATTATAATAATTAAGTTCTGCAATATAATATCACATAGAGATTAATTATATTCAATAAAAATCTTTTCCATATATATATTTAATTTAATTCTCTAATTAGAAAAATTTTTTATGATAATATATTTTTTAACTAGTGTCAATGAGTTTTAAATAAAATTAAGAATAATATTAATAAATTTTGAGGTAGATTTTTGAAATAACGGCTAAAAGTTACCTATATTTAGGTAAAGATTCAGAAAAATCATTTAAATAATCATGAATGAAAAATACTTTATAAAAAAAATTTTTTTATCAGATTAAAATATGTCANTTCTATTTTGTTCAGGTTTTAGATTCATTTTTAAATGCTCATATTTATTATTTATTCTCTAAAAGCTCCCAATTAAAAATTTATTCACACAAACGCGATTATTTAAGCATTAATCGCATAAACTTCTTTAGCATTTGTGGCGGGTAATACAAATATTTTTAATCTAGACATTTGGATGATTAATGCAAGTTATCATAATAAAAAAACAACTATTTCTATCAAAATCTAAATAAATAAATTGCTAATAAACATTGCAAATTAAACGATATGAAATCTCTCATAAAGAAATAAAGAATTTCATTAAGTAATTCTTATATAGACATTAACTAAAATACTTTTCATTTAGTTGATCCAAAATGACCTTCATATTATTATTTTTTGAAAAATAAACAGACTGATTGATTGAGTTACATACTACTTAATCTATTATAAATTATCATTAAGTTTAATAAATTAGAAAATTTATTTTAATTAAAACAATCCCTCAAGCAGGTATTCTCAATTATAATGTATTCTAATTGATTATAAAAAATCAAAGATATTATAATAATTAAGTTCTGCAATATAATATCACATAGAGATTAATTATATTCAATAAAAATCTTTTCCATATATATTTTTATTATTATTAATACTTTATAAATTTAATAAAAATGTAACAAATAAATCAACTTTAGATTAATAAATATTTAATTTTTATTATTACATATCCTTAATTTAATAAATCTAATAATAATTTACATTCTATTTGTTAAAAATAATTAATACAAATAAATTAGGAAATTAGGAATATAAAATAAATCTCTTATTTTGAAATTATTAATATCTGATTAACATTAATAGAAGATATTAAATTGATAAAGAGAATTTAATATAGTCAATTTATATGATCATAGAATACATAGTGTAATTATATTAATATTACAACTAAACTAATACTATAGATGAGTAGTGAAAGTGCATAATCAGAATAAAAAGTACTATTAATTACCTCAACCTTTTTCTTTTTAAATTAATTTATTTGCAAACAATTTATTTGCATTATTCTAAAGATTTTTAAGCCTATAAATTTGATATCTGTAGTAAGTAAAAGACAATTAAAAGTTTGTTAGAAGTAATTTTAGATGACTATTCTTAATTTATATATATTTTTAAGTTTACTTCAATATCAAATAGTATTTAATTATCGTGATATAAAATAAAAAATTCTTCAAAAAACACATCTTTTCTGAATTCAGAATACCTCCTAATCAATTACTTACCTGTTAGTTGAGATATATTTTGCAATTACTGTTAAACAAAATTAGAAATAATCTAAATAAACATCTGCTTTTTAAGAATTTTTATTAAACTAACCTATTAAATGAATCTCAATTAAATTAAATAAATAAAACATATGATTTTTGTTGTTGTAATTTTACAATCATTTTCATCTGTATATGCAAATAGTTGTTTAGATTATATTACACCAAAAGCAATATTAAGAAGAAACTATTAGGATGTAATGCAAACAACTAACGGAGGAATATTAATAACTGCTCGAAATAATATGTTTATTGTACCATAGGTTGATAATAGCCCTTTAAGAAATTCAATTTATTTTCCATATCATGGATAAGTGGGACATGTCGCTGTTCCCTTGCATGGCATTATTACTCTTGAGTTTATATAATCCTATTTAATAAACAGGATTAGGTTTTGGATGTACGATTATGATTTAAGAGTCACCCACATGCAAGTATTTGCAGTTGACGATGATGGAATTACAGAAACATTAATTTATTAAGGTTCAGTTCCACCTGGTGTAAAGATGGTTTAATTTCCTGAATTGTTAGTAAAAAAGTTAAAGTTTTACAATAAAGATGGAAATACCTTATACGAGCATATGTCCATAATAAAGGCATAAGCGTATTATGCTATCTGATTAATTCAAATTTATATCATTCTTTAGATAAAATAGTCATTATAGTTGAAAATATATTATATTTTAATGCATTCCAAAGCAAACCAGTTTATTAATTTATTTACATAATCTATATCAGTTTATTAAAAAACTAATTACTTTTTTTTTAAATGAAAATTTTATCCACAGTAAATTATGAAACCATCTATACATGTCTATCTTAAGCGGCAATTATTTCTAATTAAATAAGAATGCTTGAGTTTTTAATTCTTTCAATATTTTCAAAATATAATAGAATCAATTGAAAGAAAAAATAATATACAGATATGCAAAAAATTCCTTAAATTTTTAAGTAAAGATATAAAATTATCAAATCTTTACTCTTATTTAAAAAATGAAAAATCGTCTTATTAAAAGATGAAATTACTATTTTATTTAGATTCTTAAAGCTAATCGATTATAATATAAGGTTATCTTCTCAGATTAGTATATAAAAGTAATTTATTAGCAATATATTTTTTATAGAAAAAAATTATTTTTTTTATTACTAAGTGTCAAACTAGTGATATGATATTAATATTAATGATTCCCTAAAATTCCAAATCACGATTTTATTATGAAAATTAGATAGCATTGTAGTGGGGAGATAATTAAATATAATACATTAGTAGATATAGTTATTTTGATGAAAAGCAAAAAATCACCTATTGTTTTCATCTTATAATTTAGTATTACATTTTGACTTATTGTATATATTTAATATCAATCTAGTAGTCTTAATCAGTCTAAATTATTAATAAAATTAGATATATTCTCCAGAAATTTAATTTTATATTTTTAAATCTTTAATTCTTGAAAAAGTTTGTTTACAAATTGTTATAAAATATTCTCTTTGTCTTTATTATACTAATAAAATTTAAGAATGATACTAAAAAGAATTATTATCAATAACTTCAATGTAAATAAAACCTAATGATATTTTCCCTCTTTTTTCATAATGTCTTAATTAATGTCTTAATATCCATAATATTATTAATCAGAGAACTTCATCTCCTCTAAATGGTTAAGCAAATTTATCAAGAAATTGAAACCTTTTGAGGCTTTCAGTCTTAGAATTTATTAATTTATGTATTTGTAAGTTTTAAAGATATTTCAGCCATAAAATATAATAATAATTATTGATTTGTATTTTCTTAAGTATTTTGAATATCCTTGAACGTCTTAGAAATAGGAAAGAAGATTTAATGAATGATATAAAATATATTTAATCAATCGTCAAATATTAATATGCAATTAAAAAGTATATTGAATGAAAATAAGATTCAAATTTAATATTTTATAAATTGATATTACTAATAAAAATCTTTATATTATATTTTGAAATGATCAATTATTATCATATATTTTTACTATAAACTTATTTACTAAAATATATTTGAGATTCAAATTAAATATTTTTATATTAACAATGTAATAAACTCATTCAGACTTAACAATAATTTTAGGACATTGATTTGTAATTTCTAAATATTATTCTTTAATTCCTTTTTTGTATTTTTCTGAAAATTCTTCCCAACTTATGTATTCCTTACCTTATTTTCCAACAATAACAACTTCATCTCCTAATGAAACTTAGTTGTCTAATTCTTATTCAGTGATATCAACAACAAGCATATTCATAGAAGTTTTACCAATAATAGGGAATCTTTTTCCTCTAATTAAAACAAAATGGTTGTTAAGATAACCATATTAAGGGAATCCATAATCATAACCAACTCTAATGGTGGTTGTTTTGATTCTCTATCTGATCTTGTTTTTTAGATTCCATTGTAACCAATAGGGCTATTAGGTGGAACATCTCTTTATATAATAACAACAGTGGTTCTCCATTTATGGAAAATAGATTTAATTACTCCTCTAGGGTCTTAGAATTAATCTTTATCTTCTCCATAAGCAATAGATCCAGCTCTAACCATATCAAATTATATATATTTCTTTTTAACCAAAGCTGCTGAATTAGCAACATGTTTAATGATAGTTGGTTCTAATGTTAATTAAAATATAAAGTTTTAGAATATATCTACATAAGTTCTAGTGGCAATTTCATCATTTGGAGGAGCGTCATATTCTCTGACTAAATGTGTCATAATTCCTACCACTTTTAGATTAGTGATTTATTAGTAAGTTTGACTTCAATGACTTTTCTAAAATCCATTCTTCCCATGGCACTCTCAACTTTGATATGTATTTTGACAAAAATCTCTCTTCCAAGTTTAAGATAACTCAGTTATAATTTTGGAAAAATATTGAGCTTATTCTAATGATCCTCTTACTTCTTCAACATCCCAATTATTAATCATAGATTCAATCAATTCTTCTTTAGTAGCTGGTGCAATCCTAATTAATCTCACATGATTAATATTGTGTTCTTTAAACCATTTATTCATGATTCTAAATTCACAATTATCAATAGCACTTATATATTCAACTCCTGATTTAACAATTGAATCCATCATCACTTCAATTCCATATCCATAAGCATCAGCTTTCATAACAGCACAGATTTTGACTTAATCGCCTGTAGAGACTCTCAATTCTTTGATATTGTGAATATAAACTTCAGGGTCCATCTCAATTACACATACATCTGGAGCTACATAATTTTAATTCATTGATATTAATATAACAATATGTACATTATATATTAATTATTTAATATTAATGTCTTTAACTTTAAATTTAGGTTACGTTCCAACTGAAATAGCAAGCATAAAAGGAGATTTATAAATATTATATAAGACCTCATTTAATTTACTCGTAATGAATGGAAAATGGTTACAGGATATTAATACATTTAATTGTTCAATTAATCATTAAGTTCAATATAATACTTTTGCATAACATTATAAACCTGTTAAAGTAACTTATTCAAAGAAATATGATATCTACTTTATTTTGTTTGATGATTGGTAAATTTATATTCTTTCATCTAATCTAGTCTTTTTTAATAAAATATCTGTAATTACTTCATATCCAATTTCAATTTAATTTATAGATGAATCTATATCTTTGTATGTAGTTTAAGATAGCAAAATTGAATAAATCTTTATGGAAATCAAAAAAACTTCATTATAGATTAAAGTAATATTATTGAACAAATTATGTTTTACAAATTCAAATAAATATTTTATTGGATTCTAATTATAACATTCATTAATATTTCTATGGGAATAAACAACTTTAAAAGTTTATTCTTAAAATTATTAATTGATATCAGAAAAATTGAATATTACAAATTACAAAAATAGCATAACTTGCTTATTATATTTTCCAACTTTATATTATATTATTTGTGGTACAAAAGATGGTAAAATTTATACATGGACATTATATAATTAAAATCAACCAATCAATATTTTTGAACTTGAACATGGATCTAATGTTGATTAATTATAAAATGACAAAAATGATGAAAATATGTTTTGGGCATCTTCAAATAATGAAATATCCCTATATTCCATTTAAACATGGCAATGTTTATAAATATATAAAATAGGTCTTTAGTATAAAAATATATTTATAATCAATTAATATAGATTGTTTGCAAGTTTTCAATAAAGTTTTTATATCTTAAATAGATAATTAGAGTAACGTTTACTTTATCAACATAAATCTGATATTAGATGTTTAATAGAAGGTATTTCAGATCCTTAATTTTTATTTGATAATAATAGTCTAATTTAAATGTTAAATCCTAATAAATTTAATACTCATTATATAAAAACTAAATAAACCATTATACAAGCTCATTTTATTTAAGAAACTTATTATTTTTTAACTGAAACTAGTGACATTCTTAAATTTTAGGATGAAACTATTAATATTGTTATTAGTAGTGATCATTTACATAATAGTGAAGGAGCATTAGTGAAAAATAAAATTATCAATCTCAAATTTATTGAAATTGATTCTAATTTAATATATTTATTTGTTTATATCTAACAAGGACAAATACTTTTATTCAAACTACCTAATTTTAATAGAAGTATTTCTGAATTAAATTATAATAGATGTTCTATTAAACTTTCAACAATTTTTAAAGCATTAAATAATGATATATGCATATTAACAATTGATGAACATAATGTTTTTAAATTATTAAAAATGAAAGATAACAACATTTAATTATTAAAATAATTAAATTTCAAAATAGAAATTAAAAAATGGATTTCTTTATTAAATAATATTTTTATTTTAACTAATTAAGGTGAATTAAATATATTTAAATATCATAATGATGATTTTTAATAATAGATAATTGAAATTGAGGGAGATGAATATTATTATAATGATTTTTAAGTATATTTAGATCCAAAAATAATAATTGGAAGTTAAGCATAAATGTTAGTTTTAATGTCATTTAAAAAGATTATATTAAGATAAATTAATTTGGATTCTATATTATTAAATTATGGATATTTTAATAAAAATTTAATACTTTGTTTATAAAATGAATTAAGTGTTATTGAAGATTAAAGATTATAATTTACTCATAATTAATTAAAAGAAATCAATTCCAATAGAAAAATTATTGAATATTGTGGTTTTGAGATCTTTGAAAAAGGTAGAGATAAAATACATGTTTCACAAAAAGAGAAAAGTATTTAATTATAAAAAAATGACAGTATTCAGACCAAAAAGTAAATTAAAATTTAATCTAATACTATTAAAGTTATTACAACTTCTGAAAAATAACCTATATAAAAAAATTAACATATTACTCAATCATCATTTTATAATGCTAATGATTCTACTTAAAGAGGAAGAATTAAATCTAGAAATTAATAATATTAAGATAATTAATAAAATTAAAGTAATTTAAATATTACAGCAACACAATATCGACCTTGGACATAAAATAGCTTTAATAAAACAAAGTAACATATTTTACAACAGAGTTCATCAGTTGAAAGTAATTAATTTAAAGAGCTTGATGCTTTATATCAACCTGCTATACCTTTAATAAAATAAACAAGAAAAAATACATTAACTGAATAATTTATTGAAAGTCGTTTAAAAAAAAAGAAATTCAAAACAAGAAGAGATTTAACAATGAATAAAATAGTATAGAGAAATATTAAAATATTATCTTTTTGTTGACCTATTCAAATTACTTATTAGAATCAATATCTATGATATATATATAATTATTTCAAGTGATTTAATTAATTTTTAAATTCTTCATTATTTCTACATCTTGTTGATTTAATAATGAATATGTTTTTATAACTCTTTGGCAAGATTATTCATTCAATACATATCTATTGTTTATAATTGTTTAAATTTGATCAAACCTAAAATTAAAAAAAATTAATATACTTTTCAATAATTTTTTTAAATGAATTTGTATTTTCTAGATTAATAGATGAATATAGTACCATAAATGTAGTTCTTATAATGACTAGATACATGATAAGAATTCCATCTTTAGAGTACTCTTATTTTATTATATTTTTATATATTTTATTGTAAAGTTATTAAATTATTAAAGAAATTACTTTTTATGCTAAATTTGATACATACTATCTTTCTATCAGATTTGAATTTATAATTTAATTAATAGTAGAATTGGCTTTATAATAAAAGTTATTAAGTTTTTTGCCAAACTCATGTTGAGTTTAGAGAAATATAATCTAATGATTTTAATAGAAATTGACTTTTGTTATAGATTTGAAAAATTCAACTGTCTATTTATCTTCATATAAATATTCCTTGAATAATTTTTAAAATATTTCTTCTGAACATTGATTGGATAAGGGTTCTAAAAATTTAATTAATGTATTTTATTTGAGTTATTTTATTTATATTTTGTATTTTTTGAATTACTGTTTTAATGTTTTTAATCCAAGATAATAAGTCTACAAAAACTGGACCTATAATTTATCATAATTTACATACATAATCTTTACTGTCTATTTATTTAATAATTAAATAATATTGTTCACATAAATCCAAAAATTATTTAAAGATTAACGTATAAGTCTTTGAAATCTAATCAATCAGATTATTGTTAATTATCAAATTATATTTTGAATTTTAACTATTCCAAACAATTTAAAATTCTTCAACTAGATTAAGGAAAAGATGTATATTATTTTATTGAATTTTATTTTCATATTCATTAAAAATACTTTGATTAAATAGATTAATTTCCCATTCTAGTATTTTGCCAAAGATGTTATTTTCATCAAGTACAAGTAGTATTACTTCAAATATTTGATTACATTTCTGTTCAAAACAAATATACCAAAATTGTTCAATAGATTAACAAAAATTATCAAGTTCTTCTAAAAATAACAAAGCTAAATTAGGCTAATTTATAAACTCATCTTTGTCTCTTTTTATTCTCTAATTATTGTTAATAAATACCTTTATAATATTGTTAATTATATAATGTTTAATCATTAGTTAAGCAAATGTCTGGATTATTTCTTCTAATTCAAAATTTTAGTAATTTAATGTTTATTATTCATAATTACTATCAAGTTTAAAAAGTTATTTGATTGATTTATCAAAATTTTCATATAAATAATTAAAAAACCATGAACTATTATTAATATTTGAGGTAGCTTAAATTGAATCAATAAAATGATAATCAAAATTTTAATTAAGTCTAATGAAAATAGAAGACAAAAATGATGGTTCAATTTATGATATGTGTTTGATTAATTTTGAATAAATTGTCAATAAATGAATTTAGTTAAATTATAAAGGTTCTTATTCATTATTTAGATTAGGAAATCCTAAGGAATTTAAAGTATTAATAATTGTTTGTTCATATTTCATTGTAATCATTTAGATAATTTATTTTTTATTTTCAGCAATATATTATACAATATTTTAATCTTTATTTATGATTTCAATATTATTGGCAATCAAATTTTAGATTTAATCAATAAAGTGAATAATTTAATGAATATCTGATTATTCCAGAATTTATTAAGTTTATTTGAATTATTATTATAAGGCAACAGATACTTGAATTTGTTAACGGAAAGTGACAAATTAATTAGAATCTTGAATAAGCTGTAAATTTTAAAGAATAAGTTCTTTTGTTTATTAATCTTTAATATTATTGATTGATTATTAGAATAGTTGAGTTTATTGTTTGTGTTTCAATAAGGAATCACTTTCTTTTTGTAAGAGATATTTGATATTGGGATCGGTGATTTAAAGATTCCAGATCATTAAATAATTAGAATAAATAATTTAATAGATAGTATAAACACGTATAAATTAATAATAATCACATAAAATTGAGAATTTGATTAACATCTTTCTCGCTGTATATCAAAATATCAAAAGCCAATTTAAAATCAGCTTGAATTAACTAGGGTTTTAAGTATTTAAGAATTGCAATAGCAAATTTAATAATGAAATCATGCATATTACGATCATGTAACATTAGATCCCAAATTTAATAGATTTAATCTAGATAGAATTCACGTGTCATACAAGTGATAATCCATCTGTAACCATACATATATGGGTGAATACCAAGATTATGTAAATAATTGTATAATTTTGGTTCTTTTTATTGGAATTGTTTTTCAAATTTTAATAATAATCCTCTAATTCCAGTGTTAGTAAAATCAAGTGTAGAAATATATGCATCTTTAAGTTGAGCCATAATTTTAGTAAAACAAAAGAATGTGTCTGCTTCATTTTTGATGATTAAATACAATGGGGCTAGAAGATCACTCATTCCTTACATATATTTAATGGCTGGGTTAAGTTTACCATAAATATATAATATTCTAATAAGAATATCTGAATGAGTGGGAAATGTATTACTTTATTATTTTCTTCTTTTATATTAGTCAGTAAAGAAGTAATAAGAGAACTTGGCATTTGTTTGTTCTTTTAAGATTGATTAATTTGGTAAAGTTCGACTAAAAAGATAGTTTAATAAGATACGGAACGTCTTTTTCTATAAGTTCATATAGATGTTCATTTTGGATATATTCATTATAATCCATAGATGAATTGATAACTTGAGTCTTTATGTTCAAAAATTCACTAAAACTGAGGGAATTCTGATCAGAGTCTATATTGTTCAAAATATTGAAAATCTCTAAGTGTTCTGTTTTGATGAATTCATCTAAATAAGAATTGTAGAGTTGTTATTATTTTTTAAGGAATAGCAACTATTAAGCTTGATCTTATGGTAAATAATTTAGATATGTCATCCAAATAATTGCTCTTGGTGAATATTATTACATTTAAATAAAATATTAATAAAAATATGAATATCTAATCATTCTTTTTTTAATTTTTGTTTCTTATTTTTTTTATCTAATCTTGGATCTAAATTAGCTTGTTTAACTTTGGAATAAACTAAAAAATACTATTAGATTAAATACTAATATAAAATACAAAGGAGAAACAAAAAATAGCAATTCCTGCAAATAAATAATTAATTGGATCTTTCATTCCTTATTATTTTGATAGATAAAATTGATATTTATCTAATTAATCTTTATTATCAGTTTCAGAATCTTTGTTTTAACTCTTTTTACTCATTTCTGAAATTTTCTTTTTTAATTCTGCAAAAACACTTTATTATTAATTAGGTTATTGAATTGTATTAGTAATAGTATTCTTTTAAGTTACCCATTCTTCAAATCTCTAATTATTAATTATTAATAATAGATACTCTAATATATTTCATTAAAGTTTCATCATTTTTAGTAAATGTCCAATCAAAAGATGTACTATTAAATACATCAAAATTAAAATTTGGCAATTATTATTTGAATGATTTATAATTCTTTTTATCATCCTAAATAGATCTCATTACATTATTCAATTCTTCATCTGGAGCCTTTGAATAACATTCTTCTAACATAGTTGTCTAAATTTTATAAAAAATGGATTCTCTATTAATATTAGTTTAACTTTTTATAATTTCATTCACTTATTTCTATTCTTCAGATAATTCTTAAACTGATAAAACCCAACAAGCAGTTAATTTTGCTATTACTCTATTATAATAAATTAATTTACTTCTATCCTTCTGTTTCTATATCTTATTATAATTGCTATTACTATTATTATGATTCAGCTTCTACTTTTTAGATGTTTAGAGTAGTGGCATAAAGTTTAACAATTAATAGTAAGGCCATAATGTTAAACATATTTATACGTGTATAAATTATTATTAATGAATTAATTTAATTATTTTTAAATATGCACGAAGAGACAAACTCATTTACTAGTAGTGTCTTATCTGATAATCCAATGATGAGTGAATAAGATGCTTAAATAATAGTTCAAAGTTATAATTAAACTATTTGTATTTTTTATATAATAATAATAGAATCACTTGTTAAAGAGAATGATGTTTTATAAAAGAAATTGGATGAATATGTTTAAAATGAGAAAGAAGAGGAATAAAAGTTATTATAAACAAAACATTAATATGAAAAATAAATAGCAAGAATGGAATAATTAAAATAACAATAATTAGTGATAGATTAAGAAAGAGAATAGATATTTACTAGTCCAGTATTTGAATAATAAAAATAATTGGTTCCAAATGCAGTCAATTATTTATATGAGTTTTTACATTAAGATTAAAAATAACCTTCACATACAAATATTATTCATAATTAAGGAATGGATACTTAAAATTCATTAATGTAATTTGATGAAGATGTATCTCCTGGAATAGAATAAAATGATCCATAATTATTAAAAGATTTACATAAATAAAAAGAAGAACTAGGAAATTAAAAAAATTAACTCATTTCATAAATATTAGAATCAATATCCAAATATGCTGAATTACAATTATAAAAATGTTCTAAAAAAGAATGTTAATAATGTCATCTATTATATAATCCAAGAACAAATTATATAGTATTCAATTTATTTAAATATTTTTAGGATTCATGTTTATTTCATAGTGGTAAATTAAAATTTTATTCATGTAAAAAATGTGGTGCAGATGATTACTATACTTGTTGTAATAAATGTATTAGATGTAGTGAAGGATGTAAAACTAATTTCCATTAACCAAAACCATGATATAATATATTATTCAAATAATCGTATCATCCATTTTACCAGAAGATGAAAATCCTTTAGTTAATTTCTAATTTATTTAGCTCTCCATCTTTGATGAATTGTCAAGTTATATAAATATCCTTTTTTCATATATAGCTTTAAATAATGCTAATCCTGAAGATATTAATCCACATGCTATTATAATAATATTAATATTACTGGCAACAAAAACAGGATCTAAATATTAATATCCTGTCATTTTTAAAGATTTAGTAAGCATAAAGAATCTTAAAATTGATAAAATTAATTCTAAAATTTCAAATCTTCTCTTTCTTCTTAATTTAATTAGAGAATTTTATAATTTTTTTTATGTATCTTATGTCATTATTTTTGTCATCTCTTACAAAATCCTATTCTCTTTACTTATATAAATTTTAATTAATTTATACTTTTCTCTAAATATTATTAATATAATTAATCTCAACATATTGATTATTATTCTCATTTAAGAAAAGGAATTTTTCCTTTATTTCCATCTTGTTTCGATTTCTTTTTCCAATACTTTACTAATATTCTAACTTCAATAAATAATACCTTTATGCTAAAATTGCAATAATCCATAAAAAATTATCACTTACATAGTACATAAAACTTGAATAATGTCCAGAAATAGCTAATATTTTAAATAATAATGGTTTATTTTATTTAATCAACCTTTATATCCCTTTAATTTCATCTAAGAAAAATAACAGTCTAAATATCTTACGACTTTAGGAAATACTCTAAATATATAAGAATTCTTATTACATCTTTGAATTTTTCAGCAACTACATAACATTTTAATTCATTTTATGAAACCAATTATTAAACATATAGTAAATTTGAATGTTTTGTACAACTATGATAAAAATCAAATGAATATTGTAATAATGCCATAAATTTATCTCTACCTTTAGAAGTGCTTAAAAATTATGAAACATATCTAGATAAACTAGTAGCATTAAGTGCTAATCGTTTTGGAGCTTAATTCATATGATTCTTTAAATTTATGATACTTGTTGAATGTCTAATATGATTAGATTTCATGTTTTGTTATTATAAATTATGAATATTAAAATTATTAATAAATAAGATGTAAACTTTCGAATATAGTGATGAAGAGGCTTATCAAGATTCTATTAAAGAGAAATTAGATAAATTACATGATTTACCATTAAAATTTAAACATAAAACAGTTTGTCTAAGAAGTATTAGTGGAATTAAATCTCGTAAATCATAGACTTGTTTTAAATTGAGTAAAAGAATATAAGAATCAAGTTCTGAATCTTCTTGTGATGATTCTTCAGAAATATAACTATCAGAATTTGATATCTCAGATGAAAATAAAAAAGCCAATATTCTATGTTAATATAAGAATAGTTACTTTAATGAGAAAATCAAAATGTTTAATGAAATAAAATCTAAAAAATTTTGGTAAGGAAACTAAATTAGTAGAATTTAAATAAATAAAGATGATTAATCTGTTAAATTAAATAAATCTCCTTCTATTTAAAGATAATCATCACCTATATCTGAGAGTAATCATAATACATTAAGTTTTATTAAAAAGACTAAAGATATAGCAGATTATTCTTTTGATTAATCGTTTAAATAAGTAAATTCTCCATTAATGTTTTATCTAACAAATGTTCATTAAACTAGCATCAATAATAATAATAGTTCTAATGTTATTAATAATAGATCATGTTAATAATCATTAAATAATAGTCAATTTACTATTGATGTTCCATGTAATGAATCATTTGCTCATCAATCTTCAATTAAATTAAATGAAAAAGATATTTTAAATCAAATTATTGAAGCTGTTTTTAATAGAAACATATAATTATTAACTAAAATTGTATTATTATTGTAAAAGGAATATAGAACTGATTTATTGAATATGAAAGATCTTAATGGAAATACACCTCTTTTATTAGCTATAAAATTGTAATAATAATAAAATTAATTTTCCACTATTCGATTATTATTATCAAATGGTTCTGACCCTACTATTAAAGATACAAATGGATGGAGTCCAATTGAAGAAACTGTTGCTTAAAATGACTTATTGACTACATCATTATTATTTGATTACTTAGTTTCTAAGAAATTATTTGATATGTAATAGGAACGAAATTAAATTGATTAGGAACTATTGAAAATCAATGATTTCTATCTCGAAATGAAATGGGAATTCAAATCCAGCTTTATTCCTTTCATCTCAAAATTTACTCCTAATGATACTTTTAAAATATATAAGAGAGGTAATATAATTTATTAATTCAGGTTCATCTTTGAGATTAGATTCTACTTTTGCAGGAACAAAGAATTATAAAACTAAAAGAAGAGATCTAACAGTAATTTATAATCCATTAATGGGATCAGTTTAGAGAAAGGAAAATAGTTCAAATTGTAAATTTGTTACTATTTTAAATAGAAATAAAAAGATATATTATTATCCTATTGTAAGATTTTAAAATTAAATTAGCAAGAAATAGATCCTGAAGAAAAGAATTAAATTTTAATGGATTTATTAAATTGTGATAGTGTAAGTGGAGATATGAAAGTTATTGGATGTGAATTAATAAAAAGTAAGAATTTATTTGGAAATTATATCAGTTAAAAAATAAATAATTGGATTTGTTAAAAATATGAATTTAAAATACAAACTTCATAACATTTTAATAAGAAACATCAATAAAATTATTTTATGAATTTAGATTAATATTTAAATTAATCTATTGATTAAAATCCTACAAGTGCAAGATTTAATTTAGAATAAATAACAAGTCAAATAGTAGGAGATCAATTATTTATTAATTCTACTTCTATTAATTAAGATAATGTATAGAAAAAGAATAATAATTAAAATAATACAAAAAATGAAAATGATAAAAGTATTATATAAATTACACTTTTTTTAGAATCATCAGAATCTTGCTCAGTTTATATAAGTCAATCATTTCCATTAAATTTTTAGCAGTTTCTTCCTATAATAAAAATGCTATCTAATGGAAATGAATTTATATCATCTTTATAAACAGTACTATCAGATGAGACTGTTAAATAATTACTTAATGAAAAAGGATTTCCAGTAAGAATAGAAATTCCAATAAACTTTACTATTGATGCTGTTGTAACATTTTAAGCATATAAATAAATTGATAATGAAGATATTTAAATAAAAAAATTATTCTAGATTCCAGAAGAATACTAATTGGTTTCTAGAAAAGATGCAACTAAAGTTATGAAAAGAGGAAAAAAAAGATTATTTTTAGCTAATTTATTTTTATGATTTAATTATTATTATTATATTATATTATATTATATTTTTGATAAAATATTGAAAAATACTATTTAAATCAATGCTATAATTATTTGACAAAAAGAGCTAATTTATTATTCTCTAGATTTAAATCTAAAAATAATGTTTTTGATGCTTAAATATCTTTCCATAATTTATTTGTTACTTAATTTTTATATATACGATTCTATTATTTCAATTTAAATATTGTTGCCATAATCTTCCAATGAGCTTCAATTTACTTCATACATATTGGATAATTATATAAATATTCTAACCTCTTTTAAGTAATTATTGTTTTTAAGATCTTTTATATACTCATCATTAATAATGATATCTTTTTTGAACAACAATTTAAAAATGATTCTATACCTTCTATAATAGCTGCCTCTTCACCAGGATATAACCATCGAAACTTACCTGATTTATAAATTTAATTGAAATTTCTTTCTATTTTAAATCTTGAAGATTCTAAATACAATGATGTATCATCTGAAGTAACATATTTTTCTAATAACTTTTTAGGGATATTTTTGGTTATTTTTTCTGATTCCTCCCATTTAATATTATATTGATTACTTTCAGATACATATTCTTTAACCAAATTTATTTAATCTGCTAAGGAGATGTTTACTTAAGACACACATGAATGTAAAGTTGATTCATAATTGTTATTTGGCAAAGTTATTGTAGTATTTAAAGCATTATATTTTGCACTCTATTATGTACTTTACAATAATTCTATGTTTTTGATCTCAAATACATTATCTATATTTTCAGTTGTTTTCATTCTCTTATCTTAACAATTTACAAATAACAAAGCTGTTTTAGCTAGAGAATTGATATGGTATGTGTTTGATCGTTTCCTTTCTTGATTTTGATTACAAATTTGTTGATTTTTCTCTTTACTCTTAGACTTTGAACATAAACTAGTCTTCTTTGTCTTATTTAAAGATTTCATATCCCTTAATTATGATATTGTTAAATTCAACACTTGAGGTTATTCAAATGATTAACAAAGTTCTTCTGTTGATGACGAATATTTCTGTACACTATATTAATTCCTCAAAATTCTTGGTTTATTGATTATTTAATTCATTATGAAACTCTATGAATATTTTGGAGGACAATTAAGTGATGCATGTTAATTCTTTGTATAAAATTCAGGACATCTCAGTTAATCAATAAATATTTAATTACAATTCATTTTAATGAATAATAAAGAAGAACAACTTAATTTTTATTATGATGAATCTATGTGTCTAAAAGAATCAATCAATTCATAGCAATAATAAAATAAATAATGATAGATTTGAGTGATCTGTTTATTTAATAAAACAAAAATTATAGATCTTTACTTTAAATAATTGATTAAAGGGTTATAGTGTTAATCAGGAATTGCTTTGAGATTGAGTAAATCCAGAATAAGTACTCTAAATAAATTGTAAACAATTACCGTTGTAAAAAGTATAATTTCACACTTTAAAAAAAAAATAGTATTATTGAATATATCTCAAAAAAATAAAAATACACAATATTATATATCCGAACAATTAGGATTGGAAATTTCAGATAAGTTGGAAGTCAAAAAAAGAAACACAGACAATTTTTCATATAAGGATATGCATTCAAAGAAGATTTATGAACAAGATATAAGATAATGTCAGGAAACAAAATATTAAAAATTCCTGTTTTCTAATAGTTTTAACCAAAACAAAAATCCAATTATTGAGAAAATTTTATTAATTAGATAGTTATTATATGGTAGAAAATTTCTTTATTATTTGATTCATTTTTTTAAGAAAATTTATCAGTTTTAGGAAAAAAATTCAATTAAATCAATTTACATAAATAATCAATTTTAGTAGATTGATTTTATACAGTTTTTAAAGAAAATTCGATGTAATAACATTAGGTAAAATTTGAGACTACTATTTAGATTAAATTTTGCTATTTTATAAAATCTAGAATCAGATTATTGAAATTTAAATATGAAGTAAATTACAATCTTATATTAAGGATATTCTTATTTATATAAGATAAAAATAAATTAATTATATAAACAATCCATTGCATTATAGTGATTTCCTTTTATAGGTTTTTGGTCAATTATCCTTAATAATAAACATTTTAAGAGTACCTAATTACACAAAAGTAGTTTTTCATTTATTTAAAATATTTAATTAATTCTTTTTTTCCTATTATAATATAATTAAATAATTAAATAATGAAAACTTGGTTTTAATACGGAATAAAATATTTATAGAAATATATAATTTTTATTTAATTCTGCCTTATGGTTTTATTAGATTTATTATTTAAATCATTTCCACTCTTAGTTTAAAAATATTATAATAATACAGGTTTATAATATCTATTGTCTTATCACAATACTTTTCTAGTTTCTTTAATATGTATTTGAATTGCTCAAATTAGAAATATTTAAACAATATTTTCAAGACAATATATATGTTTGAGGAATTTAATTGTAGAAAATGTATATTACTTATTTCCAACCTTAATACCTAGACTGATGATAGTTTTAATTTTGGATAGAGATCATATTATCATTTTAAATAAAAATTAAAGGGTCTGATTGTAATTATGAAGTTAAAAAATGGAAAATCATAGATCATTAATCATAGAAAAGATTAAAATATTATCAATGATGATTTTTTTTAATTTTTTTCTTATGTATTTAAGTAACTTCCCTATTCTTAGACTCATTTTCTATAATTTCTGTGTCTTTTGTATTAGTATCATTATTAAGTTCTGTTTTCTCTTAATTTCCATTGATGAAATTCCTTATCATATAAAATAAGCTAATTTATCTTTCCATTTAAGCTTGGATTTAGTCATATCGACACCGAAGATCAGGATTAGAAAGTATTCGATATGCCTCTAAAATCATTCTAAATTGTGTTGATTGAGGATTTTTATCCTCAACATATTTTGATAATTTACTGGATGATGTTATTTTGCAAGGTCCCTGTATGCTTATTTTATTTGTGCATGACTCGAGTTATTTGAAATACCAAGAATATTGTAATAATTCATATATTAATTGTGTAAATGTTTATTAGCTGCCAATTAAAATAAAATTAGAATTGTTTCGAACATTCTAAAAGTTTTTATTGCCATTCATTAAATAACCTTATTTTCTTATTCTTTTATCAAAATACTAAAAATTCATATTGTGAACTCTAATTCACATCACTATTTTTATTCATAATCATTAATATTCATAATATATTAAAAATATCAAAAAATATTGGCCATTCTATTGGGATTTGCATTCCTAACTATTTATAAATAATTCAATTAATTCAAACAAAATACATTTTAAACATGACAATATTTTCTTTTAATATTGAATAAATTTAAATAAACTTAATATTAAAGATGCTTAATGCAGAATTATAATTCATTATGTAGTAAATCCTATTAATTATTTTCTATTTGATGATTTATTTTATTTTAAAAAGGTACNCCTTATGGTTTTATTAGATTTATTATTTAAATCATTTCCACTCTTAGTTTAAAAATATTATAATAATACAGGTTTATAATATCTATTGTCTTATCACAATACTTTTCTAGTTTCTTTAATATGTATTTGAATTGCTCAAATTAGAAATATTTAAACAATATTTTCAAGACAATATATATGTTTGAGGAATTTAATTGTAGAAAATGTATATTACTTATTTCCAACCTTAATACCTAGACTGATGATAGTTTTAATTTTGGATAGAGATCATATTATCATTTTAAATAAAAATTAAAGGGTCTGATTGTAATTATGAAGTTAAAAAATGGAAAATCATAGATCATTAATCATAGAAAAGATTAAAATATTATCAATGATGATTTTTTTTAATTTTTTTCTTATGTATTTAAGTAACTTCCCTATTCTTAGACTCATTTTCTATAATTTCTGTGTCTTTTGTATTAGTATCATTATTAAGTTCTGTTTTCTCTTAATTTCCATTGATGAAATTCCTTATCATATAAAATAAGCTAATTTATCTTTCCATTTAAGCTTGGATTTAGTCATATCGACACCGAAGATCAGGATTAGAAAGTATTCGATATGCCTCTAAAATCATTCTAAATTGTGTTGATTGAGGATTTTTATCCTCAACATATTTTGATAATTTACTGGATGATGTTATTTTGCAAGGTCCCTGTATGCTTATTTTATTTGTGCATGACTCGAGTTATTTGAAATACCAAGAATATTGTAATAATTCATATATTAATTGTGTAAATGTTTATTAGCTGCCAATTAAAATAAAATTAGAATTGTTTCGAACATTCTAAAAGTTTTTATTGCCATTCATTAAATAACCTTATTTTCTTATTCTTTTATCAAAATACTAAAAATTCATATTGTGAACTCTAATTCACATCACTATTTTTATTCATAATCATTAATATTCATAATATATTAAAAATATCAAAAAATATTGGCCATTCTATTGGGATTTGCATTCCTAACTATTTATAAATAATTCAATTAATTCAAACAAAATACATTTTAAACATGACAATATTTTCTTTTAATATTGAATAAATTTAAATAAACTTAATATTAAAGATGCTTAATGCAGAATTATAATTCATTATGTAGTAAATCCTATTAATTATTTTCTATTTGATGATTTATTTTATTTTAAAAAGGTACTATTATTAACTATTTTTCTAATTTTTTTAAAAGTACAATTCTATTTTTTCATTAATACGGTACTTCGAAAAACTTCAAAAGAATTCCGAAAACTAACTAATTAGTATAAAAATATTAAGTATTAGGTTTACTATTAAAGTTAAATATTTACTTGATATTGTTTTAAAGAAAAAAATTGTTTGAAATATTTATCTTTGCTAAGTAACAATAATTGTAAGAGAATAAAAATACCTATTATTTAATAAGTAAATTAATTACTTTCAAAGTTAATAGAATAAAAAATCCACTTAATATTTAATAGCTATTAAATGATTATATTATTTTTCCCTTTTAGTATTTAATATTTAATATATATCTCCAAATTTAGAAATTTTATATAATTTTTAGTAAATTTTCAATACTTATAATTTTAATAAAGGCAATAAAATGCTCTAGCAGCTTTAATATTACTCTAAACTTTTTTTTATTTAATATCAATTGAAGAATTAAGAAATCAAAAATCAAAAATTCGTACATATAAAAACCATTAAATAGATGTCAGGTGGATCAAATAATCTAAATAAGGGATTACTTATATTATATTGATAGTTATTTACTTATTTTTATATTTAATAAATATATATATTTGTATTTATTTATTAATAGTTTTTTATTAATGCTAAAAGAGAAACTGTAAGAAGTAAAGGATTAAAATACAAATTTATATGAACATTTGAATAATGTATTAACTAAAATATTATTGGATAATCCAAAAGTATGAATTCATTATGATTTATATAGAATGCATTTGAATTATTTGAAGATTATTCATTTTAAGTAAAATCAAATGGTTTTAAATTTGAAAAATATAATGAATTTGATAATGCAGAAAGATCAAAAATAAATATGGATTAAAGTATATAATAAAAGACATTGAAACTTATAAATAAAATTAATCTTGGAACTGATGAAGAACCATAAGAAGCAACTTAAACTGGATATTTACCTAATTTAATAGAAGAATCTTATTTATATGAATGGGCTGGTATTGGAATTGATGAAAATTATAAAATATTTAAAGCATTAACTGTAATCTATTTATTATATATAATTAGCTATTATCTGTTACTAAATAAGCATCAAAATTAAGATTTTGGGGTAAAATAATGGGTAGATAAAAGGATTATTATATTGCTGAAGGAATTGCTACTAGTTAAGTTGAAGATGGTGAATTACCACCTGAAGTTGAACCTAGAGGAACTGGAATTAATACTAAATCTTATTGGGCATGCAATGATTTATTAAATGATAAAGATTGGATTGAATTACCTTTAATTACACCTTAATAAATTAATACTTCTAGATTAATTAAATATATGTTTACAGGTAATTTAGAATCTGATGTTATTACTAATCCTTATTTCTTTGGAAAAGAAAAACATTTATTAAAAGCATAAATTGTTAGAATTACATAATCTACTGTTATTATTCCAAAAGGTTAATATATTTTAAGAGAAGGTGAACCAAGAGAAATAGATCCAACACCTGAATATAAATTACCAGGATTTCATGATTTAAAAACATTAAATGATTGGATGCATTTCAATTAAAATATATTAAATGTATATTATATATATATTAATATTATTAGTGTGGTAGATTAGTACATTTAATACCATCTGAATTACCTGAAGGTATTGAACCAGAAGTTTATTAAAAATAAATAGAAAATGCAGATCCTTTTGAAAATAGATTAAAACCAATATCAAATGATAAAAATGCTTGGAAAATAAGAATTGTAGGAGATACAACAGATTATAATCCTTTATCTAAAGATACTAATAATAAAGTTAATAATGGTGTTATTATTATTAAATCTTTAGTTTGGCCAGGATTAGTAACAGTATATTCTGTAATAATTTATTTAATTTATAATAGAATAAAGTATTATCATAATTATATTATGGTTATGGATATAAAGCAACAAATAATCATTTCTATCCTAAATAACCATAATAAGTTTAATCTGAATAACCAGATCTTCCTGAATAATCAGAACCTAATTTCCCAGCAGAAATCCCTTAACAACAATAAGATTGATCATTATTATTATTAAATTATCGAATAATAGCATAACACTTAATTTTTTTGATTCTTATTAGTAAAAAAACTGGAGAATTTATCAATCAAATTTTAGTGTTATTAATAAAATAGGAAAAACAAAATAAATGTCAAGACTAAGGTGAGTAAATTCAAAAAATTATTGTTTAACACCATGATTGAAAGATAATCACCATCACTGTTATTTGAGTGTTAAGATATGAATTTACCTAATTATTATATTCTATTTTTTCATTTACAAAAAAGAGATTATTATGAAAATTCTCAATAAAAAAATAAAGTAAATTCAAAATCAAATTAATAATAAGATAAACAAATTTAATCTATAAATAATTTTCACTATTAAAATTCAGTAAATTTATCAACTTGTAAAGCATTTTTAATTTGATTGCTAAATTCATTTGTGAAATTTAATTATCCTCCTTTAGTTTTGTAATCAAATTTTTTTTGTAAAACTTTATTTTCAGCTTCGATTTCTCTAATTATAATTATAATTATTTTAATAATAAAGGTTATCATTATTCAATATTCTTTTCTTTTATGATATAACTCTGATTACTTTTTAAATTATATTATCTTAATTAATATTTATTATAAGCCTCATTCATCTCATGTTTTATTTTTCTAATATTCTGCATTTATATTTAAAAAGACTTTATTTTAGTTAGCTTATTTGCTGAAATGCTAAGTATACTAAAAATTCTCTGTTGATTTTACAAACAATAATTCTTATTTTCCATATAGTATTTATAGTCTTTAATTGCTTAATTATAGCCTTACTTCTTTCAAATTCTTGTTATATTATTAATATTTCTAAATCATTTTTACAATTACAAAATTACTATCATTCTAAGTGAATGATATAGTTTATTATTTATAATTTATCACTTTGAATAATGTCCTAAATCTTTTTACACATTTTAATATTGATGTTCAATCTTTAAATTATTTATCTTCAGGCATTCTAATTAAGTTTGAAACTTATTTTAAAATATAAAATATACTTACTTATAATTTTGGTATTCTAGATCATTAAATAAACTATTAAATTTAGCCTGCCTTGACATAAGTAGTTATTTATTAAGTTTATAATTATTTTTATATATGTCATTATTACTCATCATTAGCTTTTTTAATAGGTCTATCAATATACATGAAAGGATTGTATTTATCTTTTGTCATTAATGCCAAACAAGTTGAAACAATGTCTGGTTTATTTATGATGTGCTATAGAGGTGTAACCAAATTAATTGATGAGATTTTTTTGCCCAAAATGTATAATTCTCCATCTTGAATGAAATTCTTTTTTGAAATTAATGGTGCCTCTTCATCAACAATACTCAAACTTTCAAATTTTCTTTTTAAAATAGTTAAATCACCCATTTATACTTATATTAATATATTTATTAAAATTTAGTAAAGCTATTCAAAGTCTCTAGTTGTTAAAAGAGAATAAAAAATTTCCATTATTTAGTATTCAAATATTTCAAGTATAATCTTTTATAGTCTAAATTTTAAGTAATAAACTTCTTTNAATAAGATTGATCATTATTATTATTAAATTATCGAATAATAGCATAACACTTAATTTTATATATTTGATAAAACAACAGATTAGAAATATAAATAACTAATCAATATCATTATGGCAGAATTGATGCTTAAAGGCATGTTTCAAATTTCATCAAGGGTGTAAGGGTCTAGATAATATAGGGTAATTTAAAAGCATTATGTGATTCTTATAACTTTCATGTTTTAAGATTGACTTTATTTTAAAGGTGGCAATGTTATTGTGTTTGTCCAATTTGTGTGAAATAAATTATGTTATAATATTATTTATAAGTAGAGAAATAATGAATAAAAAGTAGTAGAGGATAAAAAAAGATTATTTTATTAAGAAATAAGTTAACATGTATATATTTCTCAGATAAATTCTAAACCTTTTAAGAACAAAGAATACTGAAATTGAAAAAGTAATACATTTACTTGATATCAATTGTATGAAAAATTTAATAGAAATTATCTCCAAATAAATAGAAAAAGAGCTGAATTCATATTAAATATTCAAAGTTTCTAGCTTCTCCACTTATTTAATGAGTCATTTTAAGAAACCTTGAAATAAAAAGAATTTGATGGCATTTGCATAAAAAAGTCAAGAGATTTATTAGTTGTTTGAAAAATAGATATATAACTTTCTATTTTACTTTACTAATAATTTTAGTTCAAAAGTAGTTCTACCCAAAAAATCATTCTGTCAAACTAAATAATCAATAATTAAAAAAATGAATAAATATTGATTAATAAATTTTAATTTATCTATTACAGTTATTTATATCAAGAATTGTAGAATTATTAATTTTGGAAACATGATAGTAATTTTCAAAAATTTAGATTAAGTGAATTTGAAGTATAAATTATCAATACTTATTAAAGAAATTCATAAATGATCTTTTTGTAAAAAATTAAATTATAAATTAAATGAAAGTGACATCAAAGATAGCTTTTTCAATTAATTAAATTGATATTAGAGAAACTCAAATAGAAAAGCATTAAAGATTCTTCAATTTATACAATATACTTGGTAGCGATTTGGATTTAAATTATACACCTATGATCTTTATTATAAAGAATATATAATTGTAAATTTAAAATATACTTTCAAATTATTTTCATTTGTTTTAGTGAGTGTTTATTTTTATATATAAATCATATAATTAATATATATTTCATAATCCTATCAACTTATCTATGCTTATTAACTGAAAGAGTTTAGTAATCAGAAAAATTATGTTTGATTGAAAATTCTTATATATTCTTCTTTTGTCTAGAACAAATAGAATTTTACTTTATTATCCAAATTTTTAGAGTTCAACAATGAAGCTAAACTTAATATTATAAAAGAAGGTTTTCTTGGATTTTTAGTAATTTAATATAATTGAAATTTATTTATGACTCATCCAATAGTAAATATGATATAAACTTAGGGTTAAAAATGTAAAAACATATGCCATGCTATAGACTTATATGGTGTAAATCCAAATTTATTGATTTTTGGTAATCAAAAGTATTCAAGTCTTCTTGGAAGTCTCCTTACAATAATTGCTTCAGCATTGACTTTTGGATACTTATTGTAATAGGTCTAAGAATTAGTTTAGAAGTAGCTACCTTAAACAATTTTATCAGAACACTTAGTAACAGAAACTTCTGTATGTATATATAATAAAATATAGCCATTTGCATTTGAAAATCATAATTTTACACTAACAATATCTGTTGCTAATATGGAATAGAATCCTTTGAAGACTATTGATAAATATTTTACTATTAAAGTTGAAAATTGTATAAGAACAAGATAATTTAATACTACAACAAATAAAATTGATGTTGTTAATACGTATGTTTAAAAGTTATAAAACTAGATGTATTACTTATCCAACGGAAGCTTGCACACCTGACCATTTTATTACGGATCTCTAAAAAGAATATTTTAGTAAAATAAGATTAGGGACTGTATAATGTATTAAAAAGGATTTTTTAGAAAATAAACCCCCTGTAATGATATATCAGATATGTAGGTACTATAAGGGATTGTTTCAGGAAATATCTACTCCTACATTACTATTAAATTTTCAGCATGTAAGAATAGTACAGAGAAACATGATTGTGCTTCAAGAGATGAGATTAATTAAGAGTTAATTAATGGTTATTATGTAGTTCATATGAGTGATTCTTTGATTTAAATGAGTAATCCTAAAAGCATTCAATAAAATTTCATAAAAATGCAATTTACATAATTCTCAATTACATCATCTAAAACTATATACTAAGGATTTAGGATTATTTAATCAATGACTGATGATGGAGTATTGACTAATAATGTTGTAGAAGATTCATTTTTGGTTTAATAGTATTATTAAGAATCAAATTCAGGCTATAATGAAGATTATTTAATCTTTCATAGTCTGATACTTGATAATAAATATACAAATTATTAAAGATCCTACATTAAATTATTGACTATCTTAAGTAAGATTGGAGGTTTATGGTAATTAATATTTATAACCTTTGGGATTATATCTAAACCATTTATTTTAACTGAAATGAAAATCAATTTAGCAAATAAATTATTTAGATTTTAGTAAGAGGAAAATGATCTTACTTAAAGTATAAAGAAAGAGGGTAGTATGAAATAGAATTTAGAAAAATATTTGTAAAAATCATAATAACAATTGCCAAATACAATATCAAATATTCTACTATTTTTATTTGGATGCAACAAGGCAAAAATAAAATAATTGAATTAAGCAAATAAGAAAATTTAAGAAAATTTAGATATAGTTGAAATAATGAGAAGATTTTAGGAATTTGATAATTTCAAATAAATAATTTTGACAGTTAATTAGAGAATTTTATTTGATCTTATTCCGATACCATTAATAACTAGTTTTCATTAAAATCAAATTGATTCAGATTAATTCAAAAGTAATAAGATAGATTAATATAGATTAACATCATTCAAAAGATAATTTTGAAAGATTTGTTGAAGCTTATAAATCATTTTTTTTAATTCGTGATATGACTGAGATCCCTGAAAATATTGGATAAAAATTAATTAAATTTTTAGATTAAGACATGATTAAACTATTTTATGAATATCATTTAGATTCTGAATAAAGATAGGTATTCTAATTATAATCAGAAGAGAGAAAATCTAAAATTATAGTTGATAGAAATTATCTAGATTCTGAGTCAAAATTAAGTCTCTCTCCATGTAATTCAAAGAGTTAAGAAGTTCAAGCTGTTAAAATTTTTCTTAATAATTAATAAATTAAAAGAAAATTTGAAAATTTATAAGTTTGATAAATTCATTCTATATTGAATGTATTTCCAATATTTATTACTAAAATATATATACTTTGAAATACTCTTTAATTTTTCTATTAGTTTAAATTTACAATTAAATTTTTGATTCATTAAAAGATATTTTAACAACATAAATAATTCGATAATTAATTATATATATATATAGTAAGCTTGAGATAAATGTTTGATACTTTTTTCATGAAACAAAATGAAATTATTAGATATCAGAAGTGTCGAATTCAAATATAGTATAAATTTCTATAAAATTTTATTATTTTAATTAAAAATCTACATAAAATAATCCATTCCTTCTNTGAAGATTATTTAATCTTTCATAGTCTGATACTTGATAATAAATATACAAATTATTAAAGATCCTACATTAAATTATTGACTATCTTAAGTAAGATTGGAGGTTTATGGTAATTAATATTTATAACCTTTGGGATTATATCTAAACCATTTATTTTAACTGAAATGAAAATCAATTTAGCAAATAAATTATTTAGATTTTAGTAAGAGGAAAATGATCTTACTTAAAGTATAAAGAAAGAGGGTAGTATGAAATAGAATTTAGAAAAATATTTGTAAAAATCATAATAACAATTGCCAAATACAATATCAAATATTCTACTATTTTTATTTGGATGCAACAAGGCAAAAATAAAATAATTGAATTAAGCAAATAAGAAAATTTAAGAAAATTTAGATATAGTTGAAATAATGAGAAGATTTTAGGAATTTGATAATTTCAAATAAATAATTTTGACAGTTAATTAGAGAATTTTATTTGATCTTATTCCGATACCATTAATAACTAGTTTTCATTAAAATCAAATTGATTCAGATTAATTCAAAAGTAATAAGATAGATTAATATAGATTAACATCATTCAAAAGATAATTTTGAAAGATTTGTTGAAGCTTATAAATCATTTTTTTTAATTCGTGATATGACTGAGATCCCTGAAAATATTGGATAAAAATTAATTAAATTTTTAGATTAAGACATGATTAAACTATTTTATGAATATCATTTAGATTCTGAATAAAGATAGGTATTCTAATTATAATCAGAAGAGAGAAAATCTAAAATTATAGTTGATAGAAATTATCTAGATTCTGAGTCAAAATTAAGTCTCTCTCCATGTAATTCAAAGAGTTAAGAAGTTCAAGCTGTTAAAATTTTTCTTAATAATTAATAAATTAAAAGAAAATTTGAAAATTTATAAGTTTGATAAATTCATTCTATATTGAATGTATTTCCAATATTTATTACTAAAATATATATACTTTGAAATACTCTTTAATTTTTCTATTAGTTTAAATTTACAATTAAATTTTTGATTCATTAAAAGATATTTTAACAACATAAATAATTCGATAATTAATTATATATATATATAGTAAGCTTGAGATAAATGTTTGATACTTTTTTCATGAAACAAAATGAAATTATTAGATATCAGAAGTGTCGAATTCAAATATAGTATAAATTTCTATAAAATTTTATTATTTTAATTAAAAATCTACATAAAATAATCCATTCCTTCTTTTTAATGTCTCCATTAGGCTATGCACCAGTTCAAGGAATATTTCATTAGCTTTTGAAAACCATTTTCAGATTTTCTTTTAAAAAGCAGAATCTAGTTCTACATCTTCAAGTTCCATCCTTTTATTCAATATATTTCTCCAACTTCTAATAGTAGTCAAATAATGATGGATCGTTAGTTGAAAAGGGAGTTTTAAAATCAAATTTACTTATACAGAGTCTCGGAACTTAGAAGAGACATTTTTAGGTAATCCCAGTAGCACTTAAAAAGATAACCTTCTAATTTTTTCTTATATCTTTTAAATTTATTTAGTTTATATATATTATATTGGTGATAAATATTAAAAATGTGACCTAAAGTACATATTCCATAATGATGTCATATTTTTAAAAAGGTAGCAATCTATTCAATTGCCTGAACTGTTTATTTAAGTGATTATTGTTTTCACTTGTGATAATTATTTATTAATTCATTCTCTAACATCTAAAAAAATCCTAAGTATTTTAAATATTTATCTTTTCTAAATAGTTTGTAAGGGCTAAAAGGCTTGGATGATTTATTTAGAAATCTAATTATTTAGATTAACCTTGAAATTATAGGTTTCTACCTTTTTAATAAAAAAGATCTAAAGTTATTTTCTTATTCCTTTTTAAAAGTCTTCAAGTATTTTCTTATTTAATAGAATCATATATAAAAGAGATTTATAAATCCATCCTATTTAAAAACAAATTTATTCAGAGATAATTCCTTTGTATATTTGTTACAGAAATTTAAGTACTTAAAAAGCTGCAATTAATTTGATAAAATACAGAATTTGTAGAAGTTGATCTATAATAGGTAACTAAGGATGAGCTTTATTCAAAAGTACAAGTCGAATAGTGTAAATATATTGAAATTTCCAGATCTTACAGAATTTCAATTTTAATTTCCTATCATTTTATATTAAAAATGTTAACTAGAATAGTTCAGTTAAATTTAAAATAATATTATTTTGTTATTTCGAACCAATTTAATTTTTCTTCATCATATTCAGTTTTAGAAAATTCTTATCTTGAAATATAAATACAAAGTTTTTGATTTTCCTATTAAGATTAATAGTGATCATAATTACTTCAAATCATTCTTTTTGGGATATGTTTTCTAAAGGTGTTTGAATTACTTAGGTTTAACAGTTTTTTTAACGCTGACAGCTCATTTTTATCAGTTTTTGATAATTTTTGTCAATTCCCTTTATTAATTCCCAGGCATTGGAATCGTCATTGGTTCTTAAATTATTTAATAGCTTTTCACAAGGCTTATTTAAATTCCAATTTTTATTTCTTCTTTTATGAAACAAATACTTAATATTCTGATGCAATTATGGACTATGTTTATTTTGACAATATTTCCTTTTATTAATAATCCTTCTCAATTAGCTTCTAAAAAAGGAATAAATTAATTGGAATCACAATGTGATAAATCAATACTTTCATCAGTATCGTCTTCTACAAATTAATAAATATATGAAAAAATTTAATTAATTATCTTTTAATGAATAATCTGTAGAAAACCAAAAAAAATTCTAACACTCAATGGATAGAATTATTTACAACAATTAAGAAGACTAGAAAATCTGTTGATTTTTTTTTCTATAAGTAAATTAAATTTACAAAATTGACTGAAAAAGTTAAGAAAAGAAAAATAACCGAATATTTAGGTATAATCACTTGTCTTACAAAAACAATCATTAGAAATACCTAAAGAAAATTATAATAACAACTAAGCAAAGTATATTGCTTACTGATAAAGGCACTAAAATTGTAATAAAAATGACTTTGATTTTTTTTACCATAGTATTGTCAACCTTTGCAGATTATAAAGTTATAAGCTTTATGTAAACCATTATCTTAAGAAAAGTGCAATTATAATTGAATGTAGCAAAAAGTTCAACATAGTTCTTTTTAGCACTAATAAATTTTTAAGACATTTCCATAATAGTTTTAATATTTAACTAATAATCTATTAATTGAAATAACTCCTTCATAATCTTAATATTAAATATTTAATTCCTTCCTTAAAACCTTTTCAATTTTTCAATAAGGATAAAAATTCTTAAGTTATTCAAATAAAACATATTTTCTTGTTCTTTAGGCACAATTTCAAAACAAAACCATAAATAATATCATTGCATAGGTTCTTTAAAATAGAATTAATATAGAATAAGTAGATTCAATTGTATTTTGACTAGTATTGGGTAGGATAATTTTGTACATATTCGGTAATAGAATGATCTGGCAAGACTATCATTTTTTAATCACTTCTACAAAATTCTTGCTTAAGTGCTTCTAAACATTACTAAAGTGAAAACCTTATTTTACTTGTAGTAATTCTTGTCTGCATAAATGTAATTTGATGGAAAATCTACAAAATCAAGTACCTCACATTTTTACACTACCATATAGGCCAGATATGAACGGAATCGAATACTAATTTTATTGGATTAAACAAATAATAATTAAGCAGTAGCCCTTCTTATATAGCAGGTTTTAAACATCTGTTCTTTAAGCGTTAAGTTAAACTAATGATTCACTTTTAGAAGTTTGATGGAAGAATATATTTATAAGCCAATGAGAGATGCTCATAAAATTATCTTGACTCAATCTTAAAAAGAAATTTAATCATTTATTATGAAAATTGTTCAAAAGAAAATATTGAAAATAATCTTTGTCCTATTTCAATCAATCACTAATAGATTTCTGAAATTAATATTATAGAAATCAATCAACAAATATTATTCAAAATCTAAAATTTTGTTAAATATGATAATTTAGAATAATCAAATATTCTCATTTATAAATGAAGAATGCTAAAGAAAAAAAGAAATTTTTTGTTTTTTCTAGTGTAAAAATATGAATGTTTATACAAATTTTATTATGAGTGAAATTGGTTTATATAGATATGAAATAAATTTAATTTGAAATATTTAATTAATGAGTTAGTATATTAAATTATGATTATGAAATAAGTAATGTATATTTATAATTTAATTTTTGTAGAGTCGTAGTTGAAATAAAATTAAATGAAATAAAATAATAAATTATATATAATATATATAATGTCTTACAAATTCATTTTAAGCAATAAGAATCAGTATTCAAAAGATCGCAATGTTAATATCGATTATAGTCCTGTTTTTAATATGTATAAGGAATAAATATTGATTTAGTTAGTTGTAATAAAAATTGAATATTTTTCCAATTTTTAATGATGATCATTAGGCCACAACTCCTGGATTTATTATTGAATATGAGAAAGTATAAATAATTTATAGATAAATTTAGCCTGCGTATGAAAGCAATTTAAACTATCATTAACAATTATTTAATCAAAAAATTGAATAAATAAAAATAAAAAATAAATAATTGGTATAATTTATAATGAGTATCTTAGCTGATTCCAAAGCCAAAACATAGAATTTAGATTTGCTCTGTTTGTAAGACTAAATATACAGATTACTTAACAGTATTAATAAAGAAATTAAATTAATTAGCATACTTAATCAAATTCTCATAAAAAGTAGTTCTTAGCATCACCATATATTAAGAAGATAGAGAAAATTTAAAGTGATTTGAATTAATAATTATCAAATTATAATTCTTAATCAACAGATACAGAGGATGCTTCATTATTAGATTAAAGTAATAGAAAGAAAATAAAAGTGGATATGTGTTAAATGATTTCAAATTACTGAATAATAAAAATGTATTATTGTAAAATTCATTTCTATTATTATTATTATAATTATTTTCTAGTTTCTTCCATTTTTTATCTATAAATTCTCTTTTATCTTTCAATCTAATTTGATAGACCAAATCATTTACATATTCAGGTCTGATTTCTTCTTTAATGGGATTCTCAGTTTTAAATTCTGAAATTTTCATACCTGATTTTTATTCAAATTCTTAAATTCTTTCAGCAGCAATCTGATCCATATATTTAACATTATAATACACATAATATCCACTAAATGCAAATAAAGTTCCTATTATAATGAATGCTAACTATTTTGGAGAATTATTTTATTTTTATTATGAGAAATGTAAAAGACTTTTATAATTTTTCATATTGTAATTTTATTTATGTAATAACCTTAAATAAATATTAAATAAATTATATTAATATGAATGTTTATTCAGTATAATCATGATAAAATATAAGGATGTTTTAAGGCTTCATTACAATTGATTCTTTTTGATGGACTATAAATAAATATCTTAGACAATAAATCAATTAATTAAGGATCAGTTTTCTAATTCAAAACAAAATTAATAAATATCATACTTAGTTTCTTAGCTTATAAATTTGGTATTTAAAATTAACATCCCAATTCAGCCTTTTCTAATTCATTAGGAGTACCCAAAAATTTACATATTTCTACTATCTAATCAACAGTATTCTGTCCAAAAAACAATTATTTACCCAATTCTAATTCAGCTAAAATACAACCAGCTGCCCATATATCAATTTTAGTATTATAAAATATCTAACCAAATAGTAATTCAGGTGCTCTATAAGCTCTCGAACATACATAACTCAAACTCTTAGATCCATCCATTTTCTTTGAACTTCCAAAATCAGCTAGATATATGTTACCACTTTAATACAAAATATTTGCTGGCTTAAGATCTCTATGCATAACATGTTATGATTCTAAATATTCCAATGCTTAGAATAATTATTTAGCTACTCTTTTTAATGGAACTCTTATTGCATTTTTTAGATTTCCTTAATATAAATCCATAACCAAATGCAAATATTTCACCTTATTTTCAACACTATAATAATAATCTCTTAGAGGTGCAATATGAGGGTGATTCATATTCATATGTATTTCTAATTCTCTATTGATTTATTTGGGATCTTGAAGTACTTTCTTCATTGCATAATAACCACCATGTAATTTATTTTCAACAATAAAAATAGTACTATAACTACCTTATCCAATTTAATCCAGTATTTAATATTTTTGTGATTTATTAATGTTCTAATGATTAAGAGTCAAGTATTTATGAATTTGACATCTCTCTTAAGATGTTGATAATTAATGTTTATCACTTGGTGTTACTCTTCTTTTTTTTGATTTAATTTAATTCAATTACATATATTTTTATTAAATATATCAATATAATTCATTATTTTTCCTAATTATTCTACTTTCATATAAATCCTATATTAATCTATATATCAAAGAAATAGGGAATTATATATTTATATAATTTGACAAGAATTATATGAAAAGAGAAGATTGTAAAATCAATTATTTTATTTATAAATTTATACTACCTTAAATTAAGTAAATTAAATGAGTATTTTGTATAAAATAAACATAAGAATTTGAGTAGATTAAGTTTGATTTACTATAAGAATATTGATTTTTAATTATTGATTAACTCTATATGTATATATAAATATAATTTATTGAATAAAAGTATATTCACTTGAATTTTACAAGAAATTTATATGGAATATTAAAATATATCAAATTATTTTTTATTGTGAATTTTAATATTTCTACTTTTGAGAATAACAATATTTTTTAGTTAGTTTATTTTAGAAGATAAATATAATAATAATGAATGTATTGTTATAGTTTTCAATTATAAATCAAACACTGATTATTTTATTAATTTAATTCAACCTAATTAAATTCAGTAATTTATTTGTTTTTATTTTATTAAATTGATTGTATTCAGTTTATAAAATGGGAATTAAATCGTATTAAATTAAATATCAAAATAAAGTAAACTCTGAAGAGATAAAATTTTGATATAATGATGTGAAATAATATTAGTATTATCAACATTTTGAATAATATTAAAAAGAAATAATTAAATATATTGAAATAATAAAATCTTATTAATTAGAAATAGGAGATTAATAGGAAGAATTATAACTTGATTTATCATTCATTAAATTAAATTATTAATGCAAATTAAGTTATCCTTTTTCGATGATGCTAAATTCTCAAGGTCTTTTTGGGAGAAAACTTAATTTTAAATAGAGTAATAATAAATTGATTTTCAATCTGTCCTTTTTGAAAAGAGTAAAAAAACTGGTTTTTGGATTAGCAAAAATTATATCATTTATAATAATAAATTAGTGAAGTTGAGGGTATTGAATTGATTAAAAATAATAGCCAAATAAGAAAAACATTCATCATATTGATCTAAGTTTATCAAGAATAGAAAGGATAAAATACAAAAATGATTAGGAATATGATGTTTGTAATAAAGTATATATAATATATACAATTATAGAAGAAATATGGTTTTAGAATAATACGTAATTAGAAATTTAAAGAACTTTATTCAAGATCAAAAGAACTGAATTAATAGATATGGGATATTCTCAAAAAGTAATGTCTTTAAAGAAATTTTAAAGAAGAGTACGTTATTGAGAAATTAATAGGAAAAGGAAATTTTGCAAAAGTAATTAAATTTATTATAGTAGGTGTATCTTTGCACAAAAAAATAGGATAAATAATAATATGCAGTAAAGGCTTTTGAAAAATGTAAGATGATGAATAAAGATACTGATAAATAAGCTTTAATAAAGGAAATGTCAATAATGAGAAAGTTGAATTACAAAGGATTGATAAAAATACATGAAGTATTTGAAGATGACACTCAAATTTTACTAGTTTAGGATTATTTATAAGGAGGAGAATTGTATTAATAGATAAAGAATAATAAAAAGTACTCTGAATCAATAGTTGCATAGATTCTAGCTACTCTTTTAGATTCTTTAGATTATTTACATAAAAAGAATATTCTTCATAGAGATCTTAAACCTGAAAATATGATATTACGTAAAAAGGGAGTGTTGGAAGATGTAGTAATAGCTGATTTTGGATTGGCTGATTTTTATGATCCATTGGGTAATTATATGTTTCAAAGATGTGGAACTCCTGGATTCGTAGCTCCAGAAGTTTTGCAAGATAAAATTTATGATTCTAAAGTTGATATTTTTAGTGTTGGTTGTTTAATGTTTCTTTTGATTGCTGGGAAATCTCCTTTTAAGGGTACTACTTACAATGAAGTTGTAATGAGAAATTATCATTGCAAGATTGATTATGCTTCAATTAATACTATTATAAGTAGTGAAGGTAAATATATTTATATTATAATAAGGATTATAATTATTAAAATTATTATTGCATCCTCAATCAAATTAGAGACCATTACCAAGAGATGCTTTGAGACATGAATGGTTTATGATAAATTTGGATAGAATGAGATATTCAGAATTAAACAAATAAGAATAATAATAATAATAATAATATTCAGATAATAAAGATACTATTAAATCAAGTAATACAGATGCAGGTAGTTGTGGATTTATGAAAAATTTTATTGGTCCTTCAAATTTAGATAAACCAGAATTTATGACTCCTCAATAAAAATGTATTGGAGAAAAGAATAAGGAAAATATTTTATTTAGTCCATAAATTGCAGTAATGCAATAAATTTAAGAATAATTTAATGATAGTGAAGATAATATTTCTATTAAAAATTTAGATGATGATCTAACAGATGTGATTTTCGATGATGAATCACCATAATCTCATAAATTACCTTAATATCAATTAATTGGTAAATTGAAATAAGCTGTTGATTCAAATAATTCTTCTTATTATGCATCTCCTATTATTAAGAGAACTCCAGAGATTACTACTAAGGATATCAATCATTAAGTTATGAGTATCAAATAGAGAATATATGAATAATAGATATAACCTAAGATTGCAAACATAATTAAGAATAATTTGAAAAATCTTGAGTAATAATGAATTAATGACTAAAATAATTTAAATTTAATTAAAATAAATAGTTAAAATGTATTTGAATTCAATTTTCAAATCTCTTTCTCGTTTCTCATATATCAAAAAAAACTTTAGTTATGAGAATTTATAGGATGTTGAAATAATAACAAGAGATTATTGGGGAAGTTTGAGAAATATTCTTAAATCATTTTCAAATCACAAAATTAATTTAACAGATATTGAACCACTAAAATTAAGTAGAACACACAAGTAATAATTATATATATATATATAAATAGAGGATAGAATATTGTAGTAAAATTGACATTTGAAAAGGTTGAGGATAAAAAGTATAATGAATTGATTTTCGATTTGTAATAGAGATATGATTAAGTTTTAATAAATAATGATATGTCTGTACCTTCAGTACCATGGTACCCAAGAACTGATGAAGATCTAAAAACAAGTAATTTATAAATTTAAATTATTAGTTGGTACAATAATGGAAGTTAATGAAGAAAATAATTAAGATCATCCTTAATTTAAAGATCTTGAATATAGAAAAAGAAGAGAAGAAATTGCAAAACTCTCATAAGCTCATCTTATTGGAGAACCAGTTCCTTATATCAATTATACAGAATAAGAAGAATAAACATGGAAGAAAATATATACTATTTTAAGAGAAAAGGTTAATATAGTAATGTCATAAAGATATTTGAATAATTTAGTTAAAATTGAAAATGCACTTGGATTTAAATACAAGATTCCTTAATTAAGAGACATAGATGCATATTTAAGAGCAGAAACTGGATTTAGAATAAAAGCTACTCATGGTATACTTAGTTAAAGAGAATTCTTAAATGCTTTAGGACATAGAGTTTTTTGTTGTACTTAATATATAAGACATCATTCAACACCAGAATATACACCTGAACCTGATATTGTTCATGAACTTGTTGGTCATGTACCATTATTTGCAGATAAAGAAGTGGCAGATCTTTCATAAGAAATAGGCATTTTATCATGTGGAGCAAAAAAATAAGATTTAAGTAGACTGGGTACTTTATATTGGTTTACTCTTGAATTTGGAGCATACAAAGAAAATGGATTAATTAAAGGTTATGGAGCAGGAATTGCTAGTTCAATTGGAGAATGTGATGTAATAATAGAATTATATCAAAATTTAGCATTTCCCTAAGGCAAAATATGAGAAATTTGATCCATTTATTCATGCAGATCGTAGTTATCCTATTTAAACTGTGTAACCTACTTATATGTACACAGAAAGTTTTGATGAAGCAATGCAAAGTTTAATTATTTTTGGTAAAAGTCTATAAAAACCCTTTGGATTATATTATGATTTCATTGATAAAGAACTTAAATCAACTAGAAGAATAAAGACTCATTTAAATGATTAATGATTATCTATATTATTAAAAAATTAAAAATATTATGAATTCAGAACCTTCTATACGAACCATAAGTGTTAAATATACTGTTGTGTTTTGTGTTATCATTGGCTTCTTATTTTTATTTTCTCAAATACTTGACAACTTATTCTATGATTATACTGTTATAGAAACTGAAATTGTCTTTATCAAAAGAGTTGGTATTTGTTATCATTAATACAAGATTAAACCAATAGTAAAATGATTATAGAATTAAATGAAGTTACTGAACAAAGTAATTCATTAGTTCTCACCTTATAAAATAACATGTAAAGTACAATAGAGCAGATTTATAAAAAAATCAATTATCAAATAAATGAAGAAGAAGATTATACTTTATAATAAATGAATAATCAATATCGATAATCATTCAATCTTATATCTTAATCAATGTTTTTAAGAAATAAAATGAACAATTCTATTGATTCCATTTATCTATTAAATATTAAGAATACTTTTAATACTGAAATGGCATAAGTTGGTATAATACTAATTGTATTTTATTAGATATATCTATTTATTCTGATTATGGGAGCAACTTTTTTGATTTATCATAAGCAATCACTTTAAATAATTTTTGGAATGAAGAATTGTAATTAAGTTTATAAAACAAAATTGTAACAACCTTTATTGAAGAATCAAATTATATACTTTTAGTTATGTATGAATATAACAATAATGAATAATAAATTGCTTTATTAAGAAATAATGAATTAGAAATCATACATACTACAAATTATTTAATTAAGAATATTGCAACCAAAAATCAAAATATAATCTTTAATTATTAAAATGATAGAGAAATTTATATATATGATTGTAATTAATTTACTCTTATTTAAGTGTAGTCAATTCATAAAAAATAAACAAAATTCAATCATTCCAAATAAACAATGTATTATATTTTCAAGTGATGAAATTATTCTTTTTTAATGAAAGCACAATTGGTGTATTTTATTTAGAGTATATAATTATATTATCCTTAGAGTTACAAATGATAAATATAAAATTATTGGAATGGCTTTAAATGAATATAAAAATGTATTCTTAAATATAGATATTACTGAAGAGATGATTAGTCTTGAATAAATCTAATAAATTGAATTACTTTATGATTACAATGCAGAACATAATATATTGATAGTATCCTTTGGTAAGAAATATCTTTACTATTTAAAAATAAAACCATTTATGTTTGCTAAATAATTTGATTAATGGAATCCTAAAAAAATTAAATTAAATATTTTTGAATAAGAAAAAGAAATATTTAAGAAAATTATATATGATCATTAAGATCAAATCATATATATAGTATTATTATTCATATTAATAAATATTAGTTATCAGAAAGTTCTTAATCCAAGCTTAAAATGCATTTAGTCGATATGAAAAGTCTAGAGAATAAATCAAATAAAATTGATACTATGAAATTAAGAATGCCATACTTTAAATATGGAGTCTAAGCTATAGATTTTCATATCTAAAAAAATTAAATCAATAATAATGTCATCCTATTCTTGCTAAAAAATGGAGATGTGGCATGCATTCAACCATTATAGTATGGAGAAGGAGTTCTAAAGAAGACTTTCATAATTGAATTGTTAGATATTGTGTTAACATTATCTTTTATTGGATTCTTCAGATATTTAAAGAGATTATTACAAAAAATATATTCAAAAATTATATCTTGTTGTAGAAGAATTTGATAAATAAGCTTTGTATTAAAAAATATATTTTTTAAATATTTAATTCTAAAATTTAATCTCTGCTATTGAGAACATTTAATTTTTAATAAATATATATATTTGTATTTATTTATTAATAGTTTTTTATTAATGCTAAAAGAGAAACTGTAAGAAGTAAAGGATTAAAATACAAATTTATATGAACATTTGAATAATGTATTAACTAAAATATTATTGGATAATCCAAAAGTATGAATTCATTATGATTTATATAGAATGCATTTGAATTATTTGAAGATTATTCATTTTAAGTAAAATCAAATGGTTTTAAATTTGAAAAATATAATGAATTTGATAATGCAGAAAGATCAAAAATAAATATGGATTAAAGTATATAATAAAAGACATTGAAACTTATAAATAAAATTAATCTTGGAACTGATGAAGAACCATAAGAAGCAACTTAAACTGGATATTTACCTAATTTAATAGAAGAATCTTATTTATATGAATGGGCTGGTATTGGAATTGATGAAAATTATAAAATATTTAAAGCATTAACTGTAATCTATTTATTATATATAATTAGCTATTATCTGTTACTAAATAAGCATCAAAATTAAGATTTTGGGGTAAAATAATGGGTAGATAAAAGGATTATTATATTGCTGAAGGAATTGCTACTAGTTAAGTTGAAGATGGTGAATTACCACCTGAAGTTGAACCTAGAGGAACTGGAATTAATACTAAATCTTATTGGGCATGCAATGATTTATTAAATGATAAAGATTGGATTGAATTACCTTTAATTACACCTTAATAAATTAATACTTCTAGATTAATTAAATATATGTTTACAGGTAATTTAGAATCTGATGTTATTACTAATCCTTATTTCTTTGGAAAAGAAAAACATTTATTAAAAGCATAAATTGTTAGAATTACATAATCTACTGTTATTATTCCAAAAGGTTAATATATTTTAAGAGAAGGTGAACCAAGAGAAATAGATCCAACACCTGAATATAAATTACCAGGATTTCATGATTTAAAAACATTAAATGATTGGATGCATTTCAATTAAAATATATTAAATGTATATTATATATATANATATTATTTTTCCCTTTTAGTATTTAATATTTAATATATATCTCCAAATTTAGAAATTTTATATAATTTTTAGTAAATTTTCAATACTTATAATTTTAATAAAGGCAATAAAATGCTCTAGCAGCTTTAATATTACTCTAAACTTTTTTTTATTTAATATCAATTGAAGAATTAAGAAATCAAAAATCAAAAATTCGTACATATAAAAACCATTAAATAGATGTCAGGTGGATCAAATAATCTAAATAAGGGATTACTTATATTATATTGATAGTTATTTACTTATTTTTATATTTAATAAATATATATATTTGTATTTATTTATTAATAGTTTTTTATTAATGCTAAAAGAGAAACTGTAAGAAGTAAAGGATTAAAATACAAATTTATATGAACATTTGAATAATGTATTAACTAAAATATTATTGGATAATCCAAAAGTATGAATTCATTATGATTTATATAGAATGCATTTGAATTATTTGAAGATTATTCATTTTAAGTAAAATCAAATGGTTTTAAATTTGAAAAATATAATGAATTTGATAATGCAGAAAGATCAAAAATAAATATGGATTAAAGTATATAATAAAAGACATTGAAACTTATAAATAAAATTAATCTTGGAACTGATGAAGAACCATAAGAAGCAACTTAAACTGGATATTTACCTAATTTAATAGAAGAATCTTATTTATATGAATGGGCTGGTATTGGAATTGATGAAAATTATAAAATATTTAAAGCATTAACTGTAATCTATTTATTATATATAATTAGCTATTATCTGTTACTAAATAAGCATCAAAATTAAGATTTTGGGGTAAAATAATGGGTAGATAAAAGGATTATTATATTGCTGAAGGAATTGCTACTAGTTAAGTTGAAGATGGTGAATTACCACCTGAAGTTGAACCTAGAGGAACTGGAATTAATACTAAATCTTATTGGGCATGCAATGATTTATTAAATGATAAAGATTGGATTGAATTACCTTTAATTACACCTTAATAAATTAATACTTCTAGATTAATTAAATATATGTTTACAGGTAATTTAGAATCTGATGTTATTACTAATCCTTATTTCTTTGGAAAAGAAAAACATTTATTAAAAGCATAAATTGTTAGAATTACATAATCTACTGTTATTATTCCAAAAGGTTAATATATTTTAAGAGAAGGTGAACCTAGAGAAATAGATCCAACACCTGAATATAAATTACCAGGATTTCATGATTTAAAAACATTAAATGATTGGATGCATTTCAATTAAAATATATTAAATGTATATTATATATATATTAATATTATTAGTGTGGTAGATTAGTACATTTAATACCATCTGAATTACCTGAAGGTATTGAACCAGAAGTTTATTAAAAATAAATAGAAAATGCAGATCCTTTTGAAAATAGATTAAAACCAATATCAAATGATAAAAATGCTTGGAAAATAAGAATTGTAGGAGATACAACAGATTATAATCCTTTATCTAAAGATACTAATAATAAAGTTAATAATGGTGTTATTATTATTAAATCTTTAGTTTGGCCAGGATTAGTAACAGTATATTCTGTAATAATTTATTTAATTTATAATAGAATAAAGTATTATCATAATTATATTATGGTTATGGATATAAAGCAACAAATAATCATTTCTATCCTAAATAACCATAATAAGTTTAATCTGAATAACCAGATCTTCCTGAATAATCAGAACCTAATTTCCCAGCAGAAATCCCTTAACAACAATAAGATTGATCATTATTATTATTAAATTATCGAATAATAGCATAACACTTAATTTTTTTGATTCTTATTAGTAAAAAAACTGGAGAATTTATCAATCAAATTTTAGTGTTATTAATAAAATAGGAAAAACAAAATAAATGTCAAGACTAAGGTGAGTAAATTCAAAAAATTATTGTTTAACACCATGATTGAAAGATAATCACCATCACTGTTATTTGAGTGTTAAGATATGAATTTACCTAATTATTATATTCTATTTTTTCATTTACAAAAAAGAGATTATTATGAAAATTCTCAATAAAAAAATAAAGTAAATTCAAAATCAAATTAATAATAAGATAAACAAATTTAATCTATAAATAATTTTCACTATTAAAATTCAGTAAATTTATCAACTTGTAAAGCATTTTTAATTTGATTGCTAAATTCATTTGTGAAATTTAATTATCCTCCTTTAGTTTTGTAATCAAATTTTTTTTGTAAAACTTTATTTTCAGCTTCGATTTCTCTAATTATAATTATAATTATTTTAATAATAAAGGTTATCATTATTCAATATTCTTTTCTTTTATGATATAACTCTGATTACTTTTTAAATTATATTATCTTAATTAATATTTATTATAAGCCTCATTCATCTCATGTTTTATTTTTCTAATATTCTGCATTTATATTTAAAAAGACTTTATTTTAGTTAGCTTATTTGCTGAAATGCTAAGTATACTAAAAATTCTCTGTTGATTTTACAAACAATAATTCTTATTTTCCATATAGTATTTATAGTCTTTAATTGCTTAATTATAGCCTTACTTCTTTCAAATTCTTGTTATATTATTAATATTTCTAAATCATTTTTACAATTACAAAATTACTATCATTCTAAGTGAATGATATAGTTTATTATTTATAATTTATCACTTTGAATAATGTCCTAAATCTTTTTACACATTTTAATATTGATGTTCAATCTTTAAATTATTTATCTTCAGGCATTCTAATTAAGTTTGAAACTTATTTTAAAATATAAAATATACTTACTTATAATTTTGGTATTCTAGATCATTAAATAAACTATTAAATTTAGCCTGCCTTGACATAAGTAGTTATTTATTAAGTTTATAATTATTTTTATATATGTCATTATTACTCATCATTAGCTTTTTTAATAGGTCTATCAATATACATGAAAGGATTGTATTTATCTTTTNTTTTTTTGATTCTTATTAGTAAAAAAACTGGAGAATTTATCAATCAAATTTTAGTGTTATTAATAAAATAGGAAAAACAAAATAAATGTCAAGACTAAGGTGAGTAAATTCAAAAAATTATTGTTTAACACCATGATTGAAAGATAATCACCATCACTGTTATTTGAGTGTTAAGATATGAATTTACCTAATTATTATATTCTATTTTTTCATTTACAAAAAAGAGATTATTATGAAAATTCTCAATAAAAAAATAAAGTAAATTCAAAATCAAATTAATAATAAGATAAACAAATTTAATCTATAAATAATTTTCACTATTAAAATTCAGTAAATTTATCAACTTGTAAAGCATTTTTAATTTGATTGCTAAATTCATTTGTGAAATTTAATTATCCTCCTTTAGTTTTGTAATCAAATTTTTTTTGTAAAACTTTATTTTCAGCTTCGATTTCTCTAATTATAATTATAATTATTTTAATAATAAAGGTTATCATTATTCAATATTCTTTTCTTTTATGATATAACTCTGATTACTTTTTAAATTATATTATCTTAATTAATATTTATTATAAGCCTCATTCATCTCATGTTTTATTTTTCTAATATTCTGCATTTATATTTAAAAAGACTTTATTTTAGTTAGCTTATTTGCTGAAATGCTAAGTATACTAAAAATTCTCTGTTGATTTTACAAACAATAATTCTTATTTTCCATATAGTATTTATAGTCTTTAATTGCTTAATTATAGCCTTACTTCTTTCAAATTCTTGTTATATTATTAATATTTCTAAATCATTTTTACAATTACAAAATTACTATCATTCTAAGTGAATGATATAGTTTATTATTTATAATTTATCACTTTGAATAATGTCCTAAATCTTTTTACACATTTTAATATTGATGTTCAATCTTTAAATTATTTATCTTCAGGCATTCTAATTAAGTTTGAAACTTATTTTAAAATATAAAATATACTTACTTATAATTTTGGTATTCTAGATCATTAAATAAACTATTAAATTTAGCCTGCCTTGACATAAGTAGTTATTTATTAAGTTTATAATTATTTTTATATATGTCATTATTACTCATCATTAGCTTTTTTAATAGGTCTATCAATATACATGAAAGGATTGTATTTATCTTTTGTCATTAATGCCAAACAAGTTGAAACAATGTCTGGTTTATTTATGATGTGCTATAGAGGTGTAACCAAATTAATTGATGAGATTTTTTTGCCCAAAATGTATAATTCTCCATCTTGAATGAAATTCTTTTTTGAAATTAATGGTGCCTCTTCATCAACAATACTCAAACTTTCAAATTTTCTTTTTAAAATAGTTAAATCACCCATTTATACTTATATTAATATATTTATTAAAATTTAGTAAAGCTATTCAAAGTCTCTAGTTGTTAAAAGAGAATAAAAAATTTCCATTATTTAGTATTCAAATATTTCAAGTATAATCTTTTATAGTCTAAATTTTAAGTAATAAACTTCTTTGATAAAATAAATATACATAATATTTTAGTTAAAGTTATTGATAGAATAGATTCAAATAATATATATATTATTTCATAGATAGACATTATAATTCAAAATAGATTAAATTTAGTATTATTTAAGACTAAAACTTAATTAAAATAATGTTATTTATCTTATATAATTTATAGATATTATCTTATTTATATTTACAATAAATGTATCATATATTTCTATTTAGATAAATGAATAATAATATTGATTTGAATAATATCTTATTGTTTATATAAACATATTAATACTTAATAATTTATCTATATGAATTATAATTAAAAATGATATAATAATAATCATTTCTAAATATTAATAAAAATTAATTGAAATAAACATTATGATATTATCACAATATAAAAAATAATTATCATTATACTATTTCTTAATTTTAAGCATGTTAATTCATTAAATATAATGCATATTATGCAATTACTTTTTACAATTCTTCTTTAATTTCTTAAGTTTGCATTTATTGATAAGCTTCTTTCCAATAATTTAATTTTACATTAATTGTTAAGAATGAATTCCAAGAATTCTCTTATGCAATTTTATTAATTGAATTATTCATTTCAATTATACTATGTACTTTAATTTCATATTTATCAACATTGGTTTATAAATTGAATTTATACAGTTTATCATAAATAGGCCTTATTTATTTTTTTTATTCTATATGTTTCTTTTAACTTTAGGAAGAATATCTCAAATATTTTTAAGATATTTCAATCTAAGAACATAGTTTAGATGGAAGTGATTCACTTCTATTTGATTTAATCTTATGATCAAACAAAGATTTATTACCATTAGAACCAGCTTAAGTGGAATTATTTTATTCATCTTTTTGAATTTATGATACCTATTTAGAAAGTGCTAATTATTAAGATTCCTCTATTTTAGTTTCTATTTATTATTCATATTATTTTGGTGATAATTTTGATGGCTTTTTATCCAAAATCTTTTTCTTTCTTTTTTCAATTGATTGACCTCTTTCTTCAGTTGATTTTTCTATTTATTATTATTACTATATTGTTTTCTTCTTTTTTCCAGAATGTTGAACAATTTCTTTCTTTTAACCCTTCATCTTATTATTATTTACAGTATTAACTGGAGGTATATGATTTAATTAAGTCTTCTCTTAAGGTTAAGGAGATGATAATTAAGAATCAGATGTTCCCCATGTTTTTCTTTTATTTTTTATTAATTTTCTAATTCCATCTCCCCATAAAGCTGATGCTTAAAAAAATATTGAAAGAAATCTAAAAAATTGATATAATTTGAATACCTATTAATGTTAACCAGTTATCTGATGACTGCTTCAAACAATTAAATCATATCTTTCTATTTTCTTACTGAATCTACATATATATCTGATACTGCTTAAGTTAGATTACTGTATTCTGAGTTCAATATTAGATAATCATTAATAATCATTAAATCCAATATATGGAGGAATACTATAACTATAGTTCCAATACATTTTTACAACATGAATTTCTTATTAATTACATTCATTATTTCAGTATGAAGTAAATTAATCACTAATCCTACTAAATATAAAGTAATAGATGCTCTAATAAACTACAAATTAGTTCAAACTTATTTACTTCTGGATAGAAACTGCCAAAGTTGTGATTGTAAAGCGAAGATGAGATTTGTTAAGCTTATTGTAATTATTTTTGAGAAGTAAGACCATATTGTTAAAGTGAATTTTGATTTTTTGCTTTTTAATCACCTCGAAGAGATGCAAAAAGTAAAATATTAATTCCAATCTAAAAAGTCTTTATAGTCACTACTCTGAGTTCTTCCAAACGCAGACGCAATATTAAATAGACATTCTTAACTTTAGAACTCATAAGTATTAAATAATTACGTTTTTTTAATTTAATATAACATTCTTCATATCAATTTGATTACTTCACAATCAAAGCAATAAACTGTCATTGTGCAATTCATTTTAAAAAACAATCTATTCTTATTTAAAAGAATAGTGAGAATATTAAATATATTAAGATATATTCATATTAATTATATATAATATATATATATATATATATTGATGTTCAAATGTTTCTTTTTACATCTAAATAATTTAATTAAACTATTATTATATACATATTAATGTATTTTCAAATTCTAAATATATAAATAAATGATTAACTGAAATTTAACTCAAATTTAGATTCATTCCAAAGTAATAATTTAATTTTTGTAGATAGTTAAGAAATTATAGATGTTCAAATATTTTGAAGTATCATTTTAATGAATTTGTTCAGATTTTGTGATTGTAAGTTTTTTTATTTATTAAATTTGATTATAAATACCTGATGTTGGAAAAATGTATTTTTAATATTTTTTTAAAGATTTTAGTATACAAATGAACACTCACACAATTACTTATCCTAAACCTTTAATTCGTATTATGCAACATTCAAAAACAGATTGCTCAAGTGTTTCGTCAACATAATCTTACGAATCTCATTTTACAGATATCGAAAGACCTGAAAATCCTATGATAAAGAATTTTGTGGACAATCAAGAAGATGATCTTGACAACTTCTTTGATCAACTAGAATGATAAAATCTTTTCTTATGATTTGTCTTATTTTGTGTAATACATTAACTGAATAAATATTTAATTATACTATAAATGTATTCAATCAAATAGAAATCATTTAGATGTTTAATGTATATAATATTCTTTGTTTATGTTGATATAGATTTGAATTTAAAGTACAATAATGAATAATAATGTATGTTTACTTATGATTTAAATGTAAATTTAGTATTGTTTTTATTAGAGAAAATAGAATATAAATAATATCATTTTCATTTATGTTATTATGAGTGTTATAAATAAGACCAACTTATTATAAATGAAATTCATTAATTTAATTATTCAATGGCAACAACAAGCTATTTTAGTTTTACAAATGATGAAAAAGAAATGATACACAAGATGCTTTAGCTATCTGCAAGAGAATACTAATAATTTGAAAAGAATTTAGATGCTCTTTTAGATACATCTAAAATGTGTGATGAGCATTAACTTGCTTATTTATTTTATGATGATAGATAATTCTATTGCCCTAAATGTTTGATTATATATAAGCCATAAGTCTTTCATTACGTGGAAGAATTAAATTAATAATCGATGGAAAACTTAGATTAAGAACTAAGAAGATATTAGAATTGCCAAGTATTTAATGATTGATTTAAAAGTTCCCTTAAATTAATTTTAAAGAGAGAGCTTAATCCATAAGATAGTAACTAAATATAAATTAAGGAAATGTAAAAGAATCATTCATTATTTAGAATTAAATAAGCAATCAAGTTGGTGAGTCTTAAATAGTGTACTAATAATAAAATTCTGATGTTCAAATTCATTAAGTTGAATCCTAAAATTCTGATGTTCAAATTCATTAAGTTGAATCCTAAAATTCATTAATTGATGCTTTAGAAAAAAGAAGAAAATTTGTTGAAGTCTAAAAATTTATATCTTATATATCTATTGAAAAAAACAATAGAAAAGTACATGATGATATGCATACTACTGATGAAATAATGAGACCGAAATTGGAATCAATTATAGATTAATCAAATGGTGAAAACAATTTTGATACCATTTTTAAAAAATTTCTAAGGAATTAATAATGATTTATCATTAAAAATCAGGAAAATCATCATCTGCTAATGGATCTATTAATCTTGCACTTTATCCTGTTAATATATGTTTAATAACACTTTCATTTTCAGCTATTTTTCTTTCATATTCTTTTCTAAAATCTGGAAAATGGTATAAGAGTATTTCTTCATATACCATATCTTATTATAAATTAATTAAATACCTTTTAATTATTCTGTTGTTAACTCATACAATTCAAATTCAAACTCTTTGTCACTTACTGGTTAACGAAAAGGTTCATCTTCAGGAGAATGAAGATCTTCAAAATATGGATGAGCCAATGCTTCATCTGCTGTTATTCTTTTAGTAAAATCAATTTCTAATAGTTTTTCTAATAAATCATATCCTTATGGAGAAATTCCTTTGATTATTTTATCTAATGGAACTTTTTAAAATTATCCTAAATGAACAACAGCTTCTAACATCTTTTATTAAAAGAAAGGATCTTTGTAATTCTTGATTTCTTATTTATTAGGTGTACCCATTGTTTCAAAGATTAATTTTAATTAAGATTCTGCAGATGCTCCTCTCCATAATGCTTTACCACGTACAATTTCAGCAAAAATACAACCAACTGACCACATATCTACAGCCTTAGTATATTATTTTAATCCTAATAACAATTCAGGAGCTCTATAATATCTAGTCTCAACATAATCAGTCATCACATTTGGATTTTAACCATTGAGTCCTTAACTTAGTAATGCTCTACTTAAACCAAAATCACAGACTTTTAACATGCAATCTTCCTTATTTAAGAGAATATTCCTTGGCTTTAAATCTCTATGTAAAATGTTAGCTGAATGCATATATTTAATTCCTCTTAAAATTTGATATAGAAATAATTTATAATGATCTTCTGTTAATTTAGCATGTTCTCTTTCTAATACTTTACGTAAATCTGTATCCAACAATTCTGTAACCAAATAACTAACATTATTTAATTTAAATACATGTCATTCATTGATACTCTAGATTTTGGTAGAGCTATGGTAATTAAATTAACAATCTAGGAGATATGTTTAAGAATACATTTTCATGTTTAAGATTCCTTAATATTTTCAATTCTCTTAATGTACGTTTAGCATAAAAACGATGCTAAAATGTCTTCTCTATTTTCTTTATTGCCACTTTCTTAGGTCCTTCAGGAGGAGCCTTCAAATCATCTGCCTGTAAGACTACTCCATAAGCTCCACTTCCCAATTGATTTGTGGGATTGTACCTTTTATCCAATATAAAATTGTGATCCCCTACTTTAAATACATTAGCTGTATAATTTTTTTGAGTATATTAGGCATATTATTCCTTTATGTCCATATAATTATTACTTATAATTAAAATTATATTAATTAATACTATTGTTTACAATCCTATATTAATAAATAGAGAGAACTATAATTTTTATATTATATTAAATCATTATTATAACTAAAAGTGAGATTTTTAATAGGTCTATCTGCATATTGGACAATTATTAATCTAAGCCATTGAATATCTTTCAAAAGAATTCAAACAATTAGCATGAAACATGTGTGTACAACTAAGTAAAAACACTTTTGCATTCACCATACTCTGTAAACAAATTGTACAATCTACTTCTCTTCTTTCTAGAGCCTATTTCTTTATGTTAATCCAATCAACTTTTATTATTGGTTATAATTTAGCCATCTATTCATTATTATGTTTCATTTAGTATATCTTATTTAAATTATTTTCCATCTATTCTTACTTTATTTGAATATTTTCACCTAATTGATTTATTGCTTATTATGCTTAATTACCCTATTATTAAATTGTCTTTGACATTCTAGATGAAATTCTAGATAATTTATAAAACAGCAATTTTCTTTTCAATAAACTATTTTCTGGTCTATATTGCATTTTTATCATCCTCTCATAAAACTATTTTCTACATCTAAATTATCTAAATAATGCTTATATTTTAATTATTGATTAGATTTTGTATTATTTATTAGCTACCATAAATTATTTCTTTTCATAATCTTATCTTCTACAAATAGGACATTATTTTGTTTATGAGACTCTCTCAAAACTTTCTAAACAAGTTTTATGATATATATGACTACAACTCAAAATTACATGTTATTGCATTCTGAATTTCTCTAAACAAATAGGACATACACAATTTTAAATATCTTCCCTTTTTAAAGACTGTTCCTCAATCTAAGCCCATTCCTCTTAATTTAGAGGTTTTGGAGGTGATGGTACTAATCCTAACTTTTAGGCTAATGATAATTATTTTGAATTAATTTTAGGCAACTTAAAGAGTTATCTACTTAAATGATCTTAAAGTGCTGCTGCATTGATGCAGAACATATCTTATTGTTTATCCTAATAACTCTTTTATTTTTTATACTTTTTCATATCAATAATTTAAATTATATTATCAGTTATCAATTACACATACTTTTTATCTTTATTTCTAGTTATTTTCTCTCAATTTACATATATTATTAGGGTTAGAATTTATTAATTATATCCTTCAAAGTGGAGTTCTTTAAAAATATCTCTTTATTAAATAGATCAAATTAATACAAAGTAAGATTTCAGCCATAAAGTATTCTATCATATTATATATATATATATATAATTAACGTTATTTATAAAGATATCAAAGTTAAACCATGAATTCTTGTTATAATTTCTTATTAACTTTCTTTACAGATTTAGTATTATGAGCTCTATCAAAATGCTTCTTCATTTATTTATGATTCTTAAATAGTTATTTACATTAGGAACACTATATCTATTATTGTTTAGTCTCTTATTAAATTTAAGCTCTTTTTATCTTTTTTGTTTAATTAGATATTGGATTATCATTTTTTCTTTCAATCTCCTCCTCTTCTTCATCAACTATGCTATCTTATCATTATGAAATTACTTTATCTCAATAGGTGTATTTGATCTTGATTCTATATGTCTCTATTTATTACCCTCCTAAGTTTACAGTACTGCTGGACCACAATCAATTTCTATTGTCCCTTGATCTTTATGATTCTGGATTTACTTATCTTCATTGATTATTTCCTCTCCTCTTGCTAACTTATCACATCTTTCAGATAAACTAGCACATTGCAAATATAATTGAGCCAAAGCATTAAGATGTGTTGTCAAAGGAACGTATTACATTATTTATTGACTCTAACAATATCAAATAAATCATCCTTTTATTAATTGATATCCTTATAATTTTTATCGTTTAACCACTTTATTATATTATATTCCAAAAAAATGTTATCTTAAGATCATTCATCACCTTTAGAATGATATTATTAATTTGAATAATTATTTATATATTTTCAATCATCCTCAATACTAATTCAGATAAAAATTTACAGTGCTTAAGATTCTTTTCCCATATCAAATAATAGTAATCTTAATGTAGTTTATATAATCTATTTTTAAATTTATAAAATTAATAACATAAATAATACTAAATTTTTGATGTTAAAAAACTGAAGCAAACATTATAGTTTATTATAAAAACTACATTTTTATTATCTAATCTAATTTTTCTTTTTGTTAAAATTTCCCTTTTAATTATAAGCTTTCTTTAATTCAAAATATTTTGATAAAATTAAAAAAAATAAAATAGAATATTGTACAATTTTTTAGTACTATCCTAACAAATTAACTAATGCATTTAATTTATAAAATAGAAATAAAAAGTATTTTGAATTCTACAAAAATTTGGAAAATAATATTAAAAAATTTCTTGATTTGATTTTATAAAATAACAAATTTAGATTTTTCTAAAATAATATTATTTATACTTCAAGATGAGAATGATTCAGTAATACATCAAAATAATATTGTATTCTTTCATCAAATTATTAAAGTCATGTCTATATGATAATAAAATTTTTTATAATATTGTAAATAGTAATTAGTAAAAATGGAGTATCTAAACAAAACTATAAATTTATATACAGATTAAATTAATCAAAATCTTCAGATTTATTAGTATAAATTGATCTTTATAATTAAAATGTATGATTTTAAATATATTAAGATTTAAACTTCAATATATTATAAATTATATTGAGTTACTCAATAAAATAATCTTTCTAGTATTGTATTTTGAAGATAGGCAATATGTGTAAATTGTATTTTTAAATTCTGATATTTTAGTAAAAATTGATTAAAAATCAATGATAATGAATGAATGTTTGATTTCTTCAATATGTTATTAAATAGTATAATTAATATATTGATCAAATTAAATAGTTGATTTGTATAAGAAAATAAACAAAAAACAATCCTTAGGGACTATAAAATATAAATATCAGATTTGGTTAATGTAATCACAGAACATACAGGCTTACTCACGGGTTCGTATGTGAGTAACAACAGCATGCTCTAAGGCCGATAACGAATATTTTCATCATACAAATAGTGTATTAGTTTTTTGTATATTGATAAGAAAAATAAATATTTTTAATTATGGGTTCTCTCATTATTCATAATACTTATATTTAGTTTTATCTCAAAAAAGTGAAATACAAATTATACAGTTATTATTAATTATATAAATGGGAAATAATTGTGCAGGGCAATGTGCTGGCTGTTATAAAAGAGATCTAGAAATTGTCGTAAATATAAGTCCCTATTTTAGAAAAGTGAGCAGTAACAAATTTTATCAGAGAAACCAATTGAATCTTCTAGTAAACGCAGTTCAAAAAATAATGTTTAACAAAATACAGTATAGTTGGGAAGCAAGAGTGATTTAACTTAAAAACCTATCACCAAAAGTTTAGTTGATATGGTTGAAGATAAGTAAAAGAAGACAAAAGCAATAGTTAAAATATAATCTCATTGGAGAGGATATAAAGTTAGAAAGGAAGTTTATTCAATGATAAAGAGTTAAACAAGTGTTAGTAGTCAAGTTAGCAAATCAACAGGGAGTTATTTTGATAGATTAGGAAATGAGTCAAAATCATAGAAGTATTAAAGAGTTGATTCAATAGATTACTTAAATTATATAATGGACAATGGTTAGGAAATGAGAGACATGGATAAGGAATTTAAAAGTGGCCAGATGGAGCCACATATGAAGGAGAATGGTAACATAATAAAGCAAATGGAAAGGGCATATTTCGTCATGCAGATAAAATAGAATATGATGGACATTGGAGAAATAACAAAGCAAGTGGATATGGAATATTAAAATCACCAAGTGGAGCTTATTATGAAGGAGAATGGGAAGATGATTTGTAACATGGATTTGGAAAAGAGAAATGGGCAGATGGATCATTTTATGAAGGTTAATATGTGAAAGGTATGAAATGTGGAAAGGGTAAATATGTTTGGAGTGATAACAGTTATTATGAAGGAGAATGGTTGAATAATAAAATACATGGATAAGGAGTTTATCATTGGATTGATGGGAGAGGATATATTGGATAATGGAAGAATGGAATGATGAATGGATAAGGAGAATATAGTTGGATTGATGGTCGCAAATATATTGGAAATTATTTGAATGATTAGAAGCATGGTTATGGAGTATATCGTTGGGTTGATGGTAAAGAATACAGAGGGGAATGGTAATTCGGATAATAAAATGGAGAAGGTACTTATATCACTGTTGATGGAAAAAGTAGGAAAGGATAATGGTAAGATGGTAAACTAGTTAAATGGATTAAATGATCTTATTTTAAATTAATTTTAACGAATATAAACACATGAATAATGATGAAAACACATCTTAAAATATCAGTCATGATTTAATCATTAAAAAGTGGAGAGATAAAGAAAATTAGTCATTCAATCGTAATTCTACCATATATAGTTCTATCAATTCTGTAATTGAAAGATCATAGCCATTTTAACATCTTAAATTAATAAATGGGTAATATTGGGGATAAATGAAAACAAATAAGCCTAATGGAATTGGTTCATGTTATTTTAATAATGGAGATTTTTATTATGGGGAATGGAAAAATAATGTAATTCATGGATTTGGAGTGTACTTTTTTAATGTTGGAGGTTATATTAAAGGAGAATTTAAGGAAGGATTTGCTGATGGTATATGTGAACTCTAGTATCAAAATGGATAACTCTATTAAGGGCATTTTAAAGTAGGTAAACAATAAGGGATTGGTGTTAAAATTGGTAGAAGAGGAAAAGAAGTAGTTTAATATAAAGATGGCATACGAGTATGTTTAAATGAAGAACCTTAATTGATGGAGGATATACAAATGATGTTGAAAGATCATTTACCATAAATTTATATTCATAACGATAGAGTTGTTTATGGTTTGTAATGTGATCTAACTGGTTTGGGAGTAATTTAGTATACTAATGGCAGAGTAGATTTTGGATGGTTTCAAAATGGATCACTTAATGGTAAAGGAAAAATCATCTTTAAGAGTGGAGATATTTATGATGGACTATTGAAAAATGGATTCTTTTAAGGTTAAGGTAATTTTTTTTGATTAATTTTAAGGCTTTTATTTAAATTACAATTCAAAATAATTGACAGAAGGACAATTCGAAAGAAATCAAATATTATCAATATAAAAATAAGAGTTTAGGTATCCTCCATATATAAATGAGGATATTTAAATTGTAGATTAAAGGATTCTTATAAAAAATATTCACTTAAAAACTAGACTTTTGATTGGCAACAAATAACATAATTCTTCTGAAAAAAAATCTAATAATGTGAACAAGATCTAAAATGGGATTTAACACATGCTTCAATCTATTAAGAAAACATAAAAAAGTGAAAGTAGTTAACATGAAGAAGTTTTAGACAATCTTTTATCTAGAGTACAATCACCACAATAAAGAAAGAATCTACAATAGATAATTAGTTAAGTTACATCTCCTTAAAGAATTAGATGATAATATATATATTATTTCATTTATAATAAATGTAACAATCAAAATTAAATAAATCAACCTTGTAACAACAATCAATAAAGGTTTATGTTAGAGTAAGACCTTTATTGAAAAAAGAGTTGGGATAGGAATGCATCATTAAGACTGATCAAGTAGTAATTTGTTCTTAGAAAATAGTAAAAATATGTAGTGATTGAACAATCTACGCATATACTGAAGTAGGAATATGATTAAGTTTTTGATGAGAAAGTTTCTTAGGCAGAAATATTCAAATTTATATCTCCAACCATTCATAAAGCATTGTAAGGATACAATACAACGATTATGGCATATGGTTAAACAGGCAGTGGTATTTCTGTCGTGCTTTTAAATAGGTAAAACGCATACAATGTTTGGGAGTGACTGGGAATATTCATTGAATATAAGTTTGGGACATTAATCGACATTCATTGATGATTTATAAACAGATTAAAATCATGCAGGTATGATACCTAGAACTATTTATACTCTTTTTAATAATTTACAATAGGGTTATTATGTTTACTGTTCATTCTTGTAAATCTACAATGAAAAGATTTATGATTTATTGCAAGATCACAAAGTACCTCAAGCTCTATAAATTCATGAATCAAAAACAGAAGGGATTTATGTTGGTAAATATAATCCAAGATTTTAGAATAATTGACTGAATACGCAGTGAATAATTTATATGATTGTTTGACATTGATGAAGAGAGGAGAGAAGAATAGAATGATCAGACAAACAACAATGAATTTAAAATCAAGTAGAAGTCACACTATATTTCAATTATTAATTGAAACAAGTAAAGCTGATTCAGGTGGATAATTATTGAGATCAAAAATCAATTTATGTGATTTAGCTGGATCAGAGAAAATAAATAAATAAGACTCAATGACAAATGCTCATTTAAATGAATTAAAGAGCATTAATTAATCTCTAACAACTTTAGGGAAAGTAATACAAAACCTATCTCAAAATAATAAAAATATTAATAAATTACCTATCCCATATAGAGAATCGAAAATTACTAGATTATTATAAGATAGTCTTGGTGGTAATACATTAACTAATATATTTGTCAATGTTGCTCCAAATATATATAATATTGATGAGACTGCAAATTCATTGAAATTTGCTTAAAGAGCTCGAAATATTACATAAATAGTATAAGCGAATTCAATTAATGCAACAGATCAAGAATTGGTTAATAAATTATTGAAGGAGGTAGATAATATATTTGAATATAGATTGACTATTTGAAACAGTTACTTAATATGAAGAGAAAAGGATTGAATAGCAATGATATTCATTTTAAATTAATGAAAATTTAAGAGGAGAATGAGAGATTGAGATAAGCAAATTTATCAGTAAATGAAGTTGAGAAATTGATGTAAGAAAATAGGAAGATGAGGGAGGAATTATAAAAGTTGTAATCTTAATCTCATGAAAACTCAGAAAGTTCTCATTTAATGAAACATGGATCTGAGGAAGGATTTTCAGGATCAGAAGTTGATAAACAATATAATACTTATTAATAGACAAAGCTCTCGAATAATGGTCTATTAATAGTGAGTAATCCAAGTATGTAGAAGACTGAAGTGACTGTTCGTTATAAGGATAGAGGAAATAAAATGCAAACTAAATTGGGATATGTTGAAGCTAGTGATTAAATGTTATAAAGGGAAAAGAGATTAATGAGTGAGAGAAAGAGAGTAATTGAGAGATTAGAATTGTTAGAATAGTTGTAATTCAAGAATAATCTAAATTCTTCTTTACCATTAAATGGAAAGATTCCTAAACCATCAAAGAAATACTCATACAATTTATTAAATAGAACTGTGGAAGAGGAAAGGATAAGTCTACCAAAATTAAAGATTGCAGAAAGGAAACTAATTCATGATTAATTAATATGAATAAATAAACTAAAATTTATGCATATAAACCATAAATCAATGTTTATGTGAATGGTTACTCTGATTTTAAAGCAACCATAGAAGAAAAGTTCATGCGTAGTCAAATGAACAAAAATTATGTTTTTCCAAGAACCAAGGAAGACCTATCTGAAAGTCGTTGTGAGGTAAAAAAAACACTTCCGATTAGAAGAAGAACTAATACAGAACCAAACTAAATAGAATTAAACAAATAATCTTAACCTAAGTCTGCTGAGAAAAAGGAGACTAAATAATTATTAATAAAAGGGTCTTTGACTGATAGAAAAAGTATAAGATAGACAATTCCTTAGTCTTAAATGCTAGCAGATTAAATTATAAAATAATTTGAATTATATAAAAGGAATAAAAGACTATTAAGTGTTGGAAAATCATTGAGTAGAATAAGAAATTTGTTACAAAAATAACAGATGTGAATATAATTTATATTATTTTAATTAATCATTTTATGTAAGAAGTCAAACCTCCTAGAGAATCTTTGGTTAAATATGAGAATCCCATTGAAGTTAGCAATGTTAATGATGCCACTAGAGGACTTTAAGGAAAAAAGAAAGCTTAGTTATCTCCTTTAGAGTCAAAACCAAATACAGAAGTAAATTATGTATTTGAAAATTCAAGGATATTTTGAATGCTATTTTGCCACCAATTGAATGGGATCATGAAGGAAAACATTATATATAATATGTGTCACATGTGGCAGCTACCAGAGAAGATGTTGGAAATTTACAAAAACTTTTGGATGAACGATTGTTAGCACGATAAGCAAGGTATTTTTATTTAAAAAGCTTTATTATAGAGAAACTGGCATATGTCCAATAAGAGAAGAATTATTGAGTTAATGTTTTGATGAAATCATCAGATAAGTTACAATCGACTGTCCTGAAAGAGGTATTAAATTTTATTTATTATTACTTAGGCTTGTTATTGATGAGAGTGAGAGATGAACTCAAGATGACTATAGCAGCTTATTAAACTTTATACAATTCTTCGGTTACTTTCGGAATGAGAAAATAATTATAAGCTGAAATGGGGAAAAGTGAATTGGAAGAAAAGATAGTATAGTTGGAGCAGAGGAAATAGAAATTAGAGGAGAAAGTATTAAATACATTTATTTAGAGAATCGATTTGCTTAATAAGAAGGATTCATTGGATAAAAAGATTAAAGAAAGAAATCAAATTGAAGAATAAAAAAGAAAATAAGAAATAGAATTCCTCAAATATTAAGGATAACATTTGGAAGCATTCCTTAAATCTGTTCAACCAGAATTGAAATGAATGATGTTATATATATTTATAAATCATTTATAATGGTACAATAATACCAAAACATAGCTTATGATTGTTAGAAAACTTAAAAAGGTCACAATGCCATACATTTTCTATTTCTATGTTTTATTGTAATCCGAAATAGCTTATAATGTGATTTCAGCTTCTTCTTTTGATCTAGCATATTGATTCATTTATATTTTTTTAATTTAATTATGTTACTTAATGTATATATATTTAGTAAATTATTAATGATATATTGATGGATTTCAATAAATCTTAAAGGTTAATCTACAGTATTTGATAAGATATGTAAAATATTAAATATTTGAAGTAGAATTTAAGTTTATTTAAATAATGAATCTTTCTAGAATAGAATTATTAAAATAAATCATATAATTATATAAATTTTTTTTTAATAATCTTCATCTTGTTGATTTATTAATTTTTATATACTGTTAAACAAGATTTAGACAATAATTAAATTGTATAAATTATATATATACATTTTAATATCAATAACTCATTTGATCTAAATTTAACTTTGAAATTTCTGAATTTATTATTCAATATCTTTTATTAATAATTATTATTTTTTTTTCTTAATCTAAGCTTCTTCAACGCTCTTTTATTATAATAAATCAATCCGTTCAAAATTCTATAGTTCTTTTTTAATATTTTATGCAATCTTTTGATATTTATCATCTTATTTATTCATATTTTTTAGAAATGCATCAATTTTATCTGAATTTGGTTTTTCATTTCCAGTTATTACCATTCTTGGAACAATTAAACCAGGCATTTTTCTTAATTAATTCCAATCAATTCCATCAAAGAATGGATGATCTTTAATTTCTTATATGTTATTGTGTCCAATTCTCTTTGTAAATTCTGGCTCCATGAATTTCTTAATTAAATCTGCTGCATTTTAGGATATGCAATCTTCCTCATCACCTATTTATGGCCATTCCATTCTCAAATTCAATATATTATCAAATAGTCTTTCAACTGTTGTATCATTGAAAGGTGGCACTCCCACTAACATTTCATACATGATGACACCTAAACTCCAATAATCTGTACTAAAATTATCAGAAGATATTCCTTTGATAATTTCAGGAGAGATATAATCTGGAGTTCCTACAATAGCTTTAGTTTCATTGGATTATTTTTTATGGGATTTATTGATATTGTATTATGGTTCATAATTGATATGATAATTTTGAATCATATCTCCAACAATTCCTTTAATTTTAAAATTCTACTACCTCTACAATTATTTCTTTAATTTGGTGTTCATACCTTAAGCAGACAACCCAAAATCTGCCAATTTTGCATGACCTTAACTATCTAATAGTATATTATCAGGTTTTAAATCTCTATGTACAATATTATTTTTCCTCAGGTATTCTAATGCTAAGACAATTTCAGCTAAATAGAATTGAACATAGGTTTCATCAAGTGCTCCATATACTTTGAGGATATTGGCAAAGTCACCTCCCACCATATATTCTTAGACAAAACAATAGTAATGATCATGAACAAAAGAATAATATGCTTTAACAACAAAATCACCAGTCAAAATTTCAAAAATATTACGTTCAGCTTTAAGAGTTTCTAATGAGGAATTAGCACAATCAATAATTTTAATAGCATATAAATCTTGTGATGTTTTCTTTTTACATAGTAAGACTCCTCCAAAAGCACCTTAACCTAATGGTTTAATAATATCAAAATCAGCCATTCTTACTGTATTATTATTTTGATTATCTTTAAATGTTACAACTTCACTATCAGAATTATATCCTTTTTCTTTGAAGATCTCTTTTTAAACATTCATATCAACATCATCATCTTCTATAACTTCAGTTTTTAATATTTATTTAGAATTGAAATCATCTTCATCTTCTTCTTCTTCTTCCTCTTTTTATTTCTCCATTTTAAATTTACTTAATTTTTATATTTATTATGGTCTAGAATGTATATCAGGAGTTAAATGAACAGATTTATTTTTTTCACCAAATAAAGGTTTGATTGCTTTTGTTTTTGGTTGAAGAGAGTTTTATTTCATCAAAGGATTTTAATTTAATTGATTAGAAAATTTTGAGTGTATAAAGGAGATAGAGTTAGCTTTATTTAAAAAATTCTTTTTAATGGAATCAATTTAAGATTCAGTTTCTTTATTTTGTATTTATTGTATTTTTTTTAAATGTTCAATTCTATTTTTTAATGAATTTTAAGCATCAATAATAATTTATTTACTTTATTAATGTGTTATATTTAGTAATGCCATAGATAATTCTGATACTAATAACATATTAGCTTAATAATATAATAAATTATATACATTTTAATTCTTCATTTTCAGGTTAATTAAATATCTTTTCTGCATGTTGATATATGGATGATAATGCTTAATTAATTGATCCTAACTCTTCTTCTTTAACGTCATCTTGTCTAAATACTCTTTTAGATTAATTCTTTAATTCTTTCATTCTATTAATTTAATAATTATAATAATTACAATTTCATTCCTTATTTAACTTGAATATCATGTTTGATTTAATATGCTTTTTCTGAAATAGAAGCAAGAATTAAGTTCTCTTAAACTAATAATTTTTTAATATTTGCCTTTTCTAAACAACCTTAACTATGTTATTACATTATATTCATATTTATTTCTTAGTCACATATTCTACAAACTGAAAGATTGTCTTTTAATATTTGATCTTTCTTTTTTTGTAAATGTCTACATAACAACATAAGATATACTAGATTTGTTTATTCATAAATATTGAAAACACCTTCAGATGTGAATAATCTAAATCCATTAGTAATTTATTTAATACTATTATACATTGATGGATTAAAGATTCTAATTATCTATTATAATAATTGGAACTAATCTTACTTAACACTAACATTCCATTACTTTTATGGTTGTTATAATCTAAGTTTAGATTACGATTGATTTAGAATAGGTATAGATGAGTATTATGACACCATATCTTGAATTAGATGTTCTAAAGTCTAGCATTCTTACTAATCAAGATTTGATTCTATTTGATTCAATTTCATAATCATATCATTTAAATATATGAGTAATCTCGATGTTGCTGAAGACTTATTTCTAAATTAGCAATAATTACTTTACTAAATGACATGCTGGTTGTCTTTAAATTCTATTGTAATTACTATAGTAAGTGTTTCTTTTAATGGAAATCCAAAGGAGAATCATCTACAATAATTTTCTTGTAAATCAATTCACTCTAATCATGATAATCATGTTAAGACTTTCTACGAACTTTATTTTGTTTCATTAATTATAATTTATTGCATTAATTTGCATCATATATTTATAAAGAGTATAATAATTCTCTCAATAAGAACTTCATATTCTTAAAATCAATATTTCTATATTCAATAATATAGATAATATTCATATAATTTAATTGATTATGCTTAACATTAAAAATCAATTAAAATAAGTGTCACATATTAATATTACACATTCTTAATATATATCATTTAATTCTCTTTTAGAACTATTCATCTTCCCAATCCATTTCATCCCATTTTGGTTAGGTATCAATTTTTTTAATGGGGACAACAGGTGCTTTTTACACTGGAGGTTTAGTAATCTGATTACTTTATTTTAATAATTGGGCAACTGATTGTAAATCAGCTTCTTCATTTTCTAAATCAAATTGAATATAATATCCACATAAATGAACAGTTCCATTTCCTTTTACTTCAAGCTTTGTTATTTATGATTCAGGTGTAATCTTAATTCTAAGAGGCATTTAGGAGATTTTCTAAGGATCTATATAATCATACTTAATTCAATGAGGCTATGACTATTCCATTCATTAATACATTAAGGTTGGTTCCTTTAACCAAAACTGCTTATGATAATACAAATTAATTGTGATCATCTACCTTCTGAATAGTTTATGATTCCCCTGCAGATAATTATATACCATAAAACATATTTATTTATAAATATTTTAATTTAAAATCATACTATTATTTATAACCTAATAAGTCATATAATTTTGTAGTATTTACATTAACCAACAGAATTATTCAATTTTCATATCAAAATAATCTATTGAAATATAAAGATATCTTTTAAATTCATAGATGATACCTAGATATTTATTTTAGTTATTCATTTAGAAATGTTGTTAATTTATTATGAATTTTTATTATATTAATCTAATATAGACGAATTTAAAATTATGAATATAAATAAACACATTCTTTAATTCAATTTATTTATTTGAAATACAAAATAACTTTAATTTAATTATATTACTATTATTAGAAATTAAAATCTTAAATTATATATATATATATTTTAATTCCTCATCTATAGATTACTTTTTAATATATTTATTTCAATATATTATTAAATAATAATTATTATGAATATATTATCTATATAACAATATTCTAATATATACACTTAACTTTGATTTTCAAACTAAGTATTATTGATATTAATCTTTAATAAATAGATTTTACATAATATTTCTATTTATTAATATAACAAAATTGTTAATTTGCTTATTTGATTTAAGTTTATTCAAATTTCTATTTGTACATATAAGATACAAAAAAAGAACCCCATTCATAGATTATCAACTAAAATTCTCGAATTGTAATTGAAATAAAATATTTACGTGTAATTATTATTAATTATGATAGCAAATATAATTACTTTGTTAGTTTCTTTCCTATCATTAACATTTATAGGTTTATTGTACACAGAAATAGTCACCTATAAATACTAAAAGGATGTTGAAATATTTATTGGTTTCTTGAATAAGTTTATATCATAAAATTATTATAATCCTTAGTCATTTGATAGATAAGTAACTAATTATTTCTAAGTAGTTTAATTCACTTCTTGTATAACCACAAAATGATTATTGTATCCAATCTGATACATATAAATATTACCATCCAGATTCTATTATGAAAGACACCTATACATTTAGAGAGTATTCAGGTTTAGTAAAATAGGCACTATAACAACATTTTTTTGATGTCTTACCTAATGTTACACTCTACAAAAGAAACAAAGATAGTAAATAATATTTCATTTTTAGTACCTAATAAATATAAATTTCCCTTGTAATTAACACTACCATATACTTATTATGATTAATTACTATTTACATTTAAAGTAGGATAAAGTATATTATATTATCATTATTAAAAATAGGTTCATTATGTCTCTTTCAAAACTATAATCATTTACCTTAAAGATCCTCTTTATCACACAAAAATCAATTGATGACTAATCAACTAAATTATTTAAATGATATCAAAAATAAAGGTCTTGATGAGGATTGCATAGTAATATATTATTTAATATTATTAAGGTAAATGCAACTTTTCTTCCTAAAACTTATAGACTTTTTGAAGAATCTGAATGTAAGTAATTTTTTACTTATTTGAATTCAACAGAATATTAGGATAAAGTAAATAAAGATGGTCCATAATTTATTGTCAAAATGGGATTAGAAGTTCATAGAGGAAGAGGGATAACAATGTTGTTTCCATAAGAAACTGAAAAATTGAAGGAGAAATTTCAAAATGGATAGGTTTGTGGATAAATGAAAACATATAAAGTAGCTTAATAATATATAGGGAATCCATTATTATTTAAAGGACATAAAATAGAGTTTAGAGTTTATTGGATAATTGCATCAACAAATCCATTGATTGCATATGCATATGATAAAACACTTATTCGAAGATGTATTAATCCATTTGATAAATTTTCAACACTCAAAGGAGCTCATGTTTGTAATACAGCAATTGTTAAGAAAACTTTATAATCCATGATAAATGAATCTCAAGAAAATGAAGATAATGATGAAAATGATGATAATCATGATGATGATGAACTTACAAATAATAATTAAAATTAAAATAATTATAAAAATTAAAATAATAATAAAATTTAAAATAATACTATTAATAAATCTATTCAAGATTAACCTAATTTTTAAGATCTTTATATAGATTGGAAACTTGATTATTTATAAGAAATATTATTAAAATAGGGTAAAATAAAGAATAGAAAATGGTTAAAATAAGAATTGTTACCTTAAGTTGATAGAATGATTATTCATGCAATCAGAAGCACATAATATACATTTGCAAAAGATAGCAAATTAGGAGAATTCTTTGCTGCTGATTTTCTATTAACTGATGATCTTAAACTTCATATAATGGAAATAAATTATAATCCATAAACTCTAAAGACTACTTAGGCAAGATTAAAATAACATACTAAAATGGTTTAAGATATGGTTGAAATATCAAATGCCTATTTAAGAAGTAGATATATAAGATTTAGAAAGATTATTGATAGAGTTTTAGATAAATTATAAAATGGGAAATCAAAATTACAAGATTTCTTAAATCATAAAATGGGCTAAGAAATTCATTAAGCATATTATAGTAGGTTAGAACCAAATATTTAGATTAGTTCAAAAAATTTATTTAGATTAATTATGGATGATGGTTTACCAGGAACATCTAAATATAAAGACCTTTTATAATAAAAGTGTATGAAATGATTTAAAATTATATTATTCATTTATTTTTAAGATAATTTATAGTAATTTAATATTATAATAATTTTATTAAGATAATCTTTTTGTTCTTTTACCGTTGAAATTAAAAAATTAAAAAAAATAAACAACACAATGTTGATCTAACAGCAATAAAGATAAATGCCAAATACACCCATGCAAAGTAATGCAAGAAAAGTTATTGAAAACTTCAGTTATGCACTTACAGATGCAATTGGAAAGGGTTTTAGTTCTGTTGTGTATAGAGGTAGAAATGATGAAACAAATGAAATTGTTGCAATTAAAGTTATTGATAAAAAAGGACTCAAAACACCATTACATTATTAATTATTAAAATCAGAAGTAGAAGCATTATCATAACTAAACTCAAATAATATAATGAGATTATACAAAGTTTATTACACAGAAAATAATACATATCTAATAACAGAATATTGTGACTCTGGTGATTTGGGTTCATTATTAACTAAATAAGGAACATAAAAAGAACCATAGTTATAAAAATTATTTTCAGGAATAATATAGGGATATAAATAGATGAAATAAAAGGGTAAATTTTGTATCTTATTTTAGGAATTGTACATAGAGATCTAAAACCAGCCAATATTCTATTAAAAGGATAAATACCTAAAATAGCAGATTTTGGATTTGCTACTACTCCTTAGACTGTTACTACAATGCCCAATGTTAATGTAGGATCACCATTGTATATGAGTCCTTAAGCATTTAAAAATAGATATTCTGAAAAATCTGATATATGGGCATTAGGTGTTAGTTTATTTGAATTATTATTTGGTTAAGTTCCATGGTAAGCAGGAACTGAAAGAGAATTGGCTTAGAAGATGGCTAATGTACCTGTTAATTTTTCAGGACATATTTCAAATGAATGCAGAGACTTTATTTAGAGATGTTTAATAGTAGATGAGAATAGAAGAGCAACAGTTGAAGAATTAGAAAGACATATATGGTTATAAAGATAAGAATTATAAGTAATTAAAGGGAATGGATTCTCTAGTATTTTTAGAGGTAGTCATGGTGGTTAATCAAATCATATTTAATTTCAAGGTGTTTAAAGTAATGGTTGTATAAATACAACATCTCCTTTAGGGGAAAATCATAATAAATAATAGATATTTATGTAACAAAGAGAAAGTAATTATGGAAAAGAAAATACATCTTCAATATCTAGATAATAGTAAACTAGTAATTAGTAACAATAATTAAAAAAAAGGAAGGAATCATAAGTGAATGAATCTATGAAACAAGAATATTTTAGTTAGAGAGAAGAGGAATGGAATGATAATAAAAAGAATGATTATATAATAGTAGCTTAAATGAACTTTTGCAGATATTTATATAGAGTAGCATCATTAATTGACAAATATCGATTTGTTACAACTTCATATTTAAGAGAGAAATTACTATTTTTAGTTAATAAGAATATAATGATCAAAATAAATAATCTCAAAGAAGTCATAGATAATCATAACTCTCTTAATTTAAATAAATTTGAATAATATATCTAGAATCCTTAATTTAATAAATTAAGTGCTGCTATTAATTAATATATTCAAAAATATACTTTATAATTCAATACTGTTTGGTTATCTTTATAGAATCCAGAATAAAAATAATTATTAATTGTTGATAAAAAGTTTGATGCTGTTTTTGATGATAATTTTACTGAATATGAATCTTTTTATATAATTCTCAATTCAATTCTCAGAAGTGCAATAAAAGAGATTGAATATTAACTCGAATAGAAGATCAAATTTGAAAATACTCAATAATTATTACCAATAGATATCGAAGGTGGTGTAATATTATTGGATTATTTGATAACATACTTTTAATTAGCATCACTCATTCAAGAATGTTTTGAAGATCATTATGGATTTGCTGTAGATTCTAAAATTGAATAAATTGCTGATGGTAAACCTGTACGTTTGACTTATGGACATTACATTGAAATTAGAAATAAGATAAAATAACTTGATATTTGATATATAGTTTATATTGACTGTTATTTTATACAGAGTATAATTAAGTTAAAAATCATTCACAATCAAGAACAATTAACTATTTTAATTATAATATTTTAAATAGAGATGTAATCTCAAAATAATCAATATCTCTAATTTGTTGGAAAACCACATATTACTGCAGTTATAGCAGGTGGTAGGAGAAGAGTAAATTATACATTCGAAGATAAAAGTGAACTTGTTGAGGAATATGATATCAATAATCATGAATTAATTAGTATATTTTGAATAATAAGTAAATAACAGCTAGAAAATGGAAAAAGGTATCCAATATTAAAGAATCTTAATGGATTTATGAAGTTGGAGAAGCACCAATTGATCAATAAAGTGAATTGAAATTATCTAATACTAATGTAATCATTTATTTAATATATAATAGCCTATATTTGTAAGAAAGGATACTCCATAACACTTTCAATATAGAGTTCGTAATCTAAGTTATCCAGAAGATGTATATCAATTGGAAGTGGATGAAAATACTCAAGAGATTGTTATTAGAACATCAAATAAAAAATATTATAAAAGATTTGCTATTCCTGATATGAGGAGAGCAAATCTAAAACTTGAATAGGGAAAGGTTACTCATGTTTATAAGAATAATACTTTGATTGTGTCTGTAAATAAATAAATATTAAATATATTAATTAGTATCCAAAACCAGATTAAATATTAGAGAGAGAGTATTAGATTAGATAGGAATTTGATAAATTAAATAAAAAGAAACCTAAGGAAGGTGATTTAGAGTGTGTATAACAATGATATATATCTATTGTATTTTCGTAATATAGAAAATAACTTAATCCATCATCTCAATTTTGCTTTAATAATAGAAGAAATAGGTAATTTATATCTAATTTTTAATCTTTGTTATCTTCGAGTATTTTAGGAGCTTTACTAAAGTCTAAAGATTCAATCACAGATTATTCCATATTTTTTAATTATTATAGTACAAGATAGTTAAAAGTTTCTATAGATTCTTCAATTGTACATGGAATTTCAATAGTTGGACCAAATTAAATTTCTTCTTAATTTCTTTTACAACATAATCTCCATTTAGTTAAATATTCTCCTTATTTAATTAAAGGTATTTTGAATGAAATTTCTGTGGTTTCTTCGGCTCCAGATTGTAATGGTGTAACTTAAGATATGATTCCTTTAAATTCTTCAGGATGTATACATTTAAAATAGGTTTCATTAGACCAATCAATAGTTCCATTATTTTTATACTTTAAATTGATATTAATTTATTGTTCAGGTTTACCTTTAGTATGATTTTCAAATAAATAAATTAGTTAATAATTATACTTGCGTTAATGATAATCTAAAAATTAATCAATTGTATTGATTTTAAGTTTAGTTTATATTTCTTTCATTCTACTTTACAATTTATCCTATATAAGTATATCCATCAAATTAATATCCTCATTTTATACTTAAATGTAGTATTTCCCAAGACAAAGATTGCAATTTAAACTATTGCAACAAGGAATGGATTTATTTTTTGATGAAACAAATGCTTCATAATATTTAAAAGACATGATTATTTTATTAATCATTTAACATTTTATATTCTTAATATTAATACAATATTGTCAAGCTATGATATTATAATCAACTTCAACTGCCTTATTTTTCATACGATAAGTAACAAATCCAATGCCTCCTAATAATAATAATCCACCCACTATTATCAAAATAATCCACCATAATTTTGAACTATTATAAATATATATAAAAATTATACCTTTCTTCAGGTTCAGGATTAGGAGGGTCAGGATTAGGAGGATCTGGATTCACAATAATATTCAATTCAAAATCAATCTAAGAAGAACTGAAATCATTTCTAACTTTAATGACTACTTTTTCTGATTTTAGTGGATTATTAGTTGTTTAAATGAATGTTAAATAAGGTTCTGAATTTATTTAATATTATTATGTATCACTAGATGGTGAATTAGAATAGAGTTTTTCATTTCTATAAAATAATCCAAAATTTAATGGGTTAAATGTTGAAGCATCTTCTGTAAAACTGAAACTTCCAATAGCTGTAGTTGGTTTATTTGATTCATTGATTGGATAAATTGCTATTACAATCTTATCTTAATTTTAATAAGGAATTGCAGCATGATTCTTAGACACAGCTACATTTCTAACAGTATTCCAATTACCATATCTATTCAATAAGAATTGACTTTCTAAACTTTAATAAATTAAATACGATTATCCTTCCTTTATAGTCAATTTAATCTTCAAACCATAATGAACTACATTGCTTGTTTAAATGAAAACATTTAATGTATTTAATTCAAATGATTTTAATTCTTTGATTAACAAATATTAAGTAGAACTTATGGCATATTGTTATATTTTTTATAATTCTGTTGTTAAATTAACATATTCTAAATTAATTGTCATTAATTATTATTAATTTAAAAAATAATAATCTAAAAAGAAGATACCTTCTCCACTTGTAATAAGTACTTTGTAATATTGAATACCATTAACTTTATTAACTGGTGTGATAAGGAAATCATTAGGAGTGAATGTTAATAGGTCTTCATATTTAGTTTGAATGTGATTTAAATTGATTATATATTCTTCATCTAAAACCCAATTTTCTTAATCCTCCATATTAATTTTGAAAATAATAAATGATTCATTATCCAAGATAATTAGATAATCATTTTAAAGTAGTTCAATTTTTTTGGTATGTTTATTTAATTTAAATACTTCACCTAAAGGAAACCATCCTGTCAAACTAATACCACTGGTTGCATAAATAGTGTATTGATTTCCATCATGACATAAACTTAGGATATAATAATCTAATTAGGTTGATTAAAAACATGAATAATCTTTAGAAATAAAATCTAATGGAACAATTTCTTATAAAGTATCATCATCATTAAAGAAAATTAATGCATCAATAGCTTATGCTAGGTTATTATTGATTGATCTAATTTTATATGGTTTGAAAATTGAAAAATTTGCTTATTCAACTGTTTATGTTATTGAAATTCCATTCTTTCCTTTATTACATTATTCACAGATGATTTAAAATTCAGAAATCTAACCACTATACCAATCATTTCCTAATTTCTTTTCTTTTTTAACATAATCCTTAGAATCTATTTCAATTGAATTAGCTTTGAATTTAGTGTTATCAATATATACTTTTGTTTATGTATTAATAACTTTTATAGGTTATTTAATATTGATGGAAGGTGTATCTTCAAAGTTATAGATCATAAGAGAAACATTTACTGAAGCAGCAAATTATGGATCATTAATAGAAGGTTCAATAATTAATACAGGATTAGTCAACATAGAATATACATATGTAGAAGTCTTAGTTTGAAGATAGATATACATTTGAGATGAAGTACCTTATGTTGATATTAATTATGGATCTTCAATTGGTAAAGCTTAGAATAATGCTTCATGTTAAAGTGTATTAGGTTGAATAACCAAGATATGATACTTATTATTATCTTCATTAATTAATTACGTTTTTGTTTTAGCATTAATAAAGAGATAACCTGTGTCTGAACAGAAATCACCTAAAATAGGTTAGACTAATTCAAAATCATATAATTAGACTACTTTAGTCTTATAAATATTGTTCAATCTATCAAAATTAAATTCTATAATCTCATTAGTTATTATGAAGAATGTTTCAGCACCAATAGCTATTTCTATATTATCAGATTAATCTATATCAATTTATTTAATGAAAGTATATGATGTATGGAAATCTAATATAGTTATATGATCTTGATGAACAACAAATATAAGATTCTCTCTTAATTTTCTATTACCAAATATTTTCTTAGGTGTCCATCTTCCTTTATAACCTTATTCTACTAATAAATCTAAATCAATAGACTTAACAAATTCACCATGTTCTGTATATGCATGAACATTTTCATTCTAAAGTAGAAACAGATAATTCTTTAAGAATAATATGCTAATACCATTCTCAAATGGGATTGTTTTAATATCTTTGATTTAATTATCAGAGTATACTTTAAGATTAACTGATTTATTTTCTACATAAGCAAAATGAAATTTGGGACATTCACATTCCCACATTTAAAATGTTGATTTAGTTAATTTAGTACCAATACTTATATTATCAAAGATTTTCTCATAAGTAGCATCACCATTGAAAATAGAATCATGAGTAGCTTTAAGAATAGTTAATTTCCCATCTTTATTTTATTAAGCCAAAAAGAAATATGATGGTTGTATACCAACTAAAACATCATGGAATAATAGATCTTTTTATAATTCTTAAGGGAATTTTAATTCCCAATAAGTTTTCAATGAAACTTTAACAGCAGTAGCACCATCTTTGAATTCTACAATTTATTTGTATTATTCATTTGGACCACTTGTTAGTACATTTAATTAGAATGGTTCAGTATCTTCTGTTATTTAATTTGGAAATGGAGTGAGAGTATCACTATATTTATATAGTTATTTATCATCACTTTCAATTATTTAATATGTAAGTTGAATTTTACAAATTTGATCAATACTTGTTGCAATTATTTCAATCATTTTCTTTTCTTAGACATCATCAGAACCATTATATTATAAATATCCTTAAGATAATGTATATCTATAAGCTTTATCCAAAGTCAATACTATCATATCAGGTAAGAATGGATTAATCATAACATAATTAGTTTATGGAATCACTTGTAATTGTAATAAATCCTTTGATTTTGCATCTATATCAAAAAGATAAGTTGCATCCTCATGTCTAACAACTATGAATTCTTATGATAAATCAATATTTGCTGGGAATGTATAATGAATACCATTAGGCAATTTATATTCTGATTTCAATTCACCATTTACAATTAATTCAACAAAACCATATCCTAATACAGCAATATTTTCACTATATGTTCCATCCCTTCTCAAAAAGATGTTTCTATCAAATGCATATGCAAATCCCATACCAGTTTCAATAAACTTCTTTAATTAGAATGTTCCATTTGGAATGTAATTTACTACATATATACCATATTATGCATCCAATAAATATATATCTCCATTCTCCAACACCTTCATATCAACTATATTAAACTCAAAATCATATTATTTATTTAACAACAAAGACATAGTTAATCCATCTAAAACATATCCTGTATTAGATGGTTAACCCTTATTATTCAATAAGAACACTTCCAATAATGAATCTCCACTTATAGATCCATCTTGTGACGCTGAATATGATGGAGTTGCCCTCACTAAATATCTGTATTCCTATCCACTTTATCCCTTAACTTTGTATTAGCCTAATAAACGACCATGTTTTGCTTATACTAATGCTTCTTCTATCAAATATTCATATGAATCTCCATCATTCACATAATATAATACATTTTTTATTGTATTTCCAACTATTTTTGAACAATCTACTATAAAGGTTTTATCAAATATATATTCTATATCATAACAATCTAATTTATCTTCAATCTAATTTAAAGTTATAAACTCATCAAATTTTGGAGCTATTACATTCTAACCTGCTTCTCTATTTTATTAATTATTTCTTATACCCAATTGCTATTCCCAATGTTATTGATGTCGTTCCCTTGTTTAAAAACACAAATTAATTCACCCAATATTTATTAGACTTTAATGCTTTTGATGATATAATCTTTTCAGCAGCTAATAATATTTATTAATTAATAAATACCCTAAGAATATAAAGCTGAACCACCTGTATTCTCAACTGGATCTACTATCCTAAATTAGTTCTATTGGGTATCACTTAAAGAGAATGTTAATCCTACTCCATTAAACAATTCATCTATCAAATTCCAATTCAATTATTCATCTTTTGTAGCATAAACTGTCAGGGAATCTATTTTTTAGCTGCATTTCTAAACACAAGGTATTGTTAGTAAAGCAACAAATAATAATAAAGAAATCAGATTCATTAATTAATATATTAACATAAGCTCAATTAATATAGATAATTATACAATTCAATAACGAATTATTAAAATTGATATTAGAAACAATAAACATTATGAATCTCAAAAACCTATTCTATTTATAATCATTTATCCATTTTAAATAATTCTATTTGTAAGATTTTATAGATAAAAATATATTTGTTTAAATAATATTCTTTATTTAATAATTCATGAAGCTTTGAATTAATAAATAAATAATTATAGTAATTATATAATTCTAGCTATTTTGTCTTTATTTTATAATGATATTTGATAATATTTTCCAAGTTTTAAAGAAACTATTTTAAAAAGTGTATAAAATAACAATTTATATATATATAAATAATCTGTCAGGAATAAATGTAATATTTTATTGAACAATTAGAACTTCTCTTTAAATTTTTAAATAATATTTATTGTTTTTTAATATATTCCTTTTTTATAGTATATCTTTTGTTTTATTAATGTTTTTTAATCAAAGACAAAATTTGAAGATATATAGTTTTATTAATCTACTATTTAAGGTGATTATAAGTAATCTTTTTAATAATTAAGGATGAAATGAAAATTAAAAATAAACCATTATGTAATTATTTAATATATTTGTCTTGTAATGAAGTTAACAATCTAAATAATAATTTTGTAAATACTGGACACTTATAGATATTATTAATCTCTAAAGAATAATGATTTATTAAATAATATAAATATTTCTAAAAAAATAAGTATTTATATTAATAGTTGATTATTGCTTGATATTTAAAACTAAATTATATTTTGTACTTATTAATGTAAAATTGTTACTTAATTAATTTTTCATTAATATTATTTATATATAAATAAGTTATTTGATTATTATTGTTATATGCTCATAATAATAATTTCAAAGTGTTTAATTATTATATCAATCATCATGAATCTCATCCAATTAAAATTAATTTATATTATTAAATTCTACTTATTACTTTAATAATTATTAATGCTTTTTATTTTCTCTACATATTTTCCTTATAAAACCCATTTTTTCATTTTTTTTATCCTCCAAATTAACTAAAATTGTATTGTATAAAGAATACTTAAATTTTAAGCCTTTTTCAATAGATAATAATAATCTTCAAGTGTTTTTCTTGGACATCCAACTAATTCAGCTGCTTAATCTAATGTAATCCTTACTGTTCTTCCATCGATAACTTTAGTTTCAGTTTCATAAATTTATCTAATTAGAGTAAGTAAATCTTAAACCTCCATAATTTAACTAAATTCATAGCTTCACAAACATATCTTTCCTTTGTTCTTGCTCTTGGTTATTATTGCTATTATTATTATTACTACATTAATTTTATATATTTTATACAATTTAATATTATAACTAATATTATCAATCATTAATCTAAATTTTTGTTTTTAGGACTCTTCAGTAATATTTATTTTTTTTATCGTTCAATATCTTTAGCTAACATTTATTGTTATTAAAATAATTTCTCTTTATCATCTTTAAATTATTATGCCTTTTCTAATTTCTCTTATAATTTTTTATTTTTTGTTTCTACAATCTCTTTAAGCATTTCTGCTGCTTTTTATTTATGTTCTTTAATTTGTTCTTCTTTTTTCTATTTTTCTTATTCTAATTTTAATCTAGATAAGGATTATGTTTCAGTAATAGATTTTAAATGTTCTTCATCCTTTAATCTTAACTTTTCTTAAAATGTTTCATTTTTATTATTTAAAATATTACCATTCTTTGATTTTATCTATAATTAAGTATTTAATATTACATTTTTTCTATGATTATTTTTATCTATTTCAAATAATTCTATCTTATCTTCTGCTTATTTCAATTTCTCTTATATTGAATTGATTTTCTCTTCTACTTGTTATACTTTCAATTATGCCTTATCATTTTTTTCAGCCATAATTTTTTTATAGTTTTACTAATTTAAATAATTGAAATATCCATACCATAACCTTTTTCAATTTTTCTAATTTTTCCTTTTTCTTATGTTCTAACATTTCCTATTTAGTTTATTAATTAACTTCTATTTCATCTAATTTCTTTTTATATTATTCTATCTTTTATAATTTATCTTAATAATAAGCATTTTTCTCTTCTTCATTTTTTTATTTGATTTTCTTAATTTATTTCTTCTTAGCTAATTTCAATTCATTCAATATCATTTCTTTTTTATCATTTAATTCCTTCCATAATTCCTCTTATTCTTTTTAATTCTTATCTAATTGTAATTTTTTGATTAAAATCTCTTCCTATTATGTTTTGACTATTCCTTCTGCTATTCTTAGATTTACAATAAATCTAATACTTTTTAACAGTTGATTTCTTATTTCTATTAGTTAAAATAGTTTCTTAATTATTTTAATGGTCATTAAGTTACTCCAATACTTTATCATTTGATAAATCAATTTATTTTAATTCTTTCAAATGACCTTATTCTATCTTTTAAATTTGAATCAATTTCTCCTTTTCTTTCTCTTTCTTCTTTAATTCAATCTAAAATATATATATATATATTATGTTTTACCAATAATTTCTTTTCCTTCAAAGTCTCTTCAACTTACTATTATTTAGATTTAGTCTATTCAAGAATAGAGAATTTACGTTTCTCTTATTCTGCTTTTTATTGTTCATATAATTTTAATTATTCTAATTCTCGTTCCTCCATTATAAATGAAATCATACTTGTTTTTTCTTCATTTTATTTAACAACTTATCTTCCTATAAGGCAAGATATTCATTCTCATCTATTGATACAGATTCAAGTTATACATTAAGCACCATCAGTTGCTTTTTTCATTTTCATATATAATATATAAATTATATAATATTTATGAATGTATGTAAATGATATTAGTGTACATTTTAGAAATTGTCTATTGGAAATGCTAGTCTTTTAAATTAACTTTAGAAGTTAAATTTTATATATATGCAATTTAATTAATGATGGATAATAGTTATGACCATTGGTTTTCAAAATATGATTAAGAGTCTTTTGAAAAAGATTTCTTGAAAGTTCCATATTATGAGTTCCTAAATCAGTTGGTATCATGAATCAACATTATTTAGATTGTTAATCCTGATTTCAGTCTTCTTCCAAATGAACCTTAATTATCATTAGATAATGTACATAAGGTATTGTAATAGACTATACAAAAAAATCATTTGATTATTTCAACATTCATTTTAAACTTACTTGATAATTCAAAAGAGCCTTTTTTAAGATGGGTGAGAAGTGTAATTGCATTTATAGATTGTGAAAAAATCTATTCAATTATGTTTTGGAATTTAAATTTCATTCCTAACTTCCTTGAATATAGATTGTATGCTAGTTTCATTAGACTTTACAAATTCTTAATCAGTTTAAACTAAAATGTGATTTAACCAAAATCTCTTATAACAGAATAAATCAGATTGTCAAACAAATTCACTATTAAAACACTTGCTGAAAGATATTAAGATGCTTTATATGTATCCTTTGATGAATTGGCCAAACTTTAAAGACAAATGCTTAAAGTATTAAAACCATTAGTTAGTCAAAATCCTACATTAATAGGTAAGATTTACTATTTCATCTATCATATGTATGATAAACCAACAATGCAATTATTAAAAGATCTTGATTAATAATTTGGTTAATTAGAAAATTAATGGGTCAAAAAGATTTTAATAGAAAATGAATTGGCTAAAAAATACATTGATGCTTATTTAAATGATGATAAATAAGGTGGAGATCAATTTGAATTTGAAGATTCTGAAATCTTAAAATAATTAATGAGTTAAAATAAATAAGAAAATTTATATAAAGTGGATGCTTAAGATAAATCATTATTAGAAAAATCAAAGAAAACATAATTTCTTAATAATTTAGATAACAAAAACAAAAGAAGGAATCATGATGGTAAATCTTCAGTTTTTGTATAAAATTATAGTATTGTTTCAGATTTAACAATTTCATCTAATGAAAATAGATCTAAGATTTATTCTGAAGATGTATCTAATATAAAATATAATAATGTCTAATCTAATTTAACAAGTGAATAATATACATTTAATCAATATTCAAATAATAATTTATAGAATTCAATTATTGGATTTTTAGCTAGTGATCTTATTCATCTTGAAAAAGAACATTAATAAGAATTTAAAAATAATAAATTACAAAAAAAAATATAAATTGATGATTCTATCAAATTAAATGATGATTTAGTAGAATTTATATCAAAAGCAGATAATTAAATTTCTATTATTAAAGATGAAGATATTTTAATTGGAGATAATTATAAAAGGAAAAAATAAAGAATTAAAAATACTAAAAACATAGAAGAAAATGAATCCCCTGATGTTCATAGAAAGTAAACATTGGTCAATACTAAATAACACGAAAATCATGAAGAAGAATTAAGAAAAGTAAGAGCCAGAAGATTATTAGGTGAATAAAATCAACTCTTTAATGAAAAACATAGATATGCAAATAATTAAGATAATCAATTATCTACTGATAAAGATATACATAGTAAATTATATTATATAAATTTAGGATATTCATTTGAAGATTCAATAAGTGAAGAGGATGATGAATCTGAGGATGAAATTAAATTCAAATAATAATAAACTAAAGTAATTATTCCAATAAATTAATCCTAAAATACTTAAGGAATTATATTTGATAAATTTTAATAATATTCTGGATTATATATTTAAGGAGGATCTGAAAAAAATAAATATTTCTTGAATCGATTATTTCATATGAATGAAAATTCACTTAGAATATCAGGAAAATCTTTAGCTCCAGATTTTGAAGAAAGAAAATGGTAATTATTATAATTTAAATTAATTAAGGGAATTTTTAAAATAAAGTATATTACCATAAAATGTAATAAAAGAAGAAAATTATGTTTTAAACTTTGATGAACAAATTAAACCTATTTTTGATAGATAATACAAATTCAAATCAAAATTAAAGAGTAATTATGAAAAATACTATTATTTTTGAATGCTTTTTTAATATATCAATAATCATTCTTTTAAATCATATATTGTATCATAATTAAATTTAATAACACTCTAATTAATACAAATTCTATTAAAATTTATATAAAATTAATTCATATATAAAATATATTTCTTACAAAATTATTTTAATAATTGCCATATTTATTAAAATAAAGCTTGATTAATAATACTAAATATCCATGCATTCATATTTCAAAGTATTTTTGGAATTTCAACAATGCTTTTAATTTTTAGGATCTTGACTCTTAAGAATCATCTCAAATTATTAAATTAATTGATTATAATGTTTAATTAAAGATTTCCTTTCTTCAAAACACTTGAATCAATTTTGCGAAAATAATCTATTATTTAAAAATCTATTCTGAAAATTGAATTAATAAAGTCTTGAAAAGTACAAGAGTTTACAAAGGCTTAATATTAATTTAATAACTTCAAATGATATTATATTAATATCCTTAATAACTATTATTTAAAAGTAACATTGTATATATTAGGTTATCTTGATATGTTTTAATTTATTTTTACTTATATTTGATGAATAAATTTTCTAATGAAAAAACTATAATACATTTTAATTAAATGTTAATGATAATATTTATATTTTTATATTAAATTATAATTCAATGAAAATTAAAAGCATGATTTGAAAAAAATAAGACAATCTGCCAAAAAGTGAATATCAAATGAATTTTTAATAATACAATAATAATTATTAAATACCTATATTTTTCTAGAGGTATAATACTAAGTTTTACTTTAAAAAAAAAGTTCACAAATTACTTGAAAGTAATCATAAATGTAGTATTAATTAATTAGATAATTTAATATCTGGTCATTTAAGAGGGAGAAATAGATGGAAACAGAAATTTAGATAATTTTTGATTAAAAAACAATTTAGAATAACATTGGTATTTAAGTGATATATAATACATATCAGAATCAATATTAAGTTCATTTCAGTGACAAAAGTTTAGAATATGTTTCATATTTTTTACTTTTCTATTAGAATTTAGTGTTAATTGTTATTGAACCAGTAATTGTAATATATATTAAAAAAAATTTTGATTTATATTGAAAATTTTATCGTATTTAAAATCATTCAAAACTAAAGATGAAATGATATATTACCTTTTAAAAAAATCTAGAGAGTTATTAAAAAGCTTTTGTGAATTTTATAGAATTATCTATCTTCGTACCAAAATTTTTGGGTTTATGTTTGAGAAATAGGCAATTTATTAGTATTCACTATAGTCTTTGTATTAGTTAACTTACAAAATTTAAAAAAAAATTATTGTTTCTTTTTTTTTAATTTATGTTAAAGCAAGAAAAAAATAATCTTAAACAGGAGATACAACAAAAAATGCGAAATGATAGGTTTAAAAGAGAAATTCAATTTCTTTAATTAGTACTCTGCCTAAACTCGACTATCAAAAATGCAGCTTAAAAAAGTAAAATCAACTTTGCCACAGCGAAACTAGTACTCAAAAAATTTCGTAAATTTGGGTACATAAAAAATTAGGATAAAGGTACATTCTTTTTATTTATAGAAGATTATGAGAAGTAAATTGAATTGCTTCGAGAAATTGCATCTATAAAATTTCAAATCAAATAGGAAAAAATATAGAAGCGAGAACAGGAATTTAAAATCCTCAGTGATAAAATAAAATCAATAGAAAATCTTCCTAGATAACATGAATCCTAAAATAAAAAAGATATTAATTCTTAACTTAAAGTTCTCTAGGAAGAACTCGAATATTAAAAACAGATATAATTCGAATTAGTGACATCTGTTCTTTAAGAATAAATAAAATTGATGAAATCAAATAAAAAATATATTTGAAAAGAAATTTTAATCACCTTTTTATTTAAAATTTTTAAAGATTTTTTATTAATGAATTATTAATAATTTATTTAATATTTCCTGCAGTTATTTTATTTTTTTGTATATACAAATATTTGACTATTATTTCATTATAAATGTAATTAAAGTAAGAAATATATCAATAGATGTTTTTTGTAAAGATTTTCAAAAAAGGATTTCAATTACAAAAAAAAATAGATTTTATTTCTAGTTAAATAATATATAAATTATTATGACCATGATTTAAATTATTATTATATTGTCTTTTTAAAAAGAAGTTGAAAGCAAAAACCGATTGTATATGTAATTTAAATTAAATACATATTTGATTAGATATTAGATAAGACATTTGATAATTAATAAGATTAAATGAATATACATATCTTAATACAATATTAATAATAATAGATGTATCATTCATTTCTTCCTAAGTATAATTCAAAGTCTCTTTGTTTTTGATTTGTTTAAGACAATTAATTATTATTCAATTTAATCAAAGTACGTTTAATTTATAATTCTAATCCTGATAATTATGGAGTAATGTTAATATTTTTTTATAAGAGTACCAATGTTCCAAATTTGGATCTCTTATCTGATAAAATTATTTTATTATCAACTAATTTAATATGAGCATGTTCTCTGCTTACACTAATATCAGCAATACTTATTTCAACTTCATGATTTCTTCCTATTTTGAGTTCCTTCTTAGTACCAAAATTCACAATATATAATCCATTACTATCATTTGATTGAGGATTATCATGTTATCTCTTTTGTTAGAATTCCATCATTATAAAAGGTTTATCCTTAGGTTTGCTTAATTCAATTAAATTAAATGATTTTCCATTCCTATCAAAAATTGGAGGGTAGACAGATTTACATATTTCACATTCCAAAGATTTCCAGATAAATCTAGTACAGTAAGCATTACTATTAAAATGAGAACTTTATTAAATCCTAAATGAAATAGAATAAGATTCCATACCATCTCAGTAAACATTTGATATGTACATATTTAGTACTACCAATACATTTACATGGATCAATTAATGGATTTAATGGAGATTCTCCAGTTGATAGACAGATTCGACATTATTTTGTAAATTCATTTTTATCTTCAAGTGAACAAAGAGATTCTTCATTCAATAAATCTTAATTAGTTTCATGTTGTAATTGAATTTCTTTAATAATTAATTTAACTCTTCCTAATTTAATCACATCTCCAACCTTCAGCACCAAACCTTCGTTAATGCTGTTAGTTTAAATAGATCTAGTAACCAACCAGATTTTGGAACCCTTAGTCATATCACAAACTAATTGTCTATTTGTGGTAGTTCTTAATTTCTGAATATTGAAACTCATTTGAAAATCAGCATGGATGGTTTGGTTTTCAGATAAAAGTTTATCCCCTTCCTAATTATATATCGATCGAGAATCAATACTTCTTTTTGGTAGTCTTCAATGAGTTCTTAAGTTTAAAGCCTTTTATTGAAGCGTAAATTTAATAATTGGAAGGTTTCATTTCCATATTCAAGTGGAAGAAGTAGTATTTCATCATTGTTATCACTAAATATAACAAATATAGTTTACTTATTTTTAGAGTAGCTCCCTTCATTATATAAAACTTTATTAGCTTTGCAAGTAAGATAGCTAGTGCCATTAATAGGGATTTGTTGAGAGTGAATAAATGTAGTATTTTCATAATCATAAAGACTGTAAGAATCCTTCTACCAAGTTTTCACATCTAAATTTAATAATGGTGGTTATTCACAAGGTGCTTACACTTCCTCCTCAGTATGGTTGTTGATTTGAATTTCTACTTACTCTTATTCTTATTACAAACAGTTTTAGCAGTTCCCCATATTTTAATATATATAATATATATATATATATTTGATGTTAAATTAAGATGGAGATTTTAACATGTAATCATTTCGTAATCAAATCCCTTAAGCATTGGCCATTACTGATGATACAATTAGTCTTGAGAATGACATGTTACTTGGTTGGACACCCAAATTAGATTATAGTAAATTACTTACACTTAACTTCAATAATTAGTTAAACGATTAAATAATTTTAGAAGCTTCCTAGAATAATAAACTAATTTATCTTGGATTTAGACCTCAAGATAACAATTAAATGCATAAACAATACTCAAATATTTCATCTTATCCATTTAAACGATCTGTAACAATCATAAACAAACCTTAATTGCCATTTTTGGGAATGAATCCTATCTCTATTAGTAGAATTAAATTCAATTCCATTTTTGAGAGTGGCAATTTAGATATAGTAATATAAGTATCAGAATATGAATATGATTTATATATGAGAGTTGATGGTAATACTTAAGGACACACCTCTTGGTATAATTTTGAATTAAGTGGTATGAAGTAAGGAGAAAAAATATAATTAAATATTTGTAATTTCACTAAATTACACAGTCTTTATGAAAGAGGTATGAAACCTTTCATTTGGAGATCAACTACTTAAGAATGGTTATAAGGAGGAGAGAATATATAATATAAAACATCGTAAAACAACAATTGTCTAAGTTTTTTAATTGATTGTAATTAAGAGAATGAACTTATAAAGATTGCATATTGTGTCCCATATACGTTTTCTTAATTGTTAGAATATTGTGATGAATTATAAAAGAGATGTAGTCATGTCAAACGCAAAATATTGTGTGAGTCATTAGGAGGAGTATAATTACCAATGTTAATTTTTAGCAAAGGTAAAAAAACCAATAAAAAATGCTTGATTATTTAAGCTCGCATACATCCTGGTGAATCAAATGGTTCATGGGTAATGCAGGGTGTAATGAATTATTTATCAAGCTAATAAGCCATTAAACTTTTTGAGAAGTATATAAATCTATTATTTATTAAAAAGATGTATTATTAAAGTAGTACCTATGATGAATCCTGATGGAGTTATTTTAGGTAATTATAGGACTGGATTTGAAGGAAAGGATTTAAATAGGAAATTCAAATAAAATGATGGAATTCTATACCCTACTGTTTAAGCAATGAAGTCATTGGTTAAAGATTAATACAAAAAATTTTAAAATAATTTAATTGCCTTTATTGATTTACATGGACATTCTAGTATGAATAATATATAAATTAGTCAAAAAGAATGTGTTTATATATGGTCCAGAATATGCTTTGTGGGATTATAATTATTATAAATGTCGTATACTTCCAAAATTACTTAGTTAGAAAACAGAAATGTTTAGATTTTATTCATCAATATTTAGAATAAGTTAATCTAAAAAGTCAACTGCTCGTGGAGTTTTTGCTGAATTATATGATATAGTTAATTGTTTTACAATTGAAACATCAAATGGTAATTACTACAATTAAACATAAACAATTGATTTTACTACTAAACATTGGTTAGATATGGGTTGGATTATTGGAGAAACTTTAATTGATATGATTGACATTCAAAATGAAATGGATTAAATTTACAATATGAAAAATGATGATATTAAAAGATTAAATAGATTTCATAAAAACTAATAACTTCTTAAAAAGAAAAGTATTATTGATCCTAATTAAATACCATTTCAAAATACAAAATTTTAAAAGTTGATAGAAGAATTAAAAAATGATGAAGATAAAATGAATCAATCTTTTTCTGAAGGAAACTCAGATTCATTAGATGATGATGAACAATAAGGAGAAATAAATGAAAATAAATCTGAAGAAATTATGAAACCTAAATCTAACACATCAAAACCTTTGATATCCATATTGTATTCAAGTTAAAAATCTAAATTAGAATCAAAATATAGTCCTAGTCATTTAAAACATTCACCATAATAAACTATAATGCATTCTATAGAACTTAATCAAAATAAAGTCTATCACCCAGTTAATCAATAGAGTATTTTAAAGAAGATTGCATCTCGTACTTAATCCAAAAAATAAAATGAACTAACAAAATATATCACAAACTACATGAATCAATAATTTGCTACAATTGATTTTCTAGAATGTTCCTTTAATTTAAATCAATCTATGCAATAGAATATTCGTTCTATATTACCTAGACCATCTACATCTTAATTTGAAATGTTAGATGAAGAAAAATTTACACCTATCCAAGGACTCAATTCTAGTTATTATTCTGGTTGTAAACGTCATACTAGATTGCATAGTAATCTAACAGTAAATAAATAAAAAAAATGTAGAAATATCAAAAGAAATTAAACTAAATCACCTCCTCATTAAATCAATACTAATATAAGAAATTCAAATATGAATAATACTCAAATGAATTTTGAAGCCATGAAGTTGAAATGTAAGATGAAACTCTAACATTAGCCTACTAAATTTTCAGATTCTTATCATACTACAAGACCTTCTATTCCTCCTTCATTTTATTCTGTTAGAAGACATATGATATAAAGACTCAAAAATTGATTATTTAATTTTATATCACTTATATTTAACATCTCAATAAATCTGGCTAGAATTTTAATTATTTTTCTGTAATTTATTATATTTCTAACATCAATTATTTAAATCTCTATACTCCTAATAGATTTAACAATTCTAATATTTAGATTTATTTATTATACTTTAACAAACTTTATAATACTTTAATTTGAAATTACATTTAGGAAATTCATAACAACTCACTTCTTTAATCTAATCATTTTCATATAATAGATATAATTTATCATAAATATTATTATCATAAGTGAATCCATACCAACATAATAAGAAACTATTACTATGTTCACCAAAAAAATTGTAAATTTCTTCATTTTCTTAAACTATTTTTGTAGTAATAAACACAAGATCAGTTCCAATTATTTTTTATTTAGTTTAACATTTATCGTGATGATTTAACATATCCCCAAAAGGAACTAAACAAGGAGATTGAAAGTGATCATCTCCACCAAAACATCTTGTCATAACAAATTGATAGGCATATAAAAATTAATCATAATTTAATTCCTTTTTGAATTACTCTTTAAAAAATGTAACAAATCTGCTAAAATTTAATTGTAAACCTATTCGCATCTTTTATATTGTTTTTTTCAAGTTTTCATCCAATATAGTATCAACTTATTATTAAGTCCAAGATAATATATTTTAAGGGTCTTTAACATAATCAAAATATGGTTTATGTAATGACATTTCGTTATCTCTTTATTGTAATCTTTAGAATAAGGATTGATTTTTACATATACAAAACAAGTGTGTTAAATTCAGCATCTTCATTTAAATCGATATTAAATATATGAGGATAATATTTCTTGTATCTTTTATAATGATTGTTTAATAGATCATCACTAAATATACACAAATGAAGTGGAATTTTAATTATGATCTTTTACATTAATAAACATATATACTTAATCTGATGGAATAGGTTGAGTAGCAACAACACCATTGCATCCTTAAGTAAGTTCTGTGACTCTTATATTTTCTGTACGAATCCCTTCAGATTGAAACCACTAAAGTAATTAAAACATATTTTAAAAAAAACATTAATTAATTTAATCAAATATAAAATGCATAAAAAAGAGCAGTAATAAAAGTAGATTATGCAAAAGAGAGAATCACTTATTTTTAAAGAAGAAATAAATTAAATTAAGGAGATTCTTCTAATTTCTTTAATAATTGTATAAAAAGAAAGAGTATATTTATTTTTAGTTTTTAATCATTATTTCTATTAATTATAAAATTATTATTCTAATTTAGATCATCAAATTAAAACATATAAAAACATCAGGCTTACTTTAATAATTAGTCTTGAGTACTTAGATTATTTATAATTGTGTATTTTTATTGAATATTTTAGGCTTTCTTTCTCTCTAATACTTCTCAATAGAATTCAAAGATTAAGTCGATTTGATTTTAATTTAACAAAGCATAAAAATTAATTATATTGGTACTTTTAGAAAAATACAAAATAATAATTGTCTATAAGATTTTATAAGCACTATATTTAATTATTATATTATAAATTGAGAATAAGCAATTATATTTTATATGAAATCATTTTATCTTTAAAAACCAACTTAAGTTAGAGGCAATTCAGAACCTAAGAAACCAGAAAAAATATAAAATAATATGAAAATGTCGATGTCCTAAAAGATGCACGAAAGTTAAACAAAATGGAATGGCCTAATTGCTAGAACAGTCACTCTCGAATAAAACTTATTAAGATTACGTGATTCAGTTAATTAAACATTAAGAGGTGGTAGTAAAGAATCAACTTCATCTAAATCAACAGCTGAATAATTACATAAACCACCAACATTAGTGAATATGACTAGCAGAATCGCCTCACCTATGTTGAAAAAAGTTTCCCCTTAGGATTGTATGACAATGTCAAGAATATAGACTTATAAAACTGTTCAATCTTGGTTTCCAAAGTCGAAATTCCATACATTTGAAGGAATTCCTCAATTTAGAATTGGCAAATTGTTAGGAAGGGGACAATTTTCAGATGTTCATATGTGCATGTACTATCAGACCTTAAAATAAGCGACAAATTGACTAGTACAATATATGCTTTGAAAGTGATTAAAAAAGAGAAAATTTAAGATGAATAGTTATAGAAACAAATGATCCAAGAAATTAAAGTGCAAATGAATCTTAATCATCCAAACATAGTTAAGTTGTATAATTGCTACTCTGATGAATAGAATTTGTACTTGCTCATGGAATATTGCAATGAAGGTGAACTGTTTAAAGTCCAAAGAAAGTAACCTGGATATAAGTTCCCAGAAGTAATTGTGCCTTCAATACTTAGAATAAAGCATCATATTATATACACTAAATTCTGCAATGCATATAATATATGCATCAAAACAAAGTTATGCATCGAGATTTGAAGACAGAAAATATCATGTTATCATTTAATCAAATAAAAATTGGAGATTTTGGTTGTGTTTGTTCCAATCAAGACCGAAGAGAAACCTTTTGTGGAACAATTGAGTTTATGGCACCTGAAGTGATTTAAATGAAGGGATATGACTCAAGAGTGGATGCATGGTAAATAGCTGTGCTTGCTTATGAATTAGTATATGGATAAACCCCATTTGTTCTTTTGGGTAATAAAGATCACAAAGGAATAATGGATAACATAATAAAAGTATTCAGAATCATTATATTTTCTTTAGCATCGCTTAACAATTCCTCACACTTTTTCTGCTGAATTAACTTTTTTTGTCAAAGGAGGTCTTCAATCTGATCCAAACAAAAGATTGACGATTGAATAAATGCTCAAACATCCTTGGATAACCAAACATAAATTACCTTAAACTAAAAGTGAATACAATATTTGATAATATAAATAATTAATCATAATATCTTCTATTTAAATTATTATAGTAATGAATTTAATAAGATTAATATTAAATATATGTGAATTAATATCCTTTTTCTTCTTTTTCTTATCTTCTACTATTAATATTTTATCATTATTAAAATTTATATAAACATTTTTTCACCTAGTCGAATATCATTTGTATTTTTCCTGATAAGAGGAGTATAAGTGTATATTTTTCATAGAAAGTGATATATTCTAACTTAAAATATGTTACAATTTTTTAATTATTTATTTTTTTTGTATGTTTCATCGTTTAATTTATCAAGTTAATATTTATTCTCTTTATAATAATTTATTGTTTATTTCTTGGTCTCAGAATTTCAGCTTCCAGGAATCAACATATTATTATAAAAAGAATCGGTTTAGAATTATCAAATAAATTAATCAATATGTTCATTAATTAAACTTAATACTTATATGTTTTTTACTAACAATCTAAATTTTCAAAGAATAGGGTATTATAAAAAACATTTAGATTTTTTAAAATAAACTTTGAGAAAAAGATATTCAAATTTATTTAATCATATTGTTTTAAAATCATTGTATTTATTATAAAATTAGTTAATATTATTTCAACTAAATTTATTTTATCTATTTAACTCTGTCCACCATTCACGATAGAATCTTAAAAAAGGACTCAGCAGCAACATTGCCACTACATAATAAAATTATATCCCTTTCACAGTTTAGGGATCATCTGATAGATATTTAGCTAGAGGTGTAAGAATTATAATCGCTTTCAATATTACAATTAAACTTACTTGTGATTGCTTTCAGATGTAAGGTACCAGCCCAAAATTTATTCTTAGATTTTAATTTTTCTTTTCCTTTCAATAAAAATATGTTAACAATCCCTGCTAAAATCATAAAGAATCCTGAAATTCCTGCAAATAAGGCCTAGCCTTTCGTAATCTCTACTTGATCTGGCCATAAGTAATCATATATTATACGGCCTCCTAAAGCTGTAACACTTCCTATGTGAAGCACTCTAAATACATATTTTACCCAAAACTCAGTATTATACATTATAAATTATTCGATATTTTTATATTAATTTAAAAATTGAAAATTTACTTTAATTATCGATTTTAGACAATAAGGTTAAATAAACGTACTTAGCATTAAAATATATTTAATATTTATTGAATATTCATTGATAAGTTTAATTTAACTAATAATTGTTCTTTTTATTAAACTTATTTTAAAACAAATTCTATTAGCAAATATTTTGAAATCTAGATGATAAATAAATAATAAGATAATAAAAATGGGAAATTGGTTTGATTGTTTTAGGTCTGATAATCAAGACAACAGCAAAAGTAGTATATCCAATTTGGATGATTATAAACCAAAATAGAGTGATACAAAAAGTTAAAGCCACTATGATAATGGGAATTTAAATAAAAGCCCATAAAGTTTAAAAGTAAATATCAAACCAAATGATGATAATATAACTAAACCTTATAAGAGGAAGTTGAGGAAGTTGAGGAAGTCAAGTTCTATAGTAGATATTAAAAATTCTGAATAATAACTTGATGATAAACATTATTTAGTATTAATAGGGCCATCTGGAGTTGGAAAAGAAAAATTAATTAAGTAAATGAATCTTAAAAAGATTTAATACTATAATTCAAGATATTCTTTATAGGATTTAAAAAATTTAGCAAATCGTTAATAACAGAATTTTTAAGAAGGAATTCTGGATGAATATGTCATTGTTGCTACACCTTCTTTAGAATTAGATGATGATATAAACATAAGAGAAATTTTTATAAAGGAATTTTAGGAATATTTTGCTAATAGAAAATATATATCAAGTTTTGGAATAGTTGTTAATTTCGAAAGAACTGATTTAATGAAGAAAAAAGTGCTATAAGTTTTAAAATATCTAAGAAAATTTAAAGATATTATATCAATTATAGTTGTAAACATGGAATTAAGTGACAATGTAGATGAAGATAAAAAACATTTGAGAGATAGTTTTAAACATATGGGATGTCATCGAATATTATTTATTAGTAAAGAAATGAAACAGAAACAAATTTTAGAATAAATATAGGAAATTTAATTTATCAAAACACATATTGATCTAACTGATACCATTTTTGAAAGTATTGATATTATAGATTAGCATCGAATTTAAAGTGAGTTTATTTCTTAAATTATTCAATGTTAGATTAGATCTTGATTCATAAATTTATATTTTTTATAATTAAATTCAAATTAGGTTTTTTATTGTAAAATTTAAGTTTTTTCCATTATGTATAAATATTTTATATATGTAAATATTCAGAGATAAATTTATAACATATATTATTATAACATATTAATTTAAATCTTCAAATTAACATATTTCTATTAACTAATTCTATTAATAACTTTTAATAAAAATTCAGACAATAGAATAATTGCAAGATATATATAAATGGGTTGTTGTTAAATTAAGGGTCAAAAAAATAATGAAAATTAAAATGAAATAGTAATTATAAAGGGTGAACAAGAAGAACAAAAGAATACATCTGTTGTTTAAGAAAAAAAAATTTAATAAGGAAAAATTGAGATTTAACCAATAATTTAAAAGGATACAAATTAGACATTGCCTATTTAAGAAAAATACTTAATGTTGCTTGGGACAGCAGGAGTTGGAAAAAGCACTCTTTTTTAATAATTGGAATTATCAGATGTTCCAAATGAAACAACATCTACCATTTCAAATTACCATGAAGGAAAATTAAATGAATATTTTTTTATAGACACACCATCCTTTTAATTAGATGATGAAATAGAAACAAGAGAAATTTTTATAAAGGAATTCTAGGAATATTTTGATAATAGAAAATATATTTCAAGTTTTGGAATAGTTGTTAATTTTGAAAGAACTGATTTAATGAAGAAAAAAGTGTTATAAGTTTTAAAATATCTTAGAAAATTTAAAGATATTATATCAATTATAGTTGTAAACATGGAATTAAGTGACAATGTAGATGAAGATAAAAAACATTTGAGAGATAGTTTTAAACATATGGGATGTCATCGAATATTATTTATTAGCAAAGAAATGAAACAGAAACAAATTTTAGAGTAAATATAGGAAATTTAATTTATCAAAACACATATTGATCTAACTGATACCATTTTTGAAAAGATAACTTAAAGTCAAGAAAAAAGATAATTACAAGATCTAAAAATAAGATTGGATTAAAGATTATGATAATAAAATTTTTAGGGTTAATAAATCTCCCACAATAAATCAAAAATAAAGTATTTTTTAACTCTTAATTGTATTTGAAATTCAATTTTTTACTCATAACTTTTTTTTTGATAGTTCAAATTTATACTTTCCATATATTAATTATCAAACTAAAATCTGACATTTATTAATTTTTATAGCAAAAATTTCTAAAGAGTTTCAAAATAATCTTCATACTTTTATTATAAAGGATCTAAAGTTCGATCGATTTTTTCCATATAAAAGGTTTAACTTCCTTCTTGATCCTAAATCAATGTTTTAAATAAAAATTCTAATTTTACTCTGTTTTTATTATTAGTATATTTTGATCAAAACTTTGAATTATAACTGAATAATTAATTCTTTATAAAAATAAAAAGAATTTTACATGAATAAAACATTTATTCCACAAATTTCAAAATACAATAATAAATAATTAGGATTTAACTAGATACTAAATATAACCTAAGTAATTTACAGTTGATAATTATTTTATAGATATGATTTAGATAATTAAATGTGAATTAATGAATAAATGAAATGTGTATAAATTGGATCAGGATTGTAATTCTTTGCTTAATGATATAATTTACCCTGAAACTACAAAGATAATGGAAAAAGAAAATAGATAAATAAATTTAATAAAAACTAAATGGCAAGAGAGTTTGTAAATATTTAATATTGATAAATAATTAAATAATGTATTCAATTACAGCTCGTTTTAATTAAATCGTGTTCTTCACATCATGGACATTAGGTATAATACTCATTCTAGAGAAGTCGTGCTATCATTGCTTAATTAGGGCACAGCATATTTTTTTAAGACTGGAAAGCCAACAGTAGATCTAAAGATATTGAGTGCAGATAAATTGTATTGCAGATAAAATGATTATTTTGTTTAGTCATCATTTCAAGGCAACTTATTATAATGGTGGTGTAACTGATTGGGATTAGGTGACGTTTAAATTTTCATTGGAGGCAGGTTTTTGATACACGTAATATATTTAGATTTTGAACCTGTGTACAATTGGAATTTAAAGCAATTATTTTTATATGTGAATGTTCATCATAAGCATTAAGAGAAAGGAGTATAGTGATTTTATCGATTTATTAGTTTGAATCAGATTGTGTGATATATGATAAAATCATTTCTAGACCTGATGATCCTAGCAGTTGGAGTACTTCATCAAAAGTAATTTAAATTGTCATGTTAGCTTGTTCTTAAAAATTAAAGAGCTGAATATCCACTTAAAGATATACATAAATAATTGCGTAATGCTACAGTGAATTTTGAAGTTTGGATAGAAGTTATGCCTTATGTAGGTTATATAAGAAGAGAGAAATTGGGTGATTTCGAATATAAAATGCCTTAATAGTATAATTGAGATGTGTAATTTATATTTTTAACAATCACATTTTTTGAATGTCTTGTATTGATTAGAGCTTTGCACAATTTTAACAAACAGCTTAGTTCTTTAATCCAGATATTGGGAACAATGGAACTTTGAGAATGCCATAGAAAATAAAAAAAAGAGAAATCTCGATGCCTTCTTATTATTTTGATGACTTTAAGGGATTTCTCAAGCAACCAATTAAAATAACTTCAAATATCACATAAAGACGAAATACACATACAACAACAACTCAAGATAGTAGTTAAATGACTCAGTCTATTAAGTAACCAAATAAAAGCTTAAAATAATTGACATAAGCTAATGCTTAGGACTATTCAAAAATAATCAATATAATTAGTTAATTTAACAATACTAATAAATTAAAACATGCATAGAGTGCAAATTCAATGCAATATAAATTGATTATACCTTTAAAAGAGAAATCAATAAATATGACTAGAGATAGTAGAACTAATTCAAGATGTAGTGTAGTATCAGCTTAAGGAGAAAGAAAGCGTAGCATAAAAGTAAATGATCCATATGGATTAATTAATAATAAAATAATGAGCAAAACAAATTCGAAATAATTCTTAAAATAAAAAGCTTAAGATAAATTAGTAGATAAGTTATTCTCATAAAGATCAGATAGTGTTTAATGATTATTTATCTATAGATACTTATTATCAGTCTTTTTTTTTTATTATTTATTTTAATTATTATAATATGTTTAGAAGATTATTTAGACGATTCACATTTTCAACAGAAAAACAAGTTGATTATTATAAATTGACAGATTAAATTATGAATGCTTAAGTTGAAAATGAAGAGTTGAAATTAGCCATATAGAAAATTATTTTTGATATGAAATCTGTGACTGAAAGGGCTTATTAATTTCCATTGGTTGAATAAGTATTATCTTCAGTTAAATCTCATTATTTATGTGTTGCAGCAGTAGAATAATTTGTTGGATCAATGTGTATAGATATAAGTTTAATTTTAGTTAGACACTCCAAAAAATGAATAAATTACATAATTATTTTTATCTCATGCAAAAAAGAATGCAGTTGATGAGCCTGAAAAATTGAATACTGAATATTATTTGGCTTATTTAAAAAAATTAGATGCATCTTAAAAAGGAGATCAAACTAAATTTGATGATGCATAACACTAATTATTAGAATTAGCAAATAAAGGGAATAAACCAGCTTAACATTTAGTGGCTAAAGAAATGTATAAAGTAGCAATGAATATGATGTAATCAAAACAAAGAAAAGATAGAGAGAAATTATTAAAAGAAGCATATAAATTATTTTTTGATTGTGCAGAAAATGAATTCCCACATTCTTATTATTATATTGGAGAAATGGCAGAAAGAGGTGATACTCCTGGAGGAATAGATTTAAAATTTGCTATAGAATGTTATTTTATTGCTGCTGCTTATGAAAATCCTTAAGCATTCTTTAAATTAGCTAAATTGTACATTCTTTTGTTTTTCTATAATAGTCATCGTGAAGGAATAGTTTGTGAAAAAGATCCTAATTTAGAATTTCATTACACTAAGAAAGCTGCTGAAATGGGTTTATTAGATGCTTAACACAATTTAGGTGTAATATATAGAGAAGGTAGAATAACTAAGAAGGATGATTTTAAGGCTTTGGCATGGTTTACACATGCTGGAAATTTGGGATTCCCTTTATCTTAGGTATGGAAATATTTAATATATTAAGTTTAATGCTGGAATGATGTATTGGGAAGGTGGAGATAAGATCAAAAGAAATAAGAAGGCAGCATTAGTTTGGTTTGAAAAGATCCAAAAATCAGGAATGATAGATGTTTCTTAATAAATTAGATAATTGGCAAAGGAGATAGAAAAAGAAATAGAAGAAGAATGATGATTATATATAAATATATATATATTAAATATTTAATTCACATAGGAGGAGATGTACATGTTTAATTTAAAATTAATCTTTACATCTAACTATGTTAATTTGGTAAGAAAGTTGAGTAGATTTCTTTGGCTTTAAAATGACATTTACTAGCTTTATCTACATCTCCTTATGCTTGATAGATAACAGATATATTATTAAGAATTTATGCTCTTTAGACACAATTTTATCTAATTTAGTTAGAATATTTACTAAAAGCATTGTAATGCTTATATAAAATAATTAAGTGATTATTGTATATCAGGTATTAATCCATAAGTCAGTCCTAAAAGATTAAATACTTCAACAAATTTTAGATGCTTATAGTCCTTGTATATTTGATATTTAATTTTAACTGCCTTCATTAAAAATTCGATAGCTTCATCTGAATTTTTAGAAATATAATTGCATTCTCCTAATACAATATATGCTTCAGCTATAGATTCATGATCATCTGGAAGGAATTCTTTAAGAATAGCTATTGCACCATATGTTAATTTTTTTGATAATTCAAAATTTTCTAGATATAAATAATAAATTACTAGTCCAAGCATGTAATTTAGCCATCAGAAGTAATATATGAGCTATTTCAGATTTCCATTCCAATTTTTCATAATGTTACAAAGCCATATAATAAGAAGATTGAGCATTCTAATAAGCTTGATTAAGAAAATGCAACTTTCCTAATTCAATCAGAATTTTTCCTACTAAATTTGGTTCTAAAATCTTGAATTATTTCTATATAGCTTTCAACTATTTAATAGCATTTTTGAAATCACCTACTTATTTATAAAATCTTGTTAATAGACACTTAGTTCTAACAGTCTAAATTGCCTAACTGAATAAATGGTTGCAATCTTGAACACTTTCATTCATTGACTGTTAGAGCTAAGAGTTAATTGTCTTCAAGATTTTAATATAGTTCTAACAATCACCAGTATCTGCATTCGTTTCTATTTCATCTAATTGTTAGGAAATGGTTTTAGTAGGTTTTGGTTCTTCTTTAATCGAAATTTATTGATAAGTTTATTAAGGTGATAATTCTTAATTTAAGACAACTGGTTTTAATATTACACTTTTGACTTTGGGAGGGGAATTACCAAGTATTTTAGAATGATTTGGCATATATTATTGATCTCTTTATGATGTTATAGCAATTTCTTCTAAATCTTTGTGTTATTCGTTTTATTAAATGATAGGTTATTTAACTATAGAATTGCACATAGATGACAATCTAGAACTTTACTTAGAATTGCTTTCTAACTAATTTGATCAATTTCCTTACTTGATTATATGAATTGGCTCTAGTTTTAACTTCTACTACATATCCATTCATCACATCTTCTCTAATTCTCTACAATAATCCATTAAGTTGATCATCTCTCCTTAGAGTTTCTTAGTCAATACGTTCGTAACCTGTTGACATTATTAAAAATAATAATAATTATGTTAATGTTTGATTTGATATGTTTAAATATATGATGAATTAAAACAGAATTCACAAAATCAATATACTATTCCTTATATTTTTGTAAAATTTCCAATAGAAATATTATATCGACCTCCAGATTACTTGTAATGTCTTCTTTCTGTGCTTTGATTTTATTCAGTCTTAAGAACCTACTTTACATTATAATTTTTAGTCATAAGAATTCTCGGAGTAATACTTCCTCCAGTTTTAATACTTTCTGGTACATTAATGTATTACAAACTTAAATGAGCTTTAAGATTTATTTTTTTTAACCAAATATGTGATTTAATCATGCATAAAGAATAACGATGTTCTGGTCTTATTTCAAGCATTTTTTTTAATAGATTCAATCCTTCAGCTTTAATGTGGAGATTTTGAAAGTTAATCTCCCCTTTTTCATTTAATTAAAATATTTGATCAGTATTTTTACCTTAAAATGGTCTTCTTCCTGTTATGAGAGTATAAAATACTACTCCTAAACTATAGACATCTACCTTATAATCATAAGGCTGACCAATCAAAATTTCTGGAGCTGCATATCCAGGTGTACCACATTATTTATATAAGTAATTGCCATCAAAATTATAAAAATCTGCTAATCCAAAATCAGATATTACTAAATCTTCTACATTATCTTGATTTCTTAGAATAATATTCTCTGGTTTTATATCTCTATGTATGACACCTTAAGAATGAATGAATGATAATCCACTCACCAATTGACATATCACAGAATGCACTTTTCTTTCTGATAATTGACCTACTTTAGTAATATAATCATGCAAGTCTCCTCCTCTTAAATATTCTTATACAACAAAAACATAACTAACTGTTTCGAATGTCTCTATTAATGTCATTACTTATTTATGTTTCATTAATCTAAGAATCTTTAATTCCTTTTAAAGTGATTATAAATTTTTAGGGTTCTTCAAAATTTAATTCTTATCAAAACATTTGATTGCAAATTATTCATTTGTCTTAGCATTCTCTGCCAAAAATACCTAGCAATTATTAAATCAGTACTTACATTTGCAAAAGTACCTTTTGCCATCAATTTCTTCACTTTATATTTTAATACAAAGTCTATCTGGATGCATTATTTCTTCAATACATTAAACAGTTCAATTATATCACCATAAAGTTCTAACCATCCTATACCCTTTAGTATTTTTACTCCCACATCATTATTACCATCTTTAATCAAGTAAATTATAGCATTTTCTATATTGGCAATAAGTTATTTCTGTCTCATAATAAAATTTGTACATCTCCCTATATTATTATCAAGTATGAGAATTTCACCTTGACAAATACATTGCTCATAAGTTCTCCCATTTTGGCTTGAAAGATACCTTCAAAACTCACATTACTAAAGTGTTCTAATTTACAATCATCCCAAAAGGAAGTTGAATGACTGTGAAATAAGGATTTGAATTAAGTGGTTTTATTGATCATTTTATTAATTATTGATCATTTAATAATTATTGATCATTTATTAATTTTCACCCATATATATCATATCTAATTTCAAATATTGATATATATCATTATCATTAGTACTTATTATTAGTTTCACTAATATTTATATATCAGAATTCTAATATTTTACTATTTATCAAATCTTATTCCTTAATTTCATAAACTAATCCATTAATTTGTTAAATATATCCATAAAATCTTCAATATATATATTAGATTTAATATAAAGTGAATTAATTTAGTTTTTTTATATAAGATGTTGGGAATTTAGAAATTTTTTACTTATTTATGAAAATTAATATGCAAACCAAATAATTGAGTATAATTATTCTTCATTTATTTAATTACTTATACTATTACTTTCATAAAAAATAAAAATTTTAAGTTTCCAAGTATAGATATCTTTTGTTTCACATAAAGATGTTATTAATAACTTTAATTATTAGAGAATAGTTAGAAATTATATTAAAATTTATTAAAATATTTATTAAAAAATGAATATGTTAAATAATTTTGATCATTAGAATATTTAATAGTAAGAATAATATCAAATGAGTCATTGATTATTCTATTTATAAAAGAATGAGTCATCAAAAATTGATTAAATATATATATATAGTTTATCATTCTCTTCTATGAATAGAGAATCCATTAGATGGATCAACTAAAATTTCATTTCCTTCTTCATAATGGGCACCCTCAAATTAATTTAATGTTTATTCATAACGTTAATCTGGATTTATTTCTAGGAATTAAAAGATTAAATACCTTCTTCTACATTCATTTCTGGATAAAATGATTAAGGTAAATCATGAAAGCAGATCCCTGGAGCAGGTTCAATAGATTTGAGATACCCATATATTTTCTCCACTATTCTTTAGAGTTCTTCTTTCTTGTTCTTATTTTCTACATTTTATTTAATTGGGAAATGCAATTTATAGTCAGGACCATAATATTCATAATAAATTTCAGAAGTGGGAATAGGAGCATCAATTTTTTTATTCAAACACAATCCAGTTTCATAAGCCCAACATCTTGCTACATTTTATATTGTATATCCTCCTCCTCCTAAAACCAATATGGGAACATTGTATTTGATCATGAATTCAACACAAGCACCATGACCTTTAGTTGATAAATTATATCCACCCAATCTATCATGACATAATGAATCAGCTCCACATTATAAGACTACAGCTTCTGGTCTATAGATATCCATAACTTAGGTGATGATTTTCTGGAAGATTTCTGTAAATGTCTCATCATTCATTCCAATTTTCAAAGGGATATTGAGAGCATGATATCTACCTAATCCTTCTCCATAACTATCAATATCTCCTGAACCTGGAAAGAAATCATCTCCATATTGATGGAATGAACAAGTCATCACTCTATTTGTTAAAAGAAATGCCTCTTCAACTCCATCTCCATGATGTACATCAATATCAACATACAACACTCTCTAATGCACTCTCAACAATTCTAATATAGCTATAACAATGTCATTGACATAACAAAACCCACTAGCTTCTCTTTTCTTTGCATGATGTAAACCTCCAGAATAATTAATGGCTATTTCTGCATCTTATGAAATCAACACATGAGCAGCATCAATTGACCCTCCTGCAGATAATTGACAAAAATCATATAGACCTGGAAAGCTAGGGTTATCTGTAGAGTCTCCTACTCTAAAACTATTTGGTTATGGATAATTATTATTAGTTTCAATGGGTTCATGAGTGTGTGGTATATTATAATCTAACAAATCAAATTCATTATAGATGTGACTAGTAAAATGAGTGATATTAGGTTGTTGATTATAGTGTTAATACTCATTGACAATTTGACTTCTAACACTTGTGAATTGACTCAAATATTGCAAATATTCTGGTTCATGAAATTTCTCCATCTCTTTCAATGAAGCCTATCTATTCATATATACATCCAAGTTTCGGTATAGACTAAGATTTGTTTATAATACATTACCCATAATTCACAATTAAATTATGTGCCATAGCAATTCTTTTTGGTTTCATTGGATGTTCTTTACCATAATGATATCTCCCTATTTATGGATGATAAAAATAGGCAACTCTTTTATTAGTCTCATTTTGCATTACTATAAAATAAATTATTAAGAGATTACATATATGTAAATATATATAATATTCATAGTAGGTATTTATTAACAAGATATTCTAATTTTTATATATCAGTGGGTTTGGAGATACGCTCTTTCATACCACATTGACTAGCAATCAGAACATCCTCATCTCCTGAGTATGCTGAATACATTGTTATAATACAACTTTCATTCAAATTTTGTTCCTTCAATAATTAAGTTATCTAGATATTAATATTTTTACTTCTTTAGAAGCTTAAAATCCATTTTTTTCAGGCATTTCAATATCCATAAAAATTAATCTATAAGTTTAACAACATTATTATTATAATCTCTCTTTGACTAAATCTATTGCAGAATTACCATTGTAAGCACTATCAATTTTCAACTTGAACTTTTTAAGTAATACTTACAATGCAAAATGATTACAATTTATATCATCAACTATCAAAATCTTACTACAATCACAATCTGAAATCTAAGGGAATTTATGTTTATCAATTTCAAATTCATTGGAGTAATGTTGTATTTGATTTGATACTCTAAAACTTACTTTTGTATATTTCTCATAAATAGAATCTATTTCAAAAAATTGATCTTTATATAGATATTTGGCTAATTATTAAGAAATTCTTAATCCTAATCCAAGTTTGTTAGAATCATATTAAAGAGAATCTTAAAATAATAGTTCTGCCTACTATTCAATTTTTTAGATGACTTCTTCTGAAATACCCTACCCATCATCTTCTACTAATAACTTATAGTAAAGAGGGGTTGTATTAGTAATTAATTTAATAGTACCTCCTCTATTTGTAAATTTGACTGAGTTATCTAATAAATTAATGAAAATTCTAATCAATCTTTCTTTGTCTGTATAAATTGAAATATGACTTACATTATCAAATATTAGTTTAATGTTTTTTTAGATACATTCAAAATTAAATAATTCATATAATTATTAATAAACCTCCTACAATTTGAAACATGATTTATTCATGATTAATGATGAACATTAAATTTAAGCATAATCTAAGATATCATTAAGTTAAAATTGTAATCTTTTGGCTGATACAATTGCAGGATCTAAATGAGATTCTATCAAACCTTAAGATAATTGATCTTTCAATGCATATAATTAAGACATTGTTCCATTAATAGGAGTTCTTAATTCATGACATAATGAATTAAGCAATGCTTATTAAAATTTATATTTATGATTAAGCAATTTATATTCTTCTCTCTTAGTGATATTTTCCAAAAAGAATAAATAAACAACAGACTCCCATTAAACAAAACCATCCAATTAAAATATTTTAAGTTTTAAACTCTTATATTTAATTTTCCCACCAGATTTATCCATATTATCCATTCTAATTATGTATTAAAAGTTATCTCGAGATAAAGATGTCAATTAGCTTTGATGAATTTTTTTAAAATTCTAAAATATAGATTTAAGATTTTTTCCAATATTGGCATCACTTTCTCCTTTAAATTAGGATGCATTATTATTATATTATGAAAATACATCAGATATGTGTTCATCTAAGAATATTTTTTATGGACTAATTGAGGGTTATTTTATAAATGTCATTTTACTGGGTGATTTTTAAGGTTTTCTTACTTTCTTTGATGATCTAAATTCACAAAAATCTCCGCTTTAATAATTTATTAACATTACCTTTAAATAGCTTAATCTAAGAATGCAATCATGTCACAAGGATTAGTTAAACCTAGCAGTTAGGTCACTTTTTGGTTAAAGTCTAAAACTTTTAAGGATGAATCTACAAAAAGTATACCAAAAGGCAAATTATTCATTATTGACACTATTTCTGAATACTTAGTACTAGTATTTCTCTCTAGTTTTAATGGTTCTAAATTATAATTGGAATCAGATAAAAGCGTTGTTGGTAAGTTATTTGGGTGTTTTTTTACTATAATTCTTTGATCCATTTGATCTTTGTTAACACCTATATATTTATGTTCTTGTTGAGGAGTTTCTATTTCTCCATTAAAAGCTTTTAGAATAATGCTTTCATTTAAGTCATATTTAATAAAGTCTCTTTTACTTTCACTTGATAATAATTGATCTTATTCAAATTAAGTCTATTTAAATTTGAACTCTTCTTAAATCAGGGTTTAAGTAAATGATGAAAGTTTGACTCGAGTCATGTAATGTATAATATAATGATTAATTGGTTATAAAAAGATCATAATTAGAAGTGGATGTAAATCATAATTATGTTAAGTAAAAGAAACTCTAATAGATATATAAAGTAGTTAAAAATGAACAATTAGTCTGGTTGATAAGAATTAAGAGTAAATGCTGAATAATATCAGTGCAGTGTATGCAAAATAGGCAACGTTAGCAAAGTTAATTTTTTGTTAAAATGGTATTTCAGAATTTATTAAACATAATCCCAAGAGGCCCACTTTTAAATAAGTGATTGATAATTTGCAATAATCAAGTATGAAAAGTATTATGCCTATACTTAGTGATATTATATTTAGGGATATGGTTATCATATTGTTATCTTACCAAATAAAAGCTATATCAATGAAGTCCTTAATTATTAATTAGAGTATCAATAATTTTATAAGTACTTCCATTTATTAATAAATTTAATCATAATAAATATTTATCAAGTAATTGTTTAAGTTATTTTTACTCTATTGGTTTTGGTAATATCTCTTTAATGCCACAATTCTTTACAGTATCTTTATTTTCATTTCCATTGTAAGCAGAACACATCACTATTGTACATTAATCATTTAAATTTTATTATGTCATAATCTCAGTAATCTATTTTAATAAAGAAATATATGTTTACATCTTTCGAAGCTTAATAACCATTCTTAACAGGCATTTCTATGTCCATAAAAATTAATTTATAAGTTTTACAACATGGAGACTTCAATTTTTATTATATTTTATCAATAGCCTATTAACCATTATAAACACTATCCATCTTTATTTTATGTTATGATAAAAGAGCTTCAATAGCACTATGATTAAATCTTACATCATCTACAATTAAGATTTGAATGCAATTACAACTAATTGTTATATTGCATCCTTAAAATGATGGAAATTTTTATTAGTTAATAAATTTATGAAGATTTTCTATCTTAAATGATATTTTTGTATATTCATTTTCAATGCTCTCTATTATTAATTCATTATTAACACATAGAAATTTAGCTATTTATTAAGTTATTTTCAATCCTAGACCTAATTTGGTTTATTATAATAATAATGAATCATAAAATTGCATATCATCTTTATTTTTTATTTAATGTAGAGTCTTCTCTGACATTCCTACACCATTATCCTCTACTGAAAATACAATACGTTATTATTATTCATAAACATTTACTATAATGGAACCAAATTAATTTGTAAATTTAATTGAATTATCTATCAAATTAACTAAAATTCGAAGGATTCTTTCTTTATCACTATATATTGTGTAATTAGATTTAGAATTTAATTAAAAATCTAATTATTTCTCTTTACATTCTTATTCAAACAATTCTGTCAAAATTTCAAAGATTTCATTTATATCAAATTGAGAAATACTCAAATTAAAATTTTTACAATCAATTTAAGCATAATCTAATATGTCATTTAATTAAAACATTAATTTTTTAGCTGAAATAATTGCTGGCTATAAATTTTTATCTCTAATATTAGGTGCAATCAATGTAGATAATGCATTTAATTGTGATAATGTACTATTCATTGGTGTCCTTAATTCATGACATAATGAATTTAAAAGTGCTTATTAATACTTATATCTAATATTCAACTATCTTAATTCTTCCTTATTTGTTATATTCTCAATTAAAAATAGATAGTTTATTTTATTATTTATTTCAATCTCATATACTTTTATTCTTAAATAGTATTTCATTGTTCCAACATCTTAAGTTATCTTTATTATTTGTATACTTTATCCTATTGATTATACAGAATTATCCACATTATTAGTAAGAGAAGGAGACTTTTATGCAAATTTTTTGAATAATAAATTCAAATTTTTGAATCTACTCTTTGTTGTCATTAAGTCATCTTTAATTTAATTATTTGGATTTGTAGAATAAGCAATATTATTATTTATATTGGTGTTAGTGCCTCCCTCTGGATTTACTGAGCTTTATTCATTTAAACTTTTTGATATTAGAGATAATTATTGGCCCTTAAGAAACCTTTTGCTCTATCGGTTACTCTGATTTGAACCTATTTACTTTATGGATTTACTTTCCCATGATTCACAACTTATTTTAAATATGGATTTTACCTTTCTAATAATGAATCTAAACTTAAAATGATGTTTCTTCCATCATTATCCGACACTTTTAAAAACTATAATAATTTTTAATTATTTATCACCATTTCAAATAGATTATTCATTAATCCAATTCCAAATGGCAATAAATTCCAAATTGAATGTATATCTAAATTAGATGTATTTATTTATGATTCTAATCCTTTCAATTAAATAGTATTCATCATTATATTATCTTTATATTACATAAAAGGATTGTTAAGTTCGATTTACTTTAATTCCTTTAAATTATTTTAGATGTTGAAACTTCTCAAAATACTACTGCATTATTCATCTTATTCCATAGAATCTTTAACAAGTTATGGAATTTATTCAATGTTATATTTTGTCATATCTAATGATTACTTCTTTAATGTAATCTAATCATCCTCTTTTTTCAAATGTAACATCCAATGATTCAAAGGTTACCATAAAAAGCATGTCAACAATTAAGTTATATACAATTATTCCTTATATTATATGAAAGTTCTGATAAAAAAATACACAAGAATAGAGTGTTTCATAAATTTATGCCATTTTTATCCATCATCAAATTGTGTTATCAAAATTACTATGAAAATTCCTAATTAAAGTGTATTTATTTAAGGGATATCATTGTAAATGAATTCTATATTGAGTACACATAACAATGTTGCTCCTATATTATTTGCATAAATATTTTGTTTTTTTCTTGTCTCCATAATCAATAATAAAATTGATACTGCTAAAGAAATTGAACTAATAATTGTGTATTTCAGTGATATTTTCTCATTCATTATTAATTCCACAAGAAAAAAAGTGTTTTTTATTGAAAATTGCACATATAAGTAACTTGTATAAATTAGCATTTTAAAATAAATATATCATAAACTTAACAATCTCTCTAGTAGATAATATATTTTATATTATAATAACCAACCAAAATATAAATTTAATTTGTATGATTAATAAGTCTAAGTGATAAGTACAATTAATAGATTAATATAATGAATCTTTATTACAATTCTATTTTACAAAAGACTAATACAAACTAATAATTTTTTGAATTAATTGAATGAACCTCTCAATCAATCATAAAAATTAATTATGATTCTTTTCAGATTTTGATTATAAGTAATATACAGATGCATAAATAGTTATATGAGTTGAATATCATAATTATATAGATTCTTTAATAAAAATGAATATTGGATGGATTGGGACAGGTGTTATGGGTGTGTCTATGTGCAAGCATATTCTTAAAGCTGGTCATAAATTACGCATTTATAACAGAACCTTTGCTAAGGCATAACCTCTTGTAGAAGCAGGAGCAGAATTTGTTCAACCACGTGAATTGGCATAACATTCAGATGCAGTTTTTTTAATGTTAGGATATCCAAAAGATGTTGAATAAGTAGTTTTAGGAGATCAAGGAATTTTAAATCATATGAAAAAGGGTACAGTTTTAGTTGATCACACTACTTCATCACCTGAATTGGCAGAGAGAATTTTCAAGGAGGCAAAGGAGAAAGGAATAGATTCAATTGATGCTCCAGTAAGTGGAGGAGATATTGGTGCTAGAGAAGGTAGATTGGTGGTGATGTGTGGAGGAGAATAGAAAGGTTTGGATAGAATAAATGATATATTAAAGGTTTATAGTGGAAATGTATAATTGATGGGAGGTGCTGGTTTAGGTTAACATACAAAGATGGTAAATTAGATAGTGTTAGCAGGAAATATGATAGGAACAGTGGAAGGTTTATTATATGGACATAAATGTGGATTGAATTTAGAATAATTGATAAATACAATAAAGAGTGGAGCAGCAAATTCAACAGCTTGGAGTGTTTTAGGGTTAAGAATGGTGAAGGGAGATTTTGAACCTGGATTTTATGTTGAGCATTTTATTAAAGATTTAAGCATAGGAATTAATGAAGCTAATAGAATGAATTTGAGTTTGCCAGGATTAGCTTTAGTGAAACAATTGTATCATGCTTTAGTTGCCTAAGGTGGTGGACGTAATGGAACATAAGCATTGTTATTAGCTTTAGAGAGATTGAATAACCATAAAATTAGATGATTGATTATTTTAATATAAATTCTGTTATGCCAAAACTCTATACATTTAAGGACCCTAATTTCAATCCTCTTTAGAATTATGTAGTAGATAAAACTTTAGGATAAGGAACCTTTGGAAAAGTGAAGTTGGGTATTCACAAATGCACAAATGAGAAAGTATTAACTCACTTCAATTTACAAAGGTAGCAATCAAGATTCTGGAGAAAGAGAAAATAGAAAATGAGGCTGATTATGTGAGGATTCAACGTGAAATTCATATTCTACGTAAAATACGTCATCCAAATATCATTTAATTATATGAGGTATATGAATAAGTTATAAGAGATCATTGAAAGTGAAATAAAATTATATCTCATAACTGAATATGCACCAGGAGGTGAGTTATTTGAATATATTGTTTCAAAATCTCGACTTGAAGAGCGTGAGGCTGGTCGTATATTCTTTTAACTTCTCAATGCTATAGAATACATACATCAACTAGGTATAGTTCATAGAGATCTCAAACCAGAAAACATTCTTTTAGATATTAATAAATAAGTCAAAGTAGTTGATTTTGGATTATCTAATCTCTATTAACCAAACTAAAAATTACATACTCCATGTGGAAGTCCTTGTTATGCTGCACCTGAGATGGTCAGTGGTTTATCATATGAAGGATTAAAAACTGATATATGGTCATGTGGTATAATTTTATATGCAATGATTTGTGGGTATATTATACTTATTTTAATTATAGTTGTGTACCATTCGAAGATCAAAATACTAAATAACTATATGAAAAGATTAAACATTCTGATTATAAATTACCTAAAAGTGTATCTCCATAAGCTGCTGATCTCCTTAGAAAGATTCTTCAAAAAGATCCCTAAAAAAGAATAACAATCCCAGAAATAAGATAACATGACTTTATTCTTTTTGCTGGTAAAATGACCATTCCTGAAGGAGTAAACACTAAGTATTATCAATAGAGTATCTAGATTGGATAATTTTAAAATTGATGTTGATTACACTATACTTCAATAGTTATTATAATATAACATTTCAGAAGAAGAAGCTGTCTAAATGATCAAAAATAATAAACATAATTGTATTTCTACTTGTTACTATCTCATTAAACTTAAGCAACAAAGAGAAAAATAGATTAAACCTGATAATATAACTACTAAACCAATTTCTATTGAAAAATAGAATTTATTTAATAAAACTCAATTAATTGAACAACAAAAATCTTCACCCTTAGTCAAATAAAAATTGTATTCTTAACAATAACCTACATAACCTTATAGTTAAGATGTACAATAATAAATTTTATTGCATCTCCTATAAAATCAATAATAATAATAATTAATATAATAATAATAATAATAATTAATATAATAATAAACATAACCAAAAGAAGTTAAATAACCATAAGTATCTAAAGTAGCTGAAACTGGAGGATCATCATCAATGGAAATGTTTTTAAATAAAGCTTTTTCAGATAGAAATCAAAATAAATCATAAACGTATTAATTTATTAATAATATTAAATTAGAAAAGGTAAAACTAAATCTTAAGATCCTGTTCCTCATAGAGATATTTCAGCTCCAAAAAAAACCAGCTTGCCTTCAAAAAATTAAAAATCTATATCCCAAAAACCTTCCATTTAATCAAAGGATCAATTAGCCTAATTATTAGCTGTCAAACAATCAAAATATTTAGGCAATACGTATTAATATATATATATATTTCTATAGAGATTCTACTACTTATGTTAGACACAAAAGCAACTTAAAATTTAAGTAAGGTAGTACTGAAAGATCAGATCGACATAGTAGCAATAGTTAGAGATCTGAAATCACTTATTTAAAAAGAAGTGTTGAAAACAGAAGTAGCTAACATATTAAAAATGATCGCAAAACTAGAGTGATTAGTACTTATGCATATAATGATACTTAAAAACCTATCCAAACTTAACCAAATGAAAGAATTAATGTAATTATTAAAAAATAACAAATTATAGACTGATCTAAGTAAAGAACAATCAAATGTTCTTCAATCTTAGTAATAGAGATTAACACATATGGATAATTTGGCTTTAGGGATTCAAATCTATAAACACAATATTTAGAATAGATTTCTAATTAAATAATAGTAAAAAAGAAAAAGCAAATAATAATAATGAAAAGTTATGAATCAATTTTTAAAAAACTTAATTTTACTTTTTCAGCTTTTTGATTATTTCATATATTTTAAAGCTGAAAATAAGAATTTATTATTGTTATTATAATTTTATATTTCTTTTATTTTCTTAAAAATATCAAACTTTGATATGTGAAGCTACTGCATTATCTAATTTTTCAAAGAATTCTTATGAATCATACAATAAATGCTCTTCATTAATTTCATATTCAAGATATGCACCCTAAACTATTCAATAATAAATTCATACTTTCTATTAATAATAATTGGTAACTTCTGCATTTACTTAATCAACTGGTGCAGAACTCTATTCCAAAGCACATTTACTTGGAGTTTAACACTAAATTTAATATTATTTATTTTACATTATTTTAATAACCTGGATGTGTTGGAGTAACAAATGGTAGACTTGTGTTGAATACTTTACCGCATGATTAACATGATAAATATGATCCTGCTATTTTCTATGCTAATGATTCAGATAATTTGAATCTGACAGCCAAATTAACACCATCCAATAAACGATCAAGTCTAATAATTATTCAATCAAATATTTACTTCTCAGCTTCAACAGCATTATTAGGGAATCCAAATAACAATGCACCATTTGTTTAAGTAGATTATAATTAAACTTATTCAGCCAATCTAGCAACATTGTCCTAACCATTTATAAATCACTTACTTCTCCAGTTGTCTTCTAAGCATCTACAATTGAATATTAAACAAATTATCTAAAATTATTTTTTATTCAATACTTCTCAACTAAATTTCTAACAAATGGATTTGATTGTAAAAATACAATCTTTGGATATTAAGGCATTTTAGCTGTGTATTTGAATTAATCATAAATAACTGATTCTGTGAAGAATAAATGAAGTTATTAAGCTCTTTGGATTGCCAATCTTGTGTTGCCAAAAAACTATTGATTCATTATTATTATTAATAAAAATATATAATATCATATAATCTCTAAATATTAAGTATTTTTAAATTACAACACAACATATTTAATTAATATATTCAATCAATCATAATGATGCTAATCTATATCAAATAATCATAAATTTAGATAAATAATATAATTTATAAATCTTCTTGAAGCTTGATACAATGACATGACTTTTTTAATTGTTATTTAAATAGTGTTATGCAATCAATTATTCAGAATAGTTAATATATATATTTTAAAAGCATTAATTCTTACTTTGAATAATAATTGATTCATTGATGTAAATAAGAATGTATTATAAATATATAAATTTAATAAAGATGTTTATATATAAAATTTAAACTTAATTGATTAGTCTAAGTATGGAACTTTTAAGTAACATTCTTTGATGAATCTTATGAGCATTCCTTTTCACTGAAGTGATAATTAACATAATTATCTTAAACTCTGATAAATGTATATTTAACTTTATTTTTTATTAAAGGAAGGTAATTTAAAAATAAACCTTAAAATTAATATTACAAAAGCAAATTTCATTTCTAATTTAAAAACTAAATAAATGTTTATATGAATAGCTTTTACAAATATATATATATATCATACTTAATATTATATTGTGTTTGATATCTATTATATTATTTTATTAATCTGTCAAATAATGAATTATTAGTCTTAGACCTCTATAGTAAATCAATGTTTTGGCTCTAAATTAGGAAAATTAAAAATGAGAACTTAGATTTTAATTATCAATTGTGTAATTTTAGCTATAATCATTCCTTCAATAATATTGGCCTAAACAATTAACTTATATTATGTTTAATAGATACTAAGTGATTCTGAAAAGGATATTATGCTTAAGGAGATGTTTAATCATCTAACAAATTCAGCAGATTCTATAAATGGATAACTAAATTCTGTATTTACTAGAAGTATAATTTTATATATCATATAAGCATAAATTACCTTGACTAATCTGAATTAATTATATTGGCTTTAATTAAGAAATAACATTTGGATCAATAAACCAATCACTCGTCTTTGTGACTATAACTCATCATTTATGCCTCCTGATCATTTCTATTCTATACCATGCTATTCATATTTTGCAATTAATTAAAATGATATTGAACCCTTAGAAGATTCAACATAATAAATATTAAGAAATCATACTTATTTAATAAGTTCAATTATCTTAAGTATGATGGGTCTTGATGATCCATTTATGCCTAATTAATTTTATTTTGTATCTTCAATAGACCTTTATGAATATACTTATATTTACCCTTAATCTATAAAAGTACCAAATTTTCATCCTAAAGAGAGAATATGGTATTAATAACATTTTGAAAATTTAAAAAAAGATAAATACAATAATACTCAGGTAAGTGATGTTTATAAATATTTTGGTACAGAACCTACTTATTCTATGACAATGACGTAATCAATGCTTAATTTAATTTGGGATGTTTAAGGGATATTTTGTTCTGACATAGTTTTTTAAAAGAGTATGATAAGAGTGAACTCAATTAATATTATGATAGCTGATTAAAATGGATAATTATTATTAACAAATTATAAAAATAAAGAAATATCCAATTCATCCGAACTTAAAAATTTTGCAGATTCTGAAATAACAGGTTTTAATTCTGAAGATTGGAACTCTCTAATCAATTATCATAATAAAAATCTTGTTTAATCTACATGCTATCTAAAAACTCATAATATATTATGTAGATATAATACTGTATATGAAAAAGATGTTGTAATAACTATATAAAAGCTTAGAAACATAAATTATTATTTAATTCTCTTTTATGATTTATAAATAGAAAATGATATTTCTGAATAAATGAAAGATTTAAATTAAATATTTTATAAAGAAATTTAGTGGATTGCATAAATTGTAATATCAATATTTATTGGTTTAATATTTATCTCAATTATATTGATTTACCTAATATTTTTACCCATTTATCAAGTAATTGATCGATCATCATTATATTTATAAAAAGGATAATAATTAAATAATTGCAGTTCATATGATTTTAAAAATTAAATCTAAAATTAAATCTTAAAAAAAAAAGTAGAATCCTACAATAGTAGTAAATTATATGAGTATATTTAGGTAATGCATTATATTAGTTCAAAATTAAATTTGATTCATTATTTGATAGAGTCTTAACATAAACAATGACAATCAATCCTTAATGTAAAATACTTTAACAATTTAAATATCCTAGAAATAATACAATAAATGTTTTATAAATATAGAAATTACTTATAGAAGGATAGATAAAAGATGATTATTATGTAGATAATAATAATGATTATCGAAATAAAAAAATCTGTTTAAAGAAATCCTTTAGTTTACATATTTAATCAAATTGAGTTTCAATTATGTTTTATTAAATATTGATAATCTCAATTACATAGTATTATTATGTATTCTATATGTATAATATAATTTTAATTATTAAAATTAAAAGTACTCCTTGAAATAGATAACAATTAAATAATAAAGAAGAAAATAAATAATTTACATTCTAATTTGGAATACCAAAAGAACTTAAAAATAAGTTTTCATCATATTTATATAATTCTATTATAAGAAAGATATGGGAAAATATTATTTATAAAAGATAATAGATTGAATTTATGATTCATGTGTATATTTATAATAAATCATAGTAAATGATCTCATATCTAAGTTATAACTCTTGAAGATAATAATTATAATTGATATATAAATACAAAACTGATATTTAGATTGTAATAAGAATTAAATCTATTCAATAAATAATCCTGAATCTTATTAATATACTTTAATGATATTCCAAAACAAATTATAGTTAATAATTTATTAAAACAAAATAAATATTAGAAATACAGAAATAAATTAGTGAATATCTTTTAATAAATAATTATATTTCTTAATAAATGGCACGAAGAGGATAGTAACCACCACCATAATAAGCTCCCCCTGCTTAAAAGAATCAAACAGGAAAATTCAATCCAGCTGAATTTGTTAAACCTGGTTTGACTGAAGAAGAAGTTTTGGAAATCAAAGAAGCATTTGATTTATTCGATACAGATGGGTATTTATATATATCATTATTCAGCACTTAATCTATTGATCCAAAAGAATTAAAAGCTGCAATGACTTCTTTAGGATTTGAAGCAAAAAATCAAACCATTTACTAAATGATTAGTGATTTAGATACAGATGGAAGTGGTTAAATTGATTTTGCAGAATTTTTGAAATTGATGACTGCCAGAATTAGTGAAAGAGATTCAAGAGCTGATATCCAAGTACTTTATACCTTAAATTATAATAGAAAGTCTTTAATTTGTTTGATTCAGAAAGAGCAGGAGTTATTACCTTAAAAGATTTAAGAAAGGTAGCAAAAGAATTAGGAGAAACTATGGATGATTCAGAATTATAAGAAATGATTGATAGAGCTGATTCAGATGGAGATGCTTAAGTAACATTTGAAGATTTCTACAACATTATGACCAAAAAGACCTTTGCCTGAATTCATTATAACATAAACATAAAAACATAAAAATATATTCAATATATATATTATTAGTGATTAGGTTCCATATTAATTATTCTTTCTCAGTCGTATGAAAACATAAAAATACTTTAAGAATTGAACTAGAGAACTAATTCTAAATTTAAAGCATTTAAAATATTATTGAACTTCCTAATTTAACACAATAAATATGATTCATTAATATAATATTTACTATTCAAATTTGTTAAATCTATGCTTTGATTATTAAATTTTTATTGTTATAATGATAAATAAAAATATCAATGAAAAATGTTAGGTAATTAAGATTAAATATATTTAAAAATAACCTATCAATTAATCTGGTTCATTGACTACTGATTTATAATTACTAATATAATTAACATATACAATTAAAAATATAAAATTGAATACTAAATAAAACAAATAAAGTTTTCAATTTTATTTCTATTTAAGAGAAGTATAAAATTGTATATCCAACAAAAAGTTCAAAAATATTATCTTGATTCATTATTAGATAAATAAACTTCTTAAAAATCGTGTATTTCTATTTCTGAAAACCTAATTTAATCAACAGAATAGTCTATTTCTATTTTAATCTAAATTTTATATTAATAATACTTAATATTGATTTATCATCATCTAAAAATTTAGTTTTAAATATATTTCTTTATATAATAAAAATACAACGGTCATTTGATTTTTAACTTTAATGATAATTCACAAATTCTATTAAAATTTATATATGTATTTATATATATCACAGTTTTTTTCTTGTTATTTTCTTTTTTGAACTTATTATATGACTACTAATCATATTGTCTGGTAATATAGCAGTAGCAAAATATGTACTAATCCCATCTATATATTTTAATGGATTTTCAATTTTAGTACTGTTTATCAAATCAATAAGGAATTGTTTTTTTATATATATCATAAAAATTCTCCTTGATTACAAGTCAGATTAACATAATTCTCTTAAATCAGATATTTTTGTAGATATTTGTTTATCTTTTTTATTCTTTCTATTCTTTCTCTCATTTAAAAAATTTTCCAATCCTTTTGTTTTTGGAATAGTATTTTCATTTTATAAGAGATATTTTTCAAAATTGTTTCCTATTAATTTAGGCAAATTTTTATAATCCACTCTCTCTTCATCATTCTCTAATTCAATTTAGAATAATTTTGGTTCTTATTAATGACACTCAATACAATTTTTTTTCATCATCTGTTCATCTTACTAATCTTTGTATTCAATAATTTCTGGATGGTAATTGTTTTATTCAAATTGATCATATGAATTTAAATCATCATTTAAGGCTTCTTAGAATAGATTATCCTCAAACATACAAACACTCTCTTCTATAATAGAAATTAATAATTGAATTCCAAAATTCTATCATTAAAGCTTTATATAAATTTTTTTTAATGTTTAATTGATTAAATAAAAATATCATTAGTTATATTTCTATTGATTCAAAAATGCAACTATTTTCTATTTAAAAAAAATTTAATTTTATAATAGCATATGATAACTAAATTTGAATTCTATTTTAAATAGAAATCATCATAATATTTAGACAAGAATAATAAATTATGTTATCATTTGTTTTTTTCAAATATAAAATATAATGGATTTGAATAAATATCTATAATTTTCAAATAGTTAAACCATATCTTGAGCTTGCAAAAAATCCTTTCTTTGAAGATTATGAATAATTTCTATGTTAGTTTATTTAATTTTACTTAAATATCCCTATTTTTTATATGAACAGAATATCAATTATGATATATTATTAATCCTTTACTAGATTGAATTAAACTAAAAACTTAAGATTAATTAAATTTAATAATAAACTATACTTTTTGTTATGGGAATTTTATGAAGTAATAGATATCAATCTATTATCATAATTTTTTTCTAATTTTTTTATTGATGTGTCCCAACAACCTATGATACTTTTAAAAATTAAACAACATATTTTTATAATATAAATGAATAAGTAATTTAAATTAAATAAGAATTCATGAAATTTCTATTGATTTTAATAAATTACTATTAATAATTATTCATTTTTCAATTATTTATTCGAATTTTCTTTATCGAATTCTTCTTATTTCTTCCTATTACATGATTTTATACTCTGTTTTTCTTCTTTCAAATTCCTACTATTCTCTGTTAATATATGATTTATTTCTCAATTCTTGTCTTGTTGTTATATATTATTATCCTGTTATTTAATCAGTCAAAATGACTTTCTTATTATTAGCAAATAGATCAAGTAATTCAAAAATTAAAAAAGCTGATGTTGTCATCATAAATATTATTAAATATCTTGGAGCTGGATTTCTATTAGAATAATTATCCTAAAGAGTTATTATTGAATAAGAATTACATATTATTCATCTCTCATATATTTACTATAATCTTTGAAAGGATCTTAATAATCATATCCTGTACGTGAGTAAAAGTGATATTATTTAAATGCTTATTGTTTTTGATATTCCTCATATGATTTTCTAAATTATTCTTGATTTTGGTTATATTCCTAATAAGCTAAAAATCCAATATTTTATTACAACTCTATTAATAATATTTTCTCTCATATTGCTACTTCTAATACTTTACAGGGTTTATTTAAATTTAATCATAATCCTTTTTTGTAGTAGGATTTTTGAGTACTTCATAAGCTTCATTGATTGCTTTAAATTAATCAATTGAATTTGGATTCTTATCAGGATGATATAATTTAGCCAGAGTATAAAAAGCACTCTTAATTTCATCTTAAGTTGCTCTATTTGTGAGATTAAGGGTTTGATAATAGTTCTTATTTGGATTGAATTTCAAAAAAGAAAAGAAGTATTTTTATTTATAATACATTTTTTATTGGAATAAAGAATATTATATAATAACATTTTTCTTTAAAATATAATTTTAATTAATTAACATATATTTATTAATAAAGATTTAATCCTTTAATAAAGATTAATATTAATAGTTCTAAAGATTATATATATAATATTATTTTAAATATAACTCAATAGATAATTTAAAATTATTTAACTTTAAATAATTATTAATTTCTATTATGACCAACTTTCTTTTGATTTTAAGATAGTAATAAATTAATATTTATAATTAGAAATAACATTGTAAATTGCTCCTTAAAATATAATCTGGTTTATTGTATGTTTCAAATGAAATAATATTAAATCTTCTATTTAATTCAATCAAAATATTCTAATTTCTTTTATTAAATTTTTATGATAAATTTTGCTCATTTTATTTGTGTCAATGCGTTATCAAAAATTTATAAATTTTTAATATAAATTTTTTTATGAACTTTGGAATTTATGATAAAATAAATTTAATCCTTATAATTGATATTAAATTAAATCCTTAAATTATATTCAGTGTTTTTAGATTTATTAACTTTGTGCTTTTGAGACATTCAAATTTGTCTTTTTGTTATAAATATAAAATGAAATTATATAAAGTTATTAGATATAAACAATAATTATTATTAATCAATTATCTACTATTAGAAATAAAATGAATAAACTGACTTTTATGAATTTATTTTTAAAAAGATTATTCATGATTTTTGTGTTTAATAATTAAAAGTATTATAGATGAAAAAGAATAGTAAATTAAAAATAATTGAATTCATTTAAGTATTTTTTTGAGAGAACTTAATTGAATATATAAATAAATTAATTTTTGTTATATGAATAGATTTAATAGAGTATTTAAAGATAACTTAGTGATGATCATTGTGTCTCTATTGGTAATGTTTCAAAATATCTTTGGAAATGGCACAATAATAATAGCTACATTGATCATATTTATTTAGGTTTTAAGAATTATATTATGTTTGATTACTTAAATCAAAGAATATATTCAATATTTTGATTTGATATAACAATGGAGTTTGCTTATAGCCATTTATTTTGGATCTAACTAAAATTTTATGTCAATTTTAGCATTATGTAATGCTAAAGAGTTCTTTAATACAAAAATGAATTTATAAATGATATAACTTAAGAAGCTATTGATTATTCATCATGTAGTTTCTGATGTTATTCTATTTACATTATGTTCAATTAATAGTTTAAAAGAAGTTCATCTATCAATAATAGCGATTTTAATTCATTGGCTAATTTTATTTTATAATTCTAAACATAAAAAGCTTAAGAAGAGTATGGATAGTTATACTTAGGGAGAAATACCTGATAAAATAGTAATTGATAGTGCAGGTCACACAAATAATCATTCAAGAGTTAAATTTCAAGAAAAACCAAGTAATATTAATGACAGTCCTAGAGATAATAAATTAGAGATTTTAAGCATATTTCCATAAGGAATAGGATTATTTAAAGTATGTGAGAAATAATTAGAGTTAGAATATCATAATGAAAATATGTTAAAGTTATCTACTGCATAATCTTCAGATGAAATTTTATAAAAATTATTTAACTTAGAACAACAATAAATAACTGATATTTAATAAAGATAGTAATAAGAATAAAGAAATTCAATGAGTTCATTTTGTACTTTTTAACAAACTCCAATTCCATGTAATTTCATTCATAATGGTTTTCGTAATCAAAAGAGATCCCAAACAAATTAATTGTAAGCATCTTAAAAAATAGAATTATTACGATAAAATTCAGTATTGAGTTCTTTAGAAACTAGAGGAGTATTATTAAAAAAATGTGATACTTTATGTGAAGAATCAGTAATATTTTATGAAAATTCTTAGATTTTAGAATAAGAGATCAGATTGTTAACTTAACAATTACGTAAAAATGAATTTTAAAATCAAATGAAATATTAAAATGAATTAATTTAGGAACATATTGTAATTTATGGATACTAAAAAGTTTAAAATGATAATAAAAAAAGAGCAATAGAAGTGAAATTATATAATGCTTTAATTAAAGATACACCTTATATTTTAATATTGATAAGGGATATAACTCATAGAGATTATATTTAAGCATTGTAAGAATATAGCAAATAGAAATCAAAAACATTGTCATTTGTGAGTCATGAATATAGAACACCTTTAAATTGTATAATAGAGATGTTAGAATTAGGAATAGATGAAGAATAAAAACATTAATCATAAACAGTAATAATGGAAAAAGAATGTATGAGAGTAATGAAGGTTAATTATCCTATAAAAATAAATAAATAAATAAAAATTGCTTTAGATAATACTAAATATTTATTAAATTTAAGTGATGATCTATTGGATTTAGCATAAATAAAAGTTGGAAAATTTAAAATAAATAAAGCCAAATTTAATTTTAATTTATTACTTGAAAGTTGTGCAGATTTATTTTAGGTTACAGCTGAAAAGAAATAAATTAAATTATTTATAAATTATGAAAGTAAAGTTCCAAGATTTATTTATTCTGATTCCAGTAGATTAAAATAAATTATGATTAATCTATTAGGTAATGCATTCAAATTTACAGATGATGGATCAGTCACTATTAAAGTTTCTTTGTTAAATTAAAAATTAGATGTATCAGTTATTGACACAGGTATAGGTATAACAGATGAAGATTAAGCCAAAATATTTTAAGCTTTTGGTAAAGGTAATAGTGAAGAACACAAAAAGATGAATAAATCTGGTGTTGGTTTAGGATTATTAATCAGTAATTAAATATTATAAAATTTGAATTAAGATTTATAAAGTGGTCTCAAATTTAATTCTTAATATAAAAAAGGTATTTAGATTATTTAAATTTAGGTTCAATATTCTACTTTCAAATAGGATATTAAGATTTAAATGAAATTTAATCATTAAATAGTTTAGAAGAACGTAATTAAGATAGTGAAGAATCTATTATTATGTAACAATAATAAGAAGAAAGTATTCATAAAGTATATGTTCATAATCACATTTCAATATTTAAAAGATCAACTAAAGCTATAATGACTTTTTAAATATTGATAGTAGATGACATTTGTATGAATATTGAAATGATGAAGATAAAACTTGATAGATTGTAAATTTAAAATAATATTATAAGAGGATTTGATTCAGTAGATTCAGCATGTAATGGTTATTCTGCAATAGAGAAGTGTTAAAAAAAATGGTAAATTAATCATGATTTTTATAAATTGATATTTATGGATTTGGAAATGCCTAATATAAATGGAATTTAGACAACCAAAAAATTATTAGAATTATCCTAAAATTTCGGAATAAATATCACAATAATAGGATGTTCTGCATATGAAAGTAATGAATAAAAAAATGAATGTTTACAAGCAGGTATGAAAGATTACTTAACAAAACCAATTTAATTAAATGATCTCTAAAGAATATTGTAGTAGTATTTATGATATTATAATTCACTTTTTTTATTATATATATATTATATATTATATATATATATATACAAAAAATAATCAATATTCATCTTCTTCTGATATTTGAGATAAATTATTCTTTGAAACATTATCTAATTTATCAAATAACTATTATAATTAATATATTATTTACATTCTTCCATTCTAACATTTCTTTTAATTTTGCCTATTTCTATTCCTCACAAATAATATCAATTTATTTTAAATCATTTCTCAACTTTTCAAATCTATTATTTAATTCATCTGTCAAAGCAGTCAAATCTATTCTCTATAGATTATTAAGTAAATACTTATCTTTCAGATCTTTATTCACAAAGTTATGATAACAATTATTCTTACTCTCTCATTGTATTTATTTAATTTGTCATCTCTTCATTCTATTAAACCAATTTCTTTATTTAGGTTTCCATTCGATATATCTATTTTTCCACTTTTTTTTTCTAGGCTACACAACCCATTTTTATTAAATTATTAATTTATTTTTGACAGTCTTTCAATATTCATACTATATAAATTCTAATTATTCTTATTCTTTATTTATTATGTATTAAATAATAGTTAATAATAATAGATGAATTATATATCAATATTATTTTGAATACATAAACTGTATAATTAATATGAACAACAATAAATTCAATAATGAAGTTAATTTTAAAGTATAAATTACAAAGAAATGATCATTACTGAATTCTATTTTATGTTAAATATAATAATTAATGAATAAACCAATTTATAGGGAGTATCAAAATCATTAAGGTGATAATGAAGATCCTAATAATACTAAAATGATCTAAATTACAGATGATAGCAGTTTAAATCGAATTAATGATAGTCTAAAAGATTCTATGAATGAATACAATAAATATGGAGCATAAAATATATTTTCTCCATCCAACAGCATTCATTATAAAAAAGAATTAAAAGATGACTCTTCACAAGATCCTAAAAATATATAATTAGTTATTTAAAATATCAGTGAATCAGATAAACTAATTGAAATCAATACTACAGATCATGGAGATAAAGAAGAAATTTCTAAAATTTAAAAGGGCATGTTAGGCTCATAAACAATTTAATACTAGAAGAAGAGAATTTAATTTAGAAATCCTCATTATGAATAAAAAGAAAAATAGAGAAAAGAATATAATTGGAATTCTGAAGTTATGTAAAAATGGAAAATTAGTATCAATATTGTTCTATTTGTTTTGAGTTTAAAAAGAACAATTAAACAAAAAAAATAAGAAGGTATTAAAACTACATATAGTGAACATATAGAGAAATATAAAATTAAAAAATCTAACTTTAGATTTAGAGACTTTGGATTAACAATTCTTAAATTTATGTTTGGCATTTTATTGGCTTTACTTACTAGTCTATTACTCTTTCCATTTATTTTAATATCTGATCTATTTATGAGAATATACACTTACAATAACTTATATGTGAGTTATGCTTTATCACATAATAATTGGTTCTATAAATTCATATTACTGATTCAAATCTATATGTATGTGATTGCAACTACTTTTGCTATTGTTATCAATCTCTATCAATCAATCATTACTACAGTAGAATTGATGTACAATATTGTTGGAACATTATAAAACAATATATCCAACCTCTCCAGATTATTATATTAAACTATTCAAAATCCATTCTCAAAACAAAAATGAGTTTAATTTGTATTATTCAACCTCTATTATTAATACAAAACTTAATATTATAATATGATTAGTACTTTAACTGAAAATATTAATAATTTTAACTAAGTTAATAATAATATATATAATCTCAATTATTAATCAATCTTTCTCTAATTTCTCTCTTAGTTTTTAATTTTAACCTTAATTTTCTCTATTTTATTATTCAATATATATTATATATATTGTTCTTTATGTTAAAACCAATCTAAAATATATTATCCTTTATTATAACAATGAGTTTGAAAACCTTTTATTTCAGAAGAGAATTAATTTCCTCAAAGTCCAGGTTATTCTTCATTAGCAGCTTCATATATCTAATTTATATATTAAAATAAAAAAAACTCTAAATTTTAAATATTTTTTTGTGGCTCCCATTTTCTCTATATACATATAGGTTTATGTTCGATTATTCAAGATTTCTTGAAATACAAAAATCAATTAGTTTTATATAACCTTATGTTTTCCATAATATATTTTCTAACTTGATATCCCTATGTATTTAATGAGTAATAGTTATTAATAACTAAATCCTTTCAAAAGTTGTAAATTTATTTTAGCTATAATTGAATCATTAATGATAGATCCATAAATTTGAGCCACTCTACATATATTTAGGATATCTCTTAAAGATCAACAAAATTAAAAATAATAGCCTGAATTTTATTAGGTATTCCTTTTGTATGAGTATTTTTATATTGTTCAATAAATAATATCTTTTGCATGGTCATAAGCATTGATAGTCTTTCATAATTCTCTTAATTTATTTTGATGTTCCACTCCAATAGTTAGAGTCTTATAAATAGCTATTGTAACAATTCCACTTGGTTCTTTTCCTCAAGTTTATTGACAAATTTGAATATAATCAATATTAATTAGGTGAAGTTACTATTGTTCTTGTAATTTAGAGAGCATCCTTTGAAAGTATATAATATTTATTAGATCTGAAGCATTCTGGTGGACGTAAAAATTTTGAATTTAGAAAGAGTCTTAAAGTGTTTTTATATTGAGATTATTGCTTTGAGATGTCTTCTTCTTCATTAGAGTATGTTTGAAATAAATAAATTAATTTAAAAATAAATTTAAATAATGGACCAAGATTTATTGAGACCTTAATATGAGAGTGAAAAGAGAAAGCACAAATTAAAGAGATTGATTTAAGCACCTAATTCATATTTCATGGATGTCAAATGCCCATAGTGTTCAACTAATAACACTGTATTTTCCCATGCTAGAGGCATTGTTACTTGCATGTAAAGAAAGTCAATAATATGTTAGCAAATGCTCAAGTCAATTAGGTAGATCAACAGGAGGAAAATTGCAACTTGTTCTTGGAGCAAAATACAAAACAAAAAAATGATAGTATATTGTGACAGTATAATAAATAACACATGGCCATATTTCAATATTCTCAAAGCTACTTAAGAATGTTGTTTATACTTTTTTATTATTATTTATTTTGTTGCATTCTAATTAATGTAAATTGGATGCAATTTCTTATTTATTATTTATAAACATAATAATAATTATTATTATTTATTATTATCAGTATATAAGAAAGAGATGTAAGCTGAAAAAAAAGAATGGCCAGAAGCTGTTGGTAAAACAGTAGATGAAGCTAAGTAATTAATTTTAGCTGATGATGTTGAAATCAATGTTTAAGTATTACTTGAAGGATCTCCAACAACTAGAGATTTTAGAATTAACAGAGTAAGAATATTCCACAATGATAAAAATATTGTTGTTTCAGTCCCAAGAAGAGGTTGATATCTATTAAATATTAGAATTAATATCTATAAATACTATATGATATATATATATTAATTGTCATGCTGTATAGAAATAGAGACAATTGAGGCAAGCAATTGCAACAAGGTTTTGAGTTTAGCACATGCTGATTTTCTGAACTTTACGATTAAAATCATATGATGATCCCAAATTCTCGAAATATTTTGGTGGGATCTATCTCACTACAGTTTTCTTATTGAAATTCAATTCATATTATGAATTACATTCACCTATTAAAATATTAATAAACTATTATACCTAATCTATCAACAATATGGAAGGTACTATTAAAATTACCAGTTACAAAACTATTTGAATCAAGTGTTGATTGTATTGAAAATTTATCAAATATACATTCGTTCTCATATAGATCACATAGTTTTGATTTTAAAGGTTCAAATACTTAAACTGTAGCAACTGGTTTATTGGTCATTGCAATATCCCATACTTTAACAGTTAAGAAATCTCTTGAAAATATATATTTTCCATTTCTACTAAAACATGCATCTGATATAGATGTAACTATTTCAGTAAAGAAATTCTTTTTAGCTGGATCTTCTGGTTCTGCCATTGTAATAGCTGTATTATCACAAATTCCTGATTTTCTCATATCACATAATTTAATTATTCCTTTACTAGTTGTATATAAAAATTAATTATCCAATATAGGATGAAATGTTGATGATGTTATCACTTCACTTAATTCATCTAAATTCTCAGGTTTCAAATCAACTGCCACAAATGCTTTTGATGGTTATTCAATACTCCATAAATATACTTTTAAATCATCTGATGTTAAAACAAATTCTTCATTGTTTGAAGCAGTCAATGAATTTATATGATAATTATGCAAATTAGGAAATACTTTTCTCACACTTTCTAATCTTATTAATTATTTACCTAGGAATCAATCCAGTCTCAACAACTTATAATTTAGGCATTGCCAAATCCTTACCACTTGGTTTGATAACTTTAGTTACATTTTTTTCACTGACCTTCCATAACTTCACCGTTTTATCATTTGTTGATAATATATACATATTTTTGCCTTATGCTCTTAACCATTATAGTTGATTAATCTTCTCTTCTATATCAGTACTTTTAAGAAAATCAAATTCCCTTGTATGTGATTGTAATTCTGTTAAATATCTAAACAATCATTAAAACTCATACTAATATTCAGCTTTATCTCTCTTCTTACTCTATGGTACTTCAAATATTATCAATCGACCAGCTCTGTCTCCTAATCCTAATAATCTTCCAGTCCTTTCAAATTGCACTGCAGATATGATATCCTCGTCACTTACATTGTCAGAAGATGCCTTGTCACCAAATACTTACATGAATTTCCAATCTTATTTCTTCATTATTGTTTTAATTAAAATATAAATTATATTTTATCACTCTATCAAACCTTCTTATCTAATTAGATAAACATTTAATTCATTATTTAATTAATTATAATCTATTTTTATACAATAATAATTAACATAATCATTCATTCATATTTCTATATATATATATACTTAAAAATTCATTTGAAATCCATATTTAATTATAAATATACCTCTTAATAATTCTTATATTAAATTACTATTATTTTTTATTAAAGTAGAATCTAATGTATAGATTATAATGATTAATATTTATAACTATTATAGAGAATTCATATTAATTTATACAAAATATAAATCATTCTATATAAAAATTTCTATAAATCTAAGCTAAAAGATCATATATATCTAATGCACTTAAATATATGCTTTTTGGTAATATGTATATCCAATATAAAACCAAAAATACTATCAAGTAAATTACAATTAAGGGTAGAATTAATAATAAAAATATATATTTCCCTGTGTAAAAATAAAGTTCAATTACTTTGGGGATTAATAATGAGGCTATTTCCATTCCAACTTAAAAGCTTTTTCCATAAACTAGGATTGGAAATATTAAGATTTAAAATACTATCAATAATAGTAAATAAAAAGAATTTGTATAACCATAATCATAATAGCAAGTACATTCATAATAGTTAAATAAATGTTTTTATCTCTTACATAATTTACAAAATTTGAAATTACATTCAGGACATTCTAAAATTGGATTAAACTCATTTTAAAAGAAAAATTATGCTTTACATTTTAAACATTTATAATAGTTTGTTTTACTTATAATATTGTCACAAATGGCACAATTTAAGGTATTTTTGTATTAATGAATTTTACATTTTTAATGTTAGAATATTTATAATTAATCATCATTTTTCTCAATTGAGAATCTAGTATAAAAATATAAAAGTACTAATTCTTAGAGAAACATTCATGCTAGTTCTTGTAATAAAATTCAGATATATAAGGATCAATTTAAGTGACATTAGATACAAGCTTTCTTTTTCTAAATCTTTTAAAGCATTAAGCACAAGAGTTGTCAAATATTATTGGTACACGTAATTATTCTTCAAATTATGTTTATTCTTTAATGTTAACTTAACAATCATTCTTTAACTATTTAATAAAATTCGAACTATTTGTCCAAATTCTTTAGTTTTCCATTGATAAAATTTTAAATTAAATATTCTTTCTTGAAAGTTAATAATTATTTTTTTCAGCTAATATTTTTAATAATATGGTATATATATTTATTATTATTAATATGATCAAATTAGATATTATTATTATTATTATTATTATTATTACTTTTTTAGTTAATGAATCTCTAAATTAATCATAAGTAAAAAAACTATAATTTATCTTATAATTAATATCAAAAAAGAAAAGTGGCTTACATAAAATATTTAATTAGTTTTTGTTTTTGGAAATTTTGTTTTCAAATAAAATTAAAAAAACAATATTTCATCATGGACAAAATAAATTAATGTAAAAATAGATTACTAGTAGAATGAGACTTAAGAGTTTGTGATATCTTTGCTTAGTCCCCAAGTCTTGGAATGAATCAAAAATCTGCTTATTAATCATCTTTTGGTGGTTTTACTTCCATAGCAACAATCTTTCTTGTGTTTTTATTTTTTTCAACCAATTTCGTCGATTATTTGACTGGAAAAAATATCATAACTAAACAAACTTAGGTTTATGATGACAATCTATAAAATCTGCAATTAGATGATCAAGATTTTATAATGGCACTGGGAATTGAATAAAATAACTTTTTAAGCCAGCCATACTTTACTCTAAATTTATAATAAAGGTAATACATTTATGAATTAAGTAAGACAGTATGAAAGACTTTCAAATGGAACAATTATAAAAAATATTACTTCACTTCCTTTAGTCCCATGCACCTTAGAGCGTTTCCAGTCAATTTTCAAGCGCTATGGTTAAAACTTTACAAATGACTTTGAGAGGCTCTAACTCAAAAACTTGCTTTGCCCTTAGTAAAACATTTGTATATACTTTTTTAGAAATTAAATAAGTATGAATATTGGAGGTACATTTACATGTATATAATTCATATATAATAAGCTAATAATTTTAACTTTCTTAAAATTGAAGTTACATCATGCAATTAAAGTGAATATACTGATAGAAGATGTGCATCAGAGGATGAATTAAAAAAATAATTGGAAGAGAAAGGTACATTCAAAGTTTAAGTGTATTTAATAAATAAAGTAATATTTAAATATGAAAATAGGTTATAAATGCTAATAAAATTGGATCAGACTATGTATCTATATTTTTGGATGATCGAAGTTATTTATCATTTGTACCTAAACAAATTAATAAATAGTCAAATATATACTTTAGATAATATTAATTCTAAAATAATCTTGATCTGTATCCATTTAAGTAAAATATATCATTATTAATTTAAGTGAAGATCAAAATTCTAATTTTATATCTATAGATGATACATAGACAAAAGAAATTACTGAATTAGGAAGAGATTCAGATACTGTTTATGCAGCATTCTATTTTCGTAAAAGTCCAATCACTAATTTGATTGAGAGAAAGAATTAAAGCATAATTGATTTATTATCTTAATTGGGAGGTTTACTTTAAATTTCATTGATTGTTATGGGATTCATAATATCAGCATATAATAAAATAACAAGTTAAAATTGTTTATAAATTAAGTAGTGCTTGTGGAATTATCAAATAAGGTTTATGAGTTCAGTACTGATATCGAAGAATAAAATAAATAGCATTAATAAAATTTAAAATTAATTGATTTTGTTTAAGAAGATAAATAATTTAGACAAGAGTATTATGTAAATAGAGAAGGCTAATAATAATAAATACCTTCTAGTAATATTAGACATAAAAACAAACTTCTAAGACTTTTTGGGAAGAATTAATCTGATAAACACGTTATTTTGATAGATAGACCACCTACTGAAAATAATGAATTTTTAAATTAAGGTTCAAATGATAATGAAGATAAGAGTAATTAAATTACATAGTAGGCTATAAAGGATTAAAATATTTTAGCTTAATAGATTAATTGTGTAAATGGATTAGATTATTTTAAAAAATAAATCACTTTAATTTTAAATAGATCATAACCATTGTGTTTTAATATAAAGATCTTTTTAAATTAACTGTGTTTAAGAAAGGCTTTTTAGAATTCACTTTCTGTATTATTTTATAATTAAGCAGTGTATAAATATTTATATAATATTAGTGATAAAATTAATGAATAATTAGATGTGTTTAATATTTTGACTAAATTGAATGAAATTGATAAATTAAAAGAAATTCTTCTTTCAAATTCTTAGTAGTTATTATTTGATTTCGCAGCAAAACCTATTATTTCAATGATTGAAGAAAAAGAAATACCTTGTTCTAGAACATTTCTTGAAGAGAGAGCAAGAACAACGTAAATAATATACAATAATAATAAAGGGTTGAATAGAATAAAACATAAAGTATCCGAAGAAGTTAAATAATTAAATAAAATTAAAAAACCTTGTTTCGTACTCAAAGTCTTGATAGAGATAATCGAATTTATAAAAGAATATATAAAGTATTTGAATAAATAAATTAGGCATATGATTTGATATAGTAATAGATAACAGAAGAAAATCCTCAACGTGATGTTAATCAAAAATTGATTAAAAAACTTGGAGAAGAAATAGAGGCTATTTTCAAATTGTCTAAATTATTAGATTTTAACGGCATTAAAAGATTGAAAGCTCATTCAAACATAGATCAAATCTGTAGAAATACTCAAATTCTACCTGAAAACATGAGGTTTAAATGATTAATTTTGTGTTTATTATTATTTAAATATAATTATCTATATTATTAATTATATTTATTCTTATAAAAAATAATGATCAATTTGAATATAGTGTTTTTAATTTATGATACTAATATGAAAAATATGTCAGACATTGGTATTACTCTTAATATACCATATACAACCTTTACTTTTAGATTGAATTTCTTTAACAATATTGTTAATTGTAAATAATTATTCCAAATTAAGATGAATAACAAAATTAATAAATTTAAATCAAGCAAGTAAAAATAAATATATTTTGATTGTAAAATTAAAGTACATTCATCTTAAATATAATTATTTTATAATCTATATATATACAACCATAGATCAAAAATAATAGAAGAAAATCTTTAATTTTAATTAACAAAGTCTATTAAGTTTAAAAATAATAATATTATATTGATCATTATTAGAATATCTATGGAACAGGTTTACCACTTGTTATTTTACAACCAGCATAATTAAGTAATGCCACTGCTGGATATATAGGTCCAACTTTTAATTTTTCATCTTTAAAAGCACAACCCAAAAATTCTCCATTTAAACTGAACATCAATGTTCCTTAATTCATATTGAGACAAACTCCTATCTCTCCATCATTCTTAAATTTTTTACCATATGTAGGACCATTTGCATTGCTATTATGACGTAACTATTGTTAAATATTCAATATTTACTTATGCTAATCCATAATAAGCCCAACCATATTCAAAATCACAAAATGCTTAATCATAATTAAAATCTCTTTTATTTGTAACACCAATTTTTAATTCATTTTCAGTTCTCTTATCTACTTTTATTTCCCAATATACAATTCCTTACTCAAAACCATATTTAGCAATGACAGTTTTAAATGTGTGAGCTTAATCATCCAGAAATGCTTTCTGATCACTATCTGAAAGATTAATTCCAACACCCATTCTTTTCTTATCCCATATTATAGAACCAATTTAATTCAAGGGGGAATCAATACTCTTTATATTTTTCTCCTGTATTACAATATTTTATATAGGTAAATCTCTTAAATATTAATAGATCTCTTATTTTTTATTTGCTTTATTAATGAGATGCAAAAATTTACATAAAGTATCACAAATCTTGATGATTATAATAAATTACTTTATCATTATTTTCTTTTGGTACAAGGTGTCCACAAAATTCATAATTTATACATTTTTTATCACACCCTGCTTCATGTGATTGGATTTAATTTAATTTTATCCCATTTTGACAAAATTAACCTTAAAAAAATGAATGTGCTAATTACATTTCAATTCTAATTCATCATATATTTTTTTTAAAGCCCCTTGTATTTTTTAAATTAAGTTTATTTTACCACAAACACATTTTCTAACAAAACATAAGAATTTTTTTACAAAGGTTATTATTAATCAAGACAGGATGCACAGTATATTTATCCACAATCAGCACATTCATTAGGATCACGAGGTACACGTTAGCATATTCCACAATCGAAAGAATCTGAATTGTAATTTATAAATCTAGATCTCTCAAACCCTTAACTCTAATCCATTTTCTGATTTTGTTGAAATATTAATTATTTATTTATATAAATATTATTTTATTAATCTATTGATATTTAACATCAATACCAAACCACAATCAATGTATAATGGGATAAAGTATTCGGGATTCTTTTGCTTTCTTCTTTTTACAATTTATAACTAACTTAATGCATGTTAATAATTAAATTTTGTAATTGTCTTTAATTATTGAATATGTAATTACTTTTCAACTTTATTTGTTCTAATAAATTTTTATTATTATAAATTAATGATAGTTTTTAATTATTATTGCTTAATATAATTGTTATGAAATCTTTATAAAAAAGTGATTTTATTTTATTTATTTTTTTGTTTAGTTAATAATTATAGAGAATTCTATGATAAATTTTAATATTCCATATTTATAATAATACTAAGTATTGTAACAATAACGTAGTTAAAAAATTTATGCTAAATTAATGGTATTACTAAAATTCTGAAATTATTCATTTTTTATAAAATTTGAATACTAGGAATTGCTTTTCCAATTAAAGAATTCATAATTATATAATACAAAATCCCATTAAATCTAATGATTTTCAAGTTAATACTAAAAAAAAAAAAGATTTCTTGGATAGAATTATATTTATTAATAGTTTTGAAAATAAAAGAATAGAATTATATCTTATATTTATAGAAAATGAATATCTATGTTGAAATTTTCTTACATTTAACCCATAACTTAAAAAGTATTCCCAAAATCTTTAAATAATTATTAATAATAATAGATTAAATTAGTTTATCAATAAAGTGTCTTCTTTAAATATTTAAATAAAGCCATATTTTAAGCAACCATTTAAATTCAAAATGAATTATAAATGATTTTAAATATGATAAAATACTTAAGAACAGATATTACTTTTGATAATTCTAATTTATTATTGAATTGTAAAAACAAATCTACTGTATTAATAATTCTTTTTACAAAATACTTAAAAAAGACAAGATATCCCTTAAACATTAATACATAACCTATATTAATGAGTTGACTAAAAAGTATAGATAAAAATGAAAAAGATATCAATTAAACAATATTAGATGATAGGGTAAGTAGTTTCAGAGATATAATATATTATAATTATATATATATATATATTTCTTATAAATTTTATTTTGAATTTCTTCAAAGGGCAGATTATTATTTTGTTTTTGGTATCATTTATCTTGAAAAATTAAATTGCTTCTTAAGCAGTAAGTGATTGTTTAATTTAATTTTAATGAAAAATCTGAAACCTGAAGATAACTTTAGTAACAGTTTAGATAGAGAATTAAGAGCAGAACAAAATGATGACTTTGAACAATAGTATTTGGAATTTTGTCTAAAGGAATCTCGACCAAGCAGTGTATTTCAAAATGGTATGTTCTCTTTGAGTAGAATAGATAAAACTCCAGATATGACATATACACCTAAACCAGAGTAAGATTTTCTCTAGAACGATGTAATTTCATTATCAGAGATGCAAACTTAGATCAATAAAACTTCTAAGGATACTGGATCAAGTCTTATGACCTTTTTTTTTATTAAAAGGTTTTTAGAAAAAGTTGGATAAAAAAGACGAAAACTAGAGACTTTAAATTACAATATTTTAAATTTAATAAGTGATAAAGCATCTGAAAAGTATAGAATTACAATAATTGTAGTTCAAATGTGATAGCCTATGCCAAATAGTTTTAGCGTAAAGAACTATCTTTTATAACTGTATAAAGAATATTGACTTAATAATTTATTAAAAGACGAACATTAGAAGAATTTAAGGAATCTTTTGAGCATATACAAAGATAGATTTTCAAATTTTTATTATTAGTTATCTCTTGTATACCATTAATTCAACCAGAATGTATGATAAAAATGTATTGGGACTTCTTTGTTACTTTCATTAGAGGAATACTGGTATTTTTGGTACCTTTAGAAATTTCATTTAATTCAAAAATTTTATTATCAGAAGACAGGATATTTTCAATACTGATATTTATAGTATTATAGTTAGATTATTTTGTAAAAATAAATACAATCACATATAAAACAGGTAAAGCAATATCAGATCGTTGGGAAATTATTAAAGTATAAACAAGTAAATCTGTATTAATTGATCAATGTATAACCTTTATTTTGATAATTAACATCTATTTACCTTAAGGAGATTATGATTTAATTATGATATTACTATTAAGTTAACTTAAGTATATTTATGAAGCCTTTTTGAAAGTAGATTAGATTTCATATCTTACTCGACCTTAGAGAGGAAGAATTAGTTTAATAAAATTTTTAGTATCTTTAATTTATATAGCTCATTTATTTAGTTGCATATGGTTTTGGTTTAGTAGTATTGATGTAGAGGATTCTTGGATTATTACTAAGAGATTAGGAAATCTTAGATGGTCATCATAATATTTGGAGGCATTTTATTTTGCAATAGTTACAATGTTGACAATTGGATATGGGGATAATGTACCATACAATTAGATTGAAAAAATAGTTACTATAATTTTTATTTTATGTGCTTGTTTGTGGTTTTCTTATAGTGTAAATTTTATTGGTGCAATAATTGATGATATTACTTAAAATTAAGTAGAGAGAAATAAAAAGATGAGAGTAATAAATAAGTATATGAGAGAACGTGAGATTCCTTTTGCTTTATAATATTAGTATATGAAATAATTAATTAAATAATAGAATCAAAGAATATTTGACATATAGATGGAAAGAAGATGATGAAGTAGATTTGGAAATGGAATAAGAATTATTAGGATAATTGTCAGATGAATTAAAAGAAGAATTAGATAAATAAGCATATAAGATATTTATTTTGAAATGTGAATTTTTATAGAAATATTTTAGTGTTGAATTTCGTAATGCTCTTTTTAAATCAATAAAAAGAAAAATTATACAACCTTAAAATACATTTTCTATTGAATTAAATGGAGAATATCATTTATGTTATATTGAATAAGGAATACTATTATATTAACATAGTGATGGAAAATAAAGATCTAAAATAAATTCTCATATCAGTCATGGTAGATTTATATGTGTAAAAGAGTTTTTATTATAGAGTTAAGAAAAAGAATTATTTAAAGCTGCTGGATATGTAAGTTTATTAATGTTATCAAAATCAGACTTTTTGGAAACATTAAAAGATTTTCCAGAAGATTTTTAAAAATATTGTTAATTAAGAGATTAATTAATACTTAATTTAGATTAAGATTTAATTAAAGAAGGTTAGTTTTGTCCTGTTTGTAATAAAACTGATCATCAATTAAATCAATGTTCTTAAGTATAATTGATTCCAAATAAAGAATTAGTAGTCAAGAGACATATATATAATTAAAATTAAGAAAGAAAATATCGTTAAAGAAGAGTTATTGAAAAACCAATAATGACTAGAGCAGAAATGTTATTTGTTTAAGAATGTGCTAGAATATTTGCATTAGATAATCCTTAACTCATTTAAAATTAATAAAAATGTCAACATGTAATAGAATAAGAACCTGAAGCTAATGTAATCTTTCTTGGTAATGAAGAATAATTACCATCTGTTAAAGTGTTTCATGTTTCAGAGGAATACTTAGTTACTTCTGGTCATTAAAGAGCAGTTAAATGTATAGATTTAGAAATGCAATCAGATGCTAGAATAGATAAATAAAGTAAACATAATTAAAAGTATAATCCAAAAAGAATTTACAAAGTAGGATCTATTTATGATCATAAATTCTTAAGGTAAAATACTAAGAGTCCTTCCCTTTTATCTAGTTTAAATGAACCATCTATTGAATAATCAACTTATGAAGCAATCTTCAATAATGAGGTTGATGCTTTTAGAAATAAAATAAAAAATTTTGAATAAATGCATGCTGAAAGCATTAAAATAGTTTATAATCAAATGTTAAAATTTATTGATGATCCTGAACTTATTAAATAAGTAAAAGATATAACATATCTCTATATACAATTATTTAATTAATCTGAAACAAATTTAGATTAGATTTATAATTATGATTATTATTTCCCTACCCATAATATTACTTCAATAATAGAATAAATTAATAAAAATAAATCAAATTGGCAATAATTAATTTTGAATAGATTTTAGATGTATATGTTTTATCCTTTTTAATTTATACTTAAATTTTTAAAATACAAAAGAAATAAAGCATATGTTTCAATAATTAATAAATTTGAAACAATTTAAAGAGCTAGACACAAAATGATGCTTTTAAGAACTACTAAAAATTAAATCAAAAGAAATAAAGTGTTACCAGAAGATTAAATAAATAGAAAAAAATAAATATGATATTTTTATTTATCATTTATTATATTGTTAATTATTTTTGGTATTTCTAAGATCTAAACTATATTTTTGATTAAGTTATAGTTATTGTACCAATTACATAATTCTCTAAAGAAGTATATACAAAATTTATAATTAATAGAAATTTAGAATAAGTCAAATGACGTAATAATAAAAATTATAATTTGGATTTCTTTAGTTAAAAATTAGGATTTTATGATTATTGTGTATATATTTGACAATTAGGATATAAGGATAATTAAAATGAATTTAGATTGAAGTAAATATATATGATAAAATTGTATATTAATATGAGATGTGTTTTTATATACATAGTATTATATGAAATTAATTAAAAAATAATGACATAATGTAGAATAGGGGATTGTTATTGAGTTAAGCTTAGGAAATGAATATTTAATCATTTATAAATATATTAAGTAAATCAAAGAAAATATATATATATAATAATGAATGCTAAAGATGTTAAATAAGCACTATAAAAATATTAGCCATAATTAGATTAGGATTACCAAAACAAATTACAAATAGCTAAATACACAAATTTGTCTGATATTGAAAAAAGCAATTTTTTATAAATTTCAGGTATTTTAGATTTGGAGTGTAGGTATTGAATAATAACATGTATGCTTTCTATTTAATGGGAATATATAAGATCAATTTGACAACAATAGGATTACATATCACACTATAAATAGTTTAGATAATAAAATAGATCAAAAGTATTTGATGGCAATATAATTAGTACTTATACCATTGTATATATAGTGGCAGAACATAATGCAATCAATGAGTTATCAAGATTTCGAAAGATTTTGAAATAACTTCCTAGTAAATACTATACTCAACTGAAATTTCTATTCTTATATCAAGCAAGTTTGATGGTAAAAACTAGATTATGGTTACAAACTTCAAAGAGATGGAGTTTATGGTAGAAGAAAACAAAATATGTTAATGAGTATGCTTAAACTTATTTTAAGTGTAGAAGATCTGTTAAAAATACAAAATTTTTAAGCCAGTTGGATGAATTTAGTTCCTAAATAAACTTCAGGATTAGATTAAATAGAGCCTACATAATTAGTTAAATAAACAGGAGGTTCTTTTGGTTCAAATTTAACAAATTAAAAATTAAATCAATTTGGAATACCTGTTATACTTGATTGTTTGCTTTCATACTTTGTAACGAATGCAGATAGATTTTTAAAACCAGATATATTTAGAAAATAAGGTTCAATAAATNCAAAATTTATAATTAATAGAAATTTAGAATAAGTCAAATGACGTAATAATAAAAATTATAATTTGGATTTCTTTAGTTAAAAATTAGGATTTTATGATTATTGTGTATATATTTGACAATTAGGATATAAGGATAATTAAAATGAATTTAGATTGAAGTAAATATATATGATAAAATTGTATATTAATATGAGATGTGTTTTTATATACATAGTATTATATGAAATTAATTAAAAAATAATGACATAATGTAGAATAGGGGATTGTTATTGAGTTAAGCTTAGGAAATGAATATTTAATCATTTATAAATATATTAAGTAAATCAAAGAAAATATATATATATAATAATGAATGCTAAAGATGTTAAATAAGCACTATAAAAATATTAGCCATAATTAGATTAGGATTACCAAAACAAATTACAAATAGCTAAATACACAAATTTGTCTGATATTGAAAAAAGCAATTTTTTATAAATTTCAGGTATTTTAGATTTGGAGTGTAGGTATTGAATAATAACATGTATGCTTTCTATTTAATGGGAATATATAAGATCAATTTGACAACAATAGGATTACATATCACACTATAAATAGTTTAGATAATAAAATAGATCAAAAGTATTTGATGGCAATATAATTAGTACTTATACCATTGTATATATAGTGGCAGAACATAATGCAATCAATGAGTTATCAAGATTTCGAAAGATTTTGAAATAACTTCCTAGTAAATACTATACTCAACTGAAATTTCTATTCTTATATCAAGCAAGTTTGATGGTAAAAACTAGATTATGGTTACAAACTTCAAAGAGATGGAGTTTATGGTAGAAGAAAACAAAATATGTTAATGAGTATGCTTAAACTTATTTTAAGTGTAGAAGATCTGTTAAAAATACAAAATTTTTAAGCCAGTTGGATGAATTTAGTTCCTAAATAAACTTCAGGATTAGATTAAATAGAGCCTACATAATTAGTTAAATAAACAGGAGGTTCTTTTGGTTCAAATTTAACAAATTAAAAATTAAATCAATTTGGAATACCTGTTATACTTGATTGTTTGCTTTCATACTTTGTAACGAATGCAGATAGATTTTTAAAACCAGATATATTTAGAAAATAAGGTTCAATAAATGAAGAAGAATAATTATATACATTATTGATGAATGAGAATTATGAATGTTTAAATGTAGTAGAAGATGTACGAATTGTTTGTAGTATGATCAAGAGATTTTTTACATCATTACCTGATCCGTTAATTCCATAAAACACTTTAAAATTTATTTGTAATTAGATAGTATGTAAGTTGCTATTAAAAAATTATTAGAAATAACTCCTCAAACAGAGATTGCATTATTAGAAGAAGTATTTGGAAAATTACCTAGTCTAAATAGAGTGTTATTAACAGTTATGGTAAGTTTTCTATTATGTGTTGGCAATTATTCTGAATTTAATCATATGAATATGAATAATTTGGCAATTGTATTTGCTCCTTGTTTTATGAGAGCATAAACTAATGATATTTCATCATTAGAATAGGTTGGTTAATCTGTTAAATTTTTAAAAATTTTATTTGATAACTTTGATAAGATGTTCCAAAATGTTACATTTAAATTATACTTACAATACAAATAAACTTAATCATGTTCATCAACTAGTAGTAATAGTTCAACAGGTCCAGAAACAATGAGTAAAAATCAAATTCTATCATCATCAGAAGATGAAATCGTTCCTCAATTCTAGCAAAAGTAGCAATGATTTTATAATAAATAATAAAACACAGAACTTTTTTTCATGCTTTTTATTTCTGCATTCTCAATACTAAAATTAATTTAATATAAAAAAGTTTAGGTCATACCAGGACTCGAACCTGGGTCACTGGATTCAAAGTCCAAGGTGCTAACCACTACACCATACGACCTAAGCTAATTAATAAATATAAAGAATATTTATAATATGTATAAAAATAAATTCATAATATTAAGTAAATTAATAGATTGATAGAGATGATAATCATACAAAAAAAATAAGATTTATGTAATATATATATTTATTTTTGAAGATAATGTGATGATTTTATAATTTAAAATAAATATCAAGAAATAATTCTTGGATAAACAGAAGTTAAATATATATATAATAAAAATATCAAACAGAAATTATATAATCTTTAGCAATTAAATAATGATATCTAGTTTTGAAATAATTATATTAATAATAAATGAAAATTAAAGGAGAAATAATGTTTATTTTAATTATTTAAATAAAAATGATAGATAGAAATAATATTTAATAGATATTTGAAGAATGATGTATATATAAATATATTTAGTTTACATTTTATTCATAATTTAAAATTATCATATTATGGAAATCCAAATTCAATTTTTTATTGCTGATGATTCAATACCATAAAATTTAAAAGTTTTACTTTTGCTTCTTTTTCTTCTAATTAAGTGCTTAATTAATTCTAAATGAGTTATAGTTTTTGAATATCTTATTTTAGAGCTTAATTCTGTTTTTTTAATTCATTAATTTAACTATCCTAAGAATGATATTGCATTCATACCTTAAGTTCTTATTCTAAATTGCTAATAGGTTTTGTAATGTAATTTTCTTTTGTAGATAAGTTTATAATAGTTGTTGGTATTGAAAGAGATGAATTAATAGATGATCTTATTTTTTGATTTGATTTATTTTACTTATGTTTTGAATAGTTTAGAATATTTTCTAAGCATTATTCAATTTAATTTAAATTATCCTAGAAATACTTTTCTTATTGTATTTTCAATTCAATTTTAATTGATTAAATACAGGATTTGATTGTGTCTTGTACATTTAATTTAATTTAATCATCATCTGTTTGACATTCTGCATCTTATGAGAGATATTCAAGTTTGATTTGATCTTGAGATAAGCTTTGTCTAAACATTAATTGTTAATAGATTTTAAGAGGTTATTGAGATGTAAATGTAATGGTTTCTAACTTTGAGAATATATTATTCCAAAGTATTCGTATATTACCATATTAATGAATTTATTGTAGTTCTTATTGTAATAATTAAACTTGTTGTTTTAACATTTATATTTCGATAGACTCTTGAGGCATAATTTTAATATTCTATTCGTTAAAAATATTTATAAAATTTGTCATTATTCATAATCCTCAAAATTGAATTAATTTATATATAAATTATGAGTGATCATTTTACTTTAGTATTTTGATTCAATTTAAAATTTATAACAATATTTTCTCAATATTATTTATTTAATGATATTGGGTACAGAAGTAAATGAATTTGTGACTAATCGCCAGTAGTCTAAAATACACTATCTATCTTAAGAGAATAAACTTCTATAAGAATATATTGCTGATTTAGAGAATGCATTAAAATTAAATAAATAAGCTATGTCTTTAGCATTGGACAGTAATAAGCCTTAGGTAATTCTTTTAAATTAATGTCAACAAAGCAAACAAAAGACGGAAGCACATTGTCAAGTGAGTAAAGTTCAACTTCTGAATTGATCAAACTTTTAAATGAGGAGAATAAGAAATTAATGGAAGCCTTAACTAAGCAATAAAAATTAAGTAGTTAGTTGCAAACCAAAATACTCTTATAGGAATAAATAGCTGAGGAGCAATCAAATTATTATAAAGATTTAATTAGTGATTTAGAATATAAGTTAATTGAGTTGAAACGAAACATTCATGATAAAGAATATGCTATATAAGAATTAGAAAGAATGAAGCCAATTTAAGAGAAGGAAGGCTAATTAATTAAATTAATAGAAGTAGTGACACCTTCTGAATAGAATCTTAAAATGCATGAAGAATTAGAAAGTGTGAGAGGAGTATTGTAGAAAATTACAGCTGAAGCTCAAAGTGTTTCAGAAAGCAATAATGCCTTAAGAGAAGTTAATTATCATTTGAAAAGGGAAATATTTAAAATGAGAATAGTATTGAGAAGTTAAGTGAACTATTAAAATATGAAAGGTATTAAATATTAATATTCTAGATTTTGTATTTAATGAATATCTTGAAAAAACAGATAACAATCTTGAATTGAATAGAGAATTATAAAATCATAGAGGTAGATTAGAATAAATGCATTAAGAATTATATGGAACTAGCAGTTTAGGTTATGGATTTTCTCCAGAACCATAATAATTGAAATATTTGAGTAAAAATGAAAGGATGATTTATTAAGAGAAATTGCATAAAATGGAAATGATGGTTAAAGGATTTAAAGAATTATTTGAAAAAGAAAAAAATAGTAATTTAAGTGTTAGTAAATTATATAATGAATTAATAAAGAAATATTAATAAATATAAGACACTAATGAATTATTAATAAGATCAAATTAATTAAAAGATTAAAAGAATGATCAATTGATGGCAGAATTGTAATTTTACAAGAAATAAAATTAAAATTATATGGAATAACTCAAAACTAGAAAATAGTTCAATTCTATATAATTAAATTAAGAATAAGATATAGCTATTGGTATATTTAGTCCTAGATTTAATAATGAAAGAGTAAATACTTAACCATCTTATTTTGTAAGACATTCTTAATAATTATCAAATGCTGATGTTAAATTAGATGATACAGAACCAAAAGAAAATATCTCAGTCTAATTAAACAATTCAAATTAGAAATAAATTCAATAAGTTCTTCCTTAAATTAAAATGAAAAAATTATAATTAAAAGAATTAGAAATTAATACAGATGATAATTTTGAATAGGCTCCATATTGTTAAACAGCCAGAGCTGATTCTAAACCACTAGTAAAAAATCAATTATAGTAATAAAAAATTTAATACTATGATATGACTAGAGAAGAATGTGTTAATTTCATAATGTCAATGTCTAAAGAATTCTTTTAACATTTTGATGTATTATATCACTTAAATTTTAGATAAGTAATATTAAGAAGAAATAATTAAAAAAATAGATGGAGAATCCACTATCATAAATAAAAAGAATTAAAAGATCTTACAGTAATCCATTTTCTTACTTTTCAAATGAGAGTTAAGTCAATTTTACAAAACCTCCTAAATAATCAGTTTTAGCTATTGTAATTATTAATATTATCAATTTTTTAAGACCAAAAATGAAATTTAATAATTATTAGTTTAATTAACATGCAAAAAGTAGTAGTAATCTGAACATTTTGATTTATTCAGTGTTGATGTTTCTTAAATTGATGGTAATAAAAGCAAGAAATAAATGCTTGATTAAGATATTAGTTTTATTTCAAATATTGATTAATAAGATTGATTATCTTAGTTTCTATGTTTGTGTAAATAATAATTTAATTAATTATAAATTTTAATGAAAAGGAAAGTTCATTAAAAGAAAGAAGACAAATTCAAATTCAAAAGAAAATCTTAAAAGTAAAATAAACTTCATAAGATATTAATAACTGTATTAGTACCTTTGATGTTTGGAATCCTATTAACAACACTCTTTTCAATTTTGATTATTTTGTTACTTTCTGAATATTGGGCAAATCAAGGAGCAAATAGTTTAGCCTAACAACAATACATTTATTAAACATGTACAACTAATTTATGCAGCTAGCATTAACCACATTATTGGGAAATTCTTAATAATCTATATTTTAAACTATTTCCACAATTAGAACATAGATTATACATTCTTTTTGGACTCAATAATAGGAGTCTTAATATTTAGATTTGTAATCACTTTAAGTACCTTAAGTAATTCCACTCTCAATATCATCTTAATTTATAACTAATTTTGATAAAAATACAAACTAATGTTTATATTGTATAGGATGGGGAATAGTTGATATCAATAATTTAATGACCTTCAATTAGTAATTGTCAGATTTAAGTATAGAATAATATTCATAATTGTAATAAATTGTTTAAACCTTTCAAATTTTACAAATTCTTTATAATAGTAATTTCTAATTGAATTATATTTACTATCATTTTACAAATTAAATGTTTGTTTAATATCCATTTGTTGAAAAAGATAATCTCTATTATAAATCACCCTTACAGTATATGAAAAATACATTCAATCAATCAAATATGCATACTGCATTCTTAATTCAACCAACTTCTGAAACTGAATTGGAAAGTTGTGTTGCACTTTTAGGGAATGATAATAATTTTATGGGAATTATTTGTTTAAGAATTAATGCATTAGGTTAATAAGTGTTTCTTAATAATCTTTATTAAAATATTGATTATTAAGGTGAAATTTATTCATTTTTTTGTAATTAGAATTTAAATATTTTTACAACTAATACTGTTATTTAATATGTAAATGGATCTATTGTATAAAATTATGAATTTCCAAATTTGATGGATGTAGTATTTAATAATTCATATTCAAATTCAACTTAATTTCTACAATTATTTTATGATATCATTTATCCAAATTAAGATGCTCAATATATTTAATTAGTAAGTTCAGTCAAATCTAATGTTTCTACAATGAAATAAATATTGTAAAATGAATAAGAAACATTTATTAATAATTCAGTAAATCCTTTATTTTAATTAAGTAGCATATTAATACAATATGATATTAATTATTATTAAAAATTTCTAGATTTTGTAATTTATTATTAATTATTATTTATAGTTTTCAAGTGGAATATAAAATGAAACATTTGTGAATATTATGACTATTGCAATACCTTTAGCAGTAATCATGTGTGTCATAGCCTGGTACATTTCTTATCGGATTATATAGAGTGTTTCAAAACCTATAAATGATTTGACTCATAAACTTGAATTGGTATGTATGATGATTTAAATTAAAAGATTGCTTAAGATACATTAGCAATCTAAATTTATTCAAATTTTAGATAAAGTTCCTTAGAAGTCAATCTTCTTTATGATGCCTTAGATTAATTAGTAACTGTATTGAATTTCTCAAATGATCGATACTTTGAAGGAGATGATACATCATTATTGATTAAATATGCTCAAGGGAAAGCATTGTTCTAAAAGATGAAAAGCAACAAGGGTATGGGTATGATCTTAAATAATATTGGTAATATTCATAGAAGATAACAAAGATATTTAGAAGCAATATAATGTTATAGAGAATCTATTGCATTATGTGAAGATGATTTAAAAGTATAAATATAGAATATATAGATGCTCTTAGGGGATATAAAATTACTTGAAGTAAAACGATTACAAAAGGGTATTAGTATAGATATTTCTGGTGAATCTAGATTTTCATAATCTGGTAGTAAAAGAGTTTCAATGATAGAGAGAGAAATTCAGACATCTCAATTAGAAGATATCTATTCAAGTAGGAATTTTTCATTAGCTAATGTACTCATGTAATAAAAATAATATAACATAGTGAATATGCAGATAATAATTAAAATTTGAGTATTGAAGAGAAGAAATAATTGTATAAGGAGAGTTTGGAATGTTTAAATATTACATTATCTCTTGATCAAAAAGATAATAAAGGTTTACTATACAGATAAATTATAAGTCATATTTTATAATGCAAAGTATTACTAAATTTAGAGGATTCAAATTCTGCATTAGCTGAGATATCAAATGCTGAATAATTATCAGATAAATATGAAAATTCATATGACAGATCTGATGCTTAAGTTAATGATTCTTTTCCAATTCCTCCAGGTATTTTGAAATAGAGGATCTTATATGAAAAAGGATTATTTATTAAGAGATATGATAGTATTAAAAAGGCAGCATTTATATTTACTGAATGTTTAGAAACTAGTAAGTTTTATGATCCAGAAATTAGAATTAATTGTTTAAAATAATTAAAGGAAATATTCTAATCATAAAATCTACTTTATAAAGTACCAAAGATAGAGTAATTGTTAGAATTAAATGAGATCAAGAAAAATAATGATATTGTATTTGTAATTGATCATTCTGGTTCAATGGAAAATATTAAGAAAGAATTAGCAATTAAGTATTTAAATTATATTCTATTAATAGTGGCATACTCAAAATATTTGATAATTATCTTTAGGATTAAGACAGAATCAGTTATATGCGTTTCAATCAAAATATAGAGGTTATTTTTGATTTAACTTATAAATCAGAAAATACAGCATATTTGAGAAGTGCTATTGAAAGATCTAAAAACATAAAGGCTGAAGGAATGACTGCTATGTTATCAGCTGTAGTGCATGCTTATTCTATTCATGAAAAAGCCGTAAAAAAGGATAATCAATAATGGATAGTAGTATTATGTGATGGAGAAGATAATTTGAGTAATATCACATATGAGAGAATGAAAAAATTTACAAGTAAAAGACCTTAGATTTCATTAATTGTTATCGGCATAGGTTTAAGTTTGAAGCCTGATTGTCTAGATGAATTATATGACTTATGTAGACTTAGTTAGAAAGGGTTCTTAATTGAATCTGTATATAGTGAAGATCTAGATATTGCATTTTAATCAATTAGTAATCTTATCTTTGGAACTTCCAGCATTTATGATGAGAGATTGAATTGATCAATTTTAATATAATTATTATAATATAATTATAAGCTATTAATATTTATTATCTTTGATATTAATGAAAGAAATAGTCACCTTAAAATAATACTTAAAACAATTTCAATTATATTTACTTCATTATTATACCTTTGTATTTATGTACTATTAATTGGGTATTAATCTTTCCCAACTAAGGTAGAGTGCTTTAATTAATTAATACCAATATTTGTGAATTCATCTAACAATTTTAAAATCTTTTATATATTTTTATTATAATATAAAACTTGGTGTTCTATAGAGAATAATATCAATCACTCTATTTAACCTTATACTAATAAGGGTAACTTAATCACTCTAATTTAATCCACATTATGGAATAATTAGGCATCTTACTATTGTAATTAATGATTTGACTTTCCCATCCTATAATTTCACTATTAATAATAAAATTTAAATTTAATTGTAACTATATTACCAAAAAGGACTTGTACAAGTAATAAATCGTAATATTGCCAATAATTAAATTAGGGTTTGTGTACTTAAAAATCTTCTAAAATTGTCAACTTATTTAATACAATTTTGAAGGGATTAAATTTTATTTAGATTTTAATTTTTCTAGAGAATTTTTATTGAAATATTTTATAATTTGATTAGTGTATTTTATCTGGACAAGTCTATTATTTTAGAATTCAAAAAAAATTAGGTCAGTATCATTTATTGTTCTTTTGTTCTAAGAGAAAATTATAATAAAAGGATCTTTTAAGAGCCCATTTTATAATGTACTTAGATTATGTACAATAATAGCTGAAATTAAATCTTTTTTAAATGAGTCTAAGTATTTTTTGTGTTAAGGCAAGTTACTACAAAAATGTTATATGATGGTTAACAAAAATGGCTGCTAGAGTAGTGGGGGAAGAAAGATGGGATTCTATGAGAATGGTTAGAAGAATCTATGGAAATAAATTTTATTATGCAAGATAATAAGTCTTATTTGATATATTTTATGATTGGCCAGCCTTTGCCAATATGATTGGTATATATCCTAAAGTATAATAATATCTATTATATATAGATTGATACTTCTAATGGATTTCTTCATTGGTCAACATACGAAGCATATAGAGATTGGTAAGAACATACATTAAACTCAGATGTAACATTTAATTAATACATAGGGTGCCTTTGCTATGTGGATTTACTTAATGTGTGGGATTTATATTGGTCATTTTGTGTATTCATATATGGTTCCTTATTATTGGACGTATCTTGTTCTGACAATAAAATAGGAATCTATTCCCAGAAAAAATGAGGAATTTGTAAGATTAAGAATGAAGGATGCCATAGCTTCAACAGTTTAAGAAGAATTGTTTGGAAATCAATTTGCAGAATTTGGTTGGGCTCCTCATGATTTCCATTATAATAGACGTAGATGCATGGCTGGTTATAGTCATCCAGATGATCCACGTACTATGCATATGGGCAGTTTTAAAAGTAATTTATTTTTGAATATTCTATAGGAAAACATAAGTATAAGGAACACTATATTAAGAGAGTAGGATAACAAAGTAGAATGGCTGATTTATGAAAATATAAAAAAGACATTAATCATTTTTGTTTTTCTTAGTTTATTGTACAATTACAATAGTTAAGCATCTTATTGTATTTTTAATAGGTTTTCTTTTATTGTAATTTATAAATAACAAAATTTTGATTCTGCTTAAGTTCTTTTAGAATTATAATTAAATATAAGCAAGAAATTATAAATTGCCACGTTATGGATATTGCAAGTTCTTAATACACAGACATTACTCAAAAATTTCTATCTAAAGTACACATTAAACTTGTTGCAATCAAAAGAGAATAACCAAATTGTATTAAGGATCTTTATTTTAATTAGAATTTCTACTTACAGCCAAACTTGCCAAGGAGAAAGTAGATACAGCAAATGAAAGACTCTAAGAATTTCATACTAGTATAAATTGATCTTATTATTTAAGCATCTCAATCTACAGGGCTCTTTAATGATTAAGACTATAAATTGAATACACTACTATCTTAAGTTAAAGATGATATTAGTTAAATACATATACATCTAAATCAACTAAAAACATAATTGAATAATGATTTACATTAATCAATTTTTGATTTTGTTTAACAAAAAGCTTTAAAAACATCTGATTAATTTAAAAAGGTATTTGATTTATACATTAAAATTATAGTTGTTATAGAGTCATACATAAAGAATCAAATAATAGGAAGAAAAAAGGAATAGATTGAATGGAGAAAGGGATAGAGTAATTAAGAGAGTAGGATTTAATCAAAAATACTAAAAATTAAATGAGACTGAAGAAGAAACTAATCATTAAACAATATAAATGTTTGAATAAAAGTAGAATGAGGAAAAATTGGTATCCATGTAGAAGATAGAGTCTATGTTAAATGATATTGCTGGAGTATTTCAAAGAGTTGGAACAATGGTTAGACTATAAGAAACTATGATTGAAAGAATAGATAAATACACAGATGAGGCATAAGTGAATGTTAGCAAAGGACGTAAAGAATTATAAGAATCACATAAAAGAATAAGTTCTAATAGAGGGTTAATCCTAAAGGTTTTTTTAATATTGTTTATTTTTGCTTTTATCTACATTGTATTTGTTTTATGAACTAAATACATTAAATTGAGTATACTAATAAATATAATTATAAAAAATAATCACTTTTATCTTTTAACTTGAACAATGTTAAAATAAATATAACTATAAAATGATTTTAATATTTAAAAATGATATTACAAATCAATTTGCTTATTTTCAAAGAATTTTGGAATTATGAATACTTTGCAACATATTGATCTTTTTAATTTAAATTCAACTACTAATTATTAAAAATTCTTATCAAGATTGATATCATTGTAATACAATTTAATAACTTTATAGTGAGGTTATAATATTAAAATAGATGTTTTCAGTTTATATTGTAAAATATGAATTTATATATATAAAAAATGAGTATATATTAAAAAAATTTATTTATGAACTCTCTTATTTGATTTATTAAATATTGTCAACTAAGTTGTATGATGTTACTTAGTGTTTATGGGACTATTTCTTAAAGACGCATTTCATTTTAATCGTCATTGTTGAAGAAACATAAAAATATTGTTAGATACATATAATCTATAAGACATAAGATTTAATAAAATAATGATGTTTGGAAAAGGAAATAAGGAATATTATTAAAATAGAGATTAGAAAAAAGAATAGAAATTTATGTGGAAAAGTAAAGTAATAAAAAAATGATGATTGGATTATTAATAAAATAAAAAAAATAATTAAATCAATTGAGTTATGAATTTTATAAATTATATTGATGTTGTGTGAACAGTTGAAATGAGGTGATGAATCATACTTTGATTTATTTAGTTTTGGTTTAAAATATTTGCTAATATTAAATCTTTAAATTTAATGAGGTAGGTTGATTCAACTATACCACTTTAGAAATCAGAAATTTGGGATATAGAATTACAAAAAGTATAAATTGTATATTATATTAGATGACTGTTATTTAGAAATAGATAGAAATTCCAAAATACATGATTATTGAAAGTGTTGCTTAAAGAATTCATTAAATTCCTCTAAACTATATTCATACAAATATAGTTTATCCTGATGAGAATGAATATTCTTGTGATGAAGAAGATTGTATAGCTGGGATTGATTCAAATGCAATTTAATAATTGGATATTAGGAATAACCTATCAAATACTAGGAACTATGTGCGACAATATGAATTACTAAATTCTTTGAATTATTCTGCTGATTATTATAATGAAAAGGTTCAAAGATTACAAAGACCCTTATTAAGAGTATTTATGAGAGCTTAAGAAGATGAGTAAAATATCATTTTTTTATTGATCATTAGTTGTCGTTTCAATGTTGCTTTTCATCCCAGTAAGACCTACAAATAAAAAAGATTGAAACGACTCAACATATAGCTACCTGAATTTGATATTTCTAGATAAATCATCTACAATGAAAATCTCATTTCTCTTCATCTCATTTAATAAATTAAGCAGCGTGAACTATTAAAATTAAAACTAATTAAATAAGAAGAAAAACAATTTATTAGTAATTTCAGTAGTTGTTCAGAAATATTCAATACTCTTAAAGATTTGCGAATTGCTTTGAAAGAAGAAGAACCTACTGAAATTAAAGATAATAGATCAAAAATCTTTGATTCTTGTTAAATTAATGAATGTGCTTATTAATTCAATATTCCAATGATCTCTTTACCTGTTATAGAGTTTATGGATGAATAATATTAATCAATAAAAGAAAAACAAATAATATGGCCTAAAAATCCAAGTGTACTCTCAGATTGGAATATTAATAATTATACTAAAATTGGGGTATTTTAATATAATAAATAACTAATATATACTACGAATGATCGTACTTTATTTATATAGGATAGAACTAAAAAGAACAAAAAAAAAATTAAATTGATGCTTGTTGATCGTAATCGAGCCTCAGTATTTGATGGTATAAGGGCTGATTATGATCATTATTATTCTCATTATTAGAAATAATAATCAAAGATTGAATAATTTATAGATTTATAAAAAAAAGAGATCCATAAATTTAAATAAGATTAAGTTAAAAAAGAATTAATTATGAAAATGCAATAAAAAAAGGAGGAAGAAAAATAACTTTTAAAAATTAGATTAAAATTAAATTATTCTGAAGAACCAAAGATAATTAAAACAGTAAAAATTAAACATTCAGATAATCTAGTATTTAGATTAGTTAAAGATAATAATGCTGATGATAATAACTGTTAGATTATCTTAAAATGATAATTAATTAATTAATTTTATTACAATTTGTTATTTATTTATATAATGTTAATACTCTTTTTGTTTTTAATTTAAAATAAAGATTTAAATTATTTATTATTATGGCAGAAGTCGAATAATTATCTGAAGAACTCACTACTTTAAAGAGAGTCGTTTAAACATCATTGCATAGAGGTTAATTATCAAAGGGTGTACATGAAGTATGCAAAGCCATTGAAAGCAAATAAGTTTGAATTATCATGCTATGCATTATAGGCTAAGTTTGTTGTTTTGGCTGATGATTGCAATGAAGAATCCTATAAAAAATTAGTTGTTGCTTTGGCTAAATAATTCTAAATTCCTGTTTGGAAAGTAGAAAAAGGTGCCTTACTAGGTGAATGGATTGGAATTTCTAAGTTTTTGACAAAAACTAAGAAAATCAAATCAAGAAAATGCTCATCTGTTGCTGTTAGAGATTTTGCAATCGAAGTAAGTGAAGCTGAAAAACAATTTGTAGAAGATAAAATCAAAGGATTGTGAAAATATTTATCTGTACAACATATAAAATGTATAATAATAGATAATAACAATCGAATACTCCTTTATATCTATAGATAAACAACTTGATAAATAACAATAAATAATAACTTCATTAATATAAGAAAACATACTCTACATTATTTATTTTTATTAATGAATAATATTTTCAGAATAAAACACCTTTCTCTTAGATATTAAGTGGTCTAGCTGAATTTGGATTTGTATATCTTCTAATGAAATCTTACAAAATCAATTCAGAATCTTTAAAATCTGTTGCAGCATGATCATTAGCTTATCTATGAACTCTGCATAAGGTTTCTTTATAATCTTCATACCACCAGACAAATCTCTTAATATCTATAAATTTAATCTAATATATTCATATACCTTCATGTTCTAATAAGAATTCATTTTCCTTTACTAATTCCTAAGCTCTTAATTAAACATATTCATCAAACAAATTTACTTTTGTTAATTCAGATTTATATTCAAAGTATATTTTTCCAAATATCACACATTAAACCACTGGAAACAAATATCTAAATGTTCTAAATCTTATGTTTTATGTAATAACATTATAATTATAGGCATAAAGGAACTATCATAATATTAATTACATGTCTATACTAAATTAATTCCAAAAGCTACAGCCTAATAGCCAAACTTATTATATTCAATCACTGGATAGGTCATATCATCTTCCCATTCAGCTAAAGGAGAAATAACACTATAAATATACGATCTTAAGAACTCAAGCAAAAAGCATTGAATGGAATTTTTGGCTAAGTCCAACCAGCAGTTTCTATCAACTCAACCATCTTCTTAATTGATCTATATCTCTTCAAACGAGCTTCTCTGTAATAATATTTATCATTTCAAACCTGAAGGGAGGAAGATTTTAGTTTCTCAATCCTAGTAAACTGATGATTGTGAAATAATTATCCATTTAATTAATTATTGAAAATTAAGATAAAATTTATTCATTTTTTTACAACAAATATATTCCAACACAGTAATACTTGTATTCTTAATTGGAATATATATATAATATGATAGGATATACAAAAATAAGTTTATTCAATTATGGTTTATAATAAACTTCTAATTTAAATATATCTTCTATTTTTTTTCTATAAATTATATATAATATAAGCAATACTCACTTAATAAATACCTTTATTCTTGAATCACATCAAAAAATTATAATTACTTTTAAATTATATTATATTATTTCTGTCGAATTACTTTAAAATAATTTGTATTTAATTTCAACATTAATTTTTATATAGATAATATTATCTATTAATTTATTTCTTCATTAAATAAGCTAACAGCAATATATAAATATACCTTACAATTATTTTTTTATTAAAGAAAATTATTTTAATTTTTATAAGATATATTGCACATATAAACTTATTTAAATTAGTTCATTCCCTACAAAACCATCTTAATTATTCAGTAAAGTAGTGGTTTTTTAATAATTTTCAGAAATTAACATAAATTTATATAAATTTTTGATTTTCGGTTTTTAAATAATATAAAGTATAGTAAAGCTCTAAACAATGTTGAACGGAAAATTTAATAAATGATATAAAAATTAAGGGAAATCTTTAAATAAGATTCTGAATTCATTCGATTTTTAAAGAGAAGTAGTCTCTCTAAAGACAATTAAGTTTATGATTAAGAAGACATAGAGTTCCTATTTTAATACATGATTAAGGAAAGAAATTTAAGGGATTTTTTTGAGTTTTATTCTAACTTCGAGATGTAGACCTATAATACTAAAATGAAAATGCTGATTATCACTCATTAATTTATTCATTCAAATGAAGAATTCTCTAAATTATTTACTACTTTACGATTAAAAAGTTTTTGCTTACTCAAACACAACCATAGAAATTATGAAACTTGGCTACTCTTTAATATATAAATTCCATTTTTATCTTACTTATAAAAATTGGCCATCAGCTTCAAAAACATTAAAAGTTACAAAACCTGCATTTTTAGAAAATAGCAATATTCGAAGTATATAATTCATATAAATATCTCTTTAGCATAATGATAGATAGTTTTAAAATAATAAATATTGTAAATATGGGTCTTTCTCTTGTTCCGAATTTAAAGACAGCATTAATTAATTATCCATATGATATATTATTATAAAGATTAACGTTTAATATTTATTAAGAACTTCAAGGATATTAAAAGAATTTAATAAATTCAATGATTATAATATTAATTGATAAGTCTAAGAATTAGAATGTTGAGTTGTATGAACTCTTAAGAGAAGTATTAAAATTATATATAGTAGATTAAAGTAATTGAATAGAAAATGATATTTTATCATTCATTTCGTAATCTATATGACCAAAAAGAAAGTCTTCTGGCTCCTTTATAGATCTAAAAGTATCTTCAGAATTATAAATCTCCAATTTAGGAATATACTTGTAAGGTTGAAGCAAAAAAAGAATATCTTTAAAGATCATCTAGGACAAGATAATCAACAAATGGAGAAACAATAACACCAAAAAGTTAAAGAATGTTAAATTATTTTGAACATTAATATTCATCTTAAAAATATTTAAAAAGTGAAGAAATAGTAATATAAGAAGAATCAGAAATATAGATAGATTAAATATGAATATGCTTATTTTATATTTATATATATATATAAATTTAAAGAACTTATAAATGATATAAATTAATCAACTTTAGCTTATTTAGATAGATTGTAAGCTCTCTCCAGAATATGGAACAATTGAGTTCATCTTTGATTTACTTAATTTAATATTTTTAGAAGATGAAATTAATTTTTTTGAGGATAAATTATTTCTTAACTGAATCAACCAAATTTTTTTTTGAACTTTTTTGAATTTGGATGCTGCATTTATGGCAGCAGATTATTATTAAATTCTTTTAAGTTTCAAGAATTTATTGATAAATTAATAAGGATAATAAAGATATTTTGAAAATTTACTTAAGATTTCTGATTACCAAGCATGCAAATTTTTATTAGCCATTTCTATTGTATTTATAGAATTTGATTATGAAAAGTAATGATCATAATTAAATATGGATTCAAAATCTTCAATTGTAACAGCATTATATTTCCAATAAATATATTATAATGAATTTAATGCTTAATATATTGAATTAGATTTATCATCTGAAAACTTTAAAAGTTTATTATACATCAATTTGATATTCTCTTTCATATAAAAATTAAAATTATTGACATTTTTGATACGATCACTTTCATATACAATTAATGTAGTTTCATTTGCTTCTTCTGCAATTTCATTCATTGAGAATAATATAGATGGAGATTTAGTATTTCTTCTTTAAAGTTATTTTGAAGGTAATGATCCTTTTCTATTAATTCTTTAACTTTAAGCCATTAACAAATTGGTTTTGTGATTTTCATTTTTTTCTTTTTATTTCTCTTCTTCAAATTCTACTTTAGGAAATGTTTTATTTTATACAGGTTTTAGAGGACTTGATAATATTTCATTAATTTAAAAAATATTAACAGAAGGCATAGGATCATAAATATTATGTATTTCTGAATTGCCTTAAAATGAGTCATTTTCTTAATCATAAACTAATTAAAGTTTTAATTATTCATTTATTTAATTTTAATTTTCTGTTTAAAAGTATAGAGCACATTCTTAAACATATGTTAATTCTGCTCTAGTTTGAATAGGTTTATCAAATGTTTTACGTAAGTAAAGTTATCTTTATTATTCTTAACTCATTTAATGTTTTTTTATAATGACCTCTTTATTAAGAATCAATTATATTTGACAACAACTTTTCAAAGAATGATCAAAATTATTACAAGCAGGACAGAAACTACTAAATTGAATTTAACAATTTTCATTTTCTAATGAATATGAATCTCTTAATTAACAGTATTTTTGAAAATCATCTGGAAAATCTCTTAATGTTTCTAAGAAATCTTGTTTAGATAAGATAAGTAAACTGACATAACTTTGAGCTTTGAATATTTCATATTCTGGAGTTTACATAAGGAATTCTCTTACACAAAAAAATTATCCTTAATGAACAGAAGCATTCATTTTAGATCTCTATTTTCTATCCTTATGTTAATATAGTAAAACACCTTACTCTACAAAACAAAGATGTTATTATCCATTTATTTCACTTTAAAATGTATGTTATGGTTAAATAATCTTACGTTTAATAGATTTAAATAGAGCATTTCTAAATTCCAAAGAAAATTGTTTTTATAATAATTCTGATTTTTGGATAAAGACTTTGTAAGCTTGTTTCTCCAACTCTTCTTTTAGTTCATCAGATAATTATTCCAATAAGATTTATTCCATTTATAAATCCACTTCATCATCTTCTTTCCATCTATACGTTAAGTATTCCTTAACTCTAAATTTATTATAATTGATATATATACTGATGTTAAAGACTAAAAGGAATCTTTCTTTATGTCATATATTTATTGATTACTCTCATCTTTTAACTCCTCTCCACTTAATTTTATGTAATGTCATTCATTATTGAACCAATAAAATTTATACTGTAAGAGAACCATAAACCTTATAATTTAATTTGAATAATTTACAAGCACCCAATATAAATATTATTGTAACTATTTTCTCTATTGAATTTTTAGGAACATTGTCTCCATAACCTATTGTCAACATTGTTACTATTGCAAAGTAAATTGATTCTAGATATTATAATTACCAAGTCTATCCATCTAATTCTTTTGTTACAATCCATGAATTAGATTTATCAATACTACTGAACCAAAACCATATACAACTAAATATATGCATTATATAAAATAAACTAGTTATAAATTTGATTAATCCTATAATCCCTCTTTATGGTCTAGTGAAATAAGAGATCTAATCTGTTTTTGATAAAGCCTCAAAAATATGTTTATATTGAGTTAACAATATGAGTAAAAACAAATCATAACCATCTTAGGCATTAGAATTGAATATAAATACAACTATGATTATTATTAATGAGAAATCTGTAAACCAAGATTTATTTATCTAACGGATAATGATTTCCCATCGATCTGTTATAGCCTTACCATTTTCATAACAAAGAGTATTGATTCTAATAAATAAATCAAATTGTAAGATAAATAGGATCGTTAAGGTTAGTCCTACATAATCCTGAAATAGAATTTAAGTATGAAATGAGATTTCTAAAGGCACTAGAACTACAAGTATTACTCTGAAAAATGAAGCAAATATGTCCCAATAAAGTTTGAAATCATTCTCTGGTTATACAAGAGGTATTTTATTAGCAATATTTGTTATTTATCTTATTGTTTTTTATTTACTTTCCTATAAATTTCTCTTAAAACTTTCCCATTTTCTCTCTTTTATTGTTATATTCGTTTACACAATTCTATTTAGTTAATTGATTGTTAATCCTTTTTAAATTTTTGTTTATTTATAAGCTAATAAACTAGCTCTACAGAATTATTAGAATATCATTACTTATCTGAGGCTTTATCATCTATAAGATTTAAATGAGTGATGTTTAAATTCTACAATCTTTTACTCTGAAAGGTCAGTTTTTCTAAAAAACGTCTTATAAAAAAGAATTGCATTATACTAGAACCTGTGCTTATTGGTTTCTCTTAATTTACCTATTTAGGAGTTAATGTATGACTTTGTTATATTTCAGAAGTGACAACGTTATTGAGATTTGTGTGTGTTGTTAATTTGGGTGTTCTGAAATCATAACCATCGTTGCTTTTATCACTTTTTGTTTGATTATGAATGTATTGATTATTTTTTATTGATAATTTTCTACGAGTATCTCTTAGACAATGTTCTAAATATTCTTATTCAAAATCTTCATTTTATACAGCTTTAAGTTCTAAATCTAATTCAAAGTTGTATTTGTGATTTTGATCAATTTTTTACATTTATTTATAAATCTTGAATTGAAAGAAACTACGAGAAAAATCTGATATTTGAAAATAAACATAAATGATTATGTACAACTTGTAATATCAAAAATTTATCTACAAATTTGTCATTGTTATGGAATATTAAAATACAAAAGTTGTTATTTCTATAGAAAACAACAAAATTAAATATATATATTGACTTCATATATGAAAATTCATTTTCAATAAATTATGACATTTAACTATATTATAAAATATTTATTTTTCAAATTGTTCTGAATTTCAAATAAATTAAAAATGCAAATATATATATGTTTTTATCATAAATGTTATCAGTTATTGAATAGATTCTTTATCTCCTATACTATTTAATTTTATTTAAGTTTATTCTTAATAATTGTAAATATATTATTTTTTGTTTAATGTCATAATTATTGGATTCAGTCTTAAGACAATAAAAATAGAGGAAGTAAGTATTTTTTATATTAAGAGTCAAACAGTCAAAGGAATTTTAAAATTTCGTTAAGACTTTACAATACCACACTGTGATAACAATAGTGAAGACGCCTCTTTTGAACCGAATGTGTGTTCAAATAGAAAAATCGAATTATAATTGCCAGAAAAATAGTCTTTTAAAGGTGATTGCTTAAGTCCAGAACCTGATTAAGATGAAGAAAGTAGAAGCATGCTACATGTAGAAACTAAATAAAAAGTAAATCTGTGGGTTCATGGAGGATTAAGAATAATGTTCTACATAACTAAATTTAGTAAGTAAATGAAAACCTATTCAACAGAAGTAAAGTTCAAGTCATTAACAAATTAAATTGTATTTTTGATCTCTGATGCTGCTAGTGATGCAGATATTTTACTGCATAAATTAAATAAAGTTGAATAAGTAATGCAATCCTTTAAGTGGTTTATAAATTAAATACCTGTGCTTGATCCTGACTCTGTAATAAAAGTATTTTGGGATATATTTGTTTTAACACAGATCATTATAAATATCTTCTATATTCCTATGAAATTAGGGTTTGACTTTGAAAGAGAAGATTTATTGACTGGAATATTTTTAGAAACTTTACCTTCTTGGACATTTGTAATGGATATAATTTTGACATTTTTCACTGCCTATTATAGTTAAGGGCAAATCCATAGAGATAAATAATAAATTCTTAAGCATTATGCAAATTCAACATTATTATGGGATTTAATGATCGTTATACCATTTATTTTATCCTCTTATGCAGTACCTTATACAGAATATATATTATTACTTAGAGTAACAAAAGTTAAATCTATGATTGAAACTATTGAAGAGGTTACAAATCCATCTAATAATGTTTAAACAATTTTAGAATTATTCAAATCTATATTCTTAGTTTTATTTGTATCTCATTTTTGTGCTTGTTTATGGAATTTAATAGGAGAGATGGAATTAGATTCAGGATAAAATTCTTGGTTGATTGCCAAAAATATTACATAAGCAGAATGGTCAACTAAATATATTCATGCTTTTTATTTTAGTACAATCACTACTTTAACAATTGGTTATGGTGATATTGTTCCATAAACAGATGTTGAAAGAATTTATGTTATAATAATGGCAATGGTTATTTGTGGATTGTTTGGTTATACTATATCTAGTATTGGAAATATATTAAAATAACTAACTGAAAAAGAATAATTATTTAAATAATAAATGATGCATATCAATGGTTTTTTAAAGAAAAAGAAAATTAATAAATAATTAATGTTATAAGTTAGAAAATATTTTGAATATTTTTTGAAAATGGAATAAGAATATAATGAATTTGGAGAAAAAATGATGCATAATTTAGATAAGAAATTAAAAGAATAAGTTGCAATAGATATGTATTGTGAAATGTTAAAAAAATCAAGACTTATCAAATAGACTTTATCTTTAAAAAGTGTATAAAAATTATGTTCTTTTGTACATGAAATAAAAGTACCACCTGAAGAGATTATTGCTTATTAAAATGAATAAGCAAATAAATTAATATTCCTCTAAAGTGGAGAATTAAGTTTAATTTGTATTTATAAATTCTTAATTTATAGGTGATTAAAAATTAAGGGAAACAATTTTGACAAAAATAGAGAAAGGAAAATTTGTAGGAGAAAAGGAATTTATAACATAAGCAAGATATGAATATACAATTAGATCAGTTAAATTTTGTCAAATTGCATTTATAAAGTAATAAATTATATATAAGTTTTAGTTATGATGATTTCTTAAGAATTATTAGAGAAGATTCATTAGAAGAAGAAAATTATTGTATGCTTAGAGATTAAATGTTGTTTACAGAAGAAAAATAAAACTATGGTGAAGTCTGTTATATATGTAAATGGACACATTAATTTAAAAAGTATATTTATATACATTAAATTTAGATGCCCATTAGTTTTTGTTCATTTTAATTAAGATAGAATTAGAAAGAAGTTTATGATATCAGAAGATATGAATAGAAAATAATATGAGAGAGAATTTGTGAAAAAATAATTTTAAAGAAATATAATAAGAGAACATGCTTTAGCATTAATTGTAAATGATAATATGATTGCAATTGATGATTTAACTGATTAATATTTAGATACATTAGGATTTAATATGGATGATGATGAAAATGAAAGACTAATTAAAACAATTAAAAGTCAAAAATCTAGTAAATCTGTACATAGAGGACTTACAGGTTTTGAATAATTTAGTAGTGACTCTTCTGAAAGTGCTCATGATTCAGATGTCTAATTAAATAAAACTAAAACACCTAAATCATCTAGATATAATCATTTATAAAGTATGGAATAAAAGAAAGTCAAATTTTAAGAAATCTCTGAACCTGAACCTAAAGTTTTAAGAGCATAAAATTCATTTAAAAGAAAAGCAGATAACAGACATAAAACCTTTTAAAGGTTAACCAGAATATCAAACAATAGATTTACTAATATTTCTTAAATTTCTTAGGAATAAAATTTTCAAAGTCAATCAGTCTAAAATTCTAGCATGTAAAAATTACGTAAAAATAATTCTAATTCATATTCTAATATGGATTTAGAATTACCAACTAAAACTTAATCAAAATTGGAAATTGTAGGAAGTAATATCATTAATTAATTGGATGAAGTTCTTACTCCTAAGTAAGGTGATAACTAATATCAAAGAATTGATTTTGAATTAGACAGGTATTTCATAACCACATATTACTTTACAAATTCCAATCTCGATAAGATTCTATAAAAACTTAAAAAACCTAAAAAAACATTAAGATCAGATCACATATAAAGCATTATTAGAAAATCAAAGATTAAACCCAGCCTTTATAGTCCTGTATAAAAATGATCATTTTATTTTATTTATCTTATTTCTCCACCAAAACAAAATTATAAACTCATTATTTAAATTAATCCTTAGAACTGTTTTTTTTTCTTTAATAAAATATATTTCTAATAAATATAAGTCTATTAAGGAAGACACTTTCTTATTTCAAAATCGAGTAACTAATAAGCAAATTCAAATAATCAAAACTCACCATCAATTAGTATTAAATAAAAGGATTTTTCTAAACATCTTTCAGAATAAAGTTTAATCTATTTAATTAGATTATATTTTAAAAAAACTTAAATAAAATTTATGGATAAATAGTCTGATATTGGAGAGATTTAATTATTTATTGCATATGCAAACTTTTGCAATAATTAAAATAATTAGAATAATTGAAAAACCTTTAGTTTGAGTTCTGAAAATTACTGGTTTGTATAGATTGATATATAGAATATAGTTTGAAATGATGGTAAGCAAGTTTAATTACAGAAATATTTTGAAATCGTTATTTTAAATTGAGTCGCCTTAATTTTCTGAGTAATAATAGATATTAAAAAGAAGAAGGACATTTTAATTTAAAGATGTAATTAAACCCATTTAGTAATAGAATAATAAATTCAAGTGAATATAAATTTAACAAAGATAGAATAAAAATTATTGAATAGCTGATCTAATTAATGATTTGCAATATAAAGAATCTATATAATCAGTAAATGTAATTATGATCCTATTAAAAACAAATATTATTAAAATATTTAAATATTAATAAAATATTATAATAAAATTGATATATTTTACTCAATATTCCATATATAATTAATTATAAGGCTGAGAATGAAAACTTATTAGATTGAAGAAAGTTAATTAAATTTTATTTGATTAGTTTAGAAGAAAAAAGGAATAATATATGTAATTAATTTCCTTTAATTTATTTATAAATATTGATAGTAAACTTCTACCTAATAAAATAAATGTTTCAAATATAGAAGTCATCTTTACTTTTTACTTAACACCAAATTTCTTGATATTTCATATCACCATCTTAGTCTGCATATGTTTCTTTTAATATTATTGATTTATCTTAATTTTGATAAAATATATTGTAATTATTCTTTGGTATAACTAAATGAATCCATTATTCATCCTAGTATTTCACCTATATTTTACTAACTTATTCTATTAAATTACCCCTAAGTTTGGTTGTCATACTTATAAACGGTTGGGCAATAAAATGAATCTACTTATGGGTTATGATAATTTAATGGGGCTAATGCCTTACCATTATTTTACTTGGCCTTTTCTTTATTATAATTTATCATTTCATTGACAAAACTTTCTTTAGTATTTAAGTTGGCCTGATAATTTGTATCATAAAATTTGTTATTATATTCTGAATTATACTCCATTAATTAGGTTACCCCTTTAATCCTACTATTTTCAACTTACTTCAAAATTCCATAATGTTAATCAGTACTATTTAATTCCTTAATAAATGGTTTCTCTAACTATATTTATGGAGAGATAAGCAAATTTTGAGGTTTAGTATCAAAGTTAATAGAAAGACAAGCAAAAATAGTTAATATAACTATAAATGAAAATCCTAATTTGCTTAAACTTCTATTTTTAGAAACAGAAATAGGTTCATCTTCTTCAAAGATAAATTACTTACTTCCACAATTATTACAAATTAGATTCTATTAATATTATTACAAATGCAAATTAAGTTTTTGAGCTTCTTCTAATTACTATTGTAGATGACTAACTTATTCTGTCAATTCTTGAAGATAATTAGATTATTTTTAAAAATCACTTTCTAATTTTTATAGGTAAGCTTTCTTCCTATCTCTAGAATTTTAAGCTGATATTCTATTTCGAATCATTAATTGAGTTTTTTTATCTTTTACCTCAGTTAAAGGTTTTTTATCATCCTGAGTTACTTTGTTAGGATTTTAGCTTATTTTGGTTTTCTTTATTTTTTTTTCCACTCCTTTGATACAAGAAGTTTTTTACCTTCATATTAATTAGAGGATTAGGAACCAGTAGATCCAGAAAAGAGAGGAGGAACAAAATTAGATGATTCTGTAGAACTTTCTTATTCCACTTATTATTGATAAAGTTTCTAGAATAAATTCGATTGGTCATTCTCTTCTTAATATTTCTATTATAACTCTACTATTAGTTATGAAAGTGACTTATCCTTGATTTGTTTTAACATATTACAATATTATATTATTAATTAATAAGCATGCTAAAAGAATAGATCCATCTACGTGGATGTTTATATTTCCACATATATAAGGAAATTTAAAATTTTATAAAATATGATTAGATTAAATAAGTTTGTAGTCAGCAAAAAGTTAAATATTTCAAACTGAAGGTGAACTACAGAGAATTATAAAATTTAAGATCATTTGAGGAAAGGCATAACCTATATTATAGAGAAGGCAAAACAAATAAACTAGATTATATAAAGATAGTGGAATTAACATTTTAAGTCAAACTAGTTCAATTCATTTTATATAAGAAGAAAATATAATTAATGGCATTTATGTTGATAACATGTTTTAATAGCATTTATAATATTTGAAGCTGGTTTTGTGTGTCTTTGTGGTTACTATAAATCTCTGAAGAGATCTAATAGAAAAAATCAAATGGTAGACAACTTAAGTTATGAAGCCAATTCTTATTAATGTAAGAAAAGAGCAAAAAGAATATGATGATAGGATAAAATAAGAAAAGGTTAATAAATTTGAAGAATAAGAAAACAATGATATGGATAACGACAAGAATAAAAGAGTTTTTAAATGAGTATATAATTTTATAAATGAATGGCACTGATATAATATTTTCAGCCTTAAGTTCATAGCCTGAAAATCTTCAAATCGAATTATAGGCAGAACAACAAAATGAATATGAAAAGGAATATTTGGAAGCAGATTTAGTTTCAAGAATAAGGACAAGAAATCCAAGTACCAACAATTTCACAATTAAATCAACAACAAATATAGACACTCGCAGAAATTGTGAAGTAATAATTTATACATTATTAAGCCATTAATCAATTAAGATGAGGATATCAAAAGAAATACTTGTAAAAAGACAGGCACTAATCTTATGAAATATTTTTATCTAAAACGATTTATATAACGTATAAGGAACAATAGAACTAAGTTATCTAATGTCAATGAAAATCACATTAAATTAATTAATGATAATTCAAGTGATAGGTATCATCAATATTATTTAGTTAAGTGATGATTTAAATTCTTAAATTAAACAATCACCAACATTTTCAAATACGCAATGTTACCAAATTATTTCATGATAATTCTCTATCTTCACATGAACATCCATTCATTATTTGGATTAGAGAAAAATATTAATAAATTAGAAAGTCCACCTATGAAATTTTATCTAAAATACCATAAATACATCCTGAATCCTTAAAGAAGATTGTTTGGGATTATTGGACTATTCTTTTTAGGTTGCTTTTATTAATATTAATTCCATTAGAAATTGCCTATAATCCTTAAATTTTATTTGATAAATTGATAGGACTTACTGTTACTATTATCATCATCTTAATTCTTGATAATTTATTAAGATTGAATACTATTTGTTACTTAAGTGGATAGGCAGTCTATGATAGATGGTAAATTATAAAAGTCAATTTAAATCTATAAACAATTTCAGACTTCGCATTAATATTTTTATTAATCTACTTTATCAAAAATGAAGGAAATTAATTTTAATATTTGATGCTTTTAATATCACTGACTCAACACTATCAAATTAATTAAACGTTATAAAAAAGTGAAGAATCCCAATATTTTACAAAAAAATAAAAAGCATTTATCAATTTATTTAAATTATTAATCTATTTGATTTATGTCCTCCACTTATTTGCTTGTATATGGTTTTTCAATAGTTCATTAAATTATGGGAATTCCTGGATTATTTTTAAAGAATTAGATCATTAATAATGGTAACTCTAATATTTAGAAGCATTCTATTTTGCTATTGTCACTATGCTTACTATTGGATATGGTGATAATGTACCAAAAACATGGAATGAAAAATTTGTTGCAATATTCTTTATCTTAAGTGCTTGTTTATGGTTTTCGTACAGTATTAATGCCATAGGTACTATCATTAAAGAAATCAATTAACATTTTATGGAAAGAAGCAGAAAGATTAGAGTAATCAATAGATATATGCATCAAAGAAATATCCCTTTTTCTTTATAATATAGAATTAGAGAATATTTGACCTTTAGATGGAAGGAGGAAGCAGAAATCGATTTATAATAAGAAGAAACCTTATTGAATGAATTATCTGAAGAATTAAAATAAGATTTAAAAAAGTAAGCAAATAATGTATTTTTCAAACATTGTGATTTTCTATTTAAAAATTTCAGTTTAGAATTATAGAATTCCCTTTCCCCTTTTATTAAAAGAAAAATAATTTAGCCTTAAAATACATTTTCTATTTATACTCTAAGTGATGTTTATTAACCTCATTTATGTTTTGTAGAATAGGGTTAATTGTAATATCAAAATGTTCTAAATGTATCTTTGAAAACTGTATAGAATCATGGATAATTTTTGGATGTATCAGAATTTATTGAAGAAAATGATAATATCTAAACATTTAAAGCTATAGGATATGTAAGTTTACTTGTTTTGAGTAAGGTAATTAATTTTATTAGATTACTAGTCAGATTTCATGTCCATAATACGTTAATATCCAAAAGATTATTAAAAGTATTGTAATTTAAAAGATTAATTTGTACTTCAAGTAAAACCTAAACATTTAGTATTTGGATAATATTGTGCAGCATGTAATATCACTACTCATGGATTGAAAGAGTGTCCAAATTTATCTCTCAGTATTGATAGAGAATTGATTATCAAAAGATATCAATATTCATAAGATCAATATAGGAAATATACGAAGAGATCCAAAAAAAGAGGAAAGACATCTTTTTCAACTAGATGTGATAGAGAAATCATAGAATAATTCGCAATATACTTTTAAAATGAATAACCAAAATTAGTTTAAAATTAGTTATCAAAATAATTAACCTAAGAATAAGATTTTGATGATGGTAAATCTGATATGAATGAATAATCTCCAATAAATAAAACATTTCATTTTAAAAGATAGGAATCAATTTAATTACCAAGATGTTCTTTATAGAGTGGTGAAGCTATATCAATTTAGAAATAAATTAATATTAATGATTCTATTGCATCAAGTGATAATAATTCAATATAGAATTTAAAATTGTCTACGAGATAATAATGCATGCTAAATACTAATAAATTTATGACTGCAAAATTATCAAAATATAAAAAGATGTGTTCACAATAAAATCCTAAAATTGCTTTAATTGATACTGATGAATCATTAAAGATTGATATTTAGGATAGTATTTATTAGAATATTGAATTATTGTACAATAAAATCTTTAACGAAGAAACAGTAATACCTTTTGATAGATCAATATATGATTTACAAATATTATACTTTTCATTTAAAGCATAATAAGGTATAGAGTAATTTGAGGTTGTCAAAAACTTCAGTTCTTATATGGTCAATCATAATATAGAAAATATTATTTTATAAATAGAATAGAAATATCATACCTTACTTTTAAAGCCTATTACTTAATTAATAAGATATATGTATTATCCTTATGAGTTCATAATGAAATTTTAAAAGATTAAGACATAGAGATTAAAATTGTTAAATTTTTATAAGAAAAGATCCTTTAAGAATTTGAAATAGAAACAATCAAAAATAAATGATTTAGTAAGAAAGTGGGAGACACCCAGAAAATCTTATCGTTTTAGTGTTATAATTCCATATGATGAATGATTAGATTGAATTATTATTACATAAAAAGTATTGATATAATATTAATTATAAATAAAATGCTTCAAGGTAGAATGGATGATAGTCAATGGATTAATGATGATCACATGGATTAGGTATTAATATATGTTAAATAAAAGCCTGAAGATGTTGGATTTGACAAGGAAGAAATAGCAAGAGTGGAATTATTTGTTAATAAACCATTTGATATTCCCAATTTTCCAAAGAATGAATAAATAAAGTAGGCAGGAATATCATCACATATGTTTGTAATAATAACAAGATAAAATAACATATATCGATGGAGACCAGAGAAAGATGATCATTGTGTGTAAATGGAATTACCAGAAGTACAATAAAGTGGTTTGACAGGAAAATTATTGGGAGGAAAGAGAAATGAAAGAAAAGATATTATATTAGAGAGATTATTTTTATATGGACCACATGCTTTGATAGTTTCAGACAATGGGGAAAGTTTTTACATAAATGTTAGATCAGATAGGATTAGATCAATGGAATAATTAAAGGGAAAATAGATTAAATGTATTGGTTGGGATGATCAATGTGATGAAACTGACACTCATGAAATATTGTTAGCAACAAAAGATTCTAAAATTTATATATATAGAATTGATTGTAGATAAGGAGATATAAGAGAAGAAGAAGCAAAATTAATGGTCACCATTCCAAATGAAAGGTAAATCAATTAAATAGAACAATTTACAGTAATGTATGATAATAATAAATATGCTTGTGTTGTTGTTTCAACTAACTTTAGTTTATTCTTCTTTTATGGATTGAATAGTCTTAGCATTTTATTTACTAAATATAAAGATCCTTAAAGTGTTGCTAGAGCAGAATCATAACCATCTCGTTATCATACTAGTTTATTAGCTGTATCTTAGAGGAAAAATTCATTTCTATTTACAAATGGGAAATCATTAAATTTATTCACTCTTCCTGAGAAGGATTTGAATGAATCAATATTGTAATAAGCAAAATAATTAAAAACAGTTAATAATTATTCAGAAATGCCAGTCTAAATAGGATTAACAGAATTTCATTATTTTATTTTAAGTGCTGATTCTTTGACTATTTTTAGTAAAATAACTTAATAAGAAGTATAAAAATATGAACTTAGAGGTATGGGTAGAATAATGGGTATGTAATATGAAAGAGATGGTAAAGTATTTTGGATTTATTCTGAAAGGACATTTTGTAAAATAGAAACTGAAGATGAAGATAAGGAAGCATGGAAATTGTTAATGGATTAAAAAATGTATATAGAAGCTTATGAAATATCAAATAAGTATAATTCAGAATATACTAAATATATTGCTGGTTTATGTGGAGATTAATTATTCTAATAAAAAAGATATAATGAAGCTGCATCTTATTACTAAAAGTCTTCAAAAAATTTTGAAGAGATCTTCTTGAAATTTTTGAATTGTGATGATATGAAAGCAAGAATTGGATTAGAATAGTATTTAAAACATTTAATTAATAATTTGAAAGGAGAAACTGAAAGGACACTTGTGTTGGGATGGCTTGCAGAATTATTGATTTATAGATTAAATGAATAAGAAAAGTTAATACATGAAAATAGAAATTATGAGAATGAAGCATAAAGAGATAAAGATATCAAAGAAAAAAAATAATAATTAAACTAATTAAATGAAGATTTAGATAATTTTCTGAAAACTTATAAATTAGAATTAGATTAAAATTTAGTATATTAAATTATGGTAAGTCATGGCAGATTATAAAATTGTGTTGAATATGCTAAATTGAATAATAATTATGAAATGATCATTTAACATTATATTAATGAAGAAAATTATAAAGAAGCTATTAAAAATTTGAATAATGTTAAAGAAAAGAGTTCAATGGAAATCATATAAAAATATTCATTTATTCTTATGAGACATGAACCAGAATAAACATTAGATATTTTATAAAAGAATATAAAAAAATTTGATTAAACCAAAATTATTGGTGGTCTTATGAATATTCCTGTAGAAAAAAGAGAATTTGGAATAAGATTCTTAGAACATTCAATAACTAAATTAGATTGTGCTGATAAAAGTATACATAATATCTTAATATTCTTTTTAACTTAACCATTATAGAAAGAAAAACTTAATTATTATTTATAAGAATAAGAAGCCATATTAAAAAAGACAGAAAAGGTTAATTTTGATTTAGATTTTGCATTAAGACTATTCAAATAAGCAAGTTGTATAGATGCTTAAATCACTATTTATGGAATGATGTCTCTTTATACTGAATCAGTTACTTTAGCTTTAGATTATGGAATGATTGAAAAAGCCAAAGAATACGCTTAAAAACCAGAAGATGATGATGAGAAAAAGAAGAAACTATGGATGATGATTGCTGAAAGATTATTATCTTAAAATTAAGATATTGATAAGGTTATTGAACTTACAAAAAATAGTTAGTAAATTAAAATTGAAGATCTTTTACCTCATTTTAATGAAAATATCAAAATTGAACAATTCAAAGATGAAATTTGTAATTCTCTTAAGAAATATAATGAAGAAATTGAAAAATTAAAAGATGAAATGAAAAAGTTATCAGCAAATTCAGATTAATTAAAGAATGAATTAAAAATGACAAAAAATAAATTCTTAATTATTGATACTTAATAAAAATGTGATCATTGTGCTAAATAATTATTCAATGATACATTTTATATTTTCCCATGTAATCATGGATTTCATAAAGTAAACTTATCCGATATAAATAGGATTGTATAGTTACAAAGATTAAATCATTGCCTCAACATCAAGCTAATATTCCATAGATAGAAACATATGATATGACAATGTAATCTATTTTAGTCAAATCCAATCCTAGTCAAAATATTAATAAAAAATAATAAGGTAATAAATGAGTATATATTAGATGGTTAATCTTTCTTTTAAATTATGAACATATTTGGAGGAGCCAAATAAGAATAGAGACCATAATCTACATTAACTCCAGATGAAGAGAAATTATTGAGAGAAACAAAAGAAAAGTTCGATAAAATTGTTGCTAGTGAATGTATATTTTGTGGACCTAAAGTCGTTGATTCTATTCAATTTGGATTTGAATTGGATGCCAGAGAAAAAGATACATGGAGTATTTGAATAAATTATATAATAAACAATGTTAAAATTAATGTTTATTGCTTAAAATACTCAAAAGTTTGGTAATCTACTTCCACCATCAAGTCTAATGACTTCTCCAGTTAAGTATGAGCATTAACATATTCCAATAACAGATTCAGCAAATTCAGAAGGTTAACCAAATCGTTCTAAAGCAGCTGATTTTCTTAAAGGACCTAAAACTTTTTCTGATAAATTATGTCCCATTGGAGTTTAGAAAACCTTAAAATAATGTTATATCATTTTACTCCAGGTGCCAAAGTCATAACTCTGATTCCATATTTTCCTAAATCCCTTGCCATAGGTAATGTCATTCCAATTACAGCTCCTTTGCTTGCAGAATAAACAGTTTGACCTTTTTATCCTTCTATGCCAGCAAGACTAGCAACATTAATTATCACACCTCTCTCTTTGAATTCTCCTTAAGGTTCTTATTTTATCATTTCTACAGCTGCATGTTTTGATACATTGAAAGTTCCAACAACATTGATTTTCAAGACTCTCATCATTTCATCAACTGGAATAGTTCCTTTAGGTGTGACTAAGTATCCAGCAGAAATGACACCAGCTGAATTTACAACAACGTGAATTCCACCAAATTCACTTACTGTATATTTAATCAATTGGATAACATTTTCTTCATTTGAAACATCAGTCTTAAAAAATTTCAAATTGGGAGTGTTCTACTCTGATAAAATTTTATCTCCAGCTTCCTAAATAAGGATTAATATATATTATTACTTAATTGAAATCTGCAATGACTACTTTGCATCCTTTTGCCAAAAAGGCTAAAACTGTAGCCAATCCTAAACCTGAAGCTCCTCCTGTTACTAAGCAAACTGTATTCTGATCTAATTTCATTAATAATGACGTCTGATTTATTAATAATATTAATCATAAATGAGGCACACGTAATCCTCCATCTAAACGTAATACACACCCCGTTAAATACTCTGATTAATATATCATTTCAACTAGCTATGCGAATTCTTTTGCAGCTCCTAATCTTCCCAAAGCCACTTGAGATTCTAATTGTTCTTTAATTTTAGGTTAGATCATTTCAAACATAGGTGTATATATAATCTAATTAATTTTTACAATAATGTATTACCCCTGGTGCAATAGTGACAACTCTGATACCATGTTTACCCAAGTCTCTTGCCATAGGTAATGTCATAGCAATTACAGCTCCTTTTGAAGCTGAATATATCACTTAACCTCTTTATCCTTCAATACCAGCTAAACTTGCTACATTAACAATCACTCCTTTAACTTAAGATTTTATCATATGTTAAGCAGCATATTTACAAACATTAAATGTGCCTATAACATTTATCTACATTAATATATTCATTTCAGATGTAGAAGCAACACTTGATCTAGTTGCTGTCATCTAAGCTGATGGAATTCCTGCCGAATTCACTACTAAATTGATTTATCCAAATTCAGTGATAGTAAATTCAATCAATTTTCTTATTTCTTCTTCATTTTAGACATCACACTTAAAGTATCTAAGATTGCAATTCTCAAATCTCTTTATTAATTCTTCACCTTTCTCCTTGCAAATTCATTTATATTTCAACCTCATTAAAATCTGCTGCCACAACTTTGCATTGTTTTTAGATTAACAATTCAACTGTGGCCAACCCTAATCCTGACGCTCCCCCTGTTACAATAGCTACAGTCTTGGAATCGAGTTACATATAATTTAATAAAAATTAAAATAGAATACTCTCATTTGATTACCAGAAATCTTGAGATTCTATAATTAATAATTAACTACTTTAATTTTATCATATATGAATTCTAATCAAATATTGTTATATTGAATATATTAGATAATATTTTAAATTAAATTAATGGTTACCTAATATGAGATCCATCTTCTTTATTCATGCATTAATAGGCTACTGTTGTTTATAGTTTAAAACTAGTTATTATATATAAACTCTTGATTTAAGGATTATTGACTACATTCATAGTACTATTTTTATTTTTAGGACCATGAAGAAACTAATAATGATTATTTAGTCTATTTAGTCCTTAATATGCTTATTATTGGTTTCAATCTTCATGGATTGTGAAGCTTTTTTACTTTTAAATATGAATCTATATATATAATAATATATATATAGACTATATTTATAGTTTGACTGGGATTAAAAATCAAGTGAAAACCATATTTTAGATTTTTAAATTGACATAATTTAGATTATTAAGCAAAAAAAATTAATAAACAATAAATTTCCAAATTGATCATTTCAATGATTAATAAATAACATCGATATTCATTCTGATTTCAAACTAGATATTCATTCTAATATAAAAATAACTCCATTAGAATCAATTATCAAAAATCAAAAAGATTATTAGATATCAATCTTAATTGAAAATAAAAAATGTTAAATTCAAAATTAAGTCGAAAGAAAAATAATTATTATAATAATTTTAATATTAGAAATCACATCTAAATTTGAAAGATAAAATTAAGAACAAACTTATCACTTCTATTACTTTGATGCTAAAACTTCAATATACAAAGGGTTGAAATTAAAAATAGCCAAAAAATAATGATTAAAGGATTTAACAGATATAAGATTTCATCCATTTAAAATCAAAAAAACCCTTGTTTATTTTTACATTTAAGATTAAATTGGTTAATAGAATCTATATTTCCAACACAATTTTCTTATATGCAATCTATCTCATATAACAAATAAGAATATAATTTATATCTGTTTTGTAATTTTCTTTAGATTTTAATTATTGATGATATTCCTTTTAATTAATTTGATGATCATATATTTGATAGTTTAGAGTAATTTGTCTATTAAAAAGTTTATTTAATTTATAACTAGCAAAAATATTATTAATGAATTTAAATGGATATAGAAATGCATAAATGAATTGATTCTATTCAGTCATGATAATTTCTGAATAATAATAAATAATATAATATATATAGTAATAAATTATTAAATAGTGTGGTAATTTATTTTATTTTCTAAATATAATTATTAAATGAAATTGTATCCATATTTTTCTAATTTTTATAATAAAAAGCCTTTCATTATATCTAATCTCTAAATTAATTAAATTATTAATGATTAAACTAAAATTAATAATATTTTAGATTATATGCAATTCTATAGCAGCAATAGTGATCAGTGCAATTTTCAAAGAATACATATCCATATCAATTTATGGTTCCATTTTATTATTTACAATACTATTTTGTATCATAAAATAACCAAAGCTCTAATAAGTCATTCAATTTATACTTATAATTCTTATTTAAGAAAACTCAAAGTATAACTAGAAAGAATTTTAACATTTTCAATTTTAATTGAGTTGGATTTATTTGGCTTATAAACTAATTCAAAATAATCCTAACTTTGAATTACCCATATTATTGGAGTTACTATTTTCATCCATAATTAAGATAATTATTTCATTTGAAGCATACAATTCTACTTTTTATTTGAGTATAACAACTACATTTATCTATACTCTCAGTATCATTGCATATTAATATTAAAAGAGAAAGGAATCATATATTAAATCATTAGACTTAGAATTAGTTACTCCAAAGATGAATGAATTTTAGAGAATATTAATAAACAAAACATAAACTACAAGAAGCAATGAAATTTAAATTTTTGACCATTTACCAATAGGATTAGTTGTCTTAACATTTGATCATAATTTTCAATATATGAATAAAAGAGCAAGAATCTTATTGGAGAGAGCTTCAAATACACAAATATCAGAAGACAATGTTGTAATTATAATCAAAGAACTATTAAAGAAGTATGAAATCATATATATATATATTTTAGATGCATTAATGAAAAAATAACAAGTCTTGGAAATCTATTTAGACCTAGTTAAACTAGAATTCATTAATTAATAACCTAATTCAATCAAAATCAAAGAATGAGTATGCCAAATTTAGATGATAACTTTATAAAATAAATTGATCCTATTAATAGTGTATTGAATTAATCTAATGATTTTGTTCCATACTCATAATAATTTATGGATGTAATATAATATATATTTATAGAACAAATATAGAATTTAATACAATTATAAGGGTAAAAAAAGATGTTTTAGATTTCATTTTATGAGACTTCATGATTAGATTATAATCAATTTATTAGATGAGACATCTAAGATTGGAAAATTAGATTAGAAAAGTAAGCATATTTTTTAGAATTAATTGTTAAATTCATTTTCACATGAATTAAAAACTCCTTTAAATTGTATTTAATAATTATTGGAAGTTGTTATGTTAAAAGTGAATTCAGATTTATAAGAAAATATATTAAAACCAATAAAATGGCAAACTGATTTATTGTTATGTTAAATTAATGATATTCTTGATTATGCATCATTTGAGATTAATGATTTTCGTTGGGATTTTTCATTATTTTATTTAGAAGATTTATTAAAAGAATGCATTTCAATATATTTTTAAGCCTGTAAAGAAAAAGATATAAATTTAAAATTAGAAATGAATTCTTAAGATAAACAAATGGTAAATAATGATTACAAAAGAATGAAATAAGTAATTGTTAATCTTTTAAATAATTCAATTAAATTCACATAATAATAAGGTGAAATTGTTTTAAAAGTCTAAGAAACTAAAAATAATATGTATTTAATTTAAGTAATTGATACTGGATTAGGTTTATCATAGGAATAACTTTGGCAATTACAAATTAATATTGAATAAGATAATTTAGAAAGTGTTTATAATCAATTTCATGTTGGATTAGGATTAAAAGTTGCTAATAGATTGATTAGAGGTATGTCATCATTATAAAATGGATTAAATATAGATTCAACTCTGAATAAAGGAACAATTATATCTTTTACAATTGAAGATTTTTTAGAAGATAATAATAGTTAATCATCTGAAACCCCAATTAAAGATGCTTAATTGAGTAGATAATTGAGTCAACTTACAACAAGAGAGTTTAAATTTATTAAATAAATAATTTGTAAATGTAATAAAATTTTGATTGTTGATGATATTCCATTTAATCATCATGCTTTAAAAATGATTTTAAATGAATTAAATTATTAAGCAGATAGTGTATATGATGGTTAATAAGCTATAGATCTTATTTAATTAAGAATTTAGAATAATAAATGTCATCCATTTTATTCATTAATTCTTATGGATATAGAGATGCCAAAGTTGAATGGATTTGAAGCATCTCTCAAAATTAAATAAATACTTGGAGATAAAAGTGATTAAACTACAATAATAATGTGTTCAGCATATGATAATTAAGAATGTATCAAAATGTGTTAAAGTTGTTTAATGAAAGATGTATTACCTAAACCTATTACAAAAATGAGTTTATAATACATCATTGAGAAATACTTAAGATGAATATTAATTGAAATATACTATAATTTGACTGAAAGATTCCTATTTATGTATTTATTATATAATAATATACAGTTTAATTAAATTATGGATAATTCATTCTTGATATCAATAGCTTTACTGATAAGTGGGATTCTAATTGTAATACAAGTATTAGTTTTCAACTCAGAAATAAATAGATTACAATTAATAATAACAATCGGTTAAATAATTACAAGTGCTGTTTTATTAATCAAACCAACTCTAAGAAGAAAACTAATATATCTACTTTCTTTTATCAACGCCTAATAAATTTTATAGTAGACCAATTTTACATTCTTATTTATAGTCTTAACATAGATTTTAAGTTGTGAATTAGAGTTTGAAATTGAATTAAATAAGGCTTTTAGAATATTACTACTAATCTCTCAAGTCTTCAGAGTCATATTTTTTTGGGAAAATCATTTTTTTGAAAGTACCTAAATCATTATTTCAGTTATATTTTCTTTTATTTTATGGATGAAATCATATTTATAATCTAGGATGAAGAAAAAAAGCATTATAGTTAAATCTCATGACACTAATAATCATTTATAATTCAATTCTTAAACAAATCTAATAGTATCATTAAAATAATTAGATAGTGAATTAGCAATTCTTGATAATTTGCCAATTGGTATGATTATACTGGATTTATAATAAAATATAAAGTATTTAAATACATTTGCTAAGTAATATTTTAAGAACTTTGATTGTGAAAGAAATGAAGATATAATGAAATAGTTAAAACAATAATTGATAAAGTAATAATTTTGAAATACAAATAGAATGTTACTTGATCATATTGGAGCACCAGAAGATGTAAATAATCTAGATGATAATTAAATATCAAATCGACCTTTTTTATCTAGTATTAAAATAGATGATCCCATATAAGCTATTTTAAATTAAAAAGAGGAACAATTTAATCTCATTTATAGATTTAAGGAAATAAGCAAAAATGGTATTTCTAAAATAAAAGTTATTAAAATATCATTGTTACAATAATTTTTAAAATCTGAAGAAATTACAGCTGTAATGATATAAAATGTATCTTGCAAAGAAAGAAAGAAAGAATTAACATAATTTATAAAAATTCAAAATAGTATCCTTAATTCATTTTCTCATGAATTAAGAACACCATTAAATAGTTCTTTATAATTACTTGAAGCATTATCCACAAAATTAAGTGATTAAATGAATCAAGAATATATTTAGCCTGCTTTAAATTCTAATAAATTGTTATTATTTTAAATAAATGATATACTAGACTATGCAGCAATGTAATCAAATTAATTCGTACATAAATATTCGTAATTTAATATTAAAGAGATTGCAGATTATATAAAATAATTATATACTTAAGTTTGCTAAAATAAAGGTATACTTTTAACATGTAAAATTAAATTAACTAATTTATTTGTGACTAATGATAAATAAAGAATTATCTAAGTACTCATCAATTTATTAAATAATTCAATAAAGTTCTCCCCTTCAAATACTCATATTAGAGTTTAATTCAAAAATAAGTTCAAATATTCAAATTAATATATTAAAATTAAAGTCAAAGATTAAGGTTTTGGAATTTCAGAGTAAAAATTAAGTTTTATCTTTCGAGAATTACATTCAATATCATCTGAAGAAAGTGTTTATTGGATGACTCAAAATTAATTATCATCAGGAATTGGATTGAAAATGTCAAATCGTCTAATATAAGGATTGGCATTTAATGAACATAGAAAAAATGCATTCTCAATAAAATCTGTACTCTAAAAATATACTTACATATCATTTTACATTTCTGATATGATAATATTAAAAGATGATAACGAATCAATATCTAATGCTTAAAGTGATGATGCTCTTTGTATTTCAGTACATAAAAGTCTTGATTATAAGTTGATTCAAAATATTAATATAAAATCATGTAATTGCTCAGCTATTTTACTTGTAGATGATGTTCCATTTAATATTCAAGCACTAAAGACTATTTTAATGTAACAAAAAATAACTACAGATTCTGCTTATAATGGAATTGAAGCAATAGATTTAGTTATTAATAAGTATTAATAAAAAAAATGTCATCCTTTCTACTAATTGATAGTTATGGATATAGAGATGCCATTACTTAATGGTTTATAAGCAACCTAAAAGGTATAAATAACATTTAGAATAAGATAATATCATTTTTTAACTCAATAAATGTAAAACCTCCAGTTATTGTAGCTAGTTCTGCTTATGATTCAAATAAAGAGGATTTGTCAATATTTTCGGATACATTACCAAAACCTATAGATTAATGGAGGCTTAAATTTATTTTAAATAAATATTTAACCAATTTTTTTTGATTTCTATTTTTACTTCTATTCTTATATATAAATATTATTTAAATTAAACTTTTTGTATTCATAAACTTAAACAACTAGGGTTTCTAAATTTTATCAAATAATGAGTATATTTTTAGAGTAATAAAATTAACAATGTTATAATTATGTTTTATAATTTAATTAATTAAAAATGGCATAACTTCCATTATTAATTCCATGTGAAGAGATTTATGATTTGGATACATTTCAATTAGAAGATATGTAAACTATGATAAAATCCTTTATTACTGATGATGCTTAATGGAATAAGAAGTCTAAAAAAATCTTAGATTTGATTGAGTTAGAACTTAAAGAAAGATAGGCAATAGAAAATTTTGCTTTTAATATTCAAATTGAAGATTTCATTCAATAACCTATCTATTAAAATAATGCTCTTTAAGCTATTTTGAATGATATCAAAAATAGACCAGCTAATTATTTGGATGTGTAAATTTCAAAACCTCCTTTATAAAAATATGAATAGCCAATCCAATAGAAATAACAATAGCAAATAAATCAATAACAACAATAACAATTAAATTAATAACCTTAGTAGACCTCTTAAAAATTTTCATAATAATAGTAAAGTTAATCTGATGCATTGTCAACAAGTACTATGACCAGAAGTAGTCATCCTTAGAGTAAAGCACAACCAAAAAAACCAAATCAGCTTTAAGATTTTATGAAAGATGTCTTAAAGAAAACAGATGTTTCGAATTAATAGTTTATAATAGGAGCTGCATTAAATCATAGATTTATTCCACCTCCTCCTAAACCTCAATTAAATACTGTTGATAAAATTAAATAAGAAAAATTAATGAGAAAGAAAAAGAAGAAAAAATTAAGAACAGAGAGTTAAGGAAAAACTTTTGAACATCTTCCAGCTATTGGCAAATAATCATTTACAATTAAAACATAATCAAAAATGGAATAATCAAATGTTCATTCTTAAAGTAGTACTTCTAAATAGAATTTTGAATTGAAATAGAAATCATTAGATTGCAATATAAATAATCAAGAAAACAAAGAGGAATTAAGTGAAAAATGTATTATGAATTCTTAAATATAATCAAATAATTTAGTTGTTATTACTAATTAATTAGATCAAAATGACCCAAAAGATAAGATTAAAGATAATGATAATATGAAAAATAAAATTGAACAAAATATTAAAAACAATATCGATAAAAATGAAGAATGTCAAACAAAAGTTAATAATACTAATATGTAATAATAATAGTAATAATAATAATAATAATAATAATAATAATAATAATAATAATAATAATAATAATAATCATAATCATAATCATAATAAATAAATATTCATAATAATTAAGTAGAATTTAAAAGCTTCATTAATTAAAATAATAGTTAAAATAAAAATTAAGAAGATTTTGAATAAAAATAATAAGATTTAGGTTATTAAAATATTAATATACTTTAAAAAGGGATTAATGATCATTAATTTATTCCATAATAAGGATAAATTTAAATTCATAATTAAGATTAAACTAATAATAATTTAGGTTTAGAATAGTAAAATGAGTTTCTACTTTAAAACTAATAAAATACTAACGAATAATTAGAAAGGAATTAAATAAGAGAATAGAAATAGATTTAAATGTAAAATGAAGAGATGGAATAAATTTAGAAGAGAAATCAATTATTATATAGTCATTATAATAATGTTATCAATGAATATATAAATAATGATGAATTGATTGGGAATTCAAATTAGAAAGATGATTATTTAAAATAAATTTAACTATTACAAAATAAATAAATTGAAGAAGAAGAATATGAAGATAACATGAATGATGAAGTTGAAAATGAAAATGAAGAGTTTACTTAGTAATAATCAAAATAACAATAAACAAATAAATAAAAGAATAATGAATGTATGATTTAAGTAAAATAAAATTAAGAATAAAGAAATTCTATTAAAAATTAAATTAATTCAAAGCAGAGTGTAAGTTAATAATCTTAAAGAAAATTAGATTAGAAAAATAAACCATCAATAAATCAGAAAGGGAATGTACAAAAACAATTAACAATGGAATCTAGAAAATGTATATTAATTTATTAATATAAAATAGCTGATGATATTCATGAATAAGAGAGTGATCATGATTAAATAAATGCTGGCAAATTAAAACCAAATAAAGAATAAGGAGTTAAATAACTTGGAAAGATTGATTAAAGTAAATAGAAGGTAGTACTTGAAACTAAATAAAAGGTTATTCTTACTGATAAAGAGAAAATGGATGAAATTAATAACATTTGTAAAGAAATGGGATTAGATGAATTCAAGGGAAAATAATAATAATCAGCTATTCCAACTTAAATAAATAAAGCAATAACCCCAAGTACTAACAATAGACCAAAGAATCCATAATCTAAATATATTTAGAAAATGCTTTAATGCATTGATGATTCAAAATTAGAAGATTATTCTGATATTGTCCCAACGTTTTAACATTTATTTAGTGGATTCTTCAATAATTAACTTCATTATAATCATTTAGATGTAATGAGAGAAATATTTAGTATTTTCTCATAACACATTGATAAAGTTGATAATGTTGAATCTCTCTTAAGTAGGTACAAATCAAATCCTTTAGCAATTAATCCTAATGAACTTGTTTATATTAATGATCCACATAGATTAATACAATATTCCACAAGAACTGGGGTTGATATACAATAATATATTTAAAGATAGATGGTCTTTAATAAACGACTTTAAAATGATTCAACAAATTTAGGAAAGTAAGAAAGATATTTTAGAGTAGTGAAAACAAAAGAAGAGGTATATGGTAATAAATATAATAACAATAGATATAATAACTAGGTCATTTATGAGAAAATAAGGATGGACAGAATTACCTCATGGAATTGGACTTAGAACATCATGGAATGTATTATGGACTTGGTCAAAACCATAGATTGATTTAAATAAATTGCTTCTTTTTTAAAAAGTCAATCATTTTCCATTTAATAAGAATTTAGGGAGGAAAGATTTATTAAAGAAAAATATAGAAAGATGTTAAAAACTAGGAACTAAAGCTTAATAAATTTTTGATATAATTCCCTCAACATTTTTGTTGCCAAAAGAATATGTATAATTTATGGAAAAGTTTTATAAAGACTCTGAAATAGAAGGATAATAGAATATTTGGATTATGAAACCTACAGGGAAATCTAGAGGTAGAGGAATAACAGTATTAAATGATATATCAGATGTAATGTATGCTGAACCTGTAGTATTATAGAAATATCTTAAAAATCCATTATTATTAAAGGGACATAAATTTGATATGAGAATATATGTGCTTGTAACATCATTTAATCCTTTAGAAGTGTTTCTTTACAAAGAAGGATTTGCTCGTTTAACAACATAACCTTTTACTCTTGATATTAATGATCTTAAAAATTAACTTGTTCATTTAACTAATTTTGCAGTACAAAAGACTCATGTGTAAATATAGGATTTAGAGTCATAATTAGGAGGCTGTAAAATATCCTTAAGATAATTGAGAGAGAAACTAATTGATAGAAATATAGATTGGAGTAAGATTTGGGAGTAAGTGTAAGATATAGTATTAAAATCTTTGGTTGCTTGTTAATCTGAAATACCCAATAATCCTAATAGTTTTGAATTATTTGGTTATGATATTATAATAGATACAAATTAAAAATGTTGGCTATTAGAAGTAAATGCTTCTCCATCTTTAGCTAGGGATTACATTTTAGATGAATTAATAAAATAATAGTTGATTGATGATATATTTGATTTGATTGATAGTCCAAATTATGATAGATAAAGATTATGTGAAGTATTGGAGAGAAGAATTTAAGAGGAATAAGGATGTAAATCTGTAATTAATACTATGAACAATTCTAAATTACAATTATAAAGAGATTTAAATTATATTTTAAATGGTACTCATTTACGTAGATATGGGGAAATGCCAAAATAAATGGGAGGATTTATGAGATTGGCTCCTTCAGATAAATATGATAAGTTGAAATCTTTAGTTTAAAGTTATAAAACAATCAATGGTAGAGGAACTATAGATTGAGTTTATTATTTTATATTTTATAATATACTTTTAATCTACACAATCAATCATTTTTATAACAATTTATAAATAAAATTATTAGTAATTTATTATGTTTTAATTTTCAGACAAATAAATTTCAGAAAATAAAAGAAGAAAATCAGAATTAGCATCATTAATAAATGAATTAACTATTGATTAAAAGATATCTTTATGTGTTGAAATTTTAGAAAAGAATCCAGAACATCGTAAATCAGAAGATATCCAAGTACAATATAATATTATAACTAGGTTATTTAAGCATTTACAAGCTAAAATAAATTTTTAAAATAGATTTAATAAGAAGAAGGCGAAATAACCTTAAGAGAATGTTATAAAAGAATGTTCATTGAAATTTACGAAGAAGTATAAATTATAAAAATATAAAGAATTAAGTAGTATTAGAATAAGGAGATAAGGCTTATTCATTTTTTATCATATTGAGTGGCAATGTATCTGTTTATGTGTACAAAGATCCTAAACTTGATATTAAAATAGAAGGTTTGGATAGAGCAACTATAATAAAAAAAAGGTAAATAGATTAAAAATATAAGAGAGATCATTTAATACAAATAAACTCATTTAAGGTGAAAGTTTTGGAGAAATGGCATTATTAAATGATAATTTAAGATCAGCCAGTATTATTTGTGATAGTAAATGCATATTTGGAGTTCTAAATAAAAAGGATTATAAAGAAATATTATAAAAAGTATATGAAAATAGAGTCAATTAATAATTAAAAGAATTTCATTCCTGTATGAGATAATATAATGTTTCGACAAAACTATTAGATATACTTTTTAATGCTTTTCAAAGTTTCCATTATTAATTTCGATAAACTGTTTATAGTCAAGGTCAATAAAGTAAATAAGAAATATATTTAATTAAAAATGGAGAATTCCTTATTACAGAAAATAATGATAATTTATCCAGTCCTAAAAAATTTGTTTCATATGTGGCATTATTATAAAAAGGTCAATTTTTTGGAGATCATGAATGCTTTCTGAATATTGAAAAACGTTAACAAAATGTTATTTGTAATTCTGAAAATGGAGTAGTCTTAAAAATTTAACTTAGTAGTTTAATTTAAAGACTATAATCTACTAATTAAATGCATTTATATGATTAATTAAGAAATGCTTGTTTATAAAGAGAATAAGTAAGATTGGAAAGAAAATCAAGACAAGTTACTCAAGATGAAAATTATTTTATTGACATGAAATACGTTAAATAAAGAAATCTTACTTATCAAGTTAAAAGTGTTCGATCTGCTAGAAGAAATACCTTTAGTATTCGAAGTCCATTATAAATGGCTTAAGATGTTATTAAGAATAAAAAACAAGTCTACTTATAATTATATAAAGAAGAAGATTATCGACCATAAACTTAATAAAAACTAGCACGTACATTCAGACCAAATATCTAATAACTAAGAAGACAGACTTGGGAATAATTCTTAATAAATGATTAAAAGTATATCAATTGATACGAATTCCATTTTTCCATTCACCATTAGATATCTTACCGTTTGGTAATCTTAGTAATGCCTTCCCATGTTGTTTATCATTTTACCACTCTCCTTCATATGTTCTACCATCAGGAAACTTCAAAATGCCTTATCCATGTTTTTAATCATTTACAAAATCTCCTTCATATATTTTCCCATCTGGCCATACATACTTACCTTTTCCATTTCTATTTTTATTATATTATATACTTTTTATTATTTTTCCAATATCCTTGATAATATTTGTTATCTGGCCAACTGTATTTTCCATATCCATCAATATTATTACCTTTAAACTCTCCTTCATATTTAGCTCCATCAATCCATAAAAATTTACCCAATCCTTCCTTCTTTCCATGCTTATAAAACCCTTCAAAATAACTACTTTTACTCTTATCACCATACCTTCCATCTGGCCATTTTTCACATCCTTTACCATGTTATAAATCATGTTCCCATAAACCAGTATAAGTTGCTCCATCTTCATGAATATATGTGCCTAATCCATGTGCTTCATCATTCTCCCATTAACCTTCATAAACCTCTCCATTTGAATGAATCAATCTACCTCTTCCATGAGCATTTCCTTATTAGAAATAACCTTCATATTTTGATCCATCCTTAAATATATTTTCTTGCATAATATACCTCACATATTAGTATACCTTTGCCATGTCTTAATTCATTTAACCACTCTCCAAAATACATAGCCCCATTTTCTAATTTGCTTGGTGCTTTCAGAACCTTCTAATGAACGAATTAATCATTTATATCATCAATTCCAAATTCAAATGGAGGTAGCTGCCTCTAACCCACATTAATCACACTTGTGGAATACCTACCTAAAAAACAGAGGCTACGTTCTTAACTATTCATTAACACTTTCGTTATATTTTTGTAATTGCATTTTCCATACTCTTTAACGAGCTTACCAGCCACGGATCCAGGATTACATTTTTATAATCTTTTGTTCCTAACTCTTTGAAAGTTCTAAACTTTGCCATTTTGGTTTTTAATTGCCTCTAACTTCAATCTAATTTATTGGGTCATTTTTCCAACAGGTACAATTATTTCCCATATAAAATATATATATATATATATATAAAATGTATTGGCATTAAGTTGAATCTCCATATGAACCAAAGATCTTTACATGTTAAAAATCTGATTTCATGTAAGCAAGTGAACACAGTTAATAATGTTTTATTGCATAATAGTATTGTTAACATGATTTTTTATATTTCAATTATAGCATCTTGAGTTATTGTTGGTTAAATGGATCTATTATGGTAAATTAATATTATTAGAAAATAGACAACATTAATAGTATCTGGTTTTGTGGGTTATTAGGTTTATAATGGAATAAGTGAAGTAATAAAAGAATATTTGATTCCTTCATTGGAAGCTGTGAAAGTGCGTTTTGAAATTTCAGAGATTATGGCAGGAGTTACTCTTTTGGCTTTTGGAAATGGAGCAGGGGATGTACTTACAGCATTAGTGGCATCATCATATCCTGGAGGCATAGATTACAATATAGGTGCAACAATGGGAGCAGGATTTGTAAATTAAGAACAAAAATATATTTTTTAGTTCTTGTGTAGTATAGGTGTATATTTAATAACAAAGACATCAAAATCATAAATAAAAATGGATCCTGTTCATTTTTGGAGGAATGTGGGATTTCAATTAATTTCAATATTTGTTATTATGGTATTTGGAGTAATAGGTCAAATTTCCTATTTTTCCAGTATCTCACTTACAGTTTTATATTTAATTTTAGTTTCTTTGGTTTACTATTAAGAAAGAGACAAAATAATAAAAAGTAGAAAAGATAGTTTAGGTGAGAGAGTTTAAACAGTAAATGAGGCAAAATATGATTTAGAAATAGCTTAGAAGTTTGATGATATGAAATTAATATTTTTATGGGACAAAAAATCAGATATTGAATAAGCAGCTAAACCAGTAAAGTGGGCAAATCCTTTGATTAGATTAAATTATGTGTCTGGAGATACAAGAGTTAAAATGCTTGCTAAGAAATTTAGATCAACAGTAAAACTTACGATGGCTAATTTGGATACATAAAAATAGAAATGGGAAAAATTATCATTACATGAGAAAGTCAGAGCAATAATTATCTATCCATTATAAATGATATTAAAATTTACTTTACCAAAGCCTTAAGAAGATCAATTTGACAAAAATTAAGCTTTAAGTAATTAATTAATTTTTATGTATATTTTATTATAGTTTTCCCAATACCTGGATCAGTTTTCTTTGTTTCTGTTGTTTTTAGTTTCCCTGATTGGTGGGTTTACTTTTTAGCATTAATGTTTGGATTTGGAATATCAATTTTTATTAATACTACTACTCCTTCTTAAAGAAGTCCTCCTTAATATTTTTTTTATATCCAATTATATTGTATTTTAGGTTCATTAGTGTGGATATTCTTTTTATCTGGATTACTAATAGATTTCTTATAATTTTGGGCTATAATAACAGAATTGAATAAGACATTTTTGGGATTTAGTTTAATAGCTATGGGAAATGTATTACCTGATTGCATCACTTTGGTTTCTTTAGCAGAAGAAGGTTATGGTATATTATTAATATTAATAATAGCAATAATGGCATTAAATGGAATATATTGTAATTGATTTAACTAATACGATAGTTGGTTAAATGTTTACTAATTTGATTGGATTTAGTGTTGCATTTCTTAAACAAAACTTTGTAAATTCAGGACCAATCAAATTCAATTTATTTAGTATTATAGACATAGAATAAAATGCTTTTAAATTAATGGTCATTTTAGCTGCATTTCTTAATCTCATATTTACATTAATTATGGTAGTTCGTAATCATTATATAATTACCAAATATATAGCTAAGGTACTAACAATTTTTTATTGCATATTTTTTATCTTGTCATCTTTATCTGCTTTTTATCATTCATGGATAAAGAAATGATATTTATAATAATAATTATACTTATTTTTTGATTAAATTATTTAATATACTAATAATAATTTTAAATGAAGAGAAGAAGGAATTAAAAAATATATAAATTTAATAAATCTTAAAATGATTAAAACAATTCTTTTGGGGTTTCTCTTGTAAAATAAACCAAATTCGATTTTTTATATAATTGACTCTAATTTATAAATCAAATTTAGTAGATAAAATTGATAAACATTTACTTAGTATTGCATAAAATAATTATAAATTTAAATTCTTATTTATTTCATTTTTTTATTATTTCAAGAATAATGTGGTCTTTAGTCATCAATATTTTAGTGATATTAATGTCTTTATAATATATTCTATAAGTATTTAATTAGTGAGATTAAATCTATTAGATTAAATTGGAGATGTAAAATGTATGATTATGTTAATAACAATTAAGAGTATTATAAATAGTATTACATATTAATGATTTGTCAGTTTATGATGGAATAGATAGGTAATTATGATCAAAAAAATAATAATTTGAGATAGGATTAAGAGATATAAGTAATTGTAGAATTATAATATTAAATAATTAATAATATGAATGCATTCCTATTGATGATATGTATAGCACTGACAAATTAAACAGGTAAGATAATTATACAATTATATGAGTGAGATATATTGGATTGAATGAGGTAGTAGATGATGCTATTGAAGCCTATGATTATAAGGTATATAGATTAAAAGTGCATAATCCAGAGAAAATGTAGAATCGTACTTTGATAGTATAATTGTTACCATAGATTGGAAATCCTAAAGTAGCTGTAGATTGTGATATGTAATTATGAATATTCAATAATAGAGAACCAAAATTATTAGATTATTATGAGTGGTAAACAGGATCTTGGTTTATGTAATAACTCACAATATCATACTAAGAAAGACAAGCATTAAATTGTACAGATAATGAATTCTATATTGGTGTTTCTAGTGAAGTTGTATCAGGCTACTAATTAGTAACATATATTTGGGATGGCATCCAATAGTTGGACTATAATATTCCATTAAGGTAAAGTTAAATTACATAATAGTGGTGAATTAGTAGAGAAGGAAATCCTATAATTTAAATTGAAACCAATCTAAACAACTGAATAAATTACTTTATAGATTACAGCAAATTAAGTAGAAAAGTATTTAAAGTAATGTACAAGTGAGGATTGTTAAATTACTTAAAGTGATTATGAAGGCAATGATACTGATACATCTGCACATATTACTTAATCTTCACTTTCTTTTGTTCATACAAATTGTTAAGATTGTTTTTATTTAATTGGATTAAAAAGTGATATGAAGACTCAATTTCGTATTCTAGCCAAACGAAAAGAATAACATATTATTTTAAGAGAAGGAGAATAAGAACAATTTCATGTGGAAGAAGGATTCTATATTTATTATCTATATAATATTCCAAATGATACTAATATCAAAAGTATCAAATTCTAAATTACTTAATATAATGGAACCTGTATGATGTTTGGTAGTTCATCAGAATAATATCCTAATATTACTAATCATGAAATGAAGAGTTCTTCTTAATTGAAAGCTAATAATACTACAACATTTTATTTAAGTGTATATGGTTATACTCAATGTTAATATGGTATTTACACTTAAGTAGAAAGATATTAAACAATCAATTAAACTCATTTTATATAACTTCAAAGTGGAGTACCACAAAAATATTTATCTAGTGATCAATACAGTTTCTTTTATATATAATTACCTTAAAAATAGAATTTTACAATTACATTATAAAATATTGAAGGCAACTTCATTATGTATGTTAAGTCTAATCTAAAGAATAAAGAAATACCAGATAGTAATAGTTATTAATGGAAGGATACTAAATAAATTGAAATAAATATTGATGATCCTAATTATGCAACACAATATTATATTGGAGTATAGAGTTTAAATTAAAATGGTGAATTCATTATCTAATATAGTATGCATGGAGATATTGAATTTTATCAAGTAGGATAATAGATTATAGGTACTGTAGCTGAGAAAAAGTTTAGATATTACAAACTACCTATGCAATCTAGAAATCTCACTATTACTAAAGATATTTACTCAGGCAATGATGTGGTTGATTTAGATATGTTCATATCTTTTGATTAAAAGAATACACATCCAAATATTAAACATTATAATATCTATCTAATTGGTAAGAATTTAACTATTCCTGATTCGGATTTATAATGTCAATAAAATACTTCTAAAATTAATGATAAGAATCTATGCTATATTTATATATCAGTATCATCATCATCAGGAACTATCTATTATACAATATCTACAAAATATAATAATAGTAGAATCTAATTACATGAAGGTTATCCCCAAACTGTCACTTTTGATTAAGAAACTCTATTCTATTATATCCTTAATTAAAAAGAAATCTCAGTATAATGGTATTCTTATGGAGGAAGTTAAGCAAATATCGAGGCTTATTATGGTAATAAAGATAATTCAGATTTGAAATATGAAACATTCAAATCACATTCTTATTTCACTTAATTTTAAAGCATAATAGTCCCAGAAACTGAGAAATATTAAATATTGTATATTCATGTTTAACCTATCGAACCTCATTATCAAAATGATACATACACTATTGGTATTTATGAAGATGTACAATTATTAACTTTATCAGATCCTATCATAGATAAAGTTTAAAAAGGATAAACAAAATATTATAAACTTAGTTTAACATAAGATGTTAAATCAATTGAAGTTAATATTCATGTCAAAGGTGGTGGTGAAGATCTTGCAATTCCAAGAATCTCTAAAGGAAGAGACAAAAGACCAAGTCTATATGAATTTGATTTATATTGGGTAGAAATAATTGGATCAACTTATATTCTTTCAGAATAAAATAATCGTTATTTGGAAAAAGATGATTATATAATAGGAGTTTTTGGTTAAATTGATTGTGAATATTAAATTAGTTACAATCTTGATGATGCTAAATTTTTTAATGCTTTTCTAGGTTTTCCATTTGATGTACTATTTGTTGAAAATATACCTTATAATTATATTTTTAGAGATAATCCAAATGATAAAGAATTTAGAATTATAGTATTTGCAATATAAGGGAAATTATAAATAAGAGCAAAAAGATTGGATTCTAATGATTATGATGAAACTGTCATTAATAATAATGATACTTTATTTATAAATGAAATTATTGATAAACAAAACTCATATTTAGTAAAGACATGTAAAAATGTTAGTTGCATTTATTTAATTGAAATTACTGCTATTTCAGGTGATAGTAAAGGTTTAATAGAATTTAGCAGTCATCTATATTAAACTACTTTATATGATGGTCTCTAATGGAGAGAAATTTTGTATGAATCAGAGACTTCTCAATATCACTTTTATTCACATGAAAATGTTCAAATTAGTATTTAAATGATAAGTGGTGATATCAAATTATATTTGAAAGAAGGATAAGAATTAAAACATAATGATGAAGCTGATTTAACATAAAGAGTATAAAATGATACTTAAATTATATTCAAAAAAAAGAATATTAATACATCATTAATTACAATTAAGGCTGAATCATTAGCACCAATTTCTATATTTAAGATTAGTGCAGCCAGATTCTATAAATAAACTTATACTATTCATTTGGGTTAGATGATGACTTATTATATTAAAGCACAAGATACTATTTAATTGTAATATCAATCTATTACTTAATTAATTAATAATCAATCAAAATTCATCACTTTATAAATTTAAAATATTCATTAATCCATAGATAATCTATATATTGATATTAGTCATAATTCTATTAAACCTATTAATTATTTTAATAAATATCCAAAAGCTATTTCATATTATTTATATGATTAATTTGGTTTGTATGATATTTCAATCAAAGCTTTACATAATAATACATATATTAGAGTAATCATTACAAATGGTGAATTAAATGCTTTAATTGATAGTATATCACAATATTAATTAACTAAAATTGGATAACCAAATTATTATGAAATATTTTTATAATCAAAATCAAAATTACTCTTGGAAGTCTTCACTTGTTCAGGATCTATTTTAGTATAAGGTACAAAAAATTAAACTAATCTTGCCAAATAAATATTTGAAATTCAAGTAATGAATTCATCTCAAGAACACATTCAATCAATCTTATAACTTGAAGCAGGTACATACTATTTCTTAGTCAAATTAATATCAAGTCATACTTAAGATGATAATAAAAATAAAATTTCATCATATTATATTAAGTAACAAACATTTGATTATGGAGAAATAATTCCTTAAACATCATTCTAAATAAGTAACAAATCTATAGATTGGTACAAAGTTGATAATAATTTAATAATCCATATACCAAATTTAATCTAAGTAAAAAAAGATATTACAATAATCCACATTTCATTTATTGTTAGAATGTAATAAGCAATTGGTGAGAAGAGTCTTGCATGTATGTTTGAATCTAATTATGTTAATAACAAGACCAATGTTTATGGTAAATATACTTAGGTTGTGGAATAAAGCACATAAAGTAATATAACAACTGTTACTTTTGCTACAAAAGACCAATAAGCTAAGTATTTAAGTGTAGTTGGAAAAGTATAATTGTAAATAGAAAATGAAATAGAAGAACTTACATATCCGTTACCAATTATAGAAATGAATTATACTAACAATTAGCAGGAATCCACCTAACAATGGGTCTTATTAGGTATATTTCTGACTATCTTGCTTATCACTGGGTTCTTTATATACTTTAATATTAAGAAATAAGTGCATCATTAAAACCATAACACACTCAATATTGAAATGAATTATTAAACATTTAATAATTGATGAAATAAACCCACTTTAAGAATCTTTCCATCTTGGTCCTAGTTCTCTATGGTCTTAATTATGTTGTTGACTTGCTCACCACATAATTTTAAAATGTATTTTATGTTACCAATACTAGATCTATTATCTAAAACTTCTAGTTTTGTTGATAATCGTTAAGAAACTTCTAGAGTTACCAATATCTAGATATGTATCATAAACAACAGGATATGTGATGAATTTGTATATACCCAAAATTTTAAGGTATTATTACATACATTATGTTAGAATACCCATTTACACAATATTCAGTGAAATCTATAAAGTAAGAAGATAAGACATGATATATCCATTGACTTATTACTAAACATTCAATAAATTCTTTACTAGACAAATTAAACCAAGAAAAATTGAATGTGGAATGATTAGTCCTGCTGACTCAAAGATCTTATCCATAAGTAAAGTCACTAAGAATGAATGTTTACTTGTAAAAAGAGTTACATATTAAATTGGATAATTTTTAACAGGTATCAAAGGATATGAGATGGAATTCAAAAAAAAATAAGAATGTTCAAATCTTTGGTCATGTATTTTTTATCTTGCTCCTGGTGATTATCATCGATACCATTGTCCTGTTGATTTTATTGCTAGAAGTAGATTACATATCCCAGGGAAATTAGCACCTGTTAAGGAAAGTAGTCTTAAACAAGTATATATACTTTTTGAAATAATCAATTAGGGATTATATGAAGGAAATGAAAGAGTGGTTCTAGAAGGAGAATGGGAACAAGGACTGATGTACATTATATTCATTGGTGCAACTAATGTAGGCTCAATGAAGGTTAATTTTGATTCTGATTTGATTACTAATACAAACACGTATCATAAAAGTGGCTATAGAAATTATTAGAATTTAAGTGTTAATGCTCCTTATTAATCTAGTGAAAAAGGTGTTCATATTAAAAAGGGATAGGAAATAGGAAGATTTGAAATGGGTACTATTCAAATTGATTATTTTAATAGGATCTACAGTTGTAATTATTTTTGAAAGTACATCTATTGAATGGAATGCTAAAGCTTAATAAAAGGTTTATTTCGGACAATAAGTTGCTTCTTATTGACATAAATAATATGTATAAGTACATTATAATAATATAAGTCAAATATTTGAATGAATTTTAAACATTGCTTATATTCTTTCTAAAGTTTTGTATAAAGATTATTATGTAATCTAAAAGAGGAGAATTTTTATAAGAGCTCATTTTTGAAATTGAATAATATTCGCTTGACAATGAACATAATGAATCATAAATTCAAATGAAATTAAGTCAATTATGTATTGAACCATTTTTTCAACATTTATTACCAAAAAAGAAATCAATTCGTAAAAGGATGACCAAAAAATTTGCAATTAAAAACAAAGAGTCAAAAGATTTTCAATAAATCTAATAAGGCTTTGATGAATTATGCTTAAATGATTGTTCCTAATCATTCCATTAAAAAACAAGTTTTAATAATTACTTAAAAAATTATTGACTGAGTATAATGATTGAACTTGTTTTGATATTTTCAAGTTAAATAATTTTTTTATGAATAACAATGAGTATCTCCCAATCAATATTAATGCTCAATCACTTGCATTTCCATTGTACATTCCTCAGTTTATGAATTCCTAATAAATCTTTTTTCCCTTCATGTATTACTAATTCCCATTTGTTTAAAACTTACAACCATAATAAACTGTTCCACAACCACCTTAATCAAATGAATAAGAACAAAAGAAAAGCTGTTCCTAGTTTGTATCAGTTAGTGGTACAAGAATAAAGCTGAATCTAAAATTGATCAAAGAGTTACCTTAAGCAACTCCAACAACTATTCCAGATGAAAATGAATCAGAATTAAATAACTAATAGATCGACAAACATTTTAAAATCATTAAATAGAGCAAGAATATTAAGAGACATATTTCCACTCGTAATGTGCACATAAATACAGATTAAACTAATCAACCTTATAAGTTCTTTTTTAGAAAAAATGATGGCTTTATTCATATAGGTCAAGGTCATTAGACTTAGATTATGAAGAGCAAATTCAATTTCAATATGATGAGAATGAAATTACAATAGTTTAAGGTTTGGAATCATGCAAATATGCCCTTATGTAAGAATGCCTATATGTCTAGATGATGAAATCAAATAAATTTTGAATTTGACTGATGATAAAACACTGTAAATATTATAGTCATACAAAAATATTAAGTTACTTCACAGAAAATTGATGAGTGGTGATCCAATAGCATATGAGGAAGTGTAAAATCTACTAATAAAAAAATATAATTAATGAAAATAAATAGATAATCTTATTATTCTCTTTTCTTCATCATAATAAATCAATTTTGATCATTAACTTTGAATTCATTAAAATAAAACTAAAACAAATCAATGAGAAAGCAACCCATTATATAGATTCAATTAGATAATTTGGCTTAGTATTTATTATAGTAAAAGTTAATTAATTTAGACATTTAAATTATTAACTCTGATCTTTATTAAATATAATATTGTAAATACAATCTAACTGTAAACAAATAACATTAACAATAGTTGATGTTAATTAATTTCCTGTTCTCTCTATTAACTTTGTAAATTAAATTTATTTGATAATGTATATCTTTATCAGAAATTTATAAATTATTTAAAGTAACATTCAATTTATATTTTGTCATTTATAATATATATAAAATTATAAATAATATACATCAATTGTCAGTTTAATGATTAGATCATTATAACTTGATAAAACAATTCAAATCATTAGCAAATTCATAATTTAGCCTTGTATAATACTTTTACCTATTTATACTTATATTAATTTATATATATTCTATCATATAAATATATTTAATCTTAATTTATCATTAATCTTTTACTAAATAATTTTAAATGCTAATAAAATTTGAAATGAAGTTATTTTTAGAAAAATTTAATTGCTGATTTTTTTCTATTTTTTCTTAATCTATTTTCATAAGCTCATCTATTAGATTGAGTTAAATTAAATTTAATATATAAGAATGTTTTTGATATTGTTTTTTATTGTTTATTTATTTTGGCTTTTTATTTTGCATTTAATTTAAAGCTAAAAAGATAAACAAACCTATGATAATTAAAATACTATTCAAATCTTTAAGAAAGGAACCTTAGAGTTTTAAATCTTCTATACAATAAATGTTATTGTTATGATTTAGAAATAAAGAGTAATAAAAAAAAAATTATTATTAATGGAGGGTTTTAATTATTGGGATATATAAATTAATTAAATAATCAATCATCTTCGCATTTTACAAATTAACTTACCTGCTTGCTAAATAATCCTCTTTTATTATTTTAATGAGATTTCTATGTGTGTTGTGACTTATGAGATTTAGCATCAGGCGCAACAACGCTTTCTTCAATTAGAGGATTGCCAATCTGACTCTCTTCCTCACCCTTATGTTTTTCATCATCCTCTTATCGTACTCTGGTTGGAAACTTGACCATTTTTTTGTCCTCATTTTATTTCTTAAAAGCTCCCTTGGCTGGTTATTTGTTAGGATCGTACTTGTACTTATTTTCTAATTCATTATCTTGCTCTTCAGCAACTTGTTAAGCGCAACAAGATGATCCCATTTTAATTAAATAATATAAATCAAATAATACTCTCTAAATATTATTTTATTCATAGAAGTATTTATATTATCTCCATACATCATCTATCTTTTTCTTAACAAAAATAAATATTGCAAATAACCTCCTCATTTCTACATTCAAATAAGTAAATCATCATTTATTAATATTTAATCAACTCATTCTACGTTTCATTCATCTTAATTGATATCAGCTATTTCATAGTTCTTAACGATCAACAACCATTTCATATAGAAATTATTGCCTCTTCATAAAGCAATTACTTTAAATCAAATATTCCATAATTCTTAAAATATTTGTATCTAATGATTCAATAACTAATATTTAAATTAATAAAATACATTTTTATAGGCTTGCAACAAAATCAATTCCTAAAAGAATTTAATAAGGTGAATCTAAATCATTAGAATTTATTCCAACCTTATCCTCTAAATATTCTATTTGTTTCTAATGAATTGTTATTAGAAGCATTTCAGTAATAGAATAATAAGTATTTACAGAAATTTATTATTTTCATCTTAATAGTATCTTAAATAAGTATTATCATACATCTTTATTTTGGGTATTCTACAATAAACTAAAAAATCAATTTACTCATAAAAAGAAAAAATTGGCAATCTCAGTGAATATTCCAAATTATTGTTAAGAATGGATAAAAAAATCAAAAACACTCTATAATCATACTTCTGTATCCTATTGCTGATACAAATAAACTCTAAACTGATAATATTATAACATAATGATTACTCATTTTTGTATAAAAATATCAAAGGCCAACTTCATTATATTTCAATCAATCCTATAGTCACATAACTTAATTTCTTGTTTTATTTATTCTGTAATTACTAGTTCTATTTATGGCAAATAAAAATAGTTGATTGCTAAAATTACTCCATTACAACTTTTGAGATCCTATTTTCTAATAATATAATAAATAACTTGTTATTCTTGTTTGTCTATTTAAGTAAGAAGAATTTAATTCACCTTTTCTTTTGTAATAGATAAAGATTAGATTATACACTAATTGGAAATTCAATTAATCATATTTTTTAATTCAATTATTATTTGTACAATGCTGCTTAGGATGTGTTTAGATTCTTCAGGTAAATTTTAAAAATTTCAAGGGCTTGTAAAATTAATCAAGCATAACATGAAACTATTAAAATCAAGCAGAACATAATTATATTAATCAAACAAAAGGATTGTTTCTCAATTAATCATACTTGCTCGGCTATTGAGTATTATAAAGGTTCCTTATGTCTTGCACATCTTTTGCAAAGGGATTATTTTAGTACTTTTAAGTTGAAAATTAGTTAGTTGTATCAAAATTGTTATATTATTAGTTATTATAATAAAAAGTATTATTATTAATATTATTATTAATATTATTATTATTATTATTATTATTATTATTATTATTATTANATTGCCTCTTCATAAAGCAATTACTTTAAATCAAATATTCCATAATTCTTAAAATATTTGTATCTAATGATTCAATAACTAATATTTAAATTAATAAAATACATTTTTATAGGCTTGCAACAAAATCAATTCCTAAAAGAATTTAATAAGGTGAATCTAAATCATTAGAATTTATTCCAACCTTATCCTCTAAATATTCTATTTGTTTCTAATGAATTGTTATTAGAAGCATTTCAGTAATAGAATAATAAGTATTTACAGAAATTTATTATTTTCATCTTAATAGTATCTTAAATAAGTATTATCATACATCTTTATTTTGGGTATTCTACAATAAACTAAAAAATCAATTTACTCATAAAAAGAAAAAATTGGCAATCTCAGTGAATATTCCAAATTATTGTTAAGAATGGATAAAAAAATCAAAAACACTCTATAATCATACTTCTGTATCCTATTGCTGATACAAATAAACTCTAAACTGATAATATTATAACATAATGATTACTCATTTTTGTATAAAAATATCAAAGGCCAACTTCATTATATTTCAATCAATCCTATAGTCACATAACTTAATTTCTTGTTTTATTTATTCTGTAATTACTAGTTCTATTTATGGCAAATAAAAATAGTTGATTGCTAAAATTACTCCATTACAACTTTTGAGATCCTATTTTCTAATAATATAATAAATAACTTGTTATTCTTGTTTGTCTATTTAAGTAAGAAGAATTTAATTCACCTTTTCTTTTGTAATAGATAAAGATTAGATTATACACTAATTGGAAATTCAATTAATCATATTTTTTAATTCAATTATTATTTGTACAATGCTGCTTAGGATGTGTTTAGATTCTTCAGGTAAATTTTAAAAATTTCAAGGGCTTGTAAAATTAATCAAGCATAACATGAAACTATTAAAATCAAGCAGAACATAATTATATTAATCAAACAAAAGGATTGTTTCTCAATTAATCATACTTGCTCGGCTATTGAGTATTATAAAGGTTCCTTATGTCTTGCACATCTTTTGCAAAGGGATTATTTTAGTACTTTTAAGTTGAAAATTAGTTAGTTGTATCAAAATTGTTATATTATTAGTTATTATAATAAAAAGTATTATTATTAATATTATTATTAATATTATTATTATTATTATTATTATTATTATTATTATTATTATTATTATTATTATTATTATTATTATTATTATTATTATTATTATTATTATTATTATTATTATTATTATTATTATTATTATTATTATTATTATTATTATTATTATTATTATTATTATTATTATTATTATTATTATTATTATTATTATTATTATTATTATTATTATTATTATTATTATTATTATTATTATTATTATTATTATTATTATTATTATTATTATTATTATTATTATTATTATTATTATTATTATTATTATTATTATTATTATTATTATTATTATTATTATTATTATTATTATTATTATTATTATTATTATTATTATTATTATTATTATTATTATTATTATTATTATTATTATTATTATTATTATTATTATTATTATTATTATTATTATTATTATTATTATTATTATTATTATTATTATTATTATTATTATTATTATTATTATTATTATTATTATTATTATTATTATTATTATTATTATTATTATTATTATTATTATTATTATTATTATTATTATTATTATTATTATTATTATTATTATTATTATTATTATTATTATTATTATTATTATTATTATTATTATTATTATTATTATTATTATTCTGACTTACTTAATTTATTGAAAATGAGATATTATTATAACCCTAATATAATTTCTAATAATTATTTATATCAGTATTATTATTAAATCCGAAACTTTATGTATTATTTTATTAATTTTGATTCATATTTTGATATTATTATTATTGGTTTGTTAATTATTATTATAACTTAGGCTATTATTAATTAGTTTAACAATTTAATTGATTATTTATTTATTAATAAGTAAAATTATTTGTTTAATAATTAGTTTAAACATTTTATTTTCCAGGAAGTGGAGGTTTACTACTTGCTTAATTATATTATTATGATTGTTATTACTACGGTTATTATGTTTATTATAATGATCCACTACCCTATTATTAATTATTAGATCCGTAAGCATTATTTCCAGAGTTTATTAATTAATTTTGTTGGTTTGAATTACATATTTATTAATTTGCTTGTTACTGTGATAGTACTTAAGCCTCTTTCTAAGCTTATTACCATGATTATTAAATTATTGCATTACATTACGGATTGTGACTATTGAATTGTTAATGAGTTTATTATTATTAAGTTGATTAATTAGCTGTATTATGAGACATTAATTATTAATTATCTGCTAAGGTTGAATAGGTTAATAAATCAAATTCATTTAAGTTATTATTTTTTGCTTTGAAACTTGGTGATTAATCTTCATTCAATTATTATTTTTTAGGAGGTATTTATATTTAGTTTGTTTAATATGTATGATTATTGGGTAAACCAGAAAAAGTAGAAAAATGATGAAATGAATTCCAATCAAATTGACTACCCTTATCTGGTGAGATAAGATTAGCTTCTATCTATGTTTATTTAGAGTCTATACTAAATTACCTAGTATTTCTTTGTATTCCTTATTATTGAGTAGAATGAAATTGTTTCATATCATCTTTTACCTGTTAACCTTGAGTTCCATTTTCACTAAAAAATGTGTTAGTTTTTACAACTCTAAATGGTACCCCACTCATAAGACATTATGTATATCTAGTTTTTGGATCAGCCTGACCCTACTTTACCCAAGTTCTCTTTACATACTTTTCTTAAACAAAGAATTTAATTTCTTCTGGAGTAGCAGATGGTTGAATCTTGTTATTCTTTTGTAATCTGCTTTCCCAATACCTATATATATGTATAAACAATAATTACTCATTCTAATCGTTTCCCAAAGCATCCATCAAATCAACATTTTCTTGGGTCCAACAATCTAATTTAGTTGATCTAACCCTAGTTATATTTTAACCTAAGGCTCTATGTTATCCTAAAACAATATTTTATTGAAATACCTGAACAATTATAGCATACAAAAACACCAAAATCTAGAGATACCCAAGTAGGAGATTTTGATGAACAATCTGCACAAATCAAATTGCATTACTTTTTAAGTATTTTAAAGAAGGCTGCTTCTTATTGCTTTGATGACAGTACTCCTTAATGATTCATAAATTAATTATAAAATTATTTTGATTAAAAATTATTCCTGTTTTCATTAGGATGTCAACTATATAAATTAATTATAAGTAATGATGATTTTCAAATTATATTTTGTAAGTCTTTCCAAATTATAATATCAAAATACTTTTAAAGTTGAAAGAGGAAAAATTGTTATTTTTAATTTAAAGAAGTTATGACAATAAAATCCAATTAAGAAGTACAATATCTCTAGATCTATAGTGAAATAACATTGTTATAAATAATATCTATATGGATGTGTATTCTGTATAATTATTAGATCATTTTTTCATATATAGCCTAGTCGAATTCAAAATAATCTATATTTTGAGTTTATCCAATCTGTTTTCATTCTTCCTTATGGTTGTTGGAACAATGGGAAGAATGTATTAGTTTTTTTTGTTTAATTATTCAGATTCCTGATTGTTTCTTTTGGGAGCAATCTATTCAAGTAGGATTCGTCATATTATATTTGACTTTAAGATATGGTTTTGCCTTTAAAGGATGTTAATGATGAAGAGATATTTCCGAAGATTTGTTTAGGGGATTATACATATTTCATGTTATTAATGTCAGCTGGTACGAAGTGTGACCTTGTAGATTTATGTGGTTTTTATGGTTATTTGACAAGATTGCGTCTCAAAAATTTCAATTAATTGAGAATGTGAGAGGTTTGTGGACGCTCTGAATTCGATTTGAATTCATCCATGGAAAAATAAATTTTATATGCAAAATCAATTATGTAATAAAAGTAATTAAAGACGATTGGAGATTCAAATTCAGTTAAATATGAATTAATTGGATTTTGTTAATTTATATAATCTGAGTATTTAGTTGTATATTAAAATATCAAATTATATTAATGAATATTTAATTCCGCCAAATAAATGCGCGTAACTACAATAATTTATTTTAAATATATATATTTGAATGACTACTTTTGACGGAGAAAAAATATATTATACCAATTAGAAATTTACAACAGATGAGTATTTAATTTTATTAACATATTTAATAGGGAATTCAATCATGAATCAACAATTACAGATGCAGGAAAAAGAATATTAAAATTTCTTAAGGAATTTCATTTTCAAGACAAATTCATATATAGAGATCAACTCAAAGAAAATGTTGCTAATAATGAATATATTTTGAGAGTTGAAATAAATGATATCGAAAATTCTGATAAGGAATTATATTCTTTTATTTTGGATCGTCCATAAGACATACAAGAGACTTTTGAAGATAAAATAAAAGAAGTAATCAATAAATGTTAAAATTAAGTTATATAGTTAAGAAAAGATGATTAATAAGAGTGATTGTCCAGATTTTTAATTGCAATTAATTTCATAATAAAATCCAGATTTACTTCGTAATTTAACAGCATAATAAATTGGAAAATTAGTTACCATTAAATGCATTATTTCAGCATCTAAATCAATAAAAGTGAAAGCAAAGAAATTATTAATAAGATGTAGAGAATGTTAAGATGAATAACATATTAATCTTGGATATGGACCAAAACCAGTCAATTTACCTAGATATTGCTTAGGAAAAGCATAATAAAAGGGTGCTTAGACAGATGCATAATGTCCAACAGATCCATATGTAATAATTCCTGAAGAATGTCAATTTATTGATTAATAAACATTAAGAATTCAAGAGTTATCTGAAGCAATTCCAACAGGAGAAGTTCCAAGAAATTTTATGGTATATTGTGATAGATATTTGGTAAATAAATTAATACCAGGACAAAGAGTGATAATAACAGGAGTGTATTAAGTTCCACCAAAAGGATCAGCCACTATAAAAAGTAATGCAATGGATGCTGAATTACTTTTACCATATATTCATGTATTTGGTGTATAAACAAATAAAGTTAATATCAAATAAGGATTATCTGAAGCTCAAAGATAAGAATTCAAATCCTTAAGCAGAAATAAAGATGTCTATAAAATAATTACTAATTCAATAGCACCAGCCATTTATGGTCATGAAGATATTAAATTGGCAATTGCTTGTTTACTATTTGGAGGAACATCAAAAACTCTTCCAGATAGTATGAAATTGAGAGGAGATATCAATGTATTATTGATAGGTGATCCCAGTACAGCAAAATCTTAATTATTGAAATTTGTTGAAAGAGCAGCAGATATTAGTGTATATACAAGTGGTAAAGGAAGTAGTGCAGCTGGTCTTACAGCAACAATAACATATCAACATAATACATCATAATTTACTTTAGAAGCAGGAGCTTTGGTATTAGCAAGTGGTGGAGTGTGTTGTATTGATGAGTTTGATAAAATGAGATCTGAAGATAGAGTTGCTATGCATGAAGCAATGGAATAATAGACTATATCTATTGCTAAAGCTGGTATTACTACTAGATTAAATGCTAAATGTTCAATTTTAGCTGCTGCTAATCCTATTTTTGGTAGATATTAAGAAAACAAATCTATCTAAGAATAAATAGAATTATAAACCACTATCTTATCTCGTTTTGATAATATCTTTATTATTAGAGATGTAAGATCAATAGAAAATGATTAAAGGTTAGCTAATCATATTATATCTCTTCATACAGGATAATTTGCTGATCAAGAAGGAATGTAAATTGAATAAGATGGTAATAATACTTTAGATCTTATGAAATTAAAATAATACATCAAATATGCAAAATCTACTGTTAAACCTTTACTTACAGAATAAGCAGCTTAAATGATTCAGAATCTATATGTTGATGATAGATAAAAGAGTTAATAACCTCATCATTCAAAAAGTGGAGGCAAATCACATATACCAATTACTGTTCGATAATTAGAAGCTATTATTAGAATTAGTGAATCATTGGCTAAAATGTAATTACTTGAACATGTCAAAGAAGATCATGTAAAAGAGGCCCATAGATTATTCTAAACTTCTACTATGATGGCAGTTTCATTAGGATCTAAGTATATTTTTATTTTACAATTTTAGAGAATTTGGTCTTGATTTATCTAATGACTTAAAATAATTAGTAGGTAAAATTGAAGAATCTATCCTTAGAAGAATAAGTATAGGATCAAAAATTCCAGCTAACAGATTGATTTAAGAATTATCTGATAGATTTAATAATTAAAGGGCTGTAGAATTTGCTATACATAATTTAATTTAAACAGAGTAACTCTAATAAGTAGAAATGAAAAGAATGTTAATAAGGAAAAAGTGATTTCTATAATTTTTTCTGTAAGTTTTATATTGTTTTAATCGATTTATAATTCATATAAATCAATAATAATTATTATTCTCATTGAGATAAAATTCTAACTTAGTACAAGTAAAATAAAGACTTTAAATAAAGAATTAGAAATGAAAATATATCAAAAGATAATAAATATTAAATGAAAGCAGTAAATAGTTAAAAATGGAATAATAATCATACCTTTTGAATTTTATGTATAAATATACTAAGATGAGTTAATCTTTTAATAATGAGATTTCAAGTTTATGAATAAGATAGAATCAAGAATCAAATATAAAATCTCATAAAATGTAGCAGTCCCATCAAAAAACTAATAAATAGGATTTGATTCTTATTTGATGAAATACATTTATCAATTGACTGTTGACTATATTAGAAGTAGAAAGTTGTTTTGTTTATATTTCTAAGCTGTTTTCTTTTTTATTATAGTAAATGGCATTTTTTAAATGAATTCAATTTCTAAGGCTTTTTAATAACTGTAATTTATGAAATTAGAAATAAATTTATTTAAAATATAATTGTTTTCTATTTCAATTACATTTTTTAATATCACTTGATGAATAAGCTAATAATCAAGAGAGATTGAACAAATTCTTTAACCTTTTAAGAAATATAAGAAATTATCAACACTATTTATAAAGAATTTGGATAATGGAAATATAATTTATCTTTTTAAAAGGCTAGAAAATAGTTTTTAAGTAACAATCTGGAACATAGGAAATTAATTATATTTATAAAGGTATATGAGTTAATATTATGTTTTTGCTAAGAGTTTTTCTATTGAGTTTATATATATAAAAATAATTTATTAATGGACGCTAGCTATAATTATGATTAATATGCTTAAAAAGCATACTCAGCAAATGTATTTAAAGTGGATGAATCTGAATTTATTATAGAAAAGAGATATAAGCCAACATAACAGTGTATTTTTTCTTCATGATTTCAGTGGGAAGTGGTGCATATGGTATAGTAATTGGTTGTGAAGATACAAAAGCAACAGTACCAGAATAAAAAATGGTGGCTATAAAAAAAATTGAAAGAACATTTGAACATCGATTTTATGCTAAAAGAACATTAAGAGAGTTAAAGATTTTAAGAAACTTAAGGCATGAAAATGTAAATTTCTAATAAAAAGAATTTAGATTGTTAATTTAATCACACTACAGTTACCTAAATCAAGAAAACATTTTTATGATATGTATATACTACACTTAAATGTATTAATAGTTATTGTGTAACAGAACTATTGGATACTGACTTAAAACGAGTAATTGATAAAGAACATGCAAAATTGAATTAAGATCACTTTAAATTGTTTCTATATTAAATTCTAAGAGCCTTAAAATACATGCATTCAGCCAATATTTTACATAGAGATCTGGTATTATCATAAAAACTAATATAGAAACCAACAAATTTGTTATTAAACAAACAAGATTGTATGTTGAAAGTCTGTGACTTTGGATTGTCAAGAGCTTTATTATAGACAACTAAAACATAATAACAAAACCCTAATATCATGACAGATTATGTTGAAACTAGATATTATAGAGCTCCAGAATTATTGTTAGGACTTAAAACTTATACTTAAGCAGTGGATATATGGAGTGTAGGATGTATATTTGCAGAAATAGTTAGAGGAAAGACTTTATGGAGAGGATAAAATTGTAATTGATATTCATTATTTTAGCTAAGTAATAAATTAAAATGATTTTTGAAACTCTTGGAACTCCATCAAAGTCAAAGATAATGTAAGTTTAAGATACTTTTGTATCATCTAAATTGATTGAATTAGTTTCAGAATTAGGAACTTTAGAAAGAGTTCCTTGGGATAAAGTTGTTAAAGGTTTGCCTCCTGAAGGATATGATCTTCTTGAAAAACTATTAGAAATTGATTATAAGAAAAGGATAACAGCAGCTGAAGCTTTAAAGCATCCATATTTAAAAGAATTACATAATCCAAGTGATGAAGTATTCAATTTATTCTTATTTATATAGCCTACTAGATCTCCAGTATCCAATATGGAGTTTGAATTTGAAATGTATGAGTTTACTAATGAATAACTCAAAGGTAATAAGATATCTTATTTTAGATATGATATATGAAGAAATTCTTTTGTATCATTTTCCTGATTTTAAGAAATAATATGAAGACAAGATAACCAATAATTAAAGTGTCATAAACCATATTTTGAAGGGCGAAAATGCTAAAGTTATTGATCCTGAAGCAGATGACGATTATCCAATTTGATCTTAAAAAATAGATATAAATATTTTATATAATATACAAAATTTTAAATGATCTAAACAAACTCAATCATTAACTAGGAGATAGATGTTATAAATACTATCAGCCAAAATGAATTCTATTAATAGTTCAAGCAAAACATTAAATTGTTCCTCTTTTTGAGATTGGCTTTTATCTTTCACAAAAATTCTAGTGATAATTAAAGTTGAATTACTTATTCTCTTTACATTTCTACTTAGATATCTTATGGCTTTTATAATAAACCTAATTAAACTGATAAAATACTCTTTTCCATTTTTATTCAATCTATTTAAATTTCTATTTACAAAGTGGACATGTATTTTCAATCTACATTAAATGGATAATACTACATTTGACCATTTTTTTATGCATGTTAAACAAAATGAGTGATTGCAACTATCCAAATATCCCTTAATATATTTATTTCAATATACTTATTATTCTATTGCATTATAACATATCCCACATTGTTCTGCTTTAGATTAAAATCGTGTCTGTCTTTATTATGGTTCTTTCATTTTTGTTGCTTTTAATTATTAAATTATTAAATTAATGAAAATTTTTACTTTATTCTACATTTTTAAGAATAAGTTGAATTGAATTTTTGATACAATTCAACTTATATTAAGTAGTTGATTAGCTTCATAATAAGGAATTTGTCTTTCCATTTTACTAAAAGGTATAATTAAGATAGATTCATAGAGATAATCTAAGATTATTATTTATAGGATGATGATTAGAATAAGTCTTATAGGATAAAAATATTAATATCATAATGTAAATTTAGTTAATCTGATTACTCTAAAATCTAAATCTAAATCTAATTTAGACTAAATTGCTATCTTTTCTCTATTAGTCCAACTCACTTAATCATTATCTTCTTATTTTCCTTATTATGCATTAATTCATCTTTTTAATAAAACAAAGTATGAGTTTTACAATATGAATTAGATTAAATTAATAATGCAAATAGGATGAGTACAAGTACAACTACTATTAGTATAAAATGAATACAGATTTAATTTTTGTTTTTGAATTCTGGAAATTTATTATCTTTATCAAAGAGGTCAATTTATTTTTCAAAATTCCAAAAGCTTATGAAGAATAAACATTAATTAATTAAGAATAAATAAATATATTTTATTCATTGATTGTGTTAATATTAAATTCATTAACTTGCAAGAACTGGATGATCTTCTTCTTCAAATGATTGGAGTTGGGCAAATGAAAAGGTTATAGATTCCATACATTGTTAGTTTGCAATGAAAGAAGTTCTTTAACCATCATACTTTTCTTTATTAAAAAGATATAATCTTCTGGATACTGGGACTGTTAAAGATTTGATTGGTTTAGACCATCCATATCCTGGTAAATCTGGAATTCTGTCACAAACAGTGATTGAATCTCCTTTGAAATTACATTCTGAAAATAGCTCAGCACAATCAGGATCAAAAATTTTGTAAGTAGTGTCAGTAACTAACACACCAGCTTAATGAAAAACTCCATATATTTAAGTATCCCACCCTAAAGATATTTTGATTATAAATACATGTTATAAGATTGTATTACAACTTTGTATCAAACACCATAAAATTATATGACAATCTCATATTTCTAGCTCTTTCAACATCATAACCTCTGATTGTAACAATAGGTAATCTTGGACCACTTTACCATACTTTTGGTAATTCAATAATTTATGGAACTTCAGCTGCACTTGGTGCTCTTTTGACAAATGGGTGACTTGAAGCAGGATCATTATAGAAAACATATGCAGGTGAAACCCATAAAGTTTGATCAGTACCCAAAAGAACATTGAATCGTACAAATTCTAATTATGCTTGCCAATATGTTCTTGCTGAAACAGTGACAGATTTTGGTGTTACTTATTCAACCTAAAATCCAAAAAATTATTTACTTTAACTTCTACTATTGGATTTGTTAATAAGTGTTTACAACCAATTAAACTTACAATAGCATTTGTTGCATCTTTAAGACTGTGTTCAATAGTGTATGATATTTTTCTTTCACCTTATCCAGTTTTTAATTCTTTAACATCTGTTGATTCAAAAGTAACAACTTAAATTCTGGGATCATAAATTGCATACCAATTAACAAATAAGGAATAAAGAGGAGAGGGTCCAACAGCAACTCCACTCAATTTAAATCCTTTGTTAAGATAATTTTACTTTATTACCTGTTGTTGTGATATCGCTAACTCTTTCCATATACCCATGAGGTAAACCAACACTCCAATCAAGTAATTATGCAGAAATAAACACTTAAGGAACAACTTCGAAAGGTTTCTTGAATTTTACATCGACAAACACTTATCTTGGAACTCCAGCTTATGCTTCCAAAATGTGACCAGCAGCATATTGCACTATGACCTAGTGTGCTGTCTCATATTGTGGTGTTCTATAACAGAACGCCAATGATAATATAGCTATCAGAACTGCTATCTTCATAAATCCGTTTTTATATTATAAAAATTATCTAATTCTCTTCATCGATAATCAATTTAAATCAACTCCATAAACTATGTCTTTTTATGCTTCTTATTAAACAATCAGGAACTTTGATTAAAATTAATATAATAGGATTTAAAATCATTATCTCAATTAAGAACTATTCTTTATATCTAAATATTATTATCATAAATCATTATTACATATATATTTCATAAAATAAAATGAATGTATGTTCTAATTTTACATTGTCATTGACAGGTGGTTTTTAAGAGTGCAGAAATTGTGGAAGAGAAAAAAAATTCCATCGTCTTGACTTTGAAAATAATAACATTGAATACGTCTAAAAGACTACTAACAATAATGCTGGTATTAGTAATTAATATTTTCATTAGCAAAATTCTAATAAGAGAAACTTTAATAGATTGCTGCATAAAAATAAGTGGAAGAAGATGATTTTAGAGCCAAAGCCTGTAATAACTTTGTATTAGCCTTAATTGGATAATTTCAATAATGTGGTAATTGCAAAATAGAGAAAAAATATCATAAACTTGATACATCAGGCTAAATAGCTTATCAATCCAAATCTTAAGTAATTCAACCGGCTTAATAGACTTAGTAATAAAAAAAAACTACTGCTATAGCTGGTATTATATATTTATATGTTGTTTTGTAGAAGTTGTTTAAGAAACCATGATGGTGTCATCTGTAAAAGATAGGATTGCTTAAATGAATAAAAAAGTTTCAAGTACAAATGAACCACAATTCAGACCAAGTGTGAAAAAGGAGGAAGTTTAAGAAAAGATACCTGGATAAGCAGAAATAGTGACAGAATAAGTTTTCACATCAGTATCAGATAAAAAGAGTGTATTCGACAAATAAAGAGTGAGAAAAACAATAGAATAGTCTACATAATAAATCAGAGAACAATAGAACTCAGAGGGAATTAGAAAGGCTGAATCATAATTTATTACATCATCAGAAAATACACAAGAATAGTAAGAATAATAAATACAAAATCAAAATGAATAACAGGAGAATCATTAAGAAGAACCTGCATAAGACTAACAAAATGAATATTAAGAATAACAATAATAAGTTGAAGATGATTAAGCTAAAGAATAATAAAATGAATAAGAATAATAATAATAATAAGAATAATAATAATAATATGAATAATAATAATAAGAATAATAATAATATGAATAATAATAATATGAACAATAATAATATGAATAATAATAAGAATAATAAGTTATACCATAGTAAGAAAATCAAGAAGAATCAAATAATTAAAATGAATAGGTTGAGGAATCCTAATAATAAAATGATTAAAATCTTGATGAACAATAAGATATTTAACAATAATAAGAAGCTAATGATGTTTATTGAAAAATATTGAAATATTAATAAATAATAATAATATATTACATTTAGATATTATATCTCGATGCTATTTAGATAAAAGGAAAAAGTTCCTGATCTTGGAAGAGATAACTTTCGTGATTTCATGAGAAGAGAAGGAGATTCTTGTTTGTAAACTTAGATGAAACTCTCGACATTTGTTCATAAAACTGTACCTAATGAATTGACATAATCTTAATTAAGGTAAATTAAATGATCAATCTTTAGTCCATTACCATAAGCCTTAGATGGTTCATTAAAAATGATTGGGAATACATGGGATGCAAAGCATTTAGGAACTTTTCTTTAAAAAAGTTAATTTGCTTCTGTTGGTGGAAACACCCTAAAGAACACTGAACCATTTTAAAATAGTATGAAGAACTAAAGCTTCTTCTTTAGAAGTTAATAACCTCGAATGATTGATGACCATGTTGATTATCTACATTAACAATCTATCAACCATATAATTAGTGATCATCCTATGATGAAAAGTGGAACCAAATATTTACAGAAGAAACTCCTATCTGTTCCAGATAAACCATTTGATGAGTCTAAACTTAATTATGTTACAGAAGTAGGATTAAAAAAACCTAAAGAACAATTTTAAGAGATGTTAATTAGTAAAGACAATCAATAGAAATTTCATTAATGGAGATCAGAATTTTAAGATGTAAATAGAGCATATAAAAAAGCTAAACAATGCTTTAAAAGTGGATTGTATGCATTAGATAGTCCATTGAATGATAATACTGAATTATATAAAGAAGAAAATACAAAATTAAGAGAATAAGAATAATAAAGTGTAAGAAGTTCATTATAGAGATATAAATGTATTAATCAAATCTATTTAAATAGCACTTGAAAGATTTAATGCTAGTAATCCTTCTATTGAATTTAATAATGTAGCCCATAAACCATTTAATTCTAAATAATCAGATCCCTTATTAGTGAAAAGTAATTTCCCTTCACAAAATTTTGAATTCCATGATTAATGGATGAAAAGAAAATTAATTGAATAACAGATAGATACTAAAAATAGAATATTTGGAGAAACCTCTCAAAATAAGGCCAACCCTTAGAGAGCTGTGTTTTTAAGAGAATAAGAAGTTAGAGGTAGAAATTACAATCCTGTCAATCTAACAAGAAGTGTAATTGGTTGAATATTATTACAATTAATAAAAATGCCTTTAAATAATTTATAATAGATTATTTTATTTATTTCTCTCTTTCTTATTAGTATATGTTAATCAAGAAGTCTTTTGGTCTTCTTTGTAGAAATTTAATCTAAATATTCTTAGTAATAAAGAAGTAAAGTATAAATTAAATTTATGTAGGATTATATTAAAATAATAGATGCTTAAGTAATGGAGGAGTCTCTTATAAACTATACTCAATATTAGATTAAAGGAGTACGTAAAGGAGAAGAGTTTTTAATCAATAAAAGATATAATGATTTCGTTATTTTAAAAGAGGTATTTAATAGGACTTGGCCAGGATGTTTTATTCCACCAATTCCACAAAAAAAATCTCTGGTATTTTAATACATAAAATATTTTTAGGGCAATTTAGACTCCAATGTAATTACATATCGTTCTAAATACTTATCATATTTTCTGAAAAAGATATTAAAAATTCCTTATCTTTGGTTAGGCGAAGAGATGAGTATTTTTATTAAAGGGACCATTGAATAATTATAAGAAATGGCAAAAAATAAAACTCTACAATAAATTATAAGCAAATATGAAGAGACTTTTACTTTTAACGATAATTAACAAGTTTATGATATTGATTAATTTTATTCCTCAACTTGCCATATAATACCTATGATTGAAAATTTTTCAACAATGGCCAAGAACCTTATGAAAGAGAAAGAAACTTAAAATTCAGGGTTTGTAATGTTTGTAGAACACTTTTTACCTTAATTCGAAAAATTACAATAATAAAATCATTCAGGTATTTTTAATAATATTCTTTAAGTATTTTCTAATTAAGAAACTTAAGAATAATTTTAATTATCAAAAAAATGTTGCACTAAAAATGAATATAATAAAGTTTATGAATATACAAAGATAGTAGAAAGAGAATTAATAGCTTGTAAAGATGCATTGATTTAAAGAAATACAATTGTTTAAAAAGTTAAAGATGAAGATGAGAAATTATATAAATTGAATATTCAATTATAAGAATTACATTCAAAAACTTTACTTTTTGGTAAGAAAGAAGAAAAAGTGGCAGCTATATAAAATTAAATTTAATAATAATAATTAAGTGTTGAATAATTGAAATAACTACTATTTTTAATAAATAAATTAATTTCTTAATAAGAAATACCAAATTTCTATAGAAATACAAAAGAAAAATATAGTAGATTAATTAAAGTGTTTTCAGATTTTTAAATCAAATATCACTAAGCTTAAGCTGAATTTTGGGAAAAAATATAATTAAAGATTTGAATAAAGAATATCATCATTATTTTATCTTATCAATGTATAAAATTATTAAATTTACAAATAATTAATCAATAAATATAATAAAAAATGAATTATCTACATTTGTTTCTTATTGTTTATAAAATTATACATAATGTTGTAAAATTATTATAATCACAATTTAATTATAATATGTAAACTCATGCAAAATAAGTAGTTGCATTAATCAATCAATTACCAAAGAAAGATGAACTTAAATTCTTAGAAAAACAACCAGGAAATAAAAAAATTATTTCTGAAACAAATCAAGCCTTTATCTCAGTAATAAATGGATTACGATCATTAATTGGAGATGTTTAAACAAATTCAACAACTATACCATTTAAAGTATTTTCAAATAATTATATAGTAAATAGAAGAAACATTAGATTCATTTTTAGAAAATGCAGCCATTCAATATGACAAAATGAATAAATTAAGTTTTGTTCCAAAACAACCTCAAGTTTAAAAAACAAATTAAGCTAAACCAAAAGATATTTATGGATTTGCTAATGTAATCTAACTCAATAAATTACCTTTTATTCCTGTTTTAAAATATAAGCATTATGCTTAAACAGAATTAGATTAAAAAATAATAGAAGCTTAAAATAATCCATAATAATTTTTTGAAAAATATGTCATTGATGAATTTACACATCCTTATTATGAAGAAATAATGAGATTAATACCATAAGATTTTGTTCTTGAAGTACCTACTAAAATTAATAGATATAGAGATTTAGAACCACCTATTATGATTAATAATGCTGATCATTTAGGAGAGCTTATTCTTAAAATATAACATGAAGTAGATTAAAATGGTTATAGTGAAATAGCTGTAGATTTAGAACATAATCATTAAATATCTTATTTGGGAATAACCTGTTTGATTCAATTAAGCACAAGAACTTAAGATTATATAATAGATCCTTTTCCTTTATGGAAATAACTTGGTGAAATGTTAAGTGTTGTATTTACAAATCCTAGAATTGTAAAAGTATTTCATGGAGCAGATAATGATGTTTAGTGGCTCTAAAGAGATTTTGGTTTATATATTGTAAATCTATTTGATACTTTCCATGCATCAAAGGAATTATAACTTATGTAAAATTCATTTTAGTTTTTGCTCTCAGAATATTGTAAGAAATCAACTGATAAAACATATTAAACAGCTGATTGGACTTAAAGACCATTATCTGATGAAATGATTAAATATGCTTAGATTGACACACATTATCTACTTTATATATATGATAGAATGAGATAAGATCTTAAGAAATTAAATAAACCAAATGAGAATATAAATAATATTCCAAATTATTATATTGAAAATGTATTAAAAAGAAGTAAGGATACAGCTCTTAAGATTTATAAGAAACCTTTATAAGATTAAGATTAATCTTTGCAAACAATACTTAATAAATAAGATAGGAGAATGGAGACTAAAAGTTTTGATTTAATGGTTAAATTATTAGAATTAAGAGAGGAATTAGGAATATAATATGATCAAAATCCAAGATACTTTTTACCTAATCCATTTTTATTTAAATTAGTTGAATCAAAACCTACAACAATTTAAGAATTAAAAAGCTAATTAGGAGGTGATAAGAATATCCATGAAATTGTTAAAGAAAATCTTTGGTAATTTTTAAAAGTATTATTGGAATTTGATGAGAAAGTACCAACAGTAAATATTATTCAGGAAGAATAATTAAATACAACATAAATATAAATTGAAGAAATACAACCTATTCTATAAGTTGAACCATTAAAAATTGTTTAGATTTCAGTTAATATTAAGAAATTCCAAAATAAAAATAAAAGTGTTGTTATACATCATTTTAGAAATGAAAATGTTGAATAAATATAATCCTAATTTTATTGTGAATCTCCTTTTAAATTATTAAATGTTTTTTATGATGGATTGGGAACTTAAATATTTTAATCTATGAAAGAATAAAGTTAATAGTAAAAGTAATAAGTCGAAGAAGCATAGTAATAAAGAATAGAAAAAATAAATACGTCTGATTTTATATAGCTTCCAAAATTAGATGAAAAAAATATAGATTAATAAAAAGATTTAGACATTAGATTAAATAATACATTATAAAATTAACATGGCACTAAAATATTAAAAAGGCATTAAAAAATAGAATAATAGAAAACATAAAAATCAAATATCAGTAACAGATTTGAAATTTAATGATAATAAAATGTGTATTTATATTCATAAATTCTAATTATTATTTAAGATGTTTGAATAATATATCATAATAATAATAATCAAAAAGTATTATTTATTTATAAGATTTATAAATAATATAAAAATCTTTTTATATTAAAAATATCAATTTAATTGATATATTTGTTATAAAATAAATAAATTTATTTTAGTTAATCTTTGTAATCATAGTAATCAATTTTTTAGTACTTACCTATAAATTTCTTTAAGATTTGATTCTAATTTTTTTTAATTTGATCTAGATAATCTCCTATTTTCTATTACATCTTAAAATATTTCTGTTTAAGTATTTATTAATTTTGTATATTTTGTTACATCTGGTATCTCTGTATATACTTTATGACTTATTCGTTAATAAGTATATCTAGAGAGATTATTAATATATACCTGTCATATATCTTTTAAATTCTAATTTTAGCATCTTTATCTTACAATCTAGAAACAAAATTATCAAATTTGATTCCATATTTTAATTAATACTTAGAATTATCTTAAGGAGGTTTTGTATTAGCCAAAGATAAATTTGACTTTATTTGTTCTTTTTTTACTAGTTCTTTCTAAATTCTTTTAATTTGAAAATAATTTTGTAATTTAGGATACTTTTGTAATTAAGTTTCTAGACTTATAACTTCATAGTTATTGTTATCTGTTTTTAATCTTTAATCCTATTAAAATGATTAATTGATATTATATTATGGAACTTAAATTTCATTAATAGGTAATAAGATTTAAGGCATTTCATCCTAAGTTGTATATGTATTACTAATAAAACTATTTTCATGCAAAGAATTGTGTTTAATCCTTAGTTTATTTATTGGTGATGATTTTTTTCTAATCAATGAACTCAATCTATCATGTATACTTTTTGGATTATTATTTAATAAGTATTTTCTGGAATCATGAGCTTTAATACTTGCTTTTAGAAATTTTTCATCATGATTGGCTGTAACTTTGCTCTTAGGTGAATTTGAATGTCCTGAGGATGTCTTCCTTCTTTGTTCTTCCAATAAGTTGAATAAATTTTAAAACTTTTACATTTGTTATATTATATATTTATTTAATTATAAACTAAGTAATCAATACTTCAATTTCTTATATATACATAACAATTAGTTGTAGTTTTTATATATATCTATATAATTTAAAGGGTTAATAAATAAATGAGCTTAGAATATATTTAGTAAGTATAGGTAATTATTGGATTTTGAATACTGATTAAGATAAAGATGGTCAACCACTTATAATTATTTGATTATTTTTTAAGACATAAAAAATTGATTGCATTTATATATATGAAACTCTGTAATATAAGATTAATAGTTTAATTCACAAGTTTTATTTCAAAGTTATTCAAGGATCATAATAACCGAATCGAAACTATGAAATATTAGAATCATTTTCATTTTTATAATTAAATAATTGAAATATAAATTACCTATCATATCAAATATTTTGAAATATAATAGAATGAGTATACAAATATTACATCATTTTGATTAATTTATCCAATAATTTATTTTATCTATCTAACTTATTTAATTAAAATGAAACAAATTCTTAATATGCTTTAACATTAAACTGATCATTAATTTTATGTTTATTCTAAATCAAAATATATATAACTATTTTATAGTAAATTCTAATAAGGAAGATACAATTTTAGAATGAATTGATATATTAAATTAGTAATAAAGAATTGAACTATATTTGATTTAAAATAGTTCTTATTAATTTACTTTATTGATAAAGATTTGATTCTCATTTAAGAAAATAGAATTTGTGTTCATATAGAATAAAACAAAAATAAGTTTGTTAAAGGTTGATGATGTCAATAAATTAAATTAATTAACAAATTCACAATGCCTATAACGAGTAAATTTGCAAAATATATAATTAGATGAAATCTATCAGGAGTTGCTTGACTTTGAAGAAAGATATCACAAAGGATCTGAGAAATACGATGTTATATAAAAATTAATTGATTTGTATGCTTTGTTAATTGAACATTATGACAGTATATAAGTAAATGATTGAGTGATTGTAGGATCCAGTTGGGTATTATTTTAATGAGAAACTATAATCATTGTTTGCTTGTCAAAGAGCCCTGAAGAGCATTCGTAAGACTAACTAAGATTAGCCTCCATCAATGCCAACTCATACACAAAGTCTAATTATATAAGAGACTAACATTATTTAAAACAGTTAAGAAAGTGCTAAAGGAAAGGTATTGAGATTATCTTATAATAAGTAATCAATATGTGTAGAATAAAAAAAGAAAGAACGTTAAACAAAGGCAAAGATAGCTATGGAAATATAAGATAAGATTGAGGTCAGCTAAAATGATTTGTAACATCTAATAAATGGATATTAAAAAGCTTCAGATTAAACATAAAAAGTGATAGAAGAAGATCTTAAACGATAAGATGAATTATTTATGTAGAGAAGACTTAAAAGAGAGAGTATAATTCCATATTCATAAAAGAAACAAATTTAATGAGAAAATCTAGTAGAATGTGTTCGACCAAATGTAGTACTGAAAGATTAGATCTATTTGAGAGTTGTATAGAATTTTCAAGTGGAGGAATGGATTCAAATAAAGATCTTAATAATGCTAGATTGATGTTGCTACTAAAAGAATAATCAGGTAAAATCAGTTCAGAGAAGACAAATCCTATTGCACCAGAATAAGTGGAGGAAGTGTAACCTTTTGAAGAGATTTAAATAGAAGAAATGGATGAAACAGAAAATATAATACCACCAAGAAGATAAATAAGAGAATCATCATCTGAAGATGTAGCTGATTCTCCACCTCAACCTAGAAGAAAGATTAAATAATTTGGAATGATGGATAATAATGGTGATATGTTATTAATCGAAGATGAATAGAACTTAATAAGTGATTTAAATATTGAGTTAAATTGAACTTGATAGCTTGAATTAATATATTTGCATTAAAATTATTTAAAATTGTTAACAAATAACAAAAATATATATAATAAAAAATGATTGTAACAAATATTTTATATATTTATTATATATATATATATAGATATTTAGAATTCAGTTTTGAATTATGATTATTATTTTACTTTATTCTTATCTATTGTGATTTTCATAAAAATATTAGACAATTATTTTGTTTTAAGAATTTAGATCAAATTTGTTTCCTTTTTAAAATATAGGAGTATAATAAAATTAATATGACAATTTAATTGAATAGAAATTATCTGAAGTAATTGTGGATCAAGATTTTATATTATTAATTAATTTAACACAATTCTACATGTCAACGGAAGAACCTGAAGCGTAGGGATGTGAATTATTAGGAGGGTTTGGAATATTAGTATAATCTATTCTGGGATTCCTTTGCTTTTTAGTACTTGTCTGTAATGAATAAATTTTAATTTTATAGTCAAGAGACATATTGAGAAACCTAAAAGAGTTTGGAAAATATTTTTAATGGTAATTTTAGAATATATAAATAGGATACAGCTAAATAGTTTGTTAGTGCATTTGTTCAGCATTTCTTAAATATTGGATTAGCTATATTGTTGAGTTCTGCAGATAGTGGAGATTAATGTTAATGGTATATATGCTTTTGATTTAGGTATTTTATTACTTATATGTTGGATTGTACTATAGGCATGTTAATTAATTGTCTATTGATCACTTTATTTGAAGCACTATTTCAAAAGTTGGGCTAGACGGTATGCATTTGATTAATTCTTTTAGCAATTTCAAACTGGCAATTACTATACTATAACATATCCTCAAATTACAACTTATTCTCTAAGTTCTGAGGATTAGTCTCAAGCTAAAAAAGCCAAACCAAAAGTTGAGGTTGCATATGGAGTGTATGTATTTTAATTAACATTGTGGATTTTAATCGTTGTTGTAGTAAGTTATTACTCAATAAACAAGAGCAAAGTTATTCTCTACTTCTTCTAATTACTCTTGGGAGAATATTTATTGATAGCAGTATCATGGATGTTTCAACCTATAAATTAATATCCAGAACTTGAACTTGTAATTGTACTAGTCATCATACCTTTGATATTTAATGCTCTTTGCGTATCAAAACAGGTTATTATAGTTTTGGGTACAAGATTCATTTCTCAAGAAAAGCAAATTTAAGAAAAAGGAAAAAACAGCAGTCTTAGATGCATTATATGAGAAAACTGATTAGCCTGTTGAAGTGGAAATTATCGATGGAGATGAGAGCTGTAGACCATCCATAGTAGGCATTGAATTACAACCATAATAGAAAAATAATGATTTAGTAATCACAGAAACTAAATCTGATATTGAAATAAGTGATTAATAAACTAATTCATCAAATGATATTTGATGAAGATAGTAACTTTTTCTATATTATTTTATCATACTGTTATTTAAGTTCATTGATTACAAACATATAATTGATTATATTATTATCAAAGCTAATCTTGTTTTATATCTTTAGATAAGATTATAATCTATAATTTAATATATTTATTATTATTCAAATTCACTTTATCTTAAGCAATTAAATCTATTATCTAATGCTTATATTTAAAGAATATATAAATAATTAATAAAATATATATATTTAATCAATTTGTTAAATTCTGTAATTCAATTTCATGAATTTTATTTAATAGGAATTTAGACTTAATTATTTTAACTAACAATGTTTTAATTTTGATACTAATAATATCCTACCTATTATAGGTTTGGTTAAGGAATATTAAATTAATTAATATATACATGTGGATTTTATTGTACCAATACAGGATTCTAAAATTGAATTCAATAAATTACATATTATCCTTAAAGTAATGTCATATTTAAAGGGATTCTATCATTTTAATTGCTTCTACAATAGAAGAAACTTATTATCAAAGCTATTAAGCCTAAAACAAAGATAGAAAATGTAAATATTCCATAGACATTATTACGTATTACCAAATTATAGCAAAATGCTATAAATGATATCTTTACAATGACAAAAAAAATCAAAATTATCCATTTCTTATCACATTTACAAGGCTATTAATCCACAACCAATTCTCTACATTTTGAACATTAATAATACATTTTTATTAAATATAGTTTTGATATTATCTTATGAACTCATAAAATTAATGTAACAACAGAATTTAAATCAATTTAACAGAATTATTCATAAATTCCACAAATAATTTTAAAATAAGGAAGAATAAAAGATTATCAAAAATATCTAAACATAAATATTATCTTAATTCAAAAATAATAATATAATATCATTTTAAAAAAAAGATATATGAAAGAAATAATGTTATACTAATATCTTATTAATTTCTAATTAAAATTTGAATTTAAACTATTTAAAATATTAAAATATGTCAACTTCTATTTTTATCATCATTCCAAGCTTAATTAAGTTCGTAAAATACTCTTTCAGCAATATATCTCTATAATGGAGGAGTCTAGTTATGCTTATCTGGATGAACAATTAATAAAGCTTAACGATATTTTAACTATAACATTTATAAATATTAAATACTTTAACTTTTCCATCAGTCATCAAATCCCCTATTGAACATTGCCAACCTGTTCCTTCCCATAAAACATCATTCAATGTAGTAAGTAACAATCTTAAATTATTTCTTACATCATTTTTAAAAGCCCATTTTAATATTTTTGGTTCTACTTCATCTTTAGCCAGTTATCTCTAAACATTATAATCTGCTTCATCCTACCAAATTTTCTGAAGACCCTCTGCTGCTTATTCTACTCTAAGATTAACAATTTATTTATCTGTTAGCCCTTCATATTAATCAATCTATTATTATTATTATTTTTATTGATTTGGAGCATCAAATTAAAATAAATCTTCTCCATCTCTCCTTTGAGATTATTCATTTTAAGGATTAGGTTATTTTTCTATAGGAACATCAAATTCAAATAGGTTACCTCCCTTTTTTGGTTATTATTATTATTATTGTTATTTAGGTTAGAATTATGTAAATTAGTTATCATTAGATTCAGATTAAGGATTCAATATAGGAAATTGAAAAGAATCTTTATCATTTTATATAATGGTTGGTTAAAAATGATTAAAATTCTAAAAATTAGTATTATTTTAATTGTTTATATCTAAATCTGCTTAACTTATTGGTTATGATTAAGTATGATGAGTATTTGGTTTGAAATCTAATTTCTCAAATGCTTCTAAAAGATCACCACTTTGACTAGTCCCATTAGATTAATTACTCAATTATCTATTGCTATATCTCTCACCACCTTATTGTGTAACAGGTTGTAGAGTTTGTTTTTAATTTTATTACTATTACAATTTTGGTGATTAATTGGATTATTATTATTATACCTTATTATTTTGAGTTTATGGTGATGATTGAATAGTGTTTTTGATGACTCTTAAATCTCCTACTTTTTATTCTTAATGTACACTTTCAACCATTTTTTTAGCTATTCTGCTATATGAAAGATCTTAGAGAGTCAATATTTTAACATAAACAGTATCATTAACAACGGGCACTTTAGCATTTGGATTAGAGATATCAAACCAAGCATGTCTAATAATGAATTTAATCAATTACGTTTTAGGTTCAATGTCTTAAACAAATATTTTAAATCTAATATGGTGACTAGTAATTTTAAAAGGGAATTACTATAATATATTTTTAACAACAAGCTAAAATATAAATTATATCATTTTTATACTTCCTCTCCTTAAAAAAAGAACATATATTATGTTTTTGGTTCATTCTGAAAAAAATATACAATAGGAACCTATTTCATTAATTTATATATTAAATTTTTAATTCATGAAATTATTTTCAAAATATACAAAGAATGTGGATTCCATTTATATTTTTAAAGAATTATACTTCATATAAGATAATACTACAGTATTAAAAGAGATCTTCAAATATCTTATTTTGTAAAGAGATAGTACTATATTTATTCAATTAGTAGAACAATAAAAAAATAATATAATTTAACATCTATTTTAATGTTATATGAATTAAATTGAATAAATCAACCACTGGTATATTTGGTGACTGCTTTTGTTCCTTCTGAGATGGCATGTCTAGCCAATTCTCCTGGAAGAAGCAATTTCACTGCTGTTTAGATTTCCCTTGAACTAAGTGTTCTTCTCTTATTAAATCTAACCAATTTGCTGGCTTCAAGAGCAATTCTATCAAAGATATCATTGATAAATGAGTTCATAATGTTCATAGCTTTTCTTGAAACACCAATTTCTGGGTGAACTTATCTTAAAACCTTGTAAATATAAAGAGCGAATGTCTCTTATCTTCTTCTTGATTTTTTTTTATCATCTGTTCCTTTCTTTGTCTTAACTGTTTTGACTGTCTTTTTAGCTGCATCAGCCTTTGGTGATTTTGAAGGTGCCATTTTAATTAATTTGAAAATAATATTTATAAAACCAATACTTAATGTGTCTTTCTTGCAATTTGATTGGCTAATTAGGAATATTCAAAGTAAAGGCTTTAAAATACTAAACAATAGTATATAAAACATTATGAAATCTATTATTCAACTAAGAGAATGAGTTGGTATAATAAAACAACTTTACAAACAAAAATGTAATTATTGAAGATGGTTCAAAGATTAACTATATAATCAAACTAAATAATTCATTATAATAATTCATCTTAAATTCCTAATAAATATTCAAGGGAAACAATTTTTATTAATCAAAAGAAGTATTAATTTCAAGAGGATGATCTCTTAAAAAAAATAAAATTTTTTCTTATATATTAATTATAAAACTATAATAATTTATATATATATACACTTGTTATTTTTTTTCAAGAGATTGCAATTGTAAATTTGATTGTAAAATAATAACAATAAGAATAAACTCTCTTTAATTATTCTATATTTGATTGAAATATCAAAATAAACATAATATTTATATCAATTTAAGCTATTGATTGAGTGATGGATGATCTAAGAAATTATTAATAGAAAATGCAATAATATTTATTCATAATGCTCTAGATGATTCCAAAGCTTTCTTAATTAATTTATTCATTGCAAAAACATCTAGACCTCCAAATTAAGCAATATATTTCCCTTTCTCAAATAAATATACATAAGGCAATGTAGTTGGAGCAAATTATTTGACTATTTGATAAGATCCTTCTTTTTCATGATCCACAACAAAGATATTAATGACACCTGTTTATTAATTTAATCTTTTTCTTTATTAATCCAATTCTTTTTTCATTTATGTTACTAAGTTCAAACTTGGTTAACACCTAAAGATAATAGAGATATTCAACCATTCTGCTGTAAATATTAAGATGGCCACTCTTTCTTCAACAAGGATAGATGATTTGAATTCATCAATATTTTGAAGTGGAATAATTTTTGAGTCCATTTAATAAATTAATTATTTACATACAATTTCATAATACACTTTTTTTACCAGCTGTGTTAATAAAGGTTCTTAATTACCATTCTACTATTGCTTCCTTTTATCCTATAGTACCTAAAGTAATTTTATATGGTTTTAATTCAAATCTTGGACCTTATTCATTTAAATCAACTTGATTAAATGATTTCTAATAAGTATGATGTCTAAATGAAATCACTCCATTTTCATTATGAAATGTAAGAACTCTTTTACTATCTATTTTAGGTACTGGAAATAGATGTTTCAATATTGTAATGACTCTTTCTCCTAATTTAGTTGAGAAATTATCAAAAATCAAATGAGGATATTATTCAGATAGTGGATCTATGATAATAATTATAGATAACCTGCTCTAACATCTAAATCATGACGCAAAACAGCATTTTTTACTCCAAAATATATAGTTGGACCTAAAGGCATATGAGATATAATTAATCCATCAGGTTCTCCTCTATGTTCATGTACAATTATCAAATCTGAGTAATTTTTTTATTAACAATGTGTTACTAAATCCTTTACTACCAATGCACCTCTATTGACTCTAGTACAATTAGGAAATATTAATCCCATCTCTTTCATTAATGTAACCAATCTCTAAGATGGAGATCTACTTGTAGTTAATGCAATTTAAGGTTCTCTATAAAAACTCATAGCATATTCATCATCTAAATGAGTCCTAGGCACTAACTTTATTTTATTGATCAACCTATAGTATTATCATCCTATGCATTTATTTCCTTTCTTAAATTTTCCTCATCTCTATATAGATCAGTAGGAACATTTTTCCTTTCTATTTCTGCATTCAATAATCTCATTTTGTTATCATACTTTTGCTTTGCTCTTTTTTCATCCTCTATTCGCATTAGGTATTCTTTTCTGAGTCTTACGTTCTTTCTGAGCATTAATTAAAATTATGAATAATGACAATCAGAATGCTTAGGTAATTCTAAAGGCAAGTCTTACAAGGACAAGAATTACTAAGATTCTATAAAAAAAACCAGACTTTCAATTAAAACTTAAGCTAGATGCTCTTGATTCAATAATTTCTAATTTGCCTACTGAAGAAGAATCTCCACCATAATAAGTTTCGCTACCATTTTAATCTTCTTCAATTCTCGATAAAGCCAAAGAAATAATTACAGCTAGAAAGCAAAAAATTAATTTTGATTCTGTATACTTAGAACTTAAGAAAGAGACATGCTATGAAGATTCATTCAATCAATTAATAGTGGAAAATCTCGATAAATATAATAATCATTAAGATATAACCTTGAAAAAAGCACAAATTATCATAAAGCATAAATCTGAACAGTAAATTGTTCATGGATACCAGTTACTACCAAAAATTGCTGTTAGTAATCAAATAAAACGAAAAAAAGAAACAATGAAACTACTTAATTAACAACTAAAAAGTGATCAATAATTGGTTAAATAATAAACTTTAAGGGAACTTTAATAAATGAAATTACCAGATATATTTTAAAATGTTACTATAAATGATTTGAAATAAAAAGAAAACATCCAAAAGTTCGTTTTATAAGGAGAGTTTTATTAATAATGGAAGAAGTCCTTTAAATTAAGGTAACCTCCTTCCTTGGTACAATCCTTTAAGAGCATGAATTAATATTTATTAGATTCAGCAGATTACTTAGATAAAGTAAATAAAATAGATAGAAAAAAAATAACAGATCAAATGGAATCTCTAACAGAGTTTGTTGGGATTCAATATGAAAAATTAAAGATTAAAACTGATCCATATTGATAGAATAACTCCTATAGTATTTATTCTACCATTTTATTAATTTAATTATATGTAAATAAAATAATTGAATATATATTTTACTACTTTTTAATTAATTATCAATAATAAAATTGAATCAAATTTTCTTATCTGATATTGAAGCATCTTATGATGTTAGATGAAATTAAATTACAAAAGTTTTACCATTTTTAGTTTTTTTAGTAATTATCCTTTTATTAATTATTTGTATTTGCTTTTATCAAAGGTTTGCTTGATATAAAAAGAATTGAATCTTCTATATATATATGATTAATTGTAATTATATAAATATATATATGATTTTTTAAAAGTAATTTATATTAGTCCAGTAATTTACAAGAAATAAATTATGATTGAAATTTATTAGAATTTCTTTAAAACCCAACAATAATCTAAATTTTTAATTTCAATTTTGTCAACATAAGATAATAAATTGTTTTCATTTAATATTAAATGAGAAAAATATTTAATTCTAATTTCAAAAGATTTTTATATTACTTTTCTCTAATTTTCTAAAATTAACTAAGTGTGAAAATAAAATACAATAAAGTCAATTTCAAATTAGTATTGGCAGGATTAAAATAATCTTATTTGAATTTTTTCGATTTTTAAATGATACCTATACATTTAAATTAATATGATTATAATATATCAGTTATTTTATAATTAATTATATTTAATTTTTTTTAGAATAACTTTTATTACTTAAGAAACTAATAATATATCATTAATAATATCAATATTGAAAAGTATTATTGATATTAAGAAATAGTATTAGATATAATTTATTATTTAATATTCATTAAGCATGTAATTCATTCTTATTCTTATGTCTTAAGCATTTGGTGATTAAATAGTATTATCGTAAATTTTATGGAGAAATGGTGCTAGTACTCCACTTCATTGTAATTGGAAATGCTAAGAATTTGAATAATAGGGAATATTAAATGATTATTTGACACCAATAGGAATGAGATAACATTATGTTTTAGGATAATGGTTAAGAAAGAGATACATTGAGGATTTGAAACTCTTGAGTTAGTTTTACAATGAAGCAGAAATCTATATATAAAGCACAGATGTTAATAAAACAATAATGAGTGCATTGAGCAATTTTTAAGGCATATATCCAATAGGAACAGGTCCAAAACTAAATCCAAATTTGAATCACTCTTATTTACTTCCTCCAAATTAGTTAATATTTGAAGATTTAGGAATTGAAGCTATTCCAGGATTATTACAAGTAGTTCCAGTACATGTGATATAAAGATAGGCAGATATATATCTGAGAGGATATGATGCTTTGGCTTGTCCAAGGAATGAAGAAATAATAAATAAAAATGTCAAGTCTAAATTATACTATGAAATTAATAATAGGACTCAATCCTTAATATTAGATTTTGCAAAATAATTAGGAATTGATGCATCTCATTTAGTATATTTGATTAACATATAGAACATTACAGATTTATACAAATATTAGGACACTTTCGATTCATGTGAATTTAATAGATATGACTTACCGTAACTAGAGGAGAGTACTAAATAATAGATGAAACTTCTACAAAATTTGTATTTCTCATTAGAACATAATATAGATTTTGAGTATTTGATTGATATATTAATTTTAGATAAACTCGTCTTTTAGCTACACCATTTTTTAGAAATATATTATTGAATATGTAGGATGTTATTAATAATCAGACAGAAATTAAGTTCAGAATATTTTCTGCTAATGATGCTAGTGTTCAATTAATCTTAAATGGTCTTAATTTAACAACAGTTGAATGTTTAAAATAAGTTTATTTAAAAGAGGAAGTAGAGAATAAGAATTGTATATACACATATCCTGGTTATGCTAGCAATATTATTTTCGAATTATATAGAAAACTAGGTTAGGAGAATTAGTATTATGTTTAAATTTTATATAATGGTACTTTAATGCCAATTTGTAATAATAAATACAAATGTGATTATGAAGAATTTAATTCAATTATTTAATTCTAAAATGTAAATGATTATGAAGATGAATGTTGGATAGTATTTATAATATTATGTTTTAGACTCCAAAAACTTAAATAAAGATAGCCACTTGGTTATTTAAAACAAATAGTGTTATAATAATTTTATTATTCATAATCTCCATTTTCATTATTTATTTATTGATTAGATAAAGTAGATTAGAAATGTATACAAAAGTAAAATAATAAGTTGAAGATTGATAATATTTTAATTATTTATACTTATATTATACAATTAAATTAAATGATGTGTATATAATAAAAAGATAATATCAATAATTAGAGTTTTTAGCATTATAAAATGACTGGTAATCAAACAAACAAGTATTAAATTTAGATATCAAAAATAATATTATGATTAATAATTAATATTATGAATAATAATATTGAATAAAAGTCTTAAATTTAAATTCTCTAGTTTTTTGAGTATTAAAATTCAGTTCAAAATGAGATTGAAAAATCTAAGAAAATCTTGTAAACTTTATTAGATTAAAAAAAGAAAATGTATAATGATAAAATCCTATAACAAAAAGAGATTCAAATGTAACAATAAAAATAAATTGATTAATACAAAAAAGTAGTTGAGGAATAGTAATAAAAGTTAAAATCTAAAGGAAATAAAGAGAATATTTAAGTCTAAATTAATTAACTTATTTCATATCAATAAGAATAAAACTAAAAGATTGAGTCTCTTATTGAATAATCTTGTAATGAGAATTCAAATTACATAAAATTATAAGAGAAACTCATTAGTATTTAATATTTATAACTATTTATTAGAATGTTAAAATGATATCAATTAACTAAAAGAGGAAAGAGAAATGAAGGAAAAATTGATAATATAATTATAACAAATTACTGGAGTGTACTTGGAATATGATTATCATTAAAAGATTCTTGATATCTAATTGGAACACAATTAGAATGTTCATATTTAAATCAAACTTGAAGATAAATTAAGAAGTAAATAATTTGAATTCTACAATATATAGTTCATACCATAAATCCTAAGAATGAACATTTCTATTAATTAATTAAGGAATTCAATTAAGATAATTAATTGGATAAACTCATATAAAAGATTTAGTTATTTAATTGATATCTTATATATATATATATATCTATATAAGTAATCAAAATAAATCTAATCCTTCTCCCTTTCTTCTCCAATAATTCCCCTTGTATTTATAAATCATATCATTTGTGCATGGTTCTTTAATCATTTCAAAAAATTAAGGTGAATGTTTTTGACCTGCTATTTGCATTTCCTTTCTTCTTTATCTTTATTTTTATTCAAGACGATGTTTTTCATCAGCAGCTAAATCAATGAAGCCATACTCTAAAGCTAATTAATCTGGTCTTAATCTACAATCTGTACAAGGGAGCTATTTAATTAAATCTATATTAAGTAGATTTAAATTAAGAGCAAACTTAGTAAAAAAGAAGTAATTTTTATAATCTTAAGGTAAATCATACCTTTTCCAAACTACAGTTTCTTTTCCTGTTTAAACATTACGAGCAATCAATGAATCATTCCATAAACCTTTCAACTTATACTTTTCTTAACCATTATTATCATAAACAGTTCCAACCATTTTATGATTTTCAGATAGAGTTAGAACTCCTTTATCATTAGTAGCATAATTATTAAAAATCATATCACCAATATGTTCAATATACATATTTCCAAATATGATATTATGAACTTTTGTAGTGCATTTATTGTAGGATATCTGATCATTAAATTATTTTAGTTTAATATAAACATTTCCTATTGGTTACACTTCCATAGATCTAGGAGACATTTTAGTTTTTATATCAGTTTACATTTACATTTCAAAATCATTAGATTCTGCATAACCAGCAGAAATAGGAGGATGATGAGAGACTTATTCACTAATAAATCTAAATTATTTATTTTAAATTTCAAATGTCTCACCTAAAATAGGATTAAATGGTTTCTTATGTCTATCTATATTACTTGAATAAGCACTAACTCCAAATCCCATTACATAACACATTCTAAGCCATTAATCTTATTCTTAATTAGCTTCAATTAATGTTTAATAGTATTCTAAATTCTCAGCTAATCTTTATAACATAGACAAAGGTTCATTAAAATATACAGGAACAGCAAATTTAGAAAGATCCTTACCTATCATATCTTTAATAAAACTCCAAACTTTCAACTTTTCATTTGGATCTTAAGTTCTAGGTAATGCAGTTCTAAATTGTTAATTTGTGAATTAAATTTTTTAGAAAACAGGATTGTTGATGAGATTTTTCTAATTTCAATAAATATAATTACATATTTTATTGGTTACTCATATTTAAGTGACTCTAAAATATCTTAAATTGATAAAGAACTACTTGAACTAATGGTTGAGCTTTATCGATTGAAATCATCAATTCTGCTTGTGATATTCCTAAATGATTAAAACAAAGTTTAATTATCTCCTTAAAATATTATTTCAAAAATACCAGACTATTAACATTCTAACTTCTCTTTTTCCACTTCTAACAATTATGTACAAATGGTGACATTCATCTTAATCTTTTATCCTAACTCACTTAATTTTTCAGCTAATTCTACATATTTTGGTTGTCTTTCTAATTTAGGTACAAGTACATTTAATGTTTCATCAACTTATAATAGAAAGAATAATTATACATGCTGCTTGGGTAACCCAAATATCTGTTAGAATATCATTTACTTCTTTAATACAATCTCTAGGTATGGTTTCTTAACAACTTTCTTAGGCTCTTTTTAAAGCATTCACCCATTCTATTTTTTCAGGTACACTTGAAGCTTTCACTTATATTTGATTTGTCCCTGTGTTTATGATGATTTTCAGAGGATCTTCAGGGACTAGTATGATTGCAGCCACTTTTAAATGGATTTAACCTTTAGATTACCCTCCTTGATGTTCACAATAATGGAGAATATGATCATTCAAAATGAAGTATCTATCCTACCATCTAGATACTATATTAATCCACTTCTTAAGATATCCTTCCATAATAATATTATTATAAATCAAATCTTTTTATTGTATATTTATATATGGAACTTATAATAAATAATAAAATACTTTATTCAGTTAGAAACAATACTAAATTTATTGATGAAAATACTTATTTTAATTCTTATATGGATGATTGAATGTTAAGGATCTGATTATTCATTTATATAGATTATGGATTACAATCAAGAATTTGATTCAATTAGAATAAAGGTCTATACAAAAAAATTGGATAAAGATAATCCAAATCACAAATTGTTTAAGAAATTAATAAAATCAGCTAGTCACTTCACTGAAGATACATATAAAGTGAAACGTTCTAAAAATAATATAGTTTTAAATGTCAAATAATGTCATCATATTAAAGTACCAAAATAACATAGAAAAAAAGGAATTAAAAATGCTGATTTTATATTGTATGTTACAGAAACAGACATTGCAGAATCTTGGATTGCAAAATCATCTCCATGTTTATATGATCAAAACTATAGACCTGTAGCAGGATAAATTATATTAAATAATTATCATTTTCAAAAAAATCTAAATGAATTAGATAAATATGAAAGATTGGGAACAATAGTTCATGAATTTACTCATACTCTTGGATTTCATAGAAGAATAATTGATCATTTCAATATGACAGAGATGATCTAAGATAAATTATATTTGAAAAGTCCAGGTATTATAGAATATGCAAAATAATATTTCAATTGTTCATCTCTTCAATATTTGCCTTTAGAAGATGATGGAGGACCAACAGCACAATTTTCCCATTTTGAAAAAATGACATTTAATTAAGAAATCATGACAGGAACTGCAAGTAGAGATACTGTTTATAGCAAATTTACAATGTTAGTTTTATAAGATACAGGAATATATTAAGCAAATTTGAATAAAGCAGGTAGATATGAATGGGGAATGAATTAAGGTTGTTTGGCAGCTTAAGGAGGATGTGATTCTCCTACAATTTGTAAATTGGCTAAAAATGAGAGATTTTGTTCTTACAATTATTAACATATACAATTTTGCAAACCTTCCTAAAAATTAGCTGAATGTGGATTGGTTACTGCTTTAACAGATTGTAATAAGAAAAGATGTTTTAATTATTAAGACTCTTCTACTTTGTTACATAAAGCTAAATGTTTTAAAAGTAAATGTACAAGTTTGGGTATTAGAGTGAAATATAAGGGAGAAGTTTAATATTGTCAATCAGATTTTGCTACAATTTCATTCAATGATTAAATAATTCAATGTCCTGTGTTTAAAGATTTCTGTAATGATTATTCTTTATGTAATAACAGAGGAAAATTGATTGATGGTAAATGCCAATGTGATTTAGGATTTAAAGGGAAGAAATGTAAAAAACTATTGTGATTTTAAATTACATATAAATTTTATATATTAATGAAAAAATCTGTTCTGATGCAAATAGTAAATTCAAATAGCGAAAATTTAAAAGATATTAGTAGATAACTATTGAATATTGGTAATCAAACTCATGATTATTCTTAGGTATTAGAAAAGTATTCTATGAATTATCAAAACCCTTTGAATAAATATTGTTCCCAGAACATATGATCAAATTACTTAGTGTCTTTCATTATATGATATAAGAATAAACCTTATTAAAAGATGAATTTATCGATAGTCATATTTTCAGCATTACAAATTCTTAAGAAGGCAACGCCATTATGGAAAGATTATAAACAGATTTAAATTTGACTGTCTCAAGAAGTGTAAATTTGGCTCCTAATTGGGATTGCACACCTAAATCTTATATGCAGGAGAATTACTTTAAGGCTAGTCCAGAATAAAGGAAAAGTGCTACAGATAAAAAAATTGAGTTTTAACAATTAAGAGATCCACTTAACTATTAATAGATATTGTAGCTTTATTACATTTACTTGAAAAAATTATGTATGTAATAGAATAGTGGAGTACCTATTATAGATTGTTATGTAATTCAGAACATTTAGTGTATGGGATTGAGAATTATAGAGGGTTAAAGGAATTAAAAACTTGCTTTTTGTTTTAATTTAATAATTAAGGATATGATATAATATCAATCATAAATAATAGACTTGGTGACTAATTCTATGAACAATATTGAGAAGGCATAAATTAATGAGATTTATGTTCAAATGTATCTCTACAGCAAATAATTGAAGTATTATGGAAAGTAAAATAGAGTAAAGATAGACTAATCTCATTTTAATGAGTTTAAGAAAAATTACAATATTTACAAATTAAAACTTAAGCTTTGTGAATCTAAGGAAAGAATGGAGTAGAATGATTTAAAAGATGAACAAAATTTCTTTAATTATGAAAGAACTCAACTATACAATTAATTCTGATTATTAATTCTCAATAATTATATGTATAAAAAGTAATTTATTTAGTAAATATTTATTAAAATTTGTGATTTTATTTAAATTTATATAAAATTTCCGAGATTTATATTAAATATAATGCTAGCTATAATATTATTAATTAAACATATCATTTTTAAAATGAATCCCATTTTGAAATCAAATGGTAAGTCTCTTGTTTAAAAGGCGAATTTCTATTATTTCAGAATATCAAATCTCTCCTATGAAGAGACATTCAGACTTTTATTCATAATATTAGCATGTAATAATTCTATTCAATAAATAATAGCTATTCTTTCCTTTTTTGTGTTTGATGCATTACGCTTCAGATCATACTTGATAATGACTGATGTTCCTGTGATTTCTTATTCAAATTTCAGCATCATGTTATTGGGATTAATCATTGTTCATGTAATAAGAAATTTAAATTTTTAGTACTCGAAGTGGGCTGTGAATTATCTTTGCCGTGATTTTGTATATAGGACAATATCTAAATAATATTAAGGAGAATTTAGAGATGTAAGAGTTAAGAAAATTTTAAAATGGCTTTTTGATGGAGTATACTATTCAACAACATCTGTATATAATGAAATTGATTAATTTTTAGATACTCTGTTGGTATTTCTTTCATGAAGAGCCTTGGTATCCAAATGGATTGGGAGGTACCAATTATACAAGTATTTGGTAAGACTTTCCAAATATGATAAATGTAACAGTTCAAAAAAAAATATTTTAGAATAAATGGGTTATACCCTTTTATATGATCCAAACAGCTAATCATTTATATGCCTTGATTCACTTGGCTATAAAGAGAAAGGAAGTCGAAACCAAGTATTGGGAATATATGTTACATCACACACTTGCAACTTGTCTACTCATCTTCTCTGCCCTTTATAATCAATGTTAGAATATCATATTTATCATTTAGTTCGATTTGGAATTGTTGTATTGGGAATTCATGATATTGCTGATATCATTTTATCTCTATCAAGAGCTCAGCATGATTTAAAATCTATCAAATCTCTCATGTATATACAATATGTATTGCTTTTGTTTACATGGATATATACAAGAGTGATCATATTTCCTTAAATTATTTTAGAAGCAATAATGCATTATTAAAATTAGTAAATTATAATATAATTATTAAGTCCTGAAGCAACTTGGGGAAACAAGTATTTAATTGTACAAATGTGTATTTTGTTTGGTATGCATTTATATTGGACTTACTTTATGATGTAAATTGGGATTAATGTGTTTAAGAAGGGTAAAAAATATGAGGAAATAAATACATATGACAATAAAGAAATTCTAAAATAAGGTAGAAATTGATAACCATTGAAAATGAAACTTTAACAGTTATTATATTTAACTATAAATTTTATATTAATGTAATTAAATATTCTTAAATTACATCATAAATTATTAAATTCAAAATTAATGGAATATAATGAGGTTGAGATTACAAATTTAAAAAAATTATTAAATCAATATGTACTAAATTGAGTTTCTTCTGCAATTATTGTATCTTAATTAAATTTAACTTTTTTCCTTATATTATCATCATAATCTGTAGAAGAAATGCTTTTAGGATTTTGATCAAAAAATGTTTAAAATTTTCTAATAAAATTAATATAAATTAATACTCTTAAAAGATAGTTGATAAATCATCAATTATTTATTGATTCATAACGAAACAATTTTCGATATGCAACCAATATTGAAATTTTTTTTCAAATGTTTACATACCTAATTTACATATTTGATTAATGAAATCTTCTCCTATTTTATGTAATGAGAAGTATTATTCAAAAAATATTGTACCATATATGCTAAAATAAGATTTAAATTAATACTTATGTTAATTTTTGTATGACCAGGTTGATAGATCAGGTTGAATCTCTTTTTTTAATTAAAAATATTCCAAATATTTCTCTCTAGTCTTACATTAATATGGAAATGTCTTATGTTTATTATCAAATGATAATAACAATGAGGGATAACATAAAACACCTCTTCTCTCTTGTGCCATAGATGATTAAGGATTTTAGAGTGTTTACTTATTCCAATTGATTAATTAACCCCAAATGAATTAAGGTGTATATTGTTTAGATAATGATAATTTAGATTTATTTTTTGGTTAAGGAATGTATTCGAATTCATTTTCTTAAAAGGGATTTCCATCAAATCCTTAATATTAGGTTGATGAAAAGTATGTGTGAGTGAATGACATAAAGTATAGGATAGTAGCAAATGCTTTACTATTGAATGAACAAGATTCTATATTCAAAATAATCTCACTCAATAATAAAAATAACATTCTTGTTAGTTACAGAGTATAGTCATTATTTTAATCAATAATCTACTTCATCTATTTTATTATTTCCAATCCTATACAACATTAATGTAATTATTAATGTCTCTTTAGGAAAACAACTATTTCATTAATTATTGAGGACTCTAATTAACTCTTATGAGTATTAATTTCATAATTCTTCCAGAATTAATTGAAAATGTTCGTTACTAGAAAAATAGGCGGTTATATCGTCTTTAAATGTTATAATGCAAATTTGACTTTATCAACACAGGATAGAATGTTAATGTTATTCTATTGATAATTAAGCTTCTACCAATTAGTTAACCACTCAGGTATATCATTTTATATATTTTGGCATGATATTAGAGTGGATTACAGTAAAATTACATTTCTTTATATATAATTTGGATAAATGCTAAACTGATGACTATTTTCAACTTCTAGATATTATTTTCGTTTGCAATGTATTGATCCACATAAACATAGATCTAGAGAAGTTTAAGGGAAAGGCAAAGTTAATTCTTCTAAGTAATTTATTTTTCTAGATGTGATAACAGCCAATAAATTCTGCTAATTTACAATCACTGTGATTAATCTACAATTAGGATCACATGAATATGAAATGTGTTAAGCCATATTCCCATACCTAGTTGGGTCAATAAACTTAAAATAATTTTGAAACATTACCAAAAGATCATCATTTATAAAGAATTCAGCATAAGGACTTTAAGAACATGTCTTTCGATTCCCATCCTACATTCTCTTGTGAAATATTGTTTATTTCTCAAACCACCTTTAAGGAGTGTAAACTTCACCAAAGTAAAAACATATAAATTCATTCCCTGGAAATCCTTCATTCTGATAACAAACTATTCCCTTCCCCTTCAAAGTGAATGGATTCAACTAGTCTATCATTTTAAATTGCAAATCGTATATATTAGATAAAGCCTAATTTAATAGATAATGTAGAATTTCTTACATGTTATAAATTGCCCTTTGTTATGTTAATTGCAGATAAGAGTTGAGGCAAAATAACTTCATAATCATACATTAGCTAAAATAGAATTCTTGCTACTTCTTGATTGATCCCATATGTATCAATCAAAATAACATCGACATCCTATTTTTTGTCCTAATATTATAAATCTTGTTATGTTATGCTCATAAATAAGTATAGAGAATAGTTCCAGAAATCCATAGAAAGTGTATTATCTTGTACTCTAACATTAAATAATAAGATTATACTACATTATTGTTGTAAGCAGTTCATTTATCTCTTCCACTCTATCTGATTAGTTAGGAATCAATTCTTGTACTTTGGTTATTGTTTATAAATACCTTCAATATAATGATTCATTCTCTTTAATTACTTAATCTCGGTAGAACATAGACTTTTCAATGTCTCTAGACACTGTGTACTTATTTAATTAAACTTGTATTAGTAATATGCATCAAAACTGGAAATGATTAATTTGACTTAATTCAATACGATATAATCGTCTAAAATATTCAAAATAGAATGTGTATGCTTACGTGTCAAGATCTCTAGTTATTGTTCGAATTCTACAACCAAATCCTCATAATTCCATAAGGGTTTGAAAATCATTTTTTAACATATATTTTTTATCTTTTAAACAACCTACTGATATTATAAAAAGTCTTTACATCATCATCAATCTCATGATTTCCATATATTAGACAATCTACAATGGATTCTTGCATAAAAAGCATATATTCTTATCGTTCCTAAAATAACTCCATAAAATACCTGGTTTAACCTAGTTTTCACTTATTGTATTTGAGCTAAAGACTGATCAGATGCATCAAATACTTGTAATCCCATTTCTTTGTATTCTTATTGTGCTTACTGAGAATAAATCATTTCAAAATTAATAAATGTGTAATTAAAATAAAGCATATATTTTAGAATCCTATTAATTAATTTAATTGGAGAAATTCTGAGCTTAATTTAATACGAAATCCTTTCAATTTAAAGACCTCCAATAAATTGAAACAACTGTCTTTTTTTATACATTTTATTAATAATGAAAATAAAAATTAGCATAATAATTTTTAATCAAAATTAAATAAAATTGCATTTTTTAACAAGTATTTTATTTATATTAGTATTATGTTAACTTTTAAAATATAAATTTAAAAATCATAAATACTATTTACAATTAAATTCAAATTCAAAGAATTCTCATCTTCCATTCTTGTTTTTTTAATCATCAATTTTCTATTATCAAAATAATTTTAACTGATTTATCAAAATGTAATTCATCTACATTCTTAAATACTTTCAAAAAAATTTTAAAATGAATTACAAACAATCAGAATGATACAGCATTAATTTCAAATTAATACAATATTTTAAATCATCTATTAATAACTTAAAGGTATGCTGTAAACCTGTTAAATCTATGTTTAATGATTATTAATAAATTATCATAAATTAATCTCACATAAGCTTCATTAAATTTATTTCAAAACTCCTCTCTGAAATAATAATTTTAATGTTTTATATCCAAAAATATTAAAATCAAAATGAATAAAGAATGAAGCAAAACTCTTTTAAAAAGAAATCTTTGATTTGATTTAATACAAATGATTATCTACCCATTATAATTTTTTATAAAAAGAATTCCACAATTTAATTAATTTTAAAACTTTAGCAACTAATATAAATAACAGTAAGAATCCTAAGATTTTTAGTCTTGTATCTTGTATCTTGATTCATTTTAGTTTATATAAATTTAAGATTGTATTATTATATCATTATCTAATAAAAATAAATAAGATAAAATTTATTAACAAATATTTAATTAATGAAAATCTTAATAAACTATAATAAAAAGAAAATAAAATTATTAGTTATATTAATTTAATGATTAAAATCCTTAAATATTTAATTTTGCAAAACTTTAAACATTTCTTATTTTAGAATGCAAATATTTAATAGTAATATTAATAATTAAGAATAATAATTATTTATACTTCAAGTATCAATTATTCTATTATATAATATTTATTTCTAAAATTAATGAACAAATATCACTAAGATGTTAAAATGAGACATAAAAAATTATATAAATTTTTGAAATTAATCTACAGTTAAAATGGGTTCTTTATTTTAAATGATTCTTTGGTTATTAAGTTAACTTTTGATAGTAAATTCAAAATAATGATTTTACAATAATATTAATTGTAAGTATAATTTATGAAAATTAAACCTATTTATTAGTGATCAATAATATAAATATAAAAATATGAACAACAATAAGACAATGAAAATTAAAAAATCCACAGAAAAAGGATTTGATCTTGAATCCTGCTTCTAAAAAAGTGAGACAGATCACTAAGACGGTTACATAAAGGATGCTGATTATTATTTTGATTCATATTCACATTTTAGTATTCATGAAGAAATGCTTAAAGATAAGATCAGAACAAAAGCTTATTAAAATGCCATAATTAAGAACAAAGTAAATATCATATATTAAAAGTGTAGCAACTTTTTCAAAATAAAATAGTTTTAGATGTAGGAGCTGGAACAGGCATTCTTTCAATTTTTGCTGCTTAAGCTGGAGCAAAACATGTTTATGCAGTTGAGAATGCTAACATTGCAATCCATGCAAAAAAGATTATAAGTGAAAATGGACTCAGTGAAAAAATTACTATTGTAAAAGGAAAGATAGAAGAAATTGAATTACCTGTTGAAAAGGTGGATATCATCATTTCTGAATGGATGGGGTATATATTAAATAAACTAAAATTTAGTTATTTTCTTCTGTATGAATCTATGTTAGACTGTGTTCTTTATGCAAGAGATAAGTATTTAGCTCCTGATGGTCATATGTTCCCAGACAAGGCTATTATGTATCTATCTACAATTGAAGATGATGAATACAGAAAGTCAAAAATTGATTTTTGGTAATTATCATATATTATAATTTAAATAGGGATAATGTATATGGTGTAAATATGAGTTGTATTAAATAATGGGCACTTAGAGAACCTTTAGTAGATTGTTGTAATCCTGAACAAATTAATTCAAATTCCTGTCCTATTTTTGAAATTGATATAAAGACTGTTAAAGTTGAGGATTTGGATTTTAGTCATTAATATATGTTGAAAATTTAAAAAGATGATTATGTCCATGCTTTAGTTGGATGGTAAATACTTTTTAATATATTAAAAGGTTTGATGTTTAATTTTCAAGTTGTCATGTTCCTGTAAGATTGACAACATCTCCTTATGCAGAAAGTACTCATTGGAAATAAACTGTATTTTATATTGAAGAACCATTGGCTGTGAAAAATAATGATATTATCTCAGGTAGTATTGCAGTGAAAAAGAATGCATAGAATCCAAGACATTTAGATATCAAGATTTCGTATCACTTGGAAAATGTTTATGGGAAAAACGAATAAATTATAAATTATAGACTTAGTTGATTTGTTATGGTTTTTATTGCATCATTATTCATAATATCATAAATCTATTAAAATAATAAATATTGATAATCTTAATTTATTTAATCTAATATTTAAATAGGTATTCATAATCTATTTAATAATTCATTAATAATTCTATTTAATATCATTTAATGTATTTCATGATTATATTAATTTATTAGTTTGTATTTAATCAAATAAGAATAAATATTAATTAAAAATGACAGAAAAGCAAATTCCTTAAAAACATTTTGTAGAACATAAGGCTAAATCTTAAGGATAAAAAACAAGATTTTTAAATGATAAAGAGGATCCAGCACATCCACCTCAAATGAGAAATGCATAACGGTTTTTGTAATATTTAATATCTATTAAACAAGTCGTAAACCTAAGACTTCTTAAGAGATGATTATGCTACCACAACCATCAATATAATATGTTCAACCTGTAAATATATTTATTTTAAGGTTTATAGTATGTCCCTAAACCTACTCCAATTCCAGAAGCCATAAAATAAATAGACAAGAAGATTATGGCATATAGAAGATTAATGGAAAGAGAAAGATAAGAGAAGTTGATGAGAGAATAATAGGAATAAGAAAGATTGTTAGAAAATGAAGATGATTAGAAAAGAGCCTTAGATTTTATGACAAATCCTCAAATTCAGGTAGCTGAAATTTAGAATGAAGAGACATAATAAGAGGAAATAGAAACAATAGTTTAAGAAAATAAATAATAAGAATTAATTATAAATCGAGATGACAATAAATGTTCATACTCAGAAGCAGTAAAAAAGAGAGAATAGATTTATGATCATACTTTATAAAGAATGTATGAAAAGAGATAGAATCCAGCTTTATTTGCTGTAAATTATGCATTTTAATTAGAGAAATTAAAAAAGAAACCTCCTATTTTGAACATTACAACAAGGAATAAGATTACAAAAGGTAATGGTAAATTAGATCCTGAAGAACATCGATTAAGAGTTTATAATAGAGAGAATGTGCCTATCATGCCAGAACTAATAATTCCATCATTCACTATTAAAAAAGACTAAATGGCCAAAAATATATTAGCATATTTGGTATTTAAATTTATTAATATAAATTATTATAGAAAGAATACACTCCTCTTTTTAGAGGTTATAAAAATTATGAATATCCTAAATGTGTTTAAAATATACTTCAAGAAGAAATAGAATCACTTCCTAATTAATGATTTTATGTTTTTATTTTATTAATTTTGTTATTTTGATAAAATTCTTTCTTTTTTTTTGAAATGTAAAACAACAATAAACCTAAATCATGGGAATTAAGAAAAAAGGATGCTTCTAAATATAAGTTTTATGATAAATAAGATGAAATATTAGTAAAAAAACCTGGTGAAGTTGATGGTGAAGCTTTTGTATTAAGAAATTGTGTCCGTTGTAAGATATTCATAGCAGACTTTTCAGCATAAATTTTAATTGATGATTGTTTTGATTGTCAAATGTTTTTTGCTGCTGTTGAATCTAGTATGTTTATAAGAGGATGTAAAAGATGTAAAGTTATTACTGCTTGTGGATAATTTCGATCTAAGAAATGTGAAGATATTCAAACTTTACTCTTTACTTAAAGTTAACCTATTATAGAATTATCGGTAAGAATGGGATTTGGTTGTTTTCGTGGTTATTATCCTTAATTAAGATAACATTTATAAAAGGCAAAACTCAATATCTGGAATAATACATGGAGTGATTTACATGACTTTGATCCTGAAAAATAGGCTGAAATTACTCATTTTTATATGGTTTTGGAAGATACTCGTTATGAAGACATGCTTAAACCTTTAAATGAAGTACTTTCATTATCTAATTTTACTTGGGCAGATGAATGTAAAACTGAAAACTAAGTTATTCCTTTTACAAGTGAATAAAGAAAGAAACCATTTCATGAAGAAGTACTCTTGATTTTTTATCCTGAAGAATCTTCACATTTGGATGTAGATGTCTTGAGTTCTAGTTTCCAACCATTACTTAAAGAAATACCACAAGAGATCTTTGCTGAAGAAGACAATTAAGTTAATGATTAAATGGAAATTGAAGCACCTGAATAATTGTATTGCTATCTAGTAAAATCAAAATATCAACCTTTATTTGCTGATAATTGGCTTTTATTTAAAACAGCAGTAGAAACTCATTTACCAGCAGATAAGGCAGCTAAACTTTTGGATTAAGTTGTAGTTAATGGAAGACTGTAATCCACATTTTCATTACATATTCGTACAGACAATCAAGACATTAAATTATTATCTTATTTGTATTCACTTATAGATATGAAATTGAAATGTAATATAAATAAAGTATGTGTAATTGTTCAAAATTAAAAAGCTATTGAAGAATTAACAATTTTATTATTTGCAAACTAAAAAGATGAAAGAGCAGGATAATAATGAATAAACTAAATAATTGAAATTGATAATATAATTAAAAATGATTACTTATAGTTTTATATTTTATAAAAAATGAGTAAAATCCCTATGCAAGAGATGAAATAATATTTGGATTATAAAATAGATTACAATTCTGAAATAACTTAAATGGCAATGAAGAAATTGGGATTGACTTAAAGAGCCTTATAAAGAATGAATTATTTAGAATATATGACATCAAATACTAATTAATAAGATTACTTTTTATATTTGCATGCAATTGCAATAAATATTAAAAAACTATAATAAGAGATTACCAAAATGAATACCAAAGATAAATCAATAGATTGTACTGATCCTGGAAATGTTGATGAAATAATAGCATTTCTTGATTAAAGAATGATGCATAAAAACCATATTAGTAGCTAACCTTGTGTAACTTCTAATAGAGATAGAACACTTGAAAGAGATGATACAATAGTATGTGATATGAATTCTAAATAAAAAATTATTCGATTAACAAATTAAGGAATTAAATCTATTACTGAAAGAAATACTCTAAAACATAATTCTTCAACACATCAAAATTCTATTATTAATTCTACTAGTCCTAATAAAATCATTTTGAAAAGTATTTTATAAATTAATAAAATTAGAATTGATTATTTCAAATAATTAAAGTGTTGCTGAATTATTTTAAAAATAATAAGCTTCAATTGATTCTAGCTCTCTGGAATAACTTAATGAATTATTACCAAAACATTAACTAGATAAAAATATTGTCATAATGACAGGAATTAATAATAAAATAAAAGATCATCAATATCATAAGAAATCTATTGATGAATTAATGTAGAAAATATCAAAATTAAGAAGTATATCTTAGTAATCTATTGATTCTGGTAGATAATAATTACCTAACACAAAAATAAAATTAACAAAATAAAAAGAATAAAATGTCATTTCTACAAAATTAGAAATGATGTTAAAAAGAGAAAAATTAGTTAAACAAGAACCAATTAAAATTAATTAAGTAAAATTAGGAAATATCATGGGTGTTATATCTAAAATAAGAAATCAACAAACTAAATTGAGAATGTTTCAATAACTAAATAATGATCTTTTATGACTATTTTTAATCTAATTACTATCTTAAGATTTTTTAGTGTTAATTTAAAAGTTACATATTTGCATATTATTATATATAATCACATGCTAAAACTAGTCTTTTTACGCTATGGTTAATCAATTTCTGGTTTATAATCTGGATTCTTCTTTAAAATAACAAAGTTTTCTAAGATCATATCTTAAACTGGCATATATTCATCATTGCCTAATTCAGCTCTATTGAATAATATAATCAATATTACCTTTCTCCAGCACTAACAATAACTGGACTTGTATGAGTTTGAAATCCTGTTATTCTTTTTGGTTTACCAGCTTATCCAACTGCATCTACAGCTTATCCTACACGTACCTAAACAGGTAGATTTTCAAGATTATCATTTAACTATATATTACAAGATAATAATTACTGTAAAGAACATTCTTGGATACATAGCAATACCTAAATAATAGAGTAATGTATGATTTTTTTCCAAAATCAAATTCTTTATGTCCAAACATCCATGTAAAAATGAAATAATTCCAGCAATAGCTACCTTATTCATTAAGAATTTATCAGAATAGTATGGTTGAAGTGTCAAAAGTCCTTTACCCATATGTAATAATCCTTAAGCAATTCTTACAAGGAATAAACCATTAGAATCATTCATAAAGTAAACAGCCAATCCTCTTAATTTATCAGCAATTCTTGAATTATTTGTACCTGCTCCCAATAAACCCATTGACAATGTTGCTCTATAAGACAATTCTTAATCTCTATCATGAGCCAATTTAAGAAGAAGATCCATAGGCTATATCTTTGGATTTGATATCTAAATAATTAATATAAAAATATATATACATTAATTAAAGCTACAGCCAAAGGAATTGCTCTCTTGACTTCCACATCTGAAAACTACAATATATGTTAGAAGATTCTATAGACCATTTCACTTCCAATATCTTCACTACTTGCTATTAATGCAATTCCCAAAATGGCTACTTATTAAAGTTCATAATTCTTATCTATCTTAGTGCCCTTGTCATCAGATGTTACTTCTGAACAATATCCAAGTAGCTCTTGAACTTTCAATACATTTCCTGTTGATGCATATGCAAGTGAAGTTAAGGTGACTTTTGCATATTTACTAATTTTGTGAGGAATTAAAGCAAGTGATTCGATTGCAATATCTGCTGCTTCTGCTTAACCTAGATAAAGTAATCCTAATCCAACTGCAAAATATCTTGATATAGATATATCTAATTATGATTCTGGTCTTTCCATCATTGCTTAAAGAATAGCATTTGCAACTTCATCATTACATTTACCAACAAATATTAAACCTAAAGATAATGCAGCCATAGCAGCTAATTCAACACTATCTGCTGTCTCAATAAGTACACTTATCAATTACTCTTATAATTCTACTCTTGCTGATCCTGCATAAGCTAATCCTAATCCCATAACAGCTCCAATCTTTACCTAAACTTCAGGACTTTCTAATTATGCTAATAAAATGGCTTAAGCTGGTTAATTTTCATCCACAATACCACTACAAAATAATCCAAATCCTATACAACCACCTGCTTTTGTATAGATATCACTTAAATCAAAATATTCAGAAATTTATTCTGTTCCATTATCAATATTCCATAAATTGATTAATCCAATACTTGCAACAGCTGCAATAGCTGTATGATCATTTTTAACACTATTCAACCATGGATTATCTTTATTGCTCATCAATGCATCTTTCTTAAATCCTGCATTTACAAATCCATTGCAATATGTAGCTGCTAAATTTTTTTGTATTTATTCAAAGTTGGCTTCCTTATTCTTCTCCTCTAAATGAGCCTTATAAACTTAATCTGGTGTCTTAGGTTCCAGAACTTCTAAATCTTTAGCCAAATTTATGTAGAATTAACTCAAATATTGATTTGCTGCAATCTTTTTCAAAGTCTCATCATTAATAATACCTTCATCTATCTAATATCTATGTCTAGCCAACTAGAATGCTAATTATTTTTTTATTGTTGGATCTTAACATGCTTCAAATACTTATTCAACCTTTCCTGGTTTATCTATACGTAATGCAATTCTCAAAGCATTAGTATATTCGTTAACTTTCAAACAAATATTATAGGCAGTAACAAGTAAAATATCTAATTCATCTTAATCTGAAGAAAATGGAACTATACTTAATAAGTAAACCAAAATTCTTTATATATTTACTTGATTTACATACTAATGATAAGATATAAAATCAATACTTATTCTAATTTTTATAATTAATCCACTTCACTTAATAAATCAATTGCATCATGTTCTGAATTATGATCCATAAAATATGGTATTATTTCATCTACTAAAAATAGTAAATCGTCAGCTCCCTCTTACTTTTGTAACCTTATTTAGAATTCTGATCCAATATTAGCAGCTAAATGACTTAGATACTCATGTCCCCAAAATTTGAATTCTTCTAATGTTCCCTCCTATAGATATAACAATGAATCTCTATCACCTCCATAAGTCATTGCCAATACAGATAAAAAATCTGCCAATTATTTCTATATTTTAGATACTACATTCTTACTTTAAATCTTGATGTCTCCAATCCATTGTAAAACTCAACCAATCTTCCATAAGATTCCTTTAAAAATTTAAATGGCTTTGGCACTGAAGTCATTGAAGTTGTTGCTGTACGTACTTCTGTCTTTAACTTCTCTAAACTTTCTGTATTATTTTAAATGATCTCCTCCACATATTATTCCAGTCTTGTTTTCAACTCAAGATCTTATTCTGACTAAAATTATGCTTTATTTTCATTATTACCAACTGTGCAACCTATTTTCCTGGTTTTTTTTAGGCTTTTTAATCTACTGATACTTTCTTCTCCTCCATGTTTTGAATTCTAAAAAAATTAAATTTAATTAGTTAACACCAGTATGCTTGAGATTTTATATAATATATGTATTATTTTCAATAATAGAATGTATTCTTCATCTTTGAACTGATCTCTTCTTCCTCTTTCAGATGAGTCCTAATATTAATTAATATTTTAGATATACTTAAACACTTGCAATTTCTTGTTTAACAAATTATAGATTTTAAGTTTCTTCTTAATAAATGTTTCTAAATTACCAACATATGTATCAACATCATAATCTACAATACCTACTCCTTATATTGATTGAATCAGCTCGCTTTCCTATTACAAAAATTTAGCATCTTCCTATTAGAATTTAAGAGAATATTCATACTTTAATAGCAGCCATATGAATATTTAAGATCTCATCTTATTCCTCTAAAATCGTATTTACTTTCTCATGAAAATCAAAAAATTCATTCCCATTACCATTAATATTATTTTACTCATTTTTCATCATAGTTTCTTTCATACATCTAACATCTTCTTTAACTTAACCATTCTTTTTGTTAACTAATTCTTCACCAGCAACTTCTTCTTCTGAATCCCCTTGAACTGAATTTATTCTTTTAGATTATTTAGGTGGTACAGGTTGAGATTTTGGTTTCTCTTTATCAGGTACTTGAGATTAATTCTTTTTCACATTAATAGCATTTTAATTATTCTAATTTCTTACATCATTAATTTTTGGTAATTATAATGGAGTATTTTATTTATCTTATTATGATAATTTATTATTGTTATTATTATTATTATTATTGTCATTATTATTGTAGTTGTTATTATTATTATTATTATTATTATTATTATTATTATTATTATTATTATTATTATTGTTATTGTAGTTGTTATTATTATTATTGTTATTCTCTTAAGATTTATTATCATAAGCATTTTGTTGTTATAAACGGGATAATAATTCCTCATTTGAAACTTCCCTTTCCTCTAATTATACTTTTGCTTAATTTGATTTATCTTTCAATCTATCAGCATATCTCAATGTATTTAATGAATGATCAGCTGAAGAGCTACCAGGACTGATACATGCAATCATAATAATTCTAGATTTATTTGATTTAGCTGTGAATGAGTCTCTCAAAACTAAAGTTAATTTTGAAGCTCTGAAAGGTACATGACCTTAACCTGAATCCATCGCTCTTATACACTCCTTTAATGCTAAGAGACTTTTATTTATTTCAGCACCTTCTAACCTTCTCTATCTATTGTTTGATTGAGTATCTTAAGCTCTTTCTGATCCTGCCAAATCTACTAAGATAAGTTTTCCCATATCTGTATAGCCTTATCTTATCATAATCTAACAAATTGAGTGAGATCTTGATGATGTATCATTTGCAACAGTTGCATGAGTAGTTCTAACAGAGTTGGCAAGTTCCATAAGTTAAAACAATTCATTTTCAGATTCACAGGGCTTCTCAATAAGTCCTTAAACTTAAATATTATTATTTTTATCCTCTAAAATTTATAAAGGTGCCTTATTATTTAATAAATCATAACATTTTCCTCCATAGATTTCAAAGAATGATACAACAATCTTGAATTATGGAGACGCATTAATTAATTTATATAGATCTATTACTAATAGTTCTTGAATGCTCTTCATTGTATATGTCTTACCAGAACCTGTTTATCCATAAGCAAAACATGTAACTACGCCTTAATTGATCAAAAATTCCAATAATGGCGCTAAACTTACATCATATATATCCTTTCCTTATTCTACTTCACTAAATGTATTGTCGAATTAAAAATCGTGATTTTCAACATATTTTGTTATACCATCTACTTTTAATTTTGATTCATGTACTCGAATCATTGGATTTGCACAACTAATTGCATCTATTTCTCCAGCTACTTCTTCCTTCTTGAAAATTGGTCTCTTTCTAACACATACACATAATTTTATATTTTATGTTGTTTAATGTTCTTATATCAATCCACCTTTAAGTCTGCTTTTATCAATCATCAATTCAAATTCTGCATCAACATTTTTCCCTAATATTAGATTCTACTCTTCTCTTTCTGCCTTTTCCCTTTTCATTTCTTACATATTTTTTCTTCTTTCTTCCCTTTACTATTCCATTTTCTTTATGTTATCAACAACTGATCCTTTTGGAGGTTATGGCGGTTACTAAACTGGTGCTTATTATTATTGTGGTGCCTATTCACATTTGATAACTTCAATCCCTTTCATAAAAATCAATTTCAATTACCATTTGCCCTTTTTAACCTTTCTAATTTTTCTTGCTTTGTTCCATACACACCCAATCCTTTAGCTTTTAGTTATGCAACAACCTGTTCATCACTTAATTAATTCAAAGCCTATTCTCTTTTATTTAATTATCCTTCACGCTAAGCTTTTAAGCGATCTAAGATGCAATACAATCCTACCTCTTTCTTTCTGTGCTTGTACTGATAACTATTATGATTTTGGTTACTACATTACTTTGAAAAATTTGAATTATGTATATAAAAATATAAAATCAGTTTATAAAAATACTAATATTTTTAGAAATCTACACAAAACTATTTTTTAAATGAATAATCTGCATAATTGTTTTTTTTAATTATTTTTGATGTTTTTTTAGTTCAAATAATTTCAGTCATATTATCATATAAATAGGTTTATACAAAACATAATTTGTTTTTTTCAAAAAAATAAATTTATTGATTATTGGGGTGATCAATAAGTTTTTTTATATTATTTGATATTTTTGTTCATTACTTTATCAATTTAACATTTTGTATTTTTGAATTAATTTCTAGATATTTGACTAAAGGATTTGATAGTTTACGTTTTTTAAAAATATTCAGTATTTTACTTAAGTAATTCAAAAATAACATCTAAACAACATTAAGCAGCAAGAAATAGTAAGAGAGGGATAGTATTAACATGACGAATAATAGTATAGACTATTATTAAAATTATGATAAATAGGAATTCCAAATTAACTTATCCTTTTTTCAATACGTTATGAAGAATTACATATTATCTTTGAATTAGTTCATCTAATATTGCTACCGATTGGATTATGTAAATTATTTTTGAAAAAGTCTTTATTTGCATTTTTGATAATTAAATTTATTTTTGATTAATTTAATTGAATCTCAAATTTATACTTTTCATGGGTTCTAAAACCTAATTAAAATTAAAACCATTCTTAATTAATCATTTATTTTATGTTCCTAAGGTAATTTAACTATGGATTTTTTATTATTTATAATTTCTAATGATAAATAAGTATACCCTCTAATTTATAGATAATGCAATTGAGTAAAAATATTAGGAATACTAATTGTAAATGAAGAGGAAACCAATATTGTAAAAAGTTATTATGATGACATTTCTTATAATAATAGCGAAATTAATAGCTTTAATGATTAATTTTAGTTTAAAGGATGTATATTCCACTATCGGCTACTTAGTTGTCAATATGGTTTTTATTTTGATCCTTAAATTTCAGCCTCATTTGATCAGATGGATTCTAATTGTCATAAATTACGGAGTATTAATCTTTTATTATGAACCAGATGAAGGAAAGACTTAATATAAACATTAATTGTCTTCAGCCTTGATAGTATCTTATTAATTTATAGTAATGAATACAGGAGAGTTTATTGATACTTTAGTGTAGGTGATTTCATTCTATGCATTTTATCTAGCATATTTTATTGAATATTAACCAGATTATTCTGTTTCACTAACACTTGCTACATTTTTACTCTCATTTTTACTTATAATAACATTTTATGAGAATGCCTCTGCAGAAAGATCAAAATTCAAGCTTACAATAATAGAGAATAAATGGGATGAAATTCTGTAAAATATGATTGTTGAACCATGTGTTATTTTCAATTACAATTACTTAAAAAGTTCTTTTATATTAAAAAAGTCAATAGATTTTATTTATACAATAGAATCAACTGTAGAATTAAAATAATTCCTAAGAAATTCAATAGTGAATCAAAGTTAGAAAACAAATCTAGAAAATTTTATATATAAAAAGGTATAATAATTAAATAAAGACAATATATAAATATGGAATTAAAAGCTGACAATTGTATATCTTAAGAAAGTTCATAATATTTATTACTCTATACTTTCAGATATATCTCCAATCATACTTATCAAAGTTAAGCCATTTAAATTCTCCAAAAATGAATCAGAGTTAGAAGATAAATATTAATATAAATACAAAATCTTAATTAAAAGTATCTTAAATTAATTTAAATTAATCTCCTAAAAATAATTTCCTAATTTAAATACAATATTTAAGATTAGCATGTATCATTACTTGCATGAAAAAATTGAAAAATAAATTATTTCATTTATTAAAATTAGCAAAATTCTAAATTAGCTTTAATTAATCTATCCATAAAAATAAATAACAATTGAAAACTAATAGAAAAGATCTACAATCTTTGGACATAAAAACTTATTGTATTTAGTTTTGATGGAGGTCTTTGAAATAATGTTATCTAAATAAATACATATAAGAATCATTAATTCTGAATCTTCTACTAAACTTTTTATATATGGAATCCTCATTGAAAGAGCTCAAGAGAAGTTAACATCCAGACTATTTTACTATTAGAGTAACTTAGAAGCTCTTGAGATTACAAATTAATGTATTATGATCTATAAATATTTTAGATGTTAGCTTAGTTCTTAAGTATAAGCTTCAAAGTTTTAATTGATAAAATCAGAGGATGAAATTATATGATTTTTAATTATCTTGTAACAATGTTTCTAATTATTATGAGTTTTTTTATTTCAAAAAGCAGATTATATTCAAATTAATAAATTTAATTAGACAATAATTATTTTTTTTTTTTTCAAAAGGATATTTAAATTTTAAACATAGTATATCTACATCAATGGAAGTTAAACATTCAATATGAGGAGTAAACAAATAATTATAAATTTATAAAGAAGCATAAGATCAAATTCAAATTATTTATGTTTAATTAATATTTTAGAATCTAATATCTTTTTCAAAGATAATATTTCAATAAAAATAAATTTGCCATTTTCTATAATCAATTATTCTGATTGAATGAAGAAATTTGTTAAGAAGAGTTTTTACTTTATATAATGATTTCAGTCTAATTTAGGAATTATGTTTATGAAATGAATCTAAAATGATAATAAATGAATTGCTTTTCAATAAATGAAATGAACTTTTCTCATTCTGATGTTTTAATTATAAAAAATACTAATTAAGTATTCAATCATTTATTAAAGAATTCAAATTATGTGATTCAGATTATTAAGATATTTCAAACCCAGTATTTTGAGTTTATCAAAAAATTGAATTGATTAATTAATATTATAAATCTATCTTATATATTTATATTTTATTATATATAGATTTAATAATCTAATAAAGAATGATTTAGATTATTAATTGATTTTAACGAATAATTTATAATAAAAAATGTAACACAATTTTGTGTTTATAAATTAAAATAATGTAATAGCGGGAAGAATAATTTACGTTGTATAAATTACTTAATGTGGAACCAAAAGCAACTTAAAATGAAATAGTATTGAAGTTAATTATATTTTTAGAAAAAGTCTTATCGGTAATTAGCATTGCAATTGCATCCAGATAAAAATCAATCAGATGTAAATGCAAAAGAGAAGTTTTAAAAAATATCTGAAGCTTATTAGATTCTATCGAATGAAGAGAAAAGAAAAATGTATGATGAAACTGGTATGATTGAGGGGATGGATGAATTTAAAAATGCATATGAATTTTATCGTAATCTATATCCAAAGATCAGTAAAGAAGATATTGATAAATATGAAATAAAGTATAGATTCAGTAAAGAAGAAGAAAATGATTTGATTGAATTTTATAATAAGTAAAAAGTGTTTGTAATTATAATAATAGAAATTCTGGGAATGTGAAATGTTTATTAGAGAATATAATATTAAGTAAAAATGAAGACATTCCTCGTTTTTTAGAATTTTATGATGAAATGATAAAATAAAAGAAAATAACAGATTATAGAATATATTAAATCAGCAGAAATAAGATAAAAACTTTAAGAGAAGACCCAGAAGCATAATAAATTGATATGGATTAATTGACTAAATAGATAAGACAAAGACCAAAGAATACATTTGATTAGTTTATTTAATAGATGGAATAGAAATATCAAAAGCCAAAGAAGGTGAAGAGTTAAAAAAAATGATTAATATATTTAATTAATGAAATTTGCCTTAATATTGGCGCTAGCAATTTTAAACACAATTAATAGTTCAAAAATCAGCAATAAAAACATCTTATTGCCCTTGGCTGACATCGAAGTTGAATATGAAATCACTGCTGAAGGTGGGTGCTTTGATTGGAGTGCTTCAAATAGTGCCATTGTAGTCACAGGACAAGATTAATATGGATGCTTGAAGTCAATAGGAAAAGTTAGAGTAGTGACTAAAATGCCAAGTTAAACATTTATCTATGTAAAATCGAAGTCCTAAGATGCATCTCAATTTATAGTTGAAGTTGTGGTACAAGATATAAGCAGATTGAGCATAATAACTAAATAAAAATAATTGGATTTGGATACTTAAGAAGAATTGCATGTTTAAGCATATGATGATAAGGGAAATACATTTACAACATTGGAAGGACTTAAATTTGAATGGAGAACTGGTTCATTGGAAATGGTGAAGTTTTCTGAATCAGGACTAAAAGTATCAGAGAAAAGAGCAAGATTAGAGTTTAATAGTGATATCATAGTTGTAAAAGGAAAGAAGGAAGGCAAAGAAACAGTTTTTACAAGAGTGATAGAGAAAAAATATTATGAAACTAAAATAGAAACTAATGTAGATTTAGTAGTTATTTAAAAATTTTAATTTTCACCTGATTATCCAGTATATTACTTACCAACACATTCTATAATCTAATTCCATCTATTGAGAGCAGATGGAAAAACAAATATAAAATTACCAAGTGAAACTCATTAATGGAGTACTACATCTAAAATATCAAAAATTAACTAGAATGGTGTTTTGACAACATAAAATGTAGAGATGAATTTGAATCTCAAAGTAATTAATTCTAATTACAATTAAATTCAAGCAATATATCATGTAGTGAATCCTAAATATATTGATATTGATATCTGGGAAGATGGTAAAGACAAGAGAGAAGGAAAAGTTACTCATTTGATTGTTGGTAAATTATACAGATTCTAAGCTTATCTTAAAGATGAATCAAATTAAAGAATATATTCTACAGATTTATTCGAATATAATTCTAAAGATATAATATTGAATGAATAGACTGTTATATCAGATATAGAGAGACAAAATGTTAAATTAACATTTCAAAGAGGAACATTGGAATCCTTTATTACTATTCATTTTGTTAAACCTATCCAGATATAAACAATCTTTAAAACCTATATTCATCTTCCAATTAATGAACAATATAATTTAATTGTGAATGGAGGATCAGGAAATTATAAATATTTATCAAGATATCAATCACCTACTATTTTTGAAATTAAAAGTCCTAACATTCTTTAAGCATTAGAATTAGGAGAGAATATTTTAATAATTTATGATGAATTTAATATATATAACAGTCTAGAAATAATTGTTTATGTGACTGATGTCAGTTAAATTCTTCCATTTGAGAGAAGAAAAGAATTAATAGTTAATGAAACTGATGATACTTTTTATTAAGCTATTGGAGATCCAAAAGTAGGAAACTATACTTAATGTAGAGTAGTTAAATTTAGTATTGATAATTTTGATACTTTTACTACATAATAAATAATAGGTGATCTCTCTAACTATTTAGTATGTAATGGTTTAAAAATGTAATCATCAACTCCAGGTTAATATAATCTTTAAATTAATACACAAAAGATATCTGTAACATAATAAGTAAGAGTCTATGATTATTTGCATTTTGAAAAACCATTTTATTATGTTACTCCTCATTCTACTATTACAACTAAGGTTTTGGGAGGACCAACTACTTGGGATTAAACACCATATAATGAGAAATTATCAGAAGGCATTATTAAAATTGATATGGAAAAATATCATTTCAATTGTTTCTAGAATTAAGCTGAATTCAAAATTACAAGAATTAATAAAAAATCAGATTTATTACCTAATCCAAAACTTGTTAGCAATACTCTACCTGTTAAATGTTTATTACCTGAAGCATTTAAAATTTATAATGAAAAGAATCAGGAAGTTAATTGGTTATTCAAAGAAGAAACTGTATAAATTAATGTAATTGCTGTCTATAAAACTTTCTTATTCTATAATTCAAGTAGTTTGCATTTAGATTATTCAACTCGTGGATTAAAATATCAAAATAGATATTTATCATATGATATTTAATCAGGTATCTCAGATTGTAAATTTATTGTGGCTTCTAATTCTTATAATAATCATAAAGACACATTTTTAACCATTAAAAGTGAATTAGATTTAATTATTCATCATACTCTAAAACTGATTCCAAGTGGAGAATAATATGTTCTCATTGATTAAAGTGTGTTATTTAGAATAGAATCATCAACTAATAATATATAATGTTAATATGATAATAATATTATTGGATGTGAAAAGGATTAAGTTACAATTACTCCAAAAAAATTAGGTTAATTTTAATTAGTAGTTTATGACTTATCCTTAAATTACAGTGTTTCAGCAACACTCAATGTTATTGATCCATCTCAATTAAATTTAGAATTAAGTTAATAGATAACTGTAGTAGGAAATTTAATTAATGCAACTTCTACATTCAATTATTATAAGAAACAAGTGCATGTGACAACTTGGTCATCTCTACGTTTAATTGATTCATATGGATTCAATAATATTAATTAGGTTAATAATTAATTTTTAATTACTCCAAATAAAGAAGGTATATTCAAATTATAAACATAATATGATTCAATCAATTCTAATCAAGTTGATTTGAAGGTTATACCAAAATTATAAGCTGAAACTGTCTATATGCCAACTGAATGTGAAACTCATGTTTTATTCCCTTCTTATTCTTAATTCACTTATTCAGCTATTTCAAATGAGGATTTAGAAACATCAGTTAGTTAGAATATTGTTACTATAAAATCTAAAAAGATATATGGAAATTATATAGTTACTATATTTTTAAGATAATCTAATATTCTGATAGATTCAGTTAATATACCAGTTGTAGTTAATAAACCAAATAGAGCAATTTTATACTATGGTAGAAAGATTGAATTAGGTTCATCAGTTAGAATAGTAGCTGACTTCCTAATATAAGATCATTAAATGAATCTTTGTTTGTGTCCAACACATAAAATACATTGGTATTTAGATGAAAAATTGGTTTAGACAGCTCCAAATTCTTTGGGACTTTCAGTTTCAACAGTTGTTGTTGGAAAAATTAATATTAAAATCAAAGCTTATGATTTAGAAGCTTAGACATTATTAGAAGTTGAGAGATTAAATTCTTATACTAGAAACTTATTTATTAATACCAAGACATTATATCATATTCCACTTCTTATTCCTACCAATAGTAGATTAGCTTTAGGATAAGAAATTAAAAGTGTTTAATAATTAAATATGAATCCACCAAACATTATTGAAAGTGATAGTATTACTTTGTAACCTCAATTATTATAAGCTACTACTCCAATGTTAATTTAAGTAGAAGAAATTTATTAAATGTATCCAATGTCAGAATTTGTAAATTTGAAAGTAGATGAAAAATTAGAAATTTAAATTGCCTACTTAAATTAAGAAGGATATCAATTTGAAGATATAGAAGACAATAAACTTGAAGTTTTAGGTTATACAAGACATATTGTATAAATTAAGGTTAATAAAAATGGAATTGAAATATAGGGTCTAGATTAAGGATTTGCATTGATTAAATTAAATTGTGGAAATAATAAAATTGATTATATTCTTGTAAAAGTAGGAGCCACTTTATTATAAAAGAAAGCTTATCTTGGATCTACAATCACTTATAGGATGGATAATTCAGAGAAACCTATATGGAATTCAAATTGTGGTAGCTTTAAGGGAAATTAATTAACAATTGAAAAAGAATTAAATGAATGTTATGTTGAAGTAAATGATTAAGGTAATAAATTCAAAGCTGGACTTGAAGTCATTAGACCATCACATATAATTATTGAATCAAATAAAGTAGATAATTATTTGAATATCAAATTAAATGTTAATCCTAAAATACCTTAATCAGATTAAGTTAATCCAAATTTTGAGATCAAAATTGAAGTCGATTAACCTTAATGGTTTGAATTAGTAAAAACTGACAATTTATATGAATATAATATCAAACCAATTATTGCTTAAGATAATACACCTATGCCAAAGAAAGTAAAGGTTAATGCATTCATTTCAAATCAATTTATTTAATTAGATGGTAGCAAAGAAATTACTTATGAAAGAGAATTCTATCTTCCGAATAAGGAAATATTTATTTAAAATAGTCAACCAATCTAAATTCTAAGAATTCCTTACTATAGAAATATTGAAAAGACTTATCAAGATAATCATTTATTAGGATTAATTACAACCCAATTTTCTCAAGGTCGAGTTGAGATTGTATTTGATTTTAGTCAATGTCATGAACCTACAGAAGGGGATGTGTATTTTGAAAATGGATAAAAAATAAGAGTTAAATTCGTATAAGAGTCTAGCTACGAATTAATAATATTTTTAGCTGCACTAGGTATATATTTTAAATATTATAATTTTAGTCTTCTTTATCTTAATAATTATGAACTATTTGAGATGAAACATGTGACATTTTATATCAATATATATATATATATTCTATATTTATTAATAAATTAGTGTAATATAAAATGAAAAACTTTTAAAGTAATAAATATTAATTTATAACTTTTATTTCATATTTTCCAATTATTTTCTTTGCCCCATTTTTTAATTATTTTTAAAATAAATTCTACTTAAGGATTGTCACCTGTATTTGTTAAGATATTCATCACTTCAATCAAATGATCTAAAGTCTCTTTTGATGCAATGACCATTTAAAATACTCCTACAACTGACCCTCTTAAAGCATCTTCATATTCATGTTCTCCATTATCTGAATCTAATCTTTGTAGTATATCAAAAGCTTTAGCAGCATAATAAAAATGACCCATCTTATAACAATCATTGGCAATTAAAACTAAAATTTAAAAGGATTCACTTGAAGTCTCCATATTAATATATAATTCCCATGCTTCTCTAAATAATAAATAACAATAAATTACTTAGCCTTGCCATTCATTATATATGTTCTAGTCATCCATTTAATGTAGATATCATCAGACTAAATTAGTATAAATAAATTACTCTATATTTTTCTGATTGAATTTATGCTAAAGCATCTTCAGCTTCTTTGTAATCTCCTGTACCAGCACAAGCAATACCATAATTCCAATTGAAATCATCATCATTTTAAAAGAATTATTTAATTGATTTTAAATAAACTAGAACATCTTCATATTGTTTCAAAATAAAGAAGCAAGATGCCATTGATTACCTTCCAGGTATAGTATCACATTCACTAGCAGAAGATCCTACTAATTAAAATAGTTATTGAGCAGTTTTTAAGGCTTCTTTTTAATCAGGACTTGATTATCCTTTCATAGCATAAACTACAGCCTTTAAGATATATTCTTTTGGGTTTGTTGGTTATAAATCTTATACTAAATTAAAAGCCTCTGCAATATCTTCATTTTTCAAATAATAAACAATCAGATTGAGTTTAGCCTCTGGGAAAATTTCTACCAAAGGAGGTAAGACTTTTAATGCATTCTCTCCACCTCTAAAAACAACTAAATTATGTTTTAATAAATCATTATCTGCACAAACATTGATTCCTTCATATTATTATTGTAATGGTTTGAATACTTCTTCTGCTAATTTACCACTGTATAATTAAAATTGATTGCAAGCCTTAAGATTTATAGCTGTTACACTTTATGGAAATTAATTTAAATAGGAAGATAGTATTTCAATAGAAACATCAAAATATTCTAATTTATAATAACATAAAGCTATGTAAACATTGATTGCTGAATATTCTCGATTTTCAAGCAATAATTTTTTGTATGCATCAGTTGCCTATAAAATAAAAAAATATCAGTTACTTCTTCATAATGTCCTCTTAAATAATGAATTGCTGCTAAACATAACTAATCATGAACTGTTTCTTATATCTTATGATGATAGGTCATTAGATTCTTTTCATCATTTTTCTTGTGAGCAATATGAAATTATCTATAACTTAGAATATATGCATTTACAATCTCACAGATAGTGCTGTCTCTGGACCTTTAGAACATTCTCTCTTGGCATCTTCGTATTAACATAGAGCATAAAAACAACAAGCTTTATAGATATGGATCTCTTTGTTGTAATCAGGCTTTGTCATCATCTAATCATAAACCTAGATGGCCCTTCTATTTTAAAATGTACAAAAGTATTATACTTATATTCTCCATTATGAAAACAGGCATAAGCTAACCATAATTTAGGTTCAGCTCTTGAATCATTAAAACTATTCTTAAATTATCATTAATACTTTTATTCATTTTCTAAGAGTGAGATTGCTCCTACCCAATCTCTATTTTTAACATATTCTTCTAATGTAGGCATTCTTTCTTGAACAACTCTAGTTGCAATTCCACCAGAAACTGGTGCGGCAGCTTTTGTTTATTTAGCTTTACTCATAGAGGAACCAGGACGAAGCATATTGTGATTTATGAAAAAAATTAAATTTCAAATTAATATTCCTCATATTTTAAGTTCTTAATTATTAAGTAATTATTTTATTGATTATTTATTCATTGTATAGTCTAGCTATAAAGAATAATAGAATACTGTAAATAATCAATATATAAGTATTTAATTGATTTTATAATTATCATAAAAGAGCATATTAAGATCATAGGATTTTCAACAATATTTGCTATAAAAATACCGTTGTAATCAATTTTAAGTAAAAAAACAACGAATAACTTATTTTCTTATGAAATTAGAATCAATTAAGACTTTTTGATTAAATATATGATTTTATTAATAGTTTCTAACTCACTAAATTATGTTATAATATCAATGATTTCTTTCAGTCTTATGTAAAATTTATTTGTTAAAATGATTTTAATATAAATATTCTATCCAATTAATATTTTAATAATACAAAGATTTTTGATCATATCGACAATTATGTAATTCAGAAAGACAGTAAAGATTATGTTTCAAATATTTTTAGTAATTTCTTTAAATTTGTCATAATCATTCTTTTTTATTATATATTCTAATTTAGAAATTATTCAATTTATTATGTCCCACTATATATAAACTCTTCAAATTAAGCTTATTTTAATTCTATACTTAACTTGATTCTAGTTAAAGTTATTCTTTTTAAAAATAAAATAAGCTTTAATTATTGAATGAAAATTCATTATTTTGATTTTTAATAATATTCATTAATTGTTTGACTCTTTTTTCAAAATTAAACCTATATTACATTTATTAGCTAATTTATATTAACAAATCCAGGTTCTATAGGTAATATTTAGATGAAATTGATAGAAGATAATAATATGCATGATACAATTCGTTTTTAAAAAAATTATAAGATTGAATCTCATTAATTATTTTAAATGGGTTGTTCTTTATCTTCTAAGAAAATTGAAAGTAAGCACTAATCTCTCTAATTATAATAAAACTCAACAGCAATACAATAAGAATAAGAATTTGAAGAATTAGCTATTTTAAACTAATTTTGCAAAGAAAAATATCAGATACAAAAAAATCCAATTGTTCAGAGAAGAGGAAATTCTTTTACTTCAACCATATAGAAATTTGATAAATAATAAATCAAATTATAGAATTCATATTGCCTTTAATAATTCTCATGATGTACAATCAACTATTTATGAAAACATATTGTTAATATTCATAAGAATTACAATATATACTGACTATTTGATTTCTTTTTGTACAAAAATAATGGATAAAGAATCCATTACTTTAATTTAAAAAGCTGTTAATAAATTCGTCCTTCAGCTATGTGGGCAAATATTTTTCATTTCTGTTAAATATATAACATAGCATCTAATCAACTGAAAATTGGCATTAACTACGTCCTCAATTTTTCTATTTTTCTAAGAATATTCAATTTAATAATAATTGACTATGTTATTTATTAGAATTCTATAGAAATTTATTTCAGAACAATTATTTTTCTTGAAGTTAAGGTTTTACTCTCAAGAATTATGGAAAAAAAATTGTTAATCAAAAATATATAAATATGAAAAACCTATTTTCAATTTTAATCCTATATTAAAAGTTAAATTATGTATTAAATACAAAAATCATCAAATCAAATCAAAGTTGGAGTACAAGCTGTAGTTTGGGACATTTTATTTCTCCTTTATGCTCTTCTCTATATAATAGGATTCTTCATTAGATTATATTTATTATCGTTCTTGTATAGATTTGATTGAATAATGGCTTCATTTTAACTTGATTACATTTATATAAGTTTCAGAGATATCGATTATCTGGCCTTAGTTTATGAACAACCCATTTATTTTAATATTAAAGTCATATTAGGATTTGAAATTTTTAAATATTAGAACTATGATGTCAGTAATTATCTTAATTAATATTATATATATATAATAAAATCAAGTTATTAATTTTGATGATGAGCGATCATGTTTAATAAAAATTACTTTAATAAAGAGACCGTATATAGTTTAATTATTTAAAATTATGTATATAAAAATATCAATAAATTGCACATTATTGTTGATCTAAAGCAGGATCTCTATTAGAATTCTTTGTTTATCTATGATCATTATCACCAACTACCATGGTTTCATCTTAGAATTTGATTCCATCTTACTCTACTATTTTTGGCTATTCTAAGCTTGATTATTATGGTTTAGTGATAGGAATAGGATAATTTGGAGCAGTATATAGATTAGTACTACTAGGTATTGGACTAAAAGGCTATTATGGATAGTATGGGGAGTATCCTGAATTTTAGGGTATTGATGACAAAGGTATTGTTTGAAGATTGGATGGTAAGGTATTTATAGGATTATTACTTAATGGCTAAGGTACATAACTTTAATATTTTGGTTGAGTATAATTCATAGTTGTGATAGGAGTATCAATTGAACTACGATCAGGTATGAAAGGTTTATCATAAATAATTTAAGAGTTTGGAAAGGAATGTTCTGATGGTCTATTTGGAATAGGTCCAAAATCATATTTCTTTTCAATTTAATGATGAATAGGAGGATATGAGTCTATATTTTATTTTGGTTGATAAGTTTAATAGGGTTAATAAGGTTATGGATCAATATCATATTTTTTAATTGATTAATGAAATGGAGGTATAGGATCAATAGGTAGATCAATATTTGTATATTTATTAAAATGGTCAGGAGGATGATCATAATGTGTTAAGCTAGGATGTTCTGATATTTATGGGAAATGATCTTTGTTAATAATTAAGGGATCTTCAAAATGATTATTATGATTATTATAGGTTGAATAAATGTCATGATTTAAATTGAGGTCATTTTTCTTAACAGTTTATTGAATTCCTTGTAAAGTAGGTGTTAAAGGTGTATATTATTGAAGGGGTGAAGAGATATGCATTGTGACATCATTAATAATTTTTTCAGGTTCTACTGATGGTAATTATGGAGTAATACCATATTTGTTCCAATTATATTAATCTATTATGTCATCATACTTAGTTCGACTAATTTTATATTATAATAATAATTTACACAAAATAATCAGGATTTGAAATGCCTTTATATTATTATTATTATTGGCCATACTAAGTCTTAACAAAATTCTATTGATTTGGAATATTATTTTAATAGTTATAATAATTATTATTCATCATATGATGAGGATCTACTTAAGTTGCAGGTTGAATTTAGAATTCTTTGTGATGATATTCTGGTACATAAGGTTATGGTTAAGCAGAAGCATAGACAATCATTGGATATAAGGGGCCAATTAATTCACCATCATTTGATAATTTAGATGGATGACCATATAAAGTAGGTTACGGTTAATTAAGAATTAATTGTGATGGTTATTATGCCATTTGATTAGATTAGTTTGGTTAATTACGTATTATTTGATTAGGAGATTATGCAAATGGTAAAGAAGATTATGATGGTTATTATTATAATATAGAAAATGGATTCTATTGGTTTTATTATAAGCTATGATTTAGTTAAGTATCATTTTCAAATAAATGAACATATTCTGGAGATAGAAATTGAATTTTCTCTTTCTCATATTTGACTTTACTTGTAATTGTAATTTTATCTTCAAAATTTAATTTTTTTATTTCATCCAACTTTAAAATATTATCTCCAATTTATTTTAATATTAAATTCACTTCTAAAAAATAGATTTACTCTAAAGACATTGGAAAATTAGTAACAAAATGTTTGATTGCCTATTAAATTTTTTCAGGTTTAATATTTGGATTAGTTTAACTTATATCAACAATCATAATCCAACTTTCTACTTTACCAGGCACAAACATATAGTCTTCCATAATAATAAGTTTATTTGTTATTGCTTTGATAAATAAGTCATCAAGAGGTAGACTCAAAGATATGTGTAGCACAGGTCTTAGCATTTCATCTCTTCCAATAATTTAAACTAATTTAGAATATTATGGAATATCTTCCAGATTCATAGTTTCAGGATTGTTTAACCAATTTAAATGATCCACAAAATAGTTTACAGTGTCTTCTTTAACAAATTTATGAGCATACAAGAATCGCAATAATACAGAATCATTTTGAACTCTCAAATATTATAAGATGAATCATACTCTTTTAAATATTCAACTGGAATGGAATCGAGATATTCCTTAAATTCTTTTAATTGTTGATTCTCGAAAGTGTCAAATTAAACATTCTTAAAGATTCTTCGAAGACTCCCTTTTTTAATGTAATTGGCTTAATAATAGCATTAATATTTACAATCTATAGATAAATTAGCGATTTCATTAGGCGAGACTAAAAGGTATTGATATCTATCCTAAAACATATATATATTATATTAAATATTATATATCAACTAACATATTTAATTTTAACAGTATTGGCCTCTCCATATATGATATAATTGTCAACTATACAAATTCCTTCAGGAACAAAGTCAACTTCTTCAGTCTTCGTAATATAATCAATTTGCTTATATTCTTGTATGCGAATGATATAATTATCTCTATTTTTGCATGATAAAAATAGATAATTGGGATTTTAAAATACCAGAATACTCTTAATATAATTTGGAGCTATTCTGACTCTTAACATTTCATTATAATTAGATGTACTAATAATTCTTATATCTCCAGATCCAGTACCAGCAGCAAAGGCCTTCTCTGTAATGTTTTATAACTATATTTAAATTAAATTCATACACAATATATCCAATCTTCACATTAAATGGCATAAATGATTCTATCTGATTTAAGATCATAGATTTAAATAGTCTCATCAAATGATCCAGATACAAGTTGATTATTATTAATTAAAATAACATCTCTGACAGCCATTTTATGATTATTGATAGTCTTTGCTTTTATATTTTCCAATACTCCATTTGAAGATGTATCCCAAATCTTAATACTATGATCACCAGAACAACTAACTAAATAATCAGGCTTAATCAACTATTTAACCATCAAAATGGGATCAGTATGTCCTTACAATTAACCTTAAAAAGATATAGATTTATCAAATGTAACAATTCCAATATTTTATTCTTCAAAATTACCAATACTAGTTAGATAGACAATTAAGTTTACCATACAGCAATAGCTAATTTCCCTTTATATATGAAACCACATATGCTAGTACATTTTCCTTCAAATTAATATTCTCCAATCCTATTTTCACCAATTCCTTAATAAATGACAATCAATCCATCAACAGTTGATACTATTAGATGATTTTAAAAAAAGATTATGTCACTTACAAAATTATCTTAATCTTCTCCAAAATCTTTGAGTACTCTAATTATTGCACAACCATCTATTTTATTTTCAAATGATTGATCTGTCTAAAAATTCAAATTATTTGATGGTTATCTTTGTAATGATTAATTCATTCCCATAGGATTTATGGTAGCACCATAATTAGCTACAATATTAGTAGTTTAAATAAGAGAAGATTCCAAATTTTAACTTGGTTTCTTTTCCATTGTTGCAACTATAAATATATATAAATATAATATACTATCTTCAATTTATGATATGTTTTATAAAAATCTTTTTGAAACATCTTCTAAATATATAACTAATTTAGTTAAGTATTAAACTGCATTATTTGTTGCATCAAAACTATTTAATTAATTTTTAATTTCAGGATGTCTAATTAAATATGCAATAATTGCTACTCCTCTTTAATCTAAACTCACCATACTTCTATTAGCAAATACCACTAATAAAATAATAATATGTACTAGTTTTAATTTATTTACATAAGCTGGTAATTCTAATTTAATCTAAGAGTCAATTCCATCTAATTAAGATTCACACATCATTCTTTTAGAATTTTATCCCAATAATTCTATTTCTTTAATGGCTTATCTCATAAATTCTTCAAATATTGATTTAACTTTAGATTTAGCATCCTATATCTCTTATTTCTATAAATATATAATTAATATAATAACTTTCTTTTAATATTTCATAGCTGCCTCAATTATTGCAGCTTAATCTTAACTGAATGATTTTAATTTAATTCTTTATCCAGCATTACATTTATGTGTAATTAAACATTATCCACATAATCTATTATCTTTATTTGGACATCTATCACAACAAATTACTTAAATTTTTTGATTATGATCATAGCAATTCAATTAAATTAATGAACCACTAGTTCTATTTGTATCTACAGTTGTCAAATATGCTGAAAATTCATATGAATAAGTTCTTGGATCAACATTTAAAATGGAATCATTAAATTATTTAGAAACATTATATGGTAAAGAAATAAGTTCTTTAAAGAATGAATCTTATAATCTTTTTATTTTCTATTCAACTTAATTCTAATAAATTGAGATTTTTCTTGATGCTGAATCTAAATTACTAATTATTTATTTAATTAATTATGGATTATTGTAAGTATTGAGTAATATTTAACATCCTTATTTTTAGATATAACCTAAATCATTTTTTTCAAATGCCTCTACTATTTAACTTGCAGCTTCTCCAAATACTTCAGCATCAGGTATTCCTTAAAGAAGATATTGATTCAAATAAACATCATAATATCCTTGATATGATTTAAAGCTCTCAAAGAAATTATTTTTAAAATTTGCTAATGTTTAAGTTAATCCACCAGTTGCATTAGGTGAATTTTAATCTCTATCAAATTTTTCTACTATTTCCTAAATTCCATAACTATCAAATTTTATTGCTTTTAAAATATAAAATCACAATTTACCATCATCAATTGTAATACGATCATTACACATATGATCAACCAAACATTCCTCACATAATCTTCTATCTCCTTCATCTCTTGTACATGCCTAACCTAGACATATTGCAATATGAGGTTTATTGTGATTACATGATATATCTATAGTGTTAGCTGATTTGCAATTACCCATTTTTATTAATTAATCAAATTACTATATTTTTCAAACACAAAAATACATTTATTACATTTTATGTTTGTTATAAATTCAAAAATACACTCATTAGAAATTACCATTGTTATATTATTCATTTAATCATTATTCAATTAAGAAGTGATATAATTTTATTTCATTTTTATTATTAATTGATTTAAATTATATAATATCATGTACCTGAAAAAGAGTCATTGACAAATTGATTATTATATCATTATATTATTATATCTTAATTGTTATCTACCATAAACGTATTTAAATTAAAGAATGGCTCTCTTTCTATTAATAAATTTATGCTCTAAATTTAAATAGGGGATATAATCGACAATCAATATGAAATAATTAAAAAACTATCGCAAGGGTCATTTGGAATAGTTTTTTATGGTAAAAGCATAAAAACAAAAAAGAGTGTAGCAATTAAAGTAGAGAAGTAAGAAATGGCAGGCTTTGGTAGTTTATTTCGTGAAGTAACACATCCTATAACATAAAGGTCGATATGTTGAGTAAATTGAAAGGAGTTCCTTAAATTCCTGAATTGTTGTGGTATGGAGAGTTCAAGAAATGTAATATCATGATTACTAAAATGTTGGGTCACGATCTCATTTATCATCAAAAATAATATAAACAATTTTCATCATAATGTATTAATAGTATAGCTTATTAATTGCTATGGATCTTGGAATAGATACATAAATAGTATAACTATTTTGTTTATTTTTAGGAATATAATTCATAGAGATATCAAACCAGAAAATATTTTAAGCAAAAATGAATCAGATAAGATTTATTTAATCGATTTTGGAATTTCAAAAAACACAGATTCTAATTTCATACATAAAAAGAAATTATTACCATTTATTGGTACCAGTAGATATGCCAGTATATCAGCTCATCAAGGTATTGAACAAACACCAAAAGATGATCTAGAATCACTTGGGTATGTTCTAATATACTTAACTACTCAACATTTACCATGGATGAACATTGAGAAAGCAGATGTACAAAGATTAGATAAAATTGGCAAGTTAAAAGAAAATGTTTTATTGGAAGACTTGTGTTTCGGTTGTCCCAATTCTATGCTTAAGTACTATCTTTTGTAAATTAAGATATATGAGGTATGTTAAAGATTTGAAGCCTAATTCTAAACCTAAATATGGAATTTTGAGAGGGTTATTCCTGTCTAAGCTACAAAATACAATTGAATTAGGATTGGATTGGACTAATTAAATAATTAAAATAGAAAAAAAGAAACATCATAAAAAACAAAGGAACTCTTGTGACCTTAATTTCAAAAGTTGTGTTACAATTAGAAAGTAAATGATTATTATAATCTTAGACCATTTATGGGTGAAACTTAAATCAATTTAAATGTGAAAACTATTGCAGTTTAAGATGAATAATTGATATCATCTGATAATGGAACCAATAGCTAAATATAGTTTAGTATTATAGAAACATTAGGAAGTAAAAATAGTGTAAAGGTTGGATTTTCAGCATCTGATAATTTGGATTGTTTATGCATTTAATAAAATAATAATATGGCAAGAATATCTACATTTGAAGGTATAGCTGAAGTAAACTCTCTTAAATCTTAAAGTTTTGAATAATAATTGATGGAAAGTGAACACTAAGATTTAGAAATTAAGTGTAATGTACTTCATTTCAATTCAGTATATTTTAATTTCAAGAATCCTATTCAACAGCATATAATTAAATAAAATTATTAAGTCAAAGTAATTAAATCCATTAATTGATTTATACCTATTTTATATTTTCCTTTGTTTATTTATATTTTATGGTTCAAATTTTTTCTGTTGATAACCATTTTTCACTGAATAGTTATTTATTAATTATTAATAAATAATAGATATGGGATGTGTAAATAGCAATTCTCATTAAAAAAGAAAGAAAGATTTTGATATCACAAATATTCCTATCATGTTAAATAATCAAAAATCATCGAACATTGAAAAAATTCAAGATAATTGGTTAGAATTGAAAAATAACTCTATACTGGCTAGACGACATCAACAAAGTAAATTATCCATAAAGGTTACTACTAATTCAAAATCTCCCTTGTCTTGTGTAAGTCGCAATTGAAATCTATCTTTAATTGATTACATCATATTTGCGTGTTTTATAAACAACATACAATTTGAAATTATCAATACTTTTATGTAAAACAATATCATGAAATACTATTTAGAGTATTTTTAGAGATGGTTATAAATAATTTTATTGAGCTTTCTATAAAACCTTAAAGGATATTAAATATATATATATATTAATTTATTTGGTAATTTTTTCAATTAAATTATGAATAAGAATGCTAAATTTATATTGTTTATTTATATATAATCAATAGATAATTTTGAGTTGAAAATTTAAAATTTCTAAAATTACAATCAAAATATTTAAGATATATTTATCAAAAATGTATAAAACTTAAAAAATTTAGAATAGAGTAGAAGTAAGAAGACAATATGATAAATTATGATATAAAATATTTATATTTTTTTGATTAATTAAAAGATTTAAAATAAATGTTCAATCGAATTACTAGGTTGGCTGGATTATAACATAAAGTTGTAAGATGCTTTGATCTACATGAATATCAAAGTAAGGATTTGATGAGAAGATTCAATGTTCTAGTGTAGAAAGGAGAAATCGCCTTAAATGCTGAGGAAGCAGCCAAAGTTGCTAAAAAACTTGATCCTAGTGGTGGATTGATTCTTAAGTCTTAAGTTCATGCAGGAGGAAGAGGCAAAGGTATATTCAAACATATATTTAAAGGAACATTATCTAGTGGATTGAAAGGTGGAGTTAAGATTTGCAAAACTCCAGAAGAAGTAGCAAATTATACTAAATAAATGATTGGATATAAATTAGTAACTCATTAGACACCAAAAGAAGTAAATATAATTATTTATTTAATTAGGGTTTATAAGTTAATGCAGTACTTGTTCATGAAGGTGTAGATATTGTACGTCAATTATATTTAGCCTTTATTTTAGATAGAAATTCATAGAAACCAGCTATTGTTGCTTCAATCAATGGTGGAATGGAAATTGAAGAAGTTGCTAAAACAGATCCAAATAGTATTATTGTATTACCAATTGATGTAAATAGTGGATTAACAGATGATATTGCTAATAAAGTTGTTGACAATCTATAATTATAAACAGTTAGATAATAAGCAATTGAATAATTAAAGAATTTATATAAGATGTTCATTACTCTTGATGCAACATAAGTTGAAATTAATCCATGGGCAACAGATCCAAAAAATAAATTATTTTGTATTGATGCTAAGATTAATGTTGATGATAATGCTAAATTTAGATAAAAGGAATTGGTTGAATTAAGAAAAACATCTGTTGCATCTGAATAAGTAGATCCACATGAAGAATTAGCATTAGCTGCTGGATTGAATTATGTTGCATTAGATGGAAATATTGGTTGTATGGTTAATGGAGCTGGATTAGCTATGGCTACAATGGATATAATTAAATTATATGGAGGAGATCCTGCAAATTTCTTAGATGTTGGAGGTGGTGCAAATGTTGAATAAGTTAAAACTGCATTTGAAATCTTAAATTCTCATCCTAAAGTTGAAACTATCCTTATTAATATCTTTGGTGGTATCATGAAATGCAATATCATTGCTGAAGGTATCATTAAAGCAGCTTAATTGGTTGATCTTAAAACACCATTGGTTGTTAGATTAACTGGAACAAATTCTCAATAAGGTAATTATTATTCTATATATTTTTAGGAGCTAAAATGTTGGATGAATTTGCTAAATCATAAACCAAAGTACAAATTACAACAGCCACAGATTTGGATGATGCTGCTTAAAAATCTGTAAAAATTGCAAAAGTATCTAGAAAGCAATGATATATTCATCAATTATTATTATAATTCTTTAAATAATTAAATTATTCTATTTTTATCAATAAATATTCATAGTAGATAAATTACATTATATTTTTATAGTGATTTCAAAATAGAATCTAAAAAAACTCAAAATTCTTTATCCTAAAGGTATTCTAGTATTAAAGATAATATTAATTAATAAAATAGAATACAATTAACCAATTCAAAATTAAATTATAGATTTTATTTAAAGAACACATTAATAGAAATGAATACTACACATACATCAAAATTAATTATCTGATAATCTGCTTATATCCATTGTTTGATTAACATCATAAAGGAATTAATTGTAATGCTATTTCTCATGAGATGGTACTATCACCATCATTTGTTATTGCTACTAGTTTTCATTTTATTTTTTGTTTTCTTATCTAATAAATCGATATCCTCTTTGATGTAAACNTGAAATTAATCCATGGGCAACAGATCCAAAAAATAAATTATTTTGTATTGATGCTAAGATTAATGTTGATGATAATGCTAAATTTAGATAAAAGGAATTGGTTGAATTAAGAAAAACATCTGTTGCATCTGAATAAGTAGATCCACATGAAGAATTAGCATTAGCTGCTGGATTGAATTATGTTGCATTAGATGGAAATATTGGTTGTATGGTTAATGGAGCTGGATTAGCTATGGCTACAATGGATATAATTAAATTATATGGAGGAGATCCTGCAAATTTCTTAGATGTTGGAGGTGGTGCAAATGTTGAATAAGTTAAAACTGCATTTGAAATCTTAAATTCTCATCCTAAAGTTGAAACTATCCTTATTAATATCTTTGGTGGTATCATGAAATGCAATATCATTGCTGAAGGTATCATTAAAGCAGCTTAATTGGTTGATCTTAAAACACCATTGGTTGTTAGATTAACTGGAACAAATTCTCAATAAGGTAATTATTATTCTATATATTTTTAGGAGCTAAAATGTTGGATGAATTTGCTAAATCATAAACCAAAGTACAAATTACAACAGCCACAGATTTGGATGATGCTGCTTAAAAATCTGTAAAAATTGCAAAAGTATCTAGAAAGCAATGATATATTCATCAATTATTATTATAATTCTTTAAATAATTAAATTATTCTATTTTTATCAATAAATATTCATAGTAGATAAATTACATTATATTTTTATAGTGATTTCAAAATAGAATCTAAAAAAACTCAAAATTCTTTATCCTAAAGGTATTCTAGTATTAAAGATAATATTAATTAATAAAATAGAATACAATTAACCAATTCAAAATTAAATTATAGATTTTATTTAAAGAACACATTAATAGAAATGAATACTACACATACATCAAAATTAATTATCTGATAATCTGCTTATATCCATTGTTTGATTAACATCATAAAGGAATTAATTGTAATGCTATTTCTCATGAGATGGTACTATCACCATCATTTGTTATTGCTACTAGTTTTCATTTTATTTTTTGTTTTCTTATCTAATAAATCGATATCCTCTTTGATGTAAACATGCCAAAATAATAAAGATCAAAATACAGAAAGAAATAAAGCTAACTATTTATCATTAGATTTATAATTACCTAGAACTGTAAGTACAATAAATAATACTGTTTCATTTAAATACTCATAGTTCTTTTATTTTGATTTCTTAGAGGCAAGAACTGTAAATATGATCATCTACATTATGCATATAAAGATTGTCATTAATTTTACTTATTATTAATTAATTTATGAATATAATATAAATAATATAATTCCAATTACTTTGTTCAAAATTAAACATAAGCTATTTTGATTATTACAAATATGATGTTTAATCTATATATCTGAATTTCAAATAAAAATAGATAATTTTATTTTTTTATTGATTTCTTTCATATGATTTGTAATTATTTAAACTTTTTACAATTCTGTTATTTGTTAAATATTAATTAGTATTATTACTAATTTACTCTCTGGATCGGATTTTAAGTTATATTAAAAATTAAACACCTTTCAGTTTTGAAGAAAGTCTGATTTTATTATTATTATAAACCCAATTTTAATGAAAGATAATAATTTTTTATAAAAATATTTAAATTTTTATAAACTTAAATATATTATAATAATTAATTACAATTGTGCATTTTAAATCATATAATACGAAATATCATAAGCCCTAATATATCCCTTATGATTTGGAATTTATATTATAATAAATAATTTTGATAATTTGCAATGAGTAAAATTGTAAGACAACGTGTTAGCATGCATGACGAATCAACTACTCTTTCTTTATAATCGAAAAGTGTAAATAAAAAGAGTAATTATATATCAATAATCAATAGAAAATACCCATCGTAAGCGCTAACCTATAAAATAATTGATTTGTATTGTGTCAGTGCCAAAATCCGTTGGAGAATATGTCTATATTAAAGCCGATGTAGAACTAAAGTTAGCTCTTTCTTATATTCCTGATCACTGTTTAGGCAATCTAAAAGAAACCCCTTGCACCTATAACCACAGAGTTACTAGAACTGACTAACTTGATGATGTCTATTTTTATACTCTCGAACTTCTCGACCAAGACAACTATTCCATCGAACAAATCGTTAATCTTCTTTCTCATAAAGATGATCCATGTGCTAATTTGGCAATCCAGCTTGTAAATTAAAGATTTAATATACTAAATGAATATACACAACATTACTATATTTCAAATGAAGAATTATTAGAAGTTGAACAGATAGCTAAAGATTACCCATATTAATGTATAATTCAAAAAGTGAACAAGGATAATAGTTCACTATCACAAAGAATAGTCAATGAATAGTTTTATACACTTATGGGAGTCACTCCAGATATGATGTTTAATCATCTTCATGAAACTAAAACTCTACCATCAATATTTGATATTGGTGGTTCTTTAAAGATGTGGTGTGATCTCACTATTGGATCCATTTCAAGTGTTTAGTATTTTGATTAATATATAAATACATATGAAGGAGCTCAATACAAATGTAGAATAGAGTAAAGATAGATGTTCAAAAGAACATAAGTTAATCCAAATTAAATTGTCTTTATAGAGTTCTGGATATTCAAATTGGATGAACCATTAAAATCCTATCTATTAAATCCTTAAAGACTCTACATAAATTAGATAGACTACTTTAATAAAAAGAATACAGAGGAAGAATATCAACTATTCTAAAAATCAATGAAATATAAAGAAACTCCACACTACAAAAATTCATAACCTTGTGGTTACAAATTACTACCTTGGATCTGAATTTTATATATATATTATTGAATACCATCATTTTAATTACTAATTAAATAATCATTTTTTACATTGCAAACATTGTTTACACTGAAATTCTTTTATTCATTCAAAAAGGTTGCAGTTATATATCATTTTTTCTTATGTTTGAGTTTGAAATTCAAACTTGATATTTAATATTACTTCGATTCCAATTTATTTATTTAACACTAATTTTATTAATTTAATAATCCTAAAATCGAATAAAATAATATTTAATATTAACGAGATGTCTCATATATATTTACAATACATCAATTAATATTCTAAAATTCTTCAATAATTAAATACTGATTTATTCCTCCAAAAATATTAGTAAACTTTTTAACTAATTATTCTTGAATACATTATTATTGATATATAATCAATTGTATCTAAACTAGTATAAATTATTATAAATTGAATCTTTATATTTATTTGAAAATATTATTATTATTAGTTTAATAATCTATATAATAATTGCCAGATAAATACAATTATTCATTTAACATTAAACATTTAAAATATGGAATTTGAATTACAAATTAAGTTGATTTACTCATTTAATAAATTAGAATCCATTTATACTATATTAACACTTTCTTTTAGTAACATTACAAAATGAAGTTACTATTTATTAATTATACAAAAATCAAATAATATATTATAAATAATCTTCAATCAATAGATCATTAAAAAAAAACAATATTAAGCAAATGTTGATTCCCATTGGTGTAAAATTTACAGATTAAATTTTTAGTTTAGATGAATATAAAGAATATTTATGATATTTATAGTTTGGAAAAAGAAAGAATATGACGTATGAGTTTTATAATAAAGAAAGAATCTACTAATTTTGATGATTTATAAGTATTTTATAACATTATTTATTAAAAGACTGTATTGATTAAGATTAATTAAAGGAACCTTTGTAAGATACAACAAACTTATATATGAAATTTAATGGAAATAAAAAGAAGTTATTTCTTTTTCATTTTTATTAGTTCAATTCTATAAACTTGAATTTTTCTTAAATATAACTTAAGAATAATATGTCATTGATAATAGTATTTTAAGGTTTATGATACCATACTATGCATTAAACAAAATAATCATTTTTCTTTTAATTTTGTTTATAGGGTTGTTTAGAATTGGATCTTATTCTAATTTATTTAATAAAGTATCCTTTTTTATCCTATCTATAAACTAGTTATGCAGCCTAAAAAAATAAAATTCAGATATAAATGTAAATATTTGATCTTTATATATCATTGTTGATCCTAATTAGCTTTAGTAGCTATTTCAATAACAGAATCCCATTCAAAAGCTGTTAGAATACTGACTACTGATTTTTGATTTCCTCTCATCAATGTTAACCAATCAATGATAACTTATCCTCTTGCCTGTCCATCAGAGACAATAGATATATTCTTTTATAAAGAATATATTATCAAACTTGGTACTAATGCTACCATTACAGCCAATTCTATAATAGATATTTTAAATGAATATACCATCACAAAGTATGTAATTTCCATCATGACTTACAGCTTTGAAAATACTTTCAACAAATTGAGATTTCTTTGTTTTAGCTCCATTTTCAAAAATAACTTTTCCATTCTATTTATCTAAAGTGTAAGCTAATACAACATCAAATGGCAATAACATCTTTTATTTAAACTTTGCCATTGCTACTGCTGCTGTAGCTTCTACATCTGTTTGTACATTAAATTCAGCAACTGAATTAGCTGCATTTCCTACTCCCATATATGTTCCTCCCATAGCAAATAAACATCCAAGTTTATCAACAATATCTGGATACATTTATAATGTTAAATAAATATTAGTCATAGGACCAATACAAATAATACATAAATCCTCTCCATATTTGTAAATAGAATCTTTAATGAAATCACAAGCATGTTATTTTTCATGAAAATATTCTAATGGTTTATCTTATAAACCTAATTCAGTTAATAATCTTAATTATTATCCACCTAATCCATCTTCCAAAAAGTAATTATCTCTATAAAATCTTCTTAATGTATCTGTTCTACATCCTTTGTATATTTTTGGAGGATTCTCACCAAAATGTCCAATCCTTGTTGTAATATATACCTAAGATTATTAAATTAGATTAAATACATTTTTTATCACATTTTCAAGTGCTGCATTACCTGCCACTGCTGTTATTCCTATTAATTCTGCATCAGTTCGTATATATTTAAGAATATAAGAGGCAATTAGGATTGCATGAGCATCATCTGATCCAGCATCTGTATCTATAATATATTTAGAGTATTTTTTAAATTGAATGTGACTGTCATCAAATAACAATTTAGGAAAGGGATGTGTAAATTTTAGTTATTCTGCCATTATTTTTTTTATTAATATATTATTATTATTTTATAATTATACACATAATTAAACTAAATATTTAATTTTTGATAATAATTTTTACTCATAAAGAATATATTTGGAAATACAAAAAGGCTAATGATAATATTTGTGTTTATCCGTATTCTCCTTATAATATTCAATTAAGAAAAGAGAGAATAAAACAAAATTTTATATAACTCTAAAACTAATAAATTTAGATGAGTTATTTCTTAAATAAATTTTGAGTAGAGGCTTATTTATTATAATAATGAAGAGATATCCTATCCATAATGAGAATAATTAATTTTAAATGATATTAGCATAATCGTTAATAATATTTGATTATAAGATAATAAAGAATTTATTAAGGTAAATTTAAATGATATTTTGAATTTTAAACAATAGACTTCATTACATTACATTGTTTAGGAGTCATTGTATTATATTAAAAGATAAAAAGTCAACTCATTAGATATTTTTTATATATAATTTGTTAATATATTCTATTTAAAAAAAATGATGTATTTGATCCCCCATCTATCATCTTGATATTAATATTCAATATCTTAAAAATAAAAATTATATTAATTATTTTAAAATGAGTTTAGAAAAGACTTGTATTATTATTTTTGATGAAAAAGAGGAAATTCCTTTACAAATAGAAATTGATGATACGAATACTAAATAATATTTAATTTAACCATTAACAATAGACAAAGTTGATCTCACTAGAATCATTTCTAAACATCAACAAATTCAACTTTAGAAAAAAATAGACTTAATGAAAAAACTTTTAGAATTAAACGAATAAAAACTTGAATAAACAATGAAGATTACTTAAAATATTGGAAATTTTCTACCAGATTTTGTTTTTGGTCCTAAGTAACTTTAAATAAATGAAGGGTAATATGAATTTTACAAAAATTTTTGTAATGAAAAAAAGGAATTGTAAGAGAAATATATTAGCAAAAAATAGATAAATTCAGATAATCAAGGATCAAATGTGTCAATATTAATATATTCAGGAGAAAGCTATTAGGATTTAACTAAATAAATAAATTATTATAATAAAGTAGACATAAAAATAAATCCAATTATATTGATAAATGGTAAAACAGCATTTAAGTAGTTAATGAAATCAAAGTAGGAATTATTTTTAGATTTTTATTAAAACTAATATCATGCATTTCATTAAAAATTTATGACATCGAATTACCATAGTTTATATTTCCAGATAGAAGGATAAAATGGATATTATTTTGTTTTTCCTTAAGAATTAAATAAGTTGGATTTAATTAAATGGATTTATTAAGGAATTCTAAAATTTATATAGCCAAAATTTGCTGAGATTAAATCTAGTAATTAAACATATCTTGATAATTTAAATATATTATAACTTTTTGAAATTTTGGAGAATGAGGATATGTATTTTGGAATTTAATGTTTAAAGAAAATTATATATGATGGAAGTTTATAATATAATTTTCTTGGAGATTTTACAGATATTGCTCTTAATCTAGATAATATGTATAAAATCAAATAATTTCATGATCCACTCTCTTGTATTTATAAGTGGGAAAAAATAGAAAATTTTGTAGATAATTATATTAATAGGCTTATGAAAGAACAGTTCTCTAATACATGGGTAGTTGGATATAATTCTATTTTACCTAAACTTATGTTTGAAGATTCTAATAAAGAATTAAAGATTATCACAAAATACATTAGTGAATAATAATTCAAATAGAATTAATTTGAAACAGTATTTAATTAATTTTGTGAAATCAATTAAAACATCAACCATTAATTGAGAAAATGCAGATTTAGTTTGTCTGGAAATGTATTCTAATGGTTCATATCAAAAGTCTTATTTCTTAACAATTATTTTGCAATTTCAGTTTGTAAATCAATTTTCTTAATTTAATTTTAGGTTTCTTTTTCTCATTTTAATGTCCTTACTAAGTTATCTATAACTTTTTTGGTTAATCTGTTGGATATACAGCAATAGCTGTTCTTCTACCCATTATGTATGCTGTTAATGTCATCCTTTTTCTTTTATTAACTTAATTATATCATTTTAAAGATAAAATAATTCAAAAAAATTAAAATTAAGAAATTGCAATAATGGGATAAAAGAATAACAACTAATAATGTTTTGATTTTAAGATTTCAGTAGATTCTGAAAATGTTGATGTGTTATATACACAAAACCAAGCTCAACGATATTAAATTAATGTTGAAGTTTAAGAAGATGAATATTTTAAAAATGCCACATATTCTATGAATAAGGAATTATTAACTTAGAGTGAATTGTATTTTTTATATCAATTCCCTTAGTTAAAATACATAAGTTTTTATGTTAACATTTTAATTGAAATTTAAAATTATTTAGATTTTGGAATTTTCGTCTTTATTTTTATTAATATAATCTTTATACATGGTGAAATACTACTTAATTAATAAACTGAATTTCAAATAATATTGATAATATTGGCATTCTTAGTATTATTATACCATTTAATTATGAGAAGATTAGGAATATTTTAGAGTATTTTTAAATTTTCATTGTTATCATATTTTTGGCAATTTCTTTAATTACCTAAACATTCTAATTCAGTTATTTAGAAAATTAATTAAAAAAAAAAGCTTGGAACACAACTATCTATTAATTTTATTCTATTTTATACTTTTATATCAATTGAGTCATATTATAATTATTCTGGCTATATATTGATTGGAATTTTAGGATATTTGTCGAGTATATATTTAATTTTAGGTTTTTTTTCAATTATTTCAAAATGCTGTTTTACTTGTAACATTCCACCAAAAGGTGAAACTTTCGAAGCGATATTAGAATGTGAATTAAAATTTGAAAATGATATATAAAATACCCTTATTGATAAAACACGAAACCTTGTTGCTCGTACAAATAAGGTCAAAAATACTAAGTAAGATTAAATGCAGTTTACTTAATTTATAAAAAATCATACAGATATAACCAATTTAACAGATACTATAAAGATTAAAATTTAAGAAAATCTTCATTCATAAAATCTAAATAAGGATGACATAGATTTAATTAGTAATAAAATAAATGAAGCAGTAAAAAAATATTTTGAAGAATTTGGCTAATAGGGATAAGGAATAACAAATTAATAGTAAAACTAGAATAAAAACTAAAAAAATAAAAAAAAATAATCGACATCAAATACAAATAGTAAATTTAAAATGGTTGAATCTGTTCATTCAAATTAAACTTCTTCAGTGGAATAATTTTTACATAGCAATTAGAATATTGGTGCTTTAATTAAATAGAATGAAAATTCTGGTTCATAATTTAATTAGAATGATTATAATGGGTCTTAACTTAGATAAGATGTAAAATGATTATTAATATAATTTAATTGCATATAATTTTGAGTTTATTTTCATAAATAAAATCAAAAAATATAATATTTATGGCTTTTATAATGAATGTAAATGAATTTCTATCATTTTTTTGATTATTTTGTTCCTGACTTGACTGATTTAGCAATTTGATTGGATTTTTATGATTATGCATCTTTAGGTATTGATTATTATTATTATTATTATTATTATTATTATTATTATTGAATGTCATTTTACTTTTTTACATTTTAAACAGTAGGTAATTCTTATTATGCTTTAGAGTTTATAACAGATTCAGGCATTTTCCATATAAATATAGCTCCTTCAGCTCCAACTGATATAATAGTTTTTTAATCAGGACTTATAGTAATCTAATTTAAAATTAATAAATACTCTTGTTATAGTACCTGAATGTCCTTAACCTTTAAAATAACAGATTCCTTCATCATATCCCCATAATTTAACTTCCTTATCTTCTCCTCCTGATACAAAATGCTCTCCTTCCTTTGTAATTGCCAATGCATTAACTTCTCCTTCCTCAGATCCATCTAACATTCTGATAGCTTAACCATCAAAAGTTTCCCAATAAGTGATCTTTTATATTATGATAAGATACTTTTCTATCACTACCAGTAGTCAATAATTAACTCTCTTCAGGATGATACAAAACCATTTTGAATAAGGTACTTTCAAATAAACACATAACTCTGGTAAATGATTTAAGATCCCAAATAATACAAGATCCATCTGCACTAGCACTAACAGCTTACTCATTATTTCTCCTAACCTAAATTGACCACACTCTTCCTCTATGTTCTTTCATTGAAGATTTCATAACTTAAGTTTACTTTCCAATTTCCCAAACTCTGACTTCTCCTTCTGATCCCCCTGAAATAATTCTTTAACAATCCGAAGTACAAGTTAATGATGTACACCCATGTATATGTGCATCATTAATTACATAGAGCAATCTACCTGATTATGGTAAAAAGGTTCGAATTTTCCCATCACTCCAACCACTTACAATACTTTTACCATCATTCATAAAGGCTACTGCCCAACATTCTAGATTTGGAACTTATATTCTAAGTAATTCTTATCTATTCTTAGCATTCCAAACTCTGATATCATTTAAAGAACTAGTAGCAAATACATCAGAATAATTATGAGGAAAAGCAACATCATTAATTCTTTCATAATGACAGGTATTTCTTAATTCTGGTATTAATTTTTCAGTGTCCAACCAATATATATTACTTTGAATTGTTCCTGTGAAAAAATGAGTCTAATCATTTGTAAATGAAATAGATGTCACACCTCCAAGTAATTCACTACTTGCTACTATTTACATTGTTTAAAAAGACACTTTTGCTATCATACCATCTCCTGCTCCAACAATTATATCTCCATTTTACAATAATCCTAAACAATTAACTCCTTATGAAAATAGCTTCTTGACTGGAGCTAATCTTTTATATATAGCCATATCCATTTAAATTTCAAATACGTCACCAGTCTTTGTTCCACAATAACAAAATTTATCATTTTTATCTATTGCAACACAATTAAAGGTTCTTTTGACATTTCCAAAATTAACATCTACGGATTGAATCTTCAGATAAGCTATACATCATACCTTTTTATTTTATTTGTCTATTGTTAATATCTAAACTCCAGTATTTAAAACTGCAATCATCTTTTCATCTGATTAATTGTAAAACTAGACTTAATTAACAGGATCTCTATTTGGAGTTCCATATAAAGCCTTTCCTGCCTTAATATCCCAAATAATTAACATGTTTTTATCATCAATTCCTCCTAATGATGCCAAATATAATTCATTGAATGAAAAACTGAGAGACTGAATCAACACCTTATGTAATTTCAATCTATGAATCATGCTTCTATCTTTGAAATCCCAAATTATTATATCAGCTTAAAACCCCATATATGTTTTCTATCCAGATGCAACATAATCTCCAGTTCGAGAAACTGTTATTACAGAGATCTAATTATCATGTCCTCTAATTTAATATATCACATTTCCATACCTTAAAAATGTTTATTGTCTTGTAATTATATGTCTAACTACTATAGTAGAACCTAATGGATAAAGAATATGCTTTGAACTATTAATTATATCATACCTCATTATCTGGATGTAAAACTAACCCTTGAATTATTTTCCCTTTTAATATATCAATTTTATATACCTGTGAATCCTATGACTGCCTAAATCTCAAGTTCTGATTACATTATTTTATTTATTTTCAAATATATTTTATTACTTAAAATTAAAACAGCAGATTTTTTATGAATAAATTTTGGACATATTTTGAATTACCATCCCCATTTAACATGTTGATGTTCTCTACATCCATTTTATAATTAATAAAAAGAATAAATATATATTTGTTGTAATTGTTTATCTTAATGTTTTAATTTAATTTTTAAATAGGGTAATGTTTAAAAAACATAGGTAATTATGATAGCGATCAACTTAATTAATTTAATTATTTAATTGATATTTATCAAAAAGTATAAAAATAAAGGAAGAAAATAAATAACTTTGAAAAAGCCAAAACTATTATAAGTGAATATGCATATTATAAAATCAATGAAGATTTAATCTGAAATCAGTTATTTTTTTTTATTTTTTAAATATTAATATTGTATAATAAATTATATATTTATTACTGAATTCTTTATAAAAAGATAAAACGGATTCATTTAAATTTCAAAAAACAAATCATTCAGTATCTATCTTTAAAAGGTATTTTTATTCAGACCCTAAGGATTAAGTTTAATTGCTCTAAGAGTTCAGCATTTTTCTTTGAGTTTGAATCTGGACTTTAGAAATCTTCAACAGGTGCTATCTAAGTTTACTAACCAATTTTTTCAATCTCTTATTTCTTTAATTTGATTTTTATATATGGTTTTATAACTTTTTTGTTAAAATTGAATCTTATGAAATCTTTTCCAAAATTATATGTAAATAATTTAATACTAAATTAGAGTACTTATTTGAGTAAACTTCTAATATGCTCTTAATAAAAGAATAGCAAAGTTTAATACAAAGAAGAACAATAATAGTCTAGAGTATAATGGATGAAAACTAATTTTTTTCTTGTTCTGATACATATTTAGCAGCAGCAAGGAATATTGTAATAGAGCATATTTATGCTGAAGATAAATCCATGCTATTGAAATTGGAAAGAATATATGGTTTTTTGTTAAAAGCTAATACCTAATAAAAGAGTAAACATAATCCCAACAATGATGCTTTTAATAGAATAAAAGTTTCAAAATATGTTAATATTAGAATAATAATTGTTTTTTTAATTAACTTAATTACTTCCCAAAAATAACTTCGATTATTGTATTCATTAATTAAATAGCAAACATGTTTTCTTATTTTAATATTATCGTGTTAATCTTTTTTAATGTACATTACAATAAAAAGGGAAAGAGGAATAATCAAACTAAAAACACTTATTCCTGGAATAACAAATGAGAAAATCCAAATTAAATGTTCTTTAGATCCAAAAAGGAGAGAGACATCACCTTGGATATAGCTCTAACTCGAAACATCTCTTTTAGAAACAATAGAGAAATACCTAAAAGAAATTAAGATTTAAATTACATTTTAACCAATCCACCATAATTAGAAACATAAAGGTAGAGTAGACTATTAGAAATAGTTTCCAAGTTGAAATTACTCAATCCAATCTTTTTATACCAATTATAAATTAGAAATCCCATAATTATAAGTATAAATTAGAATGCCATGAGTACAAGCATTGTGATTATTTTAGAGTAAATTAATTTTATTGATTGATTTTCAGATAAATAACAATCTAAATTATTTGTCATCGAGTAGGAAGTATTACTGGCTGAATCAACAAAAGTGAATGAAAACGAGAATTGTATATTGAATGTAAATATAACAGAGAATATCCATAAATAATTTAATAACATTTTTATTAAAAAACTTTCATGCCCTTAAAATTAATGATTTATATACCTTATTCAAGATTAAAAATAATTTTGCTGAATCTTTATTATAATTTTAAACTTTTGAATAGTAGATTAGACTATTCAATACTTCTTAAGGTTATAATGATAGATATAAACGACCTAGATATTAATTTAAATTACCAAATTGATGCTGCTATAAATGGGATTATACTATCCTTAACACCAAAACAAGATATACAATATGAATCCTATTGATTTTTAAAATATTTTCCATCTCCTCTTATATTATAAATATCACATTCTTCACACAATGCTCCAATATGTCCTAAATCACATATTTAATTTCCTTATCCCCAACCACCTTTACAAAATTTTTAATTTTTAAAGCATTCCTCTATTTAATCTGATAAATAATTAGGTCTCCAAAAACCTTCAAATAATTCTATGTTATTTTCAGTTATGTTCTTAAATTTTGTTTTATCAAATATAGAACATTTAGTTGCATCATATACTACAGAGTAAAACCCTTAACTTGATGAGCAAATTTAACATCCAGAATTCACATAAAATTCTCCAAGTTAGCATTTCAAGCCTTTTGCTTACATCACATAATTTAAACTATTCTCTTGCTAAGATGATTAACAGCTAATCTTAATTTATAATAATTTATTTTCTTAATTATAAGGATCAAGAATAAAAGAAAGAGATCCTAAATCATAATAATCTTTTTCTTGATCAAATTACAAAACTATTTGTTCTTAATGCTCACTCACCTAATCTGAGCCTTCTTCATAAATAGTTTTATTAATAAGAATGCATTTTGTATTAAGAATATTAGGAAGTTATTCGTTTAAACTATTCTTTAGTACTACACCAAAATTTACAATATATGAAAAATATTGAATCCAAAAGGGTGAATAAATTTGATATTAATTAATAACTTAATAACTAGGGATCATTAAATATTACGTAAGGAAAGGAATTCCTTATTCAATAATTTTATAGGGTTTGAGCACTAAATGATGATAATGTATTTGATTATTGTTTATTTTTTTTAACTACATTTCCATATTGTTGATAAGCAATGCTAAATGATGAGGAGATTCAATAAGATTATCTCCAAATTATATTGCTTTATTAAATTATAAAAAAGATTTTATAAAATTAGAATGGCGTATAGATCCATCCTAGTTGAAATAAATGCCTCCTCCATCTAAAGCCTAATTATTAGTAATTATTGTTGATTCAATTAAAAAATCGGAATCTTTTAGTTATAAAAACAATCCTCCACCATTAATACTTGCATAATTAGATATAATTTTACAATTTCTCATCTTTAATTTAACATTTTAAATTAATATAGCCCCTCCAAAACTTCCATTATTCTATATAAAATATGAATCTTTGAATATGATGGTTTAATTAATAAAATTTTGGATCAAAAAATATATGCAACCATTTAATTTCACATTATTCTAATAGCAAAAAATATTATTTATTTTAAAAATTTAGAATTGTTCAATTTCAAAAGTGATTATTCCATCAGTAAAGTCTGATCCATTATTTTTAATCATTTCTATCTCTTAAAAAATAAGAGAATTTTAGTCTGAAATACTTTTCACATAAATCATTTGATTTGATTACTAATTAGAAGATTATAACTGGCTGATAATCTCCGAAAATATAATTTATTATGTAAATGATGTATTCTTCCACAAATTGCATCCTACGATTTTATAATTCAAATCTGAAAATATAGGGATTCCTACAGATTTTGGTTGATATGTATTACTCTAAACTATCTTTAGTTTTTCAATAGATATATTTGATTCAGTTATTAAAGTTTAAGTTATATGTATTAGGTCGAATGAATATAATTTTTATATAGATAATAGTTTACAATCTAACAGTTTTATATTATAAGCATTTTAAGATTTGATAATTGGAGAGATTGATATTCCTTCAACATAAAGATTAATTATTTCAATTTTACAATTTTCAAAAGAAAACATAGCATTATCTTCGCTTAATATGTTATTTAATTCTGATAATGTTATTGGACCAATCAAGGAAAATAACTAAATCCATTATTCTTCATTTGAATAAATTGATAAATTTTTAATACTTACTAAACTTTATTTCATAACTTATGCTGAAAATTGAACTAACATAATTGTATTCATTAAGGAAAGACAATTTATTATTTCAATATTATTTAAACGAATAATATTTGATTTTAAAGAGGGAACTATTGTAAGTAATGATGGAGCCATTCTATTAAATATGTTTGTAAATTTTATTTTTTTCAGCTCAAAATTTAAGAGACTATTTGTTGAATCTATACTAATACAACCTGTATTTCCACTATCTTTTAGATTAGTATAAACAGAATCTATTTAGACATTATGTATTTTGATTATCCCTTATCCTTGAGTTTTAATTGAAAAAATAGAATTTTTAACAGCAATATTATCTTAAAATAAACTATCTGTACAACTAAAGGTAGAAGCTACAATAAAAATTCCTTAATTTAATATTTTAAATGTTGATTGAATAATTGAGTTAATTTCTTGTTGATTATATTAATCTTCTAATTCAAAATCATAAAATTGTTGCCATAAAGCCTATGGTAAAAGATTAGAATTCATAAATATTAAATTAGAAATTTCAATCAAAGTAGCAGTAACAGTAATGAATGAATTGGTTGAATTAGTTAAGGCATTTTAATAACAATATAATTAATGAATTTAAATAAAACTATCTAATGAACTTATACATAATAAATTAGTTTATGTTTCAAGTGGCTCGTCAATTTATTAATTTATTATGTTTTGGGTAAATTAAAAATTAATTAGTTTAATATTTAAATTATATTGAGAATATATATTTATTAATGATAATGAAGTTGCTTATTTGTTTTTTAATAATATATTCCCTCTAAATTATACATTTACTAATATTACTTATCCTATTTAATCAATAATAAATTAGGTACTAAAATTTATATCCATTAATGAATAATTAATACTGAATTGATTTAAAATTTTAATGTTTGATAATGATAATTACTGAAAACCTATAACTTATAATAGTTAATTTCTAAATGATACTTGATCACTACAAAATTAAGATAGAGGAACTTTATGTACTTACTCATAATTCTCAAGAATTACAGAATCAAAAATGATTTAGTTTATTTCAAAAAGATAAAACACTGCTATGTTTTGCAGATTTAAAAATTAAGCATTTTAGATTATTATTTAATGACAATGTAATTTAAATAGTTAATTTTAAAGGTTTAATGTATCAAATTGTGTATTTTCTTAAACTTTAAAATTTTTAATATTAACAATAAAATTATTGATTTGAAGACTAGAATAAATAATTATCAAACTTGATTCTTAAAAAGAACTCAAATTATCTTCAAAATCATCTATTGTGCATAACACTCTTTATTAATTAATAATAATTAATAATGTTGATATAATTGAAGATCCTTTAAGAGTATTCTAACTTGTTCTAACATTAATCAATTCAATATCATCATTAAAAGCTATTAATACAGAATTAAAAAAATTGTTATTATGAATATATAGATTACTTGAGATTATTTTAAACTTAATATTGCTCTTGAGGAAATAAGAAAGAGTGTAATTACATTAATTAATTCTAACATCAAATAATTTGATTTAATTTACATTGTTCAAATCTGTTTAGAATGAGAAAAATGAAGAATTAAATAGTTAACAATTTTCTATAAGGATGTTTTCAATAATTATGTAAGCTTGAATGTAGTCTATTTTGAATAATGTTGAATTGTCTAAAAGACAGTTCTTAAATGTTAATTATTTAATTGTTAAATTTAATGAAATTGATTGCCTTTAAAATTCAAAAAAAGATGAATTTTTAAAAATAGAATCTAAAATCTAAACATCCTAAATAAGAATATTTCCATAAACCTAAGTTGGAAGAATTATTATATCAGAAAAGTTGCTTTGAATTAAAATCAAATTTTTTAATGTTATCTCTATTTAATTGTTATTATTATTCAAAATAAATCCATTAAATAATGTAAGTTTAATGTTTTTGACTTCTACTGAATCATAATTATTTATGATTATTTTATCTGATGAAGTTAATATAGTATCATATACAGAAAATAGATTCATATTTGCTTTCTTTAGTGAAAAGATTTTATTCTTTAAACCATTCCATAATTCAAGTTATCTATAAAATTCACAATCTTCTTTATCATCAATTTAAAAGATGTAATTTATTGTCATTTAATCTATTCCAACTAAGTTGCAGTATTGAAAATTTAATTAATATTCATATGTATCTGGCTAATATCTATCAAACATACAGGTTTAAAAATAATAGGAGAATGAAAAATGATTTTAACATATCTCATTAAAACAGTATTTAATATTTTATAAATATGGATTGATGATTATATTAGGATCATCAACTGGTTTAAGACATTTCATTGTAAATTAAGCATTTTATTCCTGCACCTAAAAATTTGGTTGCAATACCTATTATAGTATTAAAATCTTACTTAAATTTCATTCTCATCTCTCTCTTAACAATATTGGCATAAATTAGAACAAGTAGCACATCGACCGTGAATTTCTACTCTTATATGATTTCTGTAGTAATTTAAAGGACATTTCATACAAATAAAATTATAAAAATTATCTTAGCAATTTAAACATTCACTACTACAATATTTCTAACACGCTTGAGTTGATGTTATTTAATATCCATTTTTACATTTAATTGTAAACTCTTTTAATTATTCTGGAGTGTATGAATAATAATATTAATCAGGTAAAAATTACATTAAAAAACTTTAAAGCAATTGAACATATCCATCTTCTTCAAAAAAGTCTCCTTAAATTACATGAATACTATTTTCCAAATATAAAGGATTTTAACTTTCGTAACAATTCCCTGTAATCACTGAACTAACATATCCTTAACTACAGAGTACACATTATAACTTTGATTTAGGAGTAAGGACACATTATAAACAATTAGAATAATATTTCTAACAATTAATAATTTCAGGTGCTATGCTAAAATCAGTTTTAGATGATAAAGTACAAATTTCAATACCTTCTAAATTAATAAATGATCTTAAACAAGTTTCAATTTATGGTTATTATTTAAAACATTCTCCAATCAAAAAGTCAAAAATGTATCCATCTTCGCACATTGCACAGCCAATATATACTATTTAGTCAGTATTAAAACTTTCAAAATCTTTATACAAGGTACTTTTGAAGGAAATTTCATCTTTTTAGTATTCGAAACAATAAATACAATTCTTTTTAGGACATAATTTACATTGATTAGTAGATGTGATATAATTTGGAGAAAGACAATTTTTTGAAATTATAATATCTAATGGAATACACTTACCGTCTACTAGTGGTTATGCATATGGGCATGATGTACATTTTACACCAGAAATTGATAAATAGTAATTTTAGCATCCGTTTTAATTTATTTCTGGACATTCAAAATTTTATTTCTCACAATATATTTTAGAAGGGATGGATTTTTGCAAAAAGTCTAAGTATAAAAATTACAAATCATTTATAAAGGTTATTTGATTTTATAACAACGGTGATGCACTAATATCACTTCCATCAAAAAGTAATTAATCAAGATAACTCCATTAAAATCTTTCCGTTTAATTAGATTGACTGAGATATAAATCATATTGACAATATGGATTTTTACTAAAAGACTTCGGATTTTATAAGCATTCTACACAAATTATTAAATCTTTCTTTATTATTGAAGGACTATAAATATATTTTATATTGATTACCATTAATAACATTCATTATCTAATTCAAAATAACCATATTTACACTCAGTATTTATGAAAGGTTCATCAATAATTTCTAAATTTGATTCTTCATAACCAATACAAATCTAATCATCAATAGTATTGTAAGGACAAACACATACTTTATGTTCAGGCAAATAAATTCTCTTGGATTCTTCTAAACAAGATAGACAATCTTCATTAGTAGGGCCATCACATTCTAAACAATTTGAATGGCAATTCTCCTCAGAAAAAGTTTGATCACAATTTAAAAAAAAGAAATTACGTATTAATATATGCAAGTAATTTGATTAAAGTTATTAAATATTGCCATATAATAATTTAAATTACTATTATTTAAATTGACGAACTTCTTGTTAATAACTATATTCATAAATTATTAACTTATCATAAAATTTAATTTAAATATCTATTTAATTTCTAATCAATTTAACTTATATTTTATGCCACAAATTCATACTATGGGGAATATCAATAATTTCCACTTTTAAAAAAGGATCATTCGAAAAATCTATTGAAACTATAGGAAAAGTATAACTATAAGTTGTTAAAATAATTTAATTCTAAATATCTGATAATTTATATTAAATTTATAAAGGGGATAAGTTATCACTAGATAAACTTGAATCTTCAAAATTTGCCATTAATTTTATAAATGGATATATAAATTGATTATCTTATTTAATGATTTCTTGAATTTTAACCCATCCTGATAAAACAAAAGAATCACAATTTTAATTTTCTGAAACAAATTCTCCTTTTAGTTAAGAATTAATATTCTTATCTTAAATTTTTACACTTTAATTTGGTTAACACGAACATAATTCATAACTTTCAAATAAACTTTTCACATATTCAAACCAATCAATAATATCCAATTCTTCATATATATTATATTTTTATATAACAATTATTCCAGGAAAATAGGAAAATTTTTAATCTTTTTGAATTGATTCTATTCTTGAATTACTTACAATCAAGCTACTTCCAAAAGTAAATTACAGATCTATTCCCTTAAATGGGTATTTTATTTCATCAATACTATGAATTATTATTTTTTATTATGATATTATCAAAATTTCAAATCGTTTTTATAAAGGCCATTAAATGATTTCTAAAAAGTACCAAAAGTCTTCATATTCAAATTTATCAATTTCAATTTCATAAATTTTTTATTCATCTTCATTATCAACAAACTTAATTGTTTTTTTTATTGTTTTTTCCTCATAATCTAAACAATCGTAATATATGAAATTTAATTCATTCCTTTTCTTATCAATAATGTGATGAAGCTGATAACAATTACTATCAAATAATCCAACTGGACCTATCTATGGGATTGCACTTAAAGGATTATATTTTGACCAAATGCCAAAGCTAAAGTATTTAGTTGGTATAAAATCATCATCTTAAATCTTCACCAATTAATGTGCTATTTAGTATAAAGGATCTAGAGTCTATATTTCAAATGATGCTGTTGAATTCAAACAAATGAGATAAATCAATATAATCATCAATCTAAAAATTAAAATAGAAAAATCTTGATATGTTTAAATAATTTAAATAACTTCTTTATAATGAAAAAAATCTCTATAAGCTGTGATCTAAATGAAATTGTATGGTTGACCTTAAATAAATAAATAGGTTTTTAGTTATTGAGAGAAGGGTTGAAGAATTAAACCAAAAACTGATAGAGTCAGAATAATAAACTATATATTTAAAATTAAGTAATATTAAATAAAATATGTTTGAAGAATTATTAATAAGTAGAGATTTCGGATCTGCAATCTTTTTTAAGACATAATTTATTATTAAAAATTGAACATCATTCATAATGTGCAATTTAGACAATCTTTTTAGATATTATCTAGAATCACAAAATTAAATAAATTTTTTTTAATTCACAAAATCTATGAAAAGATTACTATATTTATGTTGAAATATTTTATTTTATGCAAATCTCAATAAATATACACAAGGATAAATCTTATGTATTATTTTTAAGTTTAATTCAAAAATAATTTCTAATATTTAAGGTCTTTTGATGGCTAGAGTTCAATAAATAAAAAAATGAAATAATCAAGATATATATTTTGAATGAATCTCAAAATATTTTTGAAAACCTAATAATTAATATAAATAATGATAAACATATAATTTTAATATTTTATCAATTTATTTACATCCTCATTTTATGGCTCCTTTATCAACTAATAATTTTTCAAAATTTTCATTCTCAATTGTTTGAAATTTAGATTATCGAATACTACAATGTAAGGCTTATAGGAGAGGATTTTTTGCAAATATGTAATAACAAATTGGTTATTCATAAATCTACAATGTTTGCTTATCAATTTTATATAATTAAATTGATCCATCTTCCATTCCAAGTATGAATTGTTATCCAGATGAAATAAACAATAAGTTCTTTATTTTGGAACTAAATTAGTTCAGAGTATATTTTAATTCATTTTTTTTAGCATCAAAAATCTCCAAAATTCTATCTTCAAAATTTCCAATATATTCTGATACTTATAATTATCTTTATGCTTTCGTAAAATCAAATTTATTTTCATCTTCTATAACACCTATTTCTGTATAATCAGAAATTTGTTCATCAATAATTTATCCAGACTTACTAAGAATCCTGATAGTTTGTGAATTTAAAAACTAGAATGCAAAAGCTTCAACTCGTTTTGTCAAATTAACTTATATTTTTATTGATTTATAGTCAGAGATGTTCCATAATCTTATAGTGTGATCCCTGCCTAATGATAATAGATATTTCCCATCTTCTGAAAATACAAGAATTGTAGAAAATGATTATTATTCAAAAGAGTTCCCTTCTAAAGTTGTAATCACTTATTTTTTTTCTATATCGTATAATTTTAGGTTGGTTTTAAATTAGAGAGCTATTACATTATTTAATTAGCTAAATCCAACTGAGAAATTCTCTAAATTTGCGGTTTAGTTCATTGCTTCATCTAATAATTAAACATTTTCGATTTAATAAACAATATGATTTATTTGTACATCCCAAAATTAGTACATTTCTGACCATATTACAATATATTCTTCATCTTTTAATGGAAAAATTTATAAACATTATATCCATCTTAAACTATTAGAATTTCCATAATATTAAAGATCTTTCTACATAATTAAAGTAAATGTATCACTGATATTCCAAATTCTTATTTTTTAATCATCATGACATGAGAAAAAAATCTTGCTATTACCAGAAAAACTCATCGATAAAATTTTTGTATTTTTTTGTGAATTATCTTGTAATACAGATTGTTTTTATTTTTTTTCGATTGAATATATAATTATGGAATAATTCTGATCTTCAATCGCCAATCTCTAAGAAATGACACAAATTGCTATTTTTATTATTTTACTTACTTCAATCCCCTCTACTTTTTCGTTCTTTAGCTCCGGATTATTATTTGTACTAATTAATTCAAATGGATTAGTTTTTATAAGAAAATTAGACGAAAGAATAATAGATCTCGGAATAAAATTTATGTTTTATTAGAATATCATTTACTTCTATTTAGATACCTATTCTAAATTCAAAATTAAAATTTTAGAATTGCTATGCTAACATATAAATTGTGTATGATCCAAACTAAAAGCTATTTTATCATTAAAAAAAAAATATAATATAAAGTGATGTTCGATAATGTATTTTGTATTTAATTTCCAAAGATGGATTGCATTTTAATCATCTCCAGCAGCAAAATATTAACAATTTTAAGAGAAGCAAAATGAACATGGCAATCTTTTACCCTTTAATAAAATATCTATCTTTTTTAGTTCTATCAAATCCCATCTGATGATTTCAGACTCTGATCCAGATACTAATTAAAAACCATCTGAGGAAACACACAATTATTAAATGGAATCAGAGTGACCATCCATTTCGAATTGTTATTGTTTTAAGGCTTTTAAATTCCATAACTTAATAATAGATTAACTAGTTTATGCTAATATTCCCTTTTGAGAAATTCTAATGGATTCAATAATTAACGTATCACTTTTAAACATGGAAAGTAATTTACAAGATTTAGCATCCCATAATTTAATTGTAAGATCAGAATAACTTGAAACAAAATTTAATCCATCTTAAGAAAAGACGACTTTTTAACATTTAAACTTTTATTCATCTATTTCCTCAAAGCAAGAAATTGTTTTTTTAGTTTTTAAATCAAATAGAGATGACTTTTATATCCATTTTTTCATATACATTTCTTAAATTGCAACCAAATATGATTCTTGATTGCTTAATGTTATAAATGACAAATTTTACAAATTCAAATTAACTTATTATATAATTTTATTAGAACCGATCTCATATTAAGTGTAAATTGAATCATTTGAGATAACTGAGAAAAAGTTACTATCTAATGAAAAGTTCTTATATAAGTATAAATTCTATTATTTTGGTTAAAATAGTTTATCCAATATCATTAAATCAGAAAATTGACTAAAACAAATTTGATTTTCTAATCCATATCCTACTAATAATTAATCAGAATCTAATACAAAGTCTTTGGATTTTTTACCCTTATCTATTTATATCAATTAAATTAATTCTTAATTTGATAAATTTATCACTATAACAAAACTGTAACTGTAAATACAAATTTTTTACTGTTGTTCTAAATATAATATTTTAAAAGGATTCCTAGGTAATTAAATTATTTTTAGCTTTTTTATTGATTAAAAATCTTTTATATCATATAAAACTAATTATCCTCCAAGAATATCTATTCCGATTGCTAATTATTCTATACCAATAAAACAAATTGAAATACACCTGTTATTTTCTTCGAAATTCTAAAGCATTTCATTTGTTTCTATATTTTTAATAAATGCTCCTTTCTCATTAGCAACAGCCAAAAGTGAGGAATCATTTGAAAATTAAAAATCATTACAGAAATTTTTGGATTCAAAATATATCATATTTTAACTATTATGGTTTTCTATAACTATAATCTCCATGCCTTATATACATCCAACAACTATAAACTTTTTATTGTATGCTAATGACATGCTATATGCATTATTAGAAAAATGAAAAAGTGCTTTTTTTTAGATTGCTTCATCATCTTATACATATATTTATAACACTTAGACATTTGAATGTACAATGATACTTTAATTATTTAAATTGAAAAACTTTTTTATAGGTTAACAATCTTTCAATTTAAACTTTTTTTCAATCTAAAAAGATTATCCATTTATTTTCCATATCCTAATCATTCCTTTATCACTTAATGATATCATACTGTCATCATCTTAATTAAAATTTATATCTATAAAATTTTCTTCTATTTCTTAACTAGTAATCATTTGAAAATCGACAGAATTCCAAAATTGTATTTTTTTAGAATGATGGCAATTTAATGATATTAATATTTACTTATTTGGCCAGAAAATAACTTTATTAGCTTCAGTTTATAGTTATAATGTTTTTTACATTTATGGTTAATCTTAATCAGTAATATCCCAAAAAATAATTGTGTTATCCAAACTACTAGATGCCATTTGCTTTCCATCAGAAGAAAAAGTAAGATCTAAAACACGATTTGAATGAGCATTTAATTTAATAATTATTATTAATTTTTGCAAATCCCATAAACAAATATTCTTGTCTAAGCTACCTGAAGCCAATATTAAATTATCATTCCTGAATTTTAAACATAAAATATCTTCAGTGTGCTCAATCAAATTTGTAAGCAACTTAATTTGATGAAGTTACTTTATATCCCATATTTTTATTATTGCATTTACATCTCTAGGACCTTTTTTTTGGGTACAGGCTACAGTTTAACAGTCAAAAGATATCTCAACCAAATTTACTTAAACTGAAGATTCTATTATAAAAAAGTCTTATTAATCTGGGAACTTTTATACTTCGTACAACTTTAATTGAGATTTAGACCTTGAGGCAAACAATTTTCCATCTTTTGAATAAGATACTTATTCAATAATTGACTAAGAATCAAAAGAATGTAATAGTTAAACTTACTATAGGTTTTAGATATCCCAAAATTAGAGCTTCTTACTTTCACCTCCTGTTGCTAATACCTAGTTATCTTTTGAAAATGTTATCGCTAATGTAGGTTTTTTTTATACTGGTAGTTCAAGAAGTAATTAAATGTCTGGAATATTTTTAGAATTCCATATTTAAATTCGAATGCCACCTGTAGCTAAGAGTTAATAATTTGGGGATATTGCTATTGTTTGGATGGTATCTTAATTCTTTTCTGTAGTGAGATATTTTTATTATTATTTTGATGTTAATAAATTTGATATTAGCCAAAAGTGTATTTAACCTGAATTTGATTCGACAGCTAGATATTTACTATTTGTTGATAATATAATGTCTTTATAGTCAAAATTTATTAAAGTTTAATATTGTAATTCACTTAGATCATTAGAATTATATAAAGATATAAAATTTGATGTAAGACATGCTAACAAACTGTTACTTTTTGAAAAGGTTAATAATTTTTCATTATTTTATAAAATTAGACTTTTTGGTTAATCATAGGCATATACTTACCATATATTAATAACTCCATCTTCACTGCCTGATATTAAAGTATTTCCATCATCATTAAATACAATTTAATTTATTTTAGATTGATGACCACATAATGATGGTTTCTCTTTGCAAATCAAATTTTCCCAAACTGCATTCTCGATTTATGCACAATTGAAATTGCATGAATCAATTGAAATATTATAAAATTTTGAATTGTTTAAAATACATTAATAAAAGCTTATTCCATTTAATTTAGTATCTGCTATACTTATATTACTTAAATCAATCTTATCTAAATTTTCTTTTAAAGAACTTAAAATATACAGACAATTAGAAGCTGATCTAATAAAATTTTAATCACAATTTGTCTTCGATAATTATGATAATTATATTAATTTTTACTTAATTTCTCGAATCTATTTTATCTTTGGCTTTAATAGTTCTAATGTGCCAGAATAATGCTCCAGTGATAAATTAAATTCACTACTGTTAAAACTGCTTTTCTATAATATATTATTATCAACTCTTTCTTTCTCCTTAATGAAGATTTTCTCAATCAAATTTAGAATGTATTTTGCTACAAAAAATTCTTAGATGGATTTATGATTGAAAGAATATATACTGCCTTTGCTATTAATTAGCATGCATTTTCTTAATAATGTTTTGTATTCAAAATCATCTTAATTATCACTGAAATAAGAATCTTCCCAAGAGACTTCAATTTTTCTCTCTTCTTTAGCTGATTGAATAAATAATTTTCCTTTTTAGTTATAATTTACTTAAGTAATTTAACGTTTTGACATATCTATAGCCAAAAATATTGAAAAATCTTGTAAATCTAATAAAAAACTTTCTTGTTTTATATTTTTTCCTAAATCTTTTAATTTTTGTAATTGTTAATTGTGATAGAAGTTTACAAATATTTCATAGAAATCAAAAGCAGTAAATTAATTTAACCTAAATGCTGAAACAATAAAGTTAGCATCATATCTTACTTTAAAGTATTTTGTTGAAAAAATACTAACTTTATTTATATATTCTAACGAATTAGCTATAGAAAATGATTCAAAAAAGTTTTAATTATCTAAATCTTCTAAAATTTAAGTAAATTATTCCATAATTTAGAGCTCTTAATTCTACTTGGCAACAGGTTAAATCTTTTTGTCAAAATCTTACTCATTTATTTGCTTTTATAATAATTGATCAATCTATTCCTCTGATTTTTTAGCTTCTGTTTTCAGAATCATATAATTCTTTTTAAGTAGATCTCTAATTAAATTAGGTTTTGAGAAAAATTATGACATTTTTGGTAAAACATACACAATTATTTCCATCATAAATGGAGTTGTCAATAAATGATTTATATTCACATTATTAATTACTTAAGAGAATTTTTACTCTCCCCACAATTAAAGAAGTTCTTTTTTTAAAGATACCATCTAATTTGATTTTATAAAAGTAAAAAACTCTACTACTTAAATTTATTTTATGAGCTTATCAACATCTTAACTTGAAAATAAAACTTCAGAATTTTATTATTATAATACTATCGAATTAATTATATTTTCTAATTGATTCCATATCAACTTAAATTACTCTAATGAAAAGTTTTATCCTTTCAATTGTTTGAGAAATTCATAAAACTTTTTAATTGTCCTTTTCACACTTATTTCAACGTATTGTTTAATATATTAAGAACTCTACTCCTAACTAAAAGGCAATATTTCAATTTCTTTAAGGGTATCTATATTCTAACCATAAAACCATGTTTAATATCCAATAGAATTCAAAATTTCTTCTCTTGTAGTAATAATCACTTTTACTGTTTATCCTGATGCTTAGAGATTAAGATCTTAAGCTAGTCTGTTAGTTTGATAGAGATTAGTTCCAATACAATCAAATTTCATCTCATCATAGCTTTCAAGTATAATCACTATCTTAAGTTTTCCATTTATGACAGCATCTTTAAATTCTCTTATTTAAATATTATCAAAGTTGTAATTTTCAGATTCAAGAGCTTAATCAATTAAATTGTGATGAGGATCTTTTAACGAAGGAAGTGATACATAAATTGGAACCCAATTCGGTGAAATCGTATCACAAATCCATATAAATTCTTCAATATTACGTGATGCTCTACTTTTTCCTGAGCCTGCTTTTCCTTTAATTAACATTACATCTTTTTACTTTTCTTAATCACTCCATAAAAATTCATTCACTTCTCCATCATAATTATCATATTAATCTTTAATTAAGAATGTAATAAATTCCCCTTTACTATTTATTTTTCTATTTCCAGAGATAGGATCATAATCTTGAGTTGTAACCTTTATATGAACTTAATCTAACTCATTTTCATGCTTTTATTTCAAAACTTTTAATTTTCGCATGTTTAATAATTCCAAGAAATTCTTCCCTCTTAATCTCCTTATGTCATCTTCAACCCCTTTTATACTTATTAGCACTTAATCTATGGAAGATTTAATATTTTTCAAATCTTTGCTGATTTCTCTTAAAAAAATTAAACTAATATCTAATCTTTATGACATATCTGTTATATTATCCAAATATATTTCAAAATTATCATAAGCTTGTTATAATTATATTTTGATTTCTTCTTAATTATCACTAAGAAGCACCTAAGTTTCAAGTTCCTCTATTTATTTTAATCTTGTTTGCATTTCTACTTTTAATCTAATTGAGAAATTTTGTAAATCTTTAGAAAATAACTTTTTCTGCATCATAATCATTTCATCATTTTTAAGTAGATTTCGAACACTTGGATGTTTTTCAATAATCCAAATTTATTGTAATTAGTTTTCACAAAACTCTTAAATGGTTTATTCTTAGATAATTGATTGCATTTTAATTAAATTAAATACAAGTAATTCCCTCACTTTATAAGATGAATTTTCAAATATATCAAGTATTCCTTTTTCTTAATTAACTCTATTGCCCTTTTTTAATTCTATAATAATATTTTATAATATATCAGGTTTTTCATCCTACTGCTTTATTTCCTAATCATCGATACTAAGTGTATTAAAGCTAAGTATTTATATTATGACAGGGATTTAAGATATTTTAGGTTATTTTGGAAGTTAAGACAAAAATTCTTCATCAAAAATAATTTATTCCTTATTATAAATTGGTTAAAAAAGTTATAATGTTTATTGTTATAAATCAATTATTACTTAATTTAGGCTTTATGAATATGTACCTTTAAACTTATTAAAAAACTATAGTATTGTTTCTTAATTTTCAGAGTGAGTATTATTAAGATTTTATTTGAATATTAATTTTAACTTTTATGAAATAATTATTAAATTATCTAATATCTTCATTGAACTTTCACAATCAAATAAATCGTTTTATCTTAATTTCATTAATGATTTTTCTAAGTTCATTTATTAAATATTCTTTACTGATGACGAAACCATATCTGTTTGTATATTTGAATTCATCTCCAAAAGATGTTCATCTAATAATTTGATAATATCTTATTAGATAATGTTTTTATCTTACTAAACTAAACCAATAAGTTATAATTTAGTTAGAATTTCAGAGAATAAAACTATATGATGGAATTTGATTTTATCTTGCCAATCCTTGTTTTTTATTTCATTTATTTCCTTACTAATAAGATTAGATATGATATTAAAATCGGCTAATTCATCTTTTGTAAATTCTATATTTTTGTACTTATTAAATAACGCTTGTAACTTCTCTTTCTTATCAATAATTATTATTTTTATGTATTCATTTATATCAGTTTAATTATATATTTATCTTTCATTTTCGATAGTACTTAAATTTGCAAACATTCCTTAAAATTTTGAGGACATCTAAAATAATTTCCCATGATGTATTTTAAGAAGCATTTTTAATCCTTTATAAATATTTAAGTTAGAATATACCATAATAAGAATCTTTTGAACATCAGACACTTGTTCTATTTATAATTTTTCCTTAAACATATTTTAATAATGTTAATGAATTTCCTGAATCAATTTTAATATCAATTATGGATTGTAAAGCCTAATTATTAAAGAAGCTAAGCTAAATTAAGATATAGATTCTTTAATAAAAATTTTAAATTCTTTCTGCTCTAAAATCTTTAAGAAGGTTCTCTTTATCTAAGAAACTTATATCAGAAATTTATCTAGATTATTATTAATGCTTGTAAAAATTGAACTATTTTAGTTTAATTAAGGTTCAAGTAGTTTTTCAAATTCAAGACTTCTCTCTATCAATTCTTGATGAGAAAGAGTTGTATAGTGACACATTTATATCCAAAATTATGATACAGAATGTAAACTATTTAAAAACTCTTTAAAAAAAGTAGTTTCAACTTCTTCAATACATGTTAATATTTATTACTTTAATATTTTTAGTTATTCTCCTTAATTTTATTCATGTCCCTGTAAAATAATTTAGAATATCTAATTTACTTAAAGCTCCTTATTTACTAATTAATTTATCTCATTTATTAAACAAAGCAAAATTAAGTTTTACTTTTTGATTTGATTCATTAAAAACATTATTTCTTATCTAATTATTTTAATTTCTATTGGTTTATCAGTTTGTAAATAGGAATAATGTTAACTCAATTATTATTTTACAACTTCAAAATTATTTAATAATTCCTCCTTTTTAGACCTTAATTATTTAATTAAAGCATTTATTAATTCAATGTTCGATTAATTTGTAATTAATTATATCAAAAGATCTTCGCCATTTAATTAATTAGCTGAAGAGTCATTAAAATTAAAACTGATATAGTTGGGCAATAATAAAAAACTATTTGAACTTTGTATGAGATACTCCTAGAATAATTTTAATGTTGTAAACTTTTTAAATATAAAATTTTAGTTTACAAATATTTTCAGCTTACCTGCCTATTTGTTATAAGGCAATTAAATTACTTAATTAGAAGTGATTAATTAATTCCAAGAATCTTGAACTGAAGTACCTGATTATAATGTTTATAATAATTAATCTTTATAAACAATTGGTCTATAACACATTAAATCTGATATCATATTTACCCAACAATAATGTATCATCCAATCCTTAGATTGTTTAATGTATTTTGAGTATCCATCTGTAATTTGTTTTATAATATTCTAAATGGAATAGCCTAATTTCAACTGATTTAATATGGACCATTTCAAATTTTCGAAATAGTAATAGATTTCATATATTTGAAGTGGGTTTTGGATTTATTTATCATAGAAATTCAAAAGTAAGAATTTTCCTCCTTCTATAACAGAAGATATTAATTCATCGCTGGGTTTTAATTAAGATATTGATGAAAGTAAACCGCACATAATAGATATAACTAACTCCTTTCCTTTTTAAGAGTTTGTCCTACAATGAGCTACACAAGTTTTAATCATTTATAGTTCAAATTCCACCCCATTAAGCCAAATATTGATTGCTTCTACTTATGTTTGCGATTCAATTTCTTAGATATATTCTAAATATTTCTTTTTTTAATCTTCCTACATATATCTATCAACATTCTTTAATTAATATGAAAATATTATTCTAAATAAATCATTACAAATTTAGAGCAATGAATAAAATAGAAAACCTGAAAGTCTAATATATGTAAGTAGTTATTTCATTAATTATTCTACAGTTTTTTCTATAAGTTAATAATTTTTTGTATTTAAAGACTCCTCATTACACAGAATTTGAAATTTCTCCTTGTTATTGTAAAACCACTAAAATGCAGTAAGTACTTCATCTTAATTCATTTTATCTTGAAAACTTAAAGATTTTTCAACAATTATGTTAGTAAATGTTTATAATTTAGATGCAAAATCTTCTTCATATTATTAATGTCTATATATGGAATCACTATAAACCTATGTTGTTCCACAGCATCCACCACCTCTTAATTGGATGGAAGATACCTAGTTTAGATCATTTGACTGAGGTATTGGGCATTCCAATAATTCTGTAATCTTTAGCAGTTACATTATTTAATTAACAATAATTATTGAAATTCGTCGCATAATGTGTTTTACTCTTATATACACATTTAGTTGCAATAATTGCTTATTTTATCATAAATTATAATTGCTTGAAACTTTTACTAATTGCATATAAAATTTATTTATTTTTAAGGAATTTACTAAAATAAAATCAATCAAAAATTTACAAAGAATATGTTTATAAATAAATTCATTTAGATTATTTCTTTTTTATTGACTAAATTCTTTAAAAAATCTGAAAAGAATATAATGATTCTTTAAATAATAGAAAATTGACAGGCACATAAAATCTAAATGTCAAAACATATCTCTAATATCTAAGAGAAATATTATTTTTCAATCCATCAAAAAATTGAGGATGGAATGGTCAAATCCAAGATGAATAAAGCTTAATTTAGATTTTTGATTGATAATGATTTTAAAAGAGAATGTTGTTATTTAATGATTTTTTTAATTTGAAAAAAAATCTGTCAAAAGGTATGGGCGGATATGATAAAATAATGTAAAACAAGGATTAAAATGAAATTATAGTGGCTGAAATCTATTTATATGAATAGAAAAAGCTTAATTTCGAAATTTTTCATATCTTAGTGCATAAAAAATTGAATTAATTCATTCAATGATTTTTTTTTTCATTCATTCGATTAGCCACTTTTAGTTAGGTTCTCCGATTATAAAGTTATTATTTTCTTAATAAAAACGAAAAAAAAGTCATTAGATTATTTAATTAAATAAATATTATCTATACATAAATTTAGATACAAGTCGATAATATGCTTATTAAATTGTAAAATATACAAAATAAAACATAATCATATTTTGTGGAAGAAAATCTAATCATTTTAACTTGCTCATCGAAAAATTCTAAATTAAATCTAAACTGTCAGATTAGTTTTAATCTGCTCATGAAAATGCTATCATTAGTATGAATTTATCAGATATTCAAAACGAATTTATCAAATTATTATCGCCGCCATAATGACAAGCAAGTGAATATCACCTTTCAAAAGATCATGCGAGTAACTAAATTCTCGTTGTCATAGAATAATTACAAAAATTCAAAAGACCAAAGGAATACAAGGTTTTTACTGAAATTTTCTCTTTAAAATATACAAAATAAAAAAGTAAAGTATTTTCTGAGGTTTAAACACAATAGAAGAAGAAAAATTAGAAATTAAAATTTCAATTTATTTGAGAAATTGATTTACCTTTACAGCAGAGAGGAGATATATCCAACTTTCAACTAATACATAATTATTAAGAAATTGAAAACACTATCCCATCTCTTTTAATAAGAATTTAAGGAAAATTAAAAGAAAACAATTCGTTTAAACTTCTTTTAGAGGTATATCTTTTGATGAATAAGACATTTTTGAATAAATTATTCGAGATTTCAATTTATCAAAAGATGAGGGAAAAGCATTATTTTGGAATATAAATAAAATTAATTAATTTATTATAGAATTATTAGCACCTCTTGATCTCAAGAAATTGCACAAAATTTTTCTTTACGAAATTAAATTGGATGAAATGTTCCTCATCCAGGTTTTGAGTTACGATAATATCATTCCCATAATGAAAATGAAAAAGTAGTAGTACTATTCCCATAGTTTGAATTTATCGTAAACGAAATACGATTCACTTAAATTTAAGACCAGTAAATCTATTGTGAACATCAAATTAGCAAAGAATAACTACACTTTTTGCACTTGATCGATGTTGAGTTGATGTATTGAGACTCAATAATTGAGGAGAACACAAAGCTTAAAATAGCAACGTAGGTAAATTTTGAAAGAAAAAGAATTTTGTAATTGATAACATTTCAAAATATGACTAAGAAAATGATTTGAAAACAGTTGCTTCAAGGATTAAAAATGAATTGCCAAATGTGTTTATATAAATTGAAATTAATTAACTAAGGTATTCATACATTCAAACTATGATGTTATAATTCAAATTAAAAATCTTACTAGAACCTACAATTAAGTAGTAAAATTTGAATATTAAAACTAATTAGTTAAAATTTTTAATAATTGTTTGAGGAACATATTGATAATATTATGTAATCTTTCAGACAAAAATTTGCACATTGATATTGAAAGGAGTTATGAATGTTGGATAGGAAAAAGAATATTTGTAAAGTCTTAATAATTCTTTATGAAACATACTTAGAGTTCAAAAAATACTTAAAATATTGAAGGCACTTATTTCTAAAATAACCTGTTTATTAAAGTAATACAACAGGATTGCCTTTTTAATAACTTATGATAATAAACTGATAATGCATCATCATCCAAATAGTAACAATGAGTTGACGTTTACAAAAAAAATTGATGCTCAAGACAAAAATTGATATTCGAATAAATAGTAAAAAGTTGGTATATCAACAGAAAAAAAATCAGTAATAGTCTAAGAAGTTTAATGATCAATAAAGGGTTAAGAGTGCAAAAAATTTAACATGTAAAACATTCAAGTCAAGGAAATGAATTATTATTTCTAATAGGCTAAAGTATAAGGGTAAATTTGTGGTCTATTTGTAGGAACAAGGAATTTAACAGTGGACTGCATAATTGATGGAGTCGATGAAGAAAAGCATGGTAAAGGTTTAATATTTTCTACTTCAGATTAAGAGTGAAGCATGACTAAAGTGTAAAATCTTTTGGAAAAGCAGATACTTATGCTGAAATGGGATTAACCGCTCTTATGATTTCCATTTCTACTGGAGGAGTGAAGTGAGAAAGTTTTCAATTATATTTTGATTGCTATTAAAACTGGAGGTGCAATAGATTGGGTTATTTAGGTATTGAAAGTGGCATGGATTTAGGAGTTGCTGCAGGTCCAATTAGAGTTGTGATTGGAGATTTTTGTTGGAAGAGGGAGTTTAATTTTAATTGATTAAACTGAAACTCATTTGTCATGTTTCTTAATGAATTATATTTAGGCTTCCGACAACCACACAGAAGAATATCAAAAATGATGAAATTTTGTAGCAATTACAAACAAAACAAATAAATTTATGGATGATTATTTATTTTTGTTAAGATTAATTAAATATTTCTTTTTCAAAAATTTTGGATGCTTTCAATATTTTATTATACTTTCTAAATTTCATCATAGAACATATTAATTAATTTTAAGGGCTGAATATATCAACAGAATAATTATCTTTTTATGAACATCTCTCTAGTGTTTAAATTAAAATTACTAATTTACAATGATCTAGTTCATAATAATTTATGAATTCTATAGTATGTTAGCTTTAAAAAAAAATAAGACAACTTTGTTTTATGATAAAAATGCAAGTTTGAAAAAGTTTATATTATTTTTCACTAATTAATTTTTATGGTTATATGTTTGAATTTAAGAGTAAGTTTTTAGCAATAATTAAAATCAATTACTAAAATGGCCAATCAATTTAATTTATGGTCATTCAATAACATAGTGTAAACAGTAACATAAATATTATTAATGGAAATCCAAAAAAAAGGCATTTAAATAGTTCAGTTAATTTAATTAACATCAACTCATCTGAATTAGTGTATAAAAAGTCATTGTTATAATAATAATTTTAGATTGAGGAAGTAAAAATTATAGTTGCAAGACTTGTTTAATAATTTATCATTAATGAATTTTAGTAGTTTCTTATTTATAAATTATTAATATTATATTTATTTTAGATTCATTTTTTAGTATCATCTAAATTAATGTAAGTAAATTTATATTGGTCCTTTTCAAGCTCATTCATATCATAATAGAATTCTCTAACAATCTTTTGATTAATCTCATATCATTAATTTGCATCTTCTCAGACACTCAATAGGTTAATTGGAATTCATTAAATTATTGAGATTTACTTTCATAGGTTTGTTCTCCTATATTGAAACAGAAATCTTTTTCTAATTTCTCTTTAGTATAATTTTATAGCTTATTTTAACCCTTTTAAATCTATATTCATAATCTATAAAAATTTTAACCAATTAAACTTAATTATTTCTTTATTTTTTTTAACAGAGCTTCTCTATTTCTTTTATTATTAAAATTTTTGATTTGTAATCGATCAAAGTTAAAGTAAGCAAAAAAATCATTTTAAATTGCTTGAATTAAATAAATCTTTATTAATAAAGTCATCGTTAATGCTCTTAAATTATCTCAAGAATTAAGCTTTTATTAATTTTAAATGAAAATTAATTTTCTAGACTACTCTCATTTGTTGAAAACTATCTTTTTTCAACAATTAATAAATAATATATGTTAAACTAATATCATATTTTAAAAAATGATTAATAATCTTATATAAAGGCATTGATGCGTTCTCACCTACTTTTCATATACTCTTTTTTAATTGAATTTTATCCTATACTGAGCTAAATTAGACTTTGCCTTTCAAAGTGTCTTAAAAACTAACTTGTAATTGCGAAAGTAAATTTCTAATAAAAAATTGCAAATACATCAATTTTGATTGTTTTTTTAATTAAGCATCCAGATAAAGTTTTTAATTTGATTTAGGTATTTTTAAAGTAAATCTTCCTCTTGATTGAAGGAATCAAATTAATTTCTAATTGATAAGGGAGAATATTCAATTATTTTTCCTTTTCAAGATTTTACTTTTTTAATTGAAGACCACAATGCTAATACACCTTGTATAAAATAGTCTCTTCAGAAAATAATTTAGCACAAAATCTCGAACTAAAATGTTACTAATAATTAGATTTTTTTTTGATATCCAACAGAAGCAAAAATTTACTGAGCACTTTCCTTTTATACTATTTACTTCTTTTAGACAAGCAAATGTGATTCTAATTTATGTTTTTATTATGGAATAAAAAATAGATCTAGACTTTTTAGATAAATCGTTATTGTATTTTATCAACTTCTAAATTGTGTGAAGATAAGGGTCGACTATTCAAATAGTGCAATAAATTTTCAAAATATTGTGAATGTTGAATTTGAAATTATCAAGAATTTAGTTTATGACCGGATATGAAATCACAGTTAATAAATTATTTGAAGTTTAAAGGTATATTTTCTTCAATAAAATAAAAATATTTTTTATTAAATAAAATTTTAAGAATCACTTCTAAAAGAAGGAATAATTAACAATTATTTATAGATGTTTGCAGATATTCTACCCTTAAATCGTTGCCCCTTTATATCATGCAAAAGCATTTTCTTTATAAATGGTAACCAGCTATTCTAATTCTATTGCAATCCCATCCATTTCATTTTAAAAAAATAGCAAAACTAACTGGAATTAAATATTCTATCAACTAGTCTCTAACAAGATTTTTTGATGGCTGTGTTTGATAATTTTTGAATGGATAATTGTAAAAATTAAATGATTGGCAAAAATCTAGCCTCATTCTCCTGATCGACCTCTCAAATCTTCTTTTTTTAATTTATCGATTGACTACTTGTGTGTACAATTTAAAGTTTGAATGTAAACTCTTTAGCAAAATAAGATTTTATTCTAAACTTTTATCCGTATAATCCTAATCCATATCTTCCAAATCTCTTAACTCTTACCCTTTTCATCCAAAATCTATGGTCATAGATGTACAAGCCTTTGACTGCTATTAATTGTAAATTGTGCCAATTCTATATAAATTTTGATTCTGCAATCCAAGTACTTTATGAATTTCAACTCCAAACATCCCTCAATTAATGGAATAAATATGCAAAAAATCAATAGCTATATACTAGCATATTAATTATATAATTAATTATGCAAATTCTTACTTTTCTCAAGAATTAAACAATCTAATTATGCTAAATTTGGAAAAAAAAAATATATTTTCACAACTCCTTACAATTTGAAAAACAAAAAGTGAATATGGAAGATCCAAATATTAAAAAAAGTTGAATTACTTTAAAAAATAATTGTAAGTCACTGCACCGAATTAGTTGGGTATTTATCGATTATTGGTTATCTTTCAACAAATGCATAATGAAAATATCATTTCTTTATTGTACGATTAGAGTACTTACTCTTCTTAGATATTATAGATGAAATACACCAAAATAGATATAGCATTTAACCATGAAATTAATCGAAATATTAAGGAAAAGGCAGAAATAATAGTCTAATACTTTTAAGGTAATCATTATTATTAAATGCGTTATGAGCTGAAGAGCTTAGTCAAGAATGTGTGTTCAAATTATTGGCCATCGAATCTCAAACCACAATTCAGATTAAGATTAAAATAGATTTAAAAGATGTTAAAATCAATATACAGAATATAAACCTATATCTAGGTAATATTACAAATTTTTTTTTCTGATAATCATATTATCAAGATAGTTCTATTTAATATTTTACTGAGAAAAAAAATTCTGTTCATTGTTAAAATTAATTTATTTATTAAGAATAAAAAATACCGCCCCGAAGACTTGAACTTTTCGTTAAAAAGGAAAACACTTTACCTCTAAGCTAGATGATATAATTCTTAAATTAGTAAAGAAAATATTTATTAATCATTTCATGATCTATTAATATGTTCAACTTATAATAAGTTTTGTAATTGATGGATTCTAAATTCTAAATATTAAATAATTTAATTTAACTTCTGAAATTATTTCAGATTCATTTTGAACAAGGTAAATTCAGGAGATGAATGTTTATATCTTATTTTGAAATTGCTCTTCAAAAATATCTTATTTTGCTATTATGTTTAAAATGAAAAAAAAAATAATTCAATTAAATCCAAAAAAAATATGCTTATTAATTAAATTAATGTATGAATCAAGAAGAAATACTAATCTTCTTGTAATTATTTAGGAAAATATCATTTAGTAATTTAAAAAATAATAGTTAATTAAACAAGATTGGCTTTTGCTATATAAAATTATTAAATAATATTAACAAACAGATATTGTTAACTTCAAAATATTTGCTTTTTAAATTTTTTCGAGAAAATATTATTCTCTAATGAGTTTTGAACTCAATTAAATTCTTCTAAAGAAACAATCTTCCTAAATTTTAGTTATAATCAAATATATCAGTCTACTAAATTTTCTTTTTAAAGAAAATAACATTATAATTTCAAACAAAAAAAAAGAAGGATGTAAATTCCAAATGAAATTTATATGAACTTATTTAAATAAAAATGAAAAAATCTCTAAATGATTGGATTTTGATTTAATAAAAATGAAAATATTGAGTTGGAAACTTAAAAAAATATTTATAAGACTTTTGAGTAGTATTGAATTTGGAAGCAAATTACTGAAAATCAGTAATGATTGATATTTTTAATTTATATCTAAAATCCAAAGTCACTTTCTACTTGGAAAAATTTGATTTTTGAGTAATTTCTGAAAGAGTTTAAATAACTTTAAATTTGTCTAGTTGTCTGGTTGATGAGTTCACCAAAAGAATACAGTATTTAAAAGCTAAAAAGTGATGAGATATATTTTGAATTGATATTAATTTTTCGTTTAATTCATCTTTAAGATAAAGTGATTATACAGTACTCTTTTTAAAAATCTATCTCAGTAATTTAAAAATCTTAATTGTCGAAATTCATTAAAGATTGTTGAAAGTTGCACTTTTGGATTTAGCATTAAGTCAATTATCATCAGTAATAAAGATAAGCAGATTGTTATTTCTTTTAATTATAATCTAGGGTAAATATTGTTCTATTCTTAAATCTTAATCTTTTGTGGTAAAACTACTTCTTGGTGAAAAATTTATCTTTACAGATTATTTTCAGAATATTATCTATTTAATAAATAATAAAAGGTATTATTAAATTTAATTATTATATATAACAGAAATGGAATAAAACATTGAAAAATAAGCATTTATCTAGCTTTAGTAGTGAAGACGAAGTGTAGAATCTTATAAAGAAATAATTAAAAAAAATATTAGATTTAGATTGGAATTATAATTGTTGTTTGATAAATTATCAAATTCACTTTTTCTATAAATCTTCTATAAAGCAACTTCCTTTTTATTTAAACAATGTCTTTAAACCTATCCCGGATTGATCTATAAACTCTCCTTTCAGAATTAAAGCTCCTTGAGCTTGAAATACTGCCTTTTGGGATATAAGGAGTGTAGTGATGTAATTGGAGGCTAAAAATATGATAGGGGATAAATAGTACCTTATTAAATATGGCTATGTTATTGGAGTGGAATCGTAAATTATGCAAGAATATCTTTGTAGTTTTTATCAGAGGATTTAATTTGTTATCCTGTTTTGACATTCCATAGACGGATAGAGTTATCATCACTACCAAAAGCTAATGTATTTCCATCAGGAGAGAAACAGACTGACATGACAGAAAATTCATGACCATCCAACCTAATAAATTCATGGACTTTTATGTTCTTCCATTTACAATTGAATAGTTAAGCTCCATTCAAATTCAATCCGCTGATATCTACATAATCAAACTCAGATCCACTCAAGTTACAACTAACAAAGTTACCCCCAATTAAAGAAGTATTCTTCATCCTGATATTTNAAAATCAGTAATGATTGATATTTTTAATTTATATCTAAAATCCAAAGTCACTTTCTACTTGGAAAAATTTGATTTTTGAGTAATTTCTGAAAGAGTTTAAATAACTTTAAATTTGTCTAGTTGTCTGGTTGATGAGTTCACCAAAAGAATACAGTATTTAAAAGCTAAAAAGTGATGAGATATATTTTGAATTGATATTAATTTTTCGTTTAATTCATCTTTAAGATAAAGTGATTATACAGTACTCTTTTTAAAAATCTATCTCAGTAATTTAAAAATCTTAATTGTCGAAATTCATTAAAGATTGTTGAAAGTTGCACTTTTGGATTTAGCATTAAGTCAATTATCATCAGTAATAAAGATAAGCAGATTGTTATTTCTTTTAATTATAATCTAGGGTAAATATTGTTCTATTCTTAAATCTTAATCTTTTGTGGTAAAACTACTTCTTGGTGAAAAATTTATCTTTACAGATTATTTTCAGAATATTATCTATTTAATAAATAATAAAAGGTATTATTAAATTTAATTATTATATATAACAGAAATGGAATAAAACATTGAAAAATAAGCATTTATCTAGCTTTAGTAGTGAAGACGAAGTGTAGAATCTTATAAAGAAATAATTAAAAAAAATATTAGATTTAGATTGGAATTATAATTGTTGTTTGATAAATTATCAAATTCACTTTTTCTATAAATCTTCTATAAAGCAACTTCCTTTTTATTTAAACAATGTCTTTAAACCTATCCCGGATTGATCTATAAACTCTCCTTTCAGAATTAAAGCTCCTTGAGCTTGAAATACTGCCTTTTGGGATATAAGGAGTGTAGTGATGTAATTGGAGGCTAAAAATATGATAGGGGATAAATAGTACCTTATTAAATATGGCTATGTTATTGGAGTGGAATCGTAAATTATGCAAGAATATCTTTGTAGTTTTTATCAGAGGATTTAATTTGTTATCCTGTTTTGACATTCCATAGACGGATAGAGTTATCATCACTACCAAAAGCTAATGTATTTCCATCAGGAGAGAAACAGACTGACATGACAGAAAATTCATGACCATCCAACCTAATAAATTCATGGACTTTTATGTTCTTCCATTTACAATTGAATAGTTAAGCTCCATTCAAATTCAATCCGCTGATATCTACATAATCAAACTCAGATCCACTCAAGTTACAACTAACAAAGTTACCCCCAATTAAAGAAGTATTCTTCATCCTGATATTTACAAAGGATTTCTTTCTCATATCTACCTTCATCTAAACTAAGGTATGTAATGAATTAGATCCACATTAGATAAAAGTGTTATCTATAGCTGTAAGGTGAACTAAAAATTACAAAAATTCAATGATCCT